CTGCACGTAGAGAGCCAAGAAAGCTTCTCTTGCTGTCCCCTGCTGGATGCCCCTTATCGACTCCACCGGCTGCAGCGTCTTTCAGCGATGCACTCGTACGGAGAAGATCGTATGAACCCTGATTTCCTTCCGCTTCGAGGCTCGGTCGCCGAAGGCAACAAATGGACAGGCCCGATTGGGCACAAACCGCGGTGCAATGCCCGTACGTAGGAGCAGTCGAACTGCCGCCATCGGCCTCTGCACGAAAACAAGGCACATGCGCGCCTGAATGGAGAGGTCGATGGCGAGGTCGACGGAGCATGGCTGGCCAATAAGTCGTACGAGCCACTCCGTACCGGAGCGCTAAAGTGCTCGTATCCTACGGTACAGTACTACTGCTCAGCAGCGAGTAATAAGGTATACACGGTACTAGACCAAGGCGCTTGTCGGAAACCGAGGCGGGAAATATGCCGCGATAATCTACGGCTTTCCCTTTCTCGGCTTGGTCTAAGATGACAGCTGCCTGCCGGCCATATCGCCCACGATGGACGGATCTGCCGACAGAGGACGGTGTGCATTGCTCGATTGCTGGCTACCGTATGGCCAAGCAAGGTGAGAGTGTGGTGCCCAAATGACTTACTTGCTCCGCACAAAGCAGTGTGCCAAAGCAGGAACCAAAGGGCCAAGACCGATCGCTGATCACAGCAGTTCTCGGCAGGCACGCTATGCATCATTCGCTAAACCTGGAATAAGTTCTGCCAGTTGGTCAGGGAGTACTCCGTATGTAGATGTTTTGAGCTTAGATTGGCCACCTGCCTTGTTGCCAACCCCAGATTTTCTTGGCGCCAGTGCATCGCGCAGGTTGCGTTTTGGGAGCTGGTACTTACGCGTCGTAATGGCGAATGCTGATACCTACGGAGTAATGCATATGGGCCTCACATCAGACAGGTTGTACGGAAGTACAGCAATCGATCACAGGCTTCTTGGCTTTGCCCCCCCGTCAAGCGTCGTCATCATGCCTCCCGTCGGCCACTTGGCAGAGACATGGGCGGCGATTTGATCTGGGCAGTGAACACATGCCAAGAGAAAGAGCGAGATGATCTGAGATTCTATTTGACGATGGGCGAGGCAGAGACCACATATAGAAACGCGATCTACCGGCCGCTGATCTTCAGCTCGTTTGATCCCTCTACTCCTTCCTCTCTTACGCGTCCGCCTCTCACAGCCAAGACGAAGGACGGCTGACTTTACGGGCTTGCGTTCGCCGAAGAAAGACCTCGCAAGCTGTACGAAACAGTCTTCGTCCACCGCTGGTGCTCACATCTGGCCAAGGGCTGCTTCGAAACCTGCTTGACGGTGGGGGTGGACGGGCTACGATCCCATGGGGGCAAGAGCGTCCCAGAGGCAGGAGCGATCCTGCTCGTTGTCTCTGGCCCGGTTGCCTGCTGGCGAGAAGCGCGTCTCGCGACAGCTCATCGGTCACGGGCCGTCGCTTGCGTGAACAGAACCACGTCTCCTGCGTTGTCGACGTGGCGACGCCGTCGAGTCGTAGAAGGAGCCGTTCGCTAGTACCAAACACCCCCACCCGGACGGCGGGAGCTTTCGGAATCGAGGCAGGTCATAATGGATCAATGAGAAGAGGGGCGATGCAAGCGGGCAGCAGTCTTCGCAATGCTCGCTCCTCACTTCTCGTAGCTCACGGATCACGACAGCGATGCGATTGGCAGGCGGCACGCGGACGGACGGGGCTGCTGAAGGATCCAGGATCCCCTTTCCGAGCACGGACAGAGGGGCTATTCCCCAGGCAGGCTTCCGCTGTCGCTGCTGCCGCCCTTTAGGCTGCGACGCCTGTATCCTCCTTCCTGCGAATGGGCCATGTCGTGTCTGTGCTGTGTCACAAGGATGAAATAGCGTGAACGGTCTCGATAAAGCCGGCCAGAAGACGCGGCGGGCTCCCGTGACATAGGCTAGGTACAATATCTGGGGAATTAAGCATCTTGTTCGCCAAGCTCTTCCTGCCCCGTGATGGAAGCGACCGGTGCCCGAGTACGTCATGATAGCACTATGTAGCGCCCTACGGAGTACATACGATTATGTAGTATCTTGCAAGTACGGTGAACGGCTGGCGCTCATTGGCGAGTGCGGCTTGTCTCTGGCCTCGTGCTCCCCCACCAATAAGATACGTCATACGAATAAAATGCCAACTCTGGAAGGAGCCCACAAAAAAGCGGAGTCCATCTGATCTGCAGCGAAATGACGGAGGAGGATAAAGAGCGAGGCGCGAGAAAAGTGGGCCTGGAAACGAAGGGACATGCGCGAAAGAAGTTGGGCGGTGCGCTCTGTGGTATTATTGCAGCCCCGTACGGACAGAAGCAGAAAAGAGGTACCGGCTTTGTCGTAATTCCCGACCGTCCAATGGAGTGCCGCCATCTGACGGCGAAACCGCGGCAGGACGACTTCTGGTCAGCGGAAGGCGGCTTTGCTGTACTGCAACCGGATCCCTTGGAAGAAGTCGTCCTGATGACCAGAGTACGGAGTAAGCAAGGGAAGGGCTGAGAAGTGAGGTACATGCGGCAGCCATTGCTGATCAAAAAAAAGCGAAACTCGGTACTGCCGAGCGGCGTGCTGTGTGCCATGGGCAATGCAATGTGCTCTTGCAGCACCCCTTTAATTCTGGTGTTGCCCGGTGTACGGAGTACGGAGTACTTTTACGAGGTTGTCTTACTCGTTCCATGACTCGGATAGCTGCACGTGTCGGAGACAAGCGCACCGTATGCAATAGCGGTCTGTTGCCAGTAAAATACTTTGTGCGCGTATCTTACGAAGATACTCCTACATATGTAGGTGGCTATCTACGGAGTATGTGCATACATAGGAAGGTAAGATATTTTTGGCAGTGGATACACTTACCTATCTGGTACACGTAACTGCAAGCAGCAAGGCGGAGGGGTCATGAGTGGGTTCCTTTGCCCCTGGCTGGCGGCGGCGCTACGGATTTCGCGTCGCCTCGCTCGCTGTTTCTCCGTCACTTCGGACCTGCTCCTTCCAATGCAGAGCTGTAAAGCAATAGGGGCGGGATCCGCCCACGGCCAACGATTCATCGTTCTCGTATCTTGCTCTGTATTCCGGTGAGGGGTTGACTTGGGCGCTTTTTTTGCTTCAGGCGCTGGAAATGAACAGCAGCAGCAGCAGCAGTAGGAGCCCCTCCTCCCCAGTCTGGTTCTGGAGCTAAATGCGAGTGAGGTGCAACATGTGGCCGTGCGGGACGACTACTGCGTGAGCTTGCTCGCAACAAGACCAGGGTCGACGTTGTTCGTCCATCTCCGCATGTGCCGGGTCCTGGTGGCATCGTCCATGGCCGAGAAGGGCAGATATACGCGGACAGGGCCCGGAAAACGAGTCAATCGGTTGGAGGCGTGCTGGACGGCCTCGAGCAATGTCTATTGCCACACATTCTTGGCAAGTGACCACCGTTCATCCAGGAGAAGGAGAAAATCCCGCTCAGAGAGAAGGATAAATCATTTCTCGTAGGAAGGCACATCCCTACGTAGCGCCTGCCATTACATGCACCTCCTCTACTAATGCCATCCCACGCTTGTCGCTGCTCTTCCTGTCTCTCGCTTCCCAACACACCAACGCTATACGCACGCACGCACACAACGTTCACTTTCTCGCTGGCACTCACACTCTCACACACCCCCCGGCCAAAAGCCGCACTTTGTTCCCCAGAGCGTGTTTGCATTGTACTATGTAAGATATCTCCAAGCTTTCCTCCACCACGACGCCCACACCCACATTGTCTCCGTTTTTTTTAATGGCCGCTGAAGGCGTCGTCTGGCCCTTGCAGCTATTACTGGTTCGCGTGTTAAATATTTTTTTTTTCTCCTCCCCGTTTATTTAGTCTTCGTCGGTCCTCGCAACTTTGCATGCAAAGCAATCTTCCTTATGAACTTTGTGACGACCGCCCAAAGGCTGCACTACATCCCTGTCCTTTTGGGATTGGCTTTTATACTCCCCTCGCCCACCCGGTCTCTTCTGGGTCTGAGCCTGCTCGCCGGTCTCACTTTGTTCTTGTTCCACCCTCGCATCTCCCACTTGCACACCGTCACGACTTCTCCTTCTACCTGTTCTGCTGCTCTGTCCTTGGCGTCTTACGTGTAAGTCAAGCCTCTCTCGGTGGCTCATCAGCAGCTCCGGATTGCTTCCCTTCTCCGCCCAATTCTTCCTGCCAGGTACGTAACGTCTGCCAAGGCTTTCTCCTCTCACGGCCACATCCACAAATCCGTCCCAGAGACCGCCAAGGCCCAATTCCAGATCGTGCACCGCCCGCTGCGAACATCGCCATTTCCACTCTCATTACTTGCATCTTGGCGTTTCTGGCTTGTGTTATAAGGCCTGCCCTCCTCCCAAGCCGGCTGCCGTTCACGACAAGAAGGCCCATGGCTCCAGAGTCCAAGCCTGCCGTCTGGATAGAAGAATGCCCATTGCCCACTGCCCTGTTCCGACCTCAATCTCAATCCTATCACAAGCCACTGCCAGCCCATTGCCCAGCTCTGCTTATCTCTGCTAGTTGGCGGAGGTGCCGAGATTCAACACCGCCGAACATTCCCGATAGTGACAAGCTACACGCCAAAGGCCGCTACCTATCTTACATTCGACGGCGATCCACCACCCAGTCGTCGCTAACTTACAGCGATTAACTAACACGCCTTCAGGCCTGTAATCAGCACTACTGCGACCAACACCACCACCATCACGACTACCGCCCGGGACCGGACAACCGATTGGCAACGCCGTATCTGGGCCCCGATTAATTACCAAGAAAAAGAACCTGGACCGCCGGAAAGAACAGCACCCCCTCGTTCTCGTGGCTGTTGATGGTCGGCTGGGTATCGCCACCTGCCGCGCCACTGCTACTCTTCAAACGGTGAAGACGGCCGGATTTGTCCAAAAGATCACGTTCCCACGACTCTCCTGCTTCGTAACCATTTTCCACATCCATCTTTCTTCCTCTTTCCAAAATGGCAGTCTCGGCCTCTGTAGGGCCTGCAGTCACCCAATCGGCGCTATTAGGTATTGTTACCCTGCTCAATCTGACTGCCGCCACAAACGCGCCCTTTTATGCGTCATCTGCTTCTTCTGTTTCCTCCCCTGCTCTTTTGCCTATATCTTCTCATGCCAACCCGTCTACAGAGAGCGACGACACAGACAGTGAACCGCCCCTTTCAGCACAGACTCCGCGACCTGCTCTGCTGGACACATTCCGCTTGTCGCCAAACGACCAATCACAGCCTCGGATCCCCGCCAATTTTATCCCCGAGCAGCCCGAGAACAAGCAGCGCTGCAAGCCGTACGAGGATCAACAAAGCGGCGATCTGCACCCCTTTGTCCCGCCCTCTTCCTTTTCTTCTTCCGTATCCTCTGTCCTGTCTGCCTCGCCACTCTCCCCGCTGCGCCAGTTTCCTACCACTGAAGTCGAGGTTCACGACACCATTCCTGAGGAGACTGACGAGACCGATTACGACACGCCCAACGAGCCTGTAACACCTGTAAGCGGCCGCCAGTCCCGTGACGGCTTTCAGCACACCGATCCGGAGCCCGAGTCAGACTCCAGCACCGGAGCCGTGCCCATCCCCATTCCCGGCTTGAGACAGGCCGGTTCGGCCCAGCAGCACAGCCAAAAGTATTCGGGCCAGCACAGTCTCCGTCACGGCCGCCGGAACTCGTATCACCAGCGTACTCCCAGCGACGCAACCGCATCTATCGGTGGTGCGGACCAGAACGACATCTTCGTCGTCGAGGACAACTTCTCGGCCGCAGCTCTGCAGGCAACGCCAACCAAGGCTCAGCTGCTCCCGTTGTCAACGCCCAGCCTTCGTTCGGAATCACCACCAAATTTCCGGCCAGCTACTGCTGTCAGCGGCTCTTTCCTCATTGCTCCACCGAGTGGCAGCAGCAGCGACACTGCCACGATCGCAAGTACAGCCACTGCTGCAATCCGGGTGCCTTCAGCTAGCACCTCCACCATCGCCGCCGAACAGTCCCCGTTGAGCCCCGTTCCAAATCGTCGGTCGCGTGGCAGCTCGTCTACCACCAGTTTCAAACGCACGATGACGAATCTCTTCCGCCGCAGTAACTCGCAGACCGACAAGGCACCCGAATACGACACAACTGGATCCGAATCCAATCTGCCGGATATGGCCGCGCCCACCAATGGGAATGAGGCGCCGCTCGGTTCCCACAAGACGCCGAGCCGTCGCTGGTCCATGCATCGCTCTCTTGCCACGTCGCAGTCACACTCGCCACCGTCGCCGGGGAGCCCTCCTCTGGAGATGGCCATGGGCTCTAAGAGTTCCCGGAAGAACACCAACCGCGCAATAAACGCAGGTGCTGCCTCTCATGGAAAGGCCAGCGGCTTGACTGGGACGGGTGTGAACACACTCCAGCTTCCGCAGATGCCGACGGAAGACGACTTTTTGCAAAACGACAGCAAGAAGCACCGGCAGCGGGCGACGACGACGACGAACCTGAGCCTGAACAATGCCATACACGTGGTGACGGGATCCACCGGCAGCCGCCGCCACCATGGGAAGCTCAAGACCAAGCAGGGCACCGACTATCCTCGTCGTGCGAGCAGCTTCGAGCATGGCAACCAGAACCCGGCCATCGAGATCCGCGGCGAGCCGTGGATTCTCCCGGCTGAAGCAGGCACCGGGCTGAAAGCCCGCCGGATGAGTCTCAGCCTGCCGGACGACTTCACCGTGGATGCAGCTGAGCTGCACACCGAGTTTGAATACCAGCATGTTCTGGGGCGCCATCGTCGCCACCTTGGAAAAGGTGCCACTTCCAAGGTGACGCTGATGCATCGGAAGGGCTTCCCGGATGAACTGTACGCGGTGAAGGAGTTCCGTGGTAAATCGTCCAGCGAGACGCGCGAGGAGTACGAGAAGAAGGTCAAGAGCGAGTTCAGCATTGCCAAGAGCCTGCACCACCCCAATGTCGTGGAGACGGTTCGGCTGTGCACCGATCATGGCCGTTGGGATCACGTGATGGAGTATTGCCAGGAGGGCGATTTGTACGGCCTGGTCGAGAAGAAGTACCTGGTCAGTAATGAGCGGGAAAAGGACCGGCTGTGTCTTTTCCGGCAGCTCGTGCAGGGTCTCAACTACCTGCACTCGCACGGTATCGCGCACCGCGACATCAAGCTTGAGAACCTGTTGATCACAAGCAGTAGCAAGCTCAAGATCACCGACTTTGGCGCCTCGGACATATTTTCCGGCATCCACCCCGGTATTCGGGAGGCGGGCGGGCGATGTGGCTGCAACCTGGACGGCAATGTCAAGCTGTGCAGGCCGGGCATCTGCGGCAGTCTGCCGTACATCTCGCCAGAGGTTCTGGAGGCGAAGGAGGCCTATGACCCGCGCAAGCTCGATGTATGGGCCGCAGCCGTGGTGATGCTGAACCTGATCTTCGGAGCCCCTTTGTGGAACGAGGCGCGGATGAAGCCTGGCCAGGCCAACCCACAGTATGCGTCGCTCCTGCGTGGCTGGGAGAAATGGAACGCCACGCATCTGCCCAAGAGGTTAGAAGCCGAGAAGCAGCACCTTGAGGGAAAGAGCGCCGAGTCGACAGAGACGGCGACAAACGGGACTGTCGAGGAAAAGCCAGCAGCTACCACGGATGCGACTGTTCCTGCTCCTGTAACAGCGACGGGACCGGAAATCAAGGTGACGCCTGCGACCGATCGGCCATGGGTAAAGGCCGATCCGGTGACGGACGGAAACCCTAACAGCATTGTCGAGGGACCGTATCCGACAGTGATGGCGCTGGATGTTTGTGTGAACCCCCCGATTCTGCGGCGGATCATCATCCAGATGCTCAACCCGGACCCGAAGCGACGGGTGACGATCGAGCAGGTGGCCAACCTGCGTTGGATGCGCAACATTGAGTGTTGCCAGCAGGATCTCTCGGAAGACTCGGTAGTCCTGTGTCCGGGCCCGGCGGCGACTGGGCCCATCGATGCATCGAAGCGCAGCGCCGTCCTTCCTGGACAGAAGATATTCTTTCACGACCACCTCCCGGCAAAGGTGCATTCTCACTCGATAGGCCGCATCTAGCTGTGTGCTACGATGGCCGTATTTAATTGATACCTGCCTCGGTCTTGTCATATACCTCTAGACCTACATATATTTTTCTTCATGACCTGTTCATATGCACCGAATCTGACGCCATTATCTGCTCATACTGGCCTGTGGTTACGCGCACTGGGTGCAGCGTTACCGGCGATTGGGATGGCCGCGTCCACAGATGACGTGTCGGGCAGTTCTCGCGATACATACTAGCAAAAGCAGCGGTCTTAAAGTACGACAGATCAAATAGACATCATCGTTAACCCTGTGGCCAGACCGAACGCGGTGCCAACGTCACTAACACTGGTTGTATGTCTTGTCGTTGGGTCTCACGCGGCTCGTTGATCCGCAGTACGTAGCGATATGAGACAGCACGCTGAATGTGGCATCAATAAATGGTCCCTTTGCTGTGTGTCATGTTGTGCCATTCAGCCGGTGGGCAATTGCACACTGACAGTGAGGACTGTGCCGATTGAACGTTGTGTACGGAGTAATACGGCCGAACCACTGGCGAATCAAGTATTCTGATTTCCGATTGTAGCCCTTGCCCTGTACACCGTGCCGTGCTGCTTTGGTATGAGTGGATGGACCGATCGCTGTCTCATCTGTCTGTCGGCCAGCTCTGGTGGCAGATGATGTCATCACAAGGAACCAAGGGGAACTGCACGCAAAAGACATGGGCATGGCAGCCAACTGAATACAGCAGGTGCGCCTCCAGATCTGCCATGGCAAGAACGACAGGACGATAAATGGAACTTCTCAGCGACGTGGCTGTGATCTGGGAATGGCATGACGAGAAAGTGCGGTTCTGGGTGGGCCCCACATATGGTGCCCCAGGGCCAATCAATGCACGGGCTACAGTAACCGGCAGGCGGTTCGTATAGCACTAAGGAAGGGGGGGGAGCTCGTAAAGAGGCCACTTCAGCAAAAAAGTCCAGAGTGTAGTGTCGGGGCTGAAAAGGGAGCTCTTTCGTACGGACTCGTTTCTGCGCGCTTGTGTGTTGCCTTCGCGTTCCTCGAACCAACACGAAGGGATTCGGCACGCTCTCCCTCTTGTTCCTTTCTTTTTCCCTTCTTCCCTTCCGAGCGCCCAATTCTGCGTGAGGATCGAGAAGGCTTGAAACGGGACACTTCTTCTTTCTTCCTTTCTTATTCTCCGATTCTCCCCTTGTCTTTCTTCGCTTCGTCCTCTCCTTGACCCAAACTTCCGAATCATCTTTTCTGCCTCTTCTGCCTCTTCTATCTGTTCGCAAACGGCGTTCTTTGCATCGCACGCCCGCTTCCCCCGTGTCTCTCGCCCGACTGTGCTTCGAAAAGGCTCGCCAACGATCGGGATCTGCAATACGTAGCCTTGTCCCCATAACAATGGCCCGCCAGACCAGCGTGGCCCGGGCGGCGGCTGCCTCGCCGGCAGCTGCTGCTGCGGCGCCTCCGAAGAAGGCAGACAAGGACTACACGTCCGACGGCGTGGCCGACAACGACGTCTTTCTGCTGCCGTTTTCGGACTTCAAGATTTTGACGGCCATCACGGTGGTGTCGGCGCTCGTCCGGCTCTTCCGCATCTACCAGCCGAGCAGCGTGGTGTTTGACGAGGTGCACTTTGGCGGGTTCGCGTCCAAGTACATCAAGGGCCGGTTCTTCATGGACGTGCACCCGCCGCTGGCCAAGCTGCTGATCACGCTGGCCGGCTGGATGGCCGGATTCGATGGCGACTTTGACTTCAAGGACATTGGCAAGGACTACATCGAGCCGGGGGTGCCGTACGTGTACATGCGGCTGTTTCCGGCCGTCTGCGGCATTCTGCTGGCGCCAACGATGTTTCTGACGCTCAAGGCGTCGGGCTGCCGGTCCTCGACGGCGCTGATGGGCGCTGGCATGATTATCTTTGGTGAGTCTGCATTTCCTGCTCTGCTCTTGCTCTGATGTCTCCTAACAGGTCAGAAAACGGTCTTCTCACGCAGGCTCGGCTGATCCTGCTCGACTCTCCCCTAATGATCGCGACGGCCTTTACCGGACTCTCGTTCACGGCCTTTACGAACCAGCACGAGCTGGGCCCATCCAAGGCATTCGAGCCCAGCTGGTGGTTCTGGCTCTTCATGACGGGCCTCGGGCTTGGCATCACGACCAGCATCAAGTGGGTGGGCTTCTTCACGATCGCGTGGGTGGGCTTGCTCACACTGGTGCAGCTCTGGGTGCTGCTGGGCGACGCAAAGCACGTCACGGTGCGGCTGCTGGCGAAGCACTTTATGGCACGGGCGTTCTGCCTGATCGTGGTGCCGGTGACGTTCTACATGGCAATGTTCGGGATCCACTTCCTCTGCCTGGTCAACCCGGGCGACGGTGACGGGTTCATGAGCTCGGAGTTCCAGGCGACGCTCAACTCCAAGGGCATGGCGGACACGCCAGCGGACGTGTTGCTCGGCAGTGCGGTGACGATCCGGCACGTCAACACGCAGGGCGGCTACCTGCACTCGCACCCGCTGATGTACCCGACGGGTAGCAAGCAGCAACAGGTGACGCTGTACCCGCACAAGGACATCAACAACGTGTGGATCCTGGAGAACCAGACGCAGCCGCTCGGTGCGGACGGCGAGACGATCAACGGGACGGATGCTTGGAACACGCTGCCGGCCGAGGGCGCGGAGCTGCCGTACATCTACGACGGGATGACGCTGCGGATCTTCCACCAGGCGACGGCACGACGGCTGCACTCGCACGACGTGCGGGCACCGGTTACAGAGGCGGACTGGCAGAACGAGGTGTCGGCATACGGATACGAAGGCTTTGACGGCGACGCGAACGACTACTTCCGGGTAGAGATTGTGAAAAAGTCATCCGACGGCGAAGTGGCCAAGACGCGGCTGCGCACGATCGAGACCAAGTTCCAGCTGGTGCACATCATGACGGGCTGCCTGCTGTTCTCGCACAAGGTCAAGCTGCCGGACTGGGCGTCGGAGCAGCAGGAGGTGGTGTGCGCACGGGGAGGCAGCCTGCCGAACAGCCTCTGGTACGTGGAGTCGAACGAGCACGCGCTGCTGGGGCCGGAGGCCGAGAAGGCCAACTACCGGCAGCCGGGGTTCTTTGGCAAGTTCCTGGAGCTGCAGGCGGTGATGTGGAAGACGAACGCCGGGCTGGTGGAATCGCACGCGTACGAGTCGCGGCCGAGCTCGTGGCCGCTGCTGCAGCGCGGGATCAACTTCTGGGGCCAGAACCACCGGCAGATCTACCTGATCGGCAACCCGTTTGTGTGGTGGAGCGCGACGGCGGCAGTGGTGGCGTACGTGTTGTTCAAGGGCGTGGCCGTGCTGCGATGGCAGCGCAGCTGCGGCGACTACGCGGACGCGACGTTCAAGCGATTCGACTATGAGATCGGCACGTCGGTGCTGGCCTGGGCGCTGCACTTTTTCCCCTTCTACCTGATGCAGCGGCAGCTCTTCCTGCACCACTACTTCCCGGCGCTGTACTTTGGTATCATGGCGTTCTGCCAGATCTACGACTACGCGACAGCACGCAACCGACTGCTGCGGCCGCAGGAGAAGGCAGTGGTCAACACAGCGGGCGCGATTGGCGTGCTGGTGCTGTCGGCCGTGGTGTTCTCGCTGTTTGCGCCGCTGGCGTACGGCAATGTGTGGACGAAGGAGGATTGCCGGCGCGTGAAGCTGTTTGACACGTGGGACTGGGACTGCAGCAGCTTTCTGGACACAGTGAGTGGGGAATTGATATGAGTGAATGATTGAAGCCAGGACTAACGAAATAGTACGAGGCATACGACTCGCAAGCACTCGTGGCGGCTGTTCCGACGACGGCCGTAGAGGCAGCACCGGTTGCAGGAGAGGCAGTAGCAGCAGTTGGTGAGCTGGAGCAGGAGCAGGTGCCGATGGGTGACGACAAGGCAGCAGAGCGGGCAGCACCGCCACCGGCAGACATCTCGGAAGCACCGTCAGCACCACCGGCGGAGAAGCTGCTGGCAAAGACGTTGTTATCACGTGAGCAGCGAGTGGAATACCGCGACCAAGACGGCAACGTGCTGGACGACAAGCAGGTGGAGGCGCTGCGCGGAAAGGTGGAATTTAAGACGCGCTACGAGACGCGGACAAGGCTGGTGGACACAGCCGGAAACGTGGTCCAAGACGCGGTGGTTGACAGCGGCGATGTAGCCGCTGGTGAGGAGGCCGTAGCTGTGGCACCACCGCATCCCGATGTCGAGGGTGTGGACCAGTCGACACGGCAGACGGCAGCCGAGGAAAAGCAGCCGCAGAGCGTGGAGCCAAGCGTGGAAGGCGAGCGGGAGGCAGAGCAGAACCGTGCTCGACCGGCCAGCGAAAGCAACGAGGCAACGGTGAAAGAGTGAGGAGTGGTTGAAGTAGAGAAGATGGAGATGGTGGAGATGGAGGAGATGGTGGAGACAGTGGAAATGGCATGTACGAATAAAAGGAGTATTTGAGTATTCTTTGATTAAAAGCACTGAAAGATCGGGTTGAGACGGAGGACATCTATATCACAAAGAACGATTGTGCAGCCGTGGGGGAGAAGACAGATGGAATGGTCGGCTGTCTGGGTATAAGAATGGACGGACAGCTAGACGCTCATGGTGAAGTCGTGTTCGATACCAGGGGTAACGCTAGCGATGAACTGGGCTTGTTAGCAGAGGGAGGGAGAGAGAGGAGGAAGAGCGCGGGAGAGCACGAAAAAAAAAAGCGAGCGAAAGGGAGAACGAGAAAAAGACCGACCTTGAGAAAGACAACAAGGTACTGGTCGACACGGATGGCGACCTCGCCGTCGTCGACATCGGCCTGGACCTCTTCCCACTCGTTGTCGGTGGTGGCGAGGTCGAGGCGGCGGGTATCGTCAGCGAGGGCGTCGATGGACGAGGCTGTGGCGGAATTCGTTGTTGTCGATGTCGTCTGTGCAGCAGCTGCCTTTGCCTTTTGCGCGGCGACGGCCAGCTTCTCGCGGCGGCGCCGGAGCGCACCGTCTGCACGGTCCAGCAGCGTCTTCATGACGGGGGCGTGCTTGCAGGGATGGACGCTGGCCATCTTGGAGCCGTTTTCGAAAAAGGGAAAGTCCTCGAGGGTGACGGTCTTGTCCTGGTAGTCGCCGACGATGTCGTCCATCATGAGGTGTGGCGGCAGCGGCCGGCCGTCAGGTCGGTAGCCAGACAGGTAGAGACGGGGAGTGGCGTAGAAGGGGGAGTACATGATGTAGAGCGAGTAGTTGCGGTGGCCGCTGTATTGTTAGTGAGGGGGAAAAGAAAAAAGAAAGAAGAAAGAAGAAAAGAAGAAAGAAAAGAAGAAGAAAAGAAAAGACAGAAAGACAGAAAGACAGAAAGATCAAGATACGAAGATAGCACAACACCACAACACACACGTACCTCTTGACGTCTCCTGCTTCCGGGATGATCGCCTCGTCGTCGTCCTCTTCCTCCATGTCGGGAATGTCGTCATCGTCATCGTCGTCGTCGTCGTCGTCGTCTGTCTGCCTGTTCCCCGAACGCGTCCCATCACCACCATGCCGGCTTGCCCCCCCCTCGACACGGCCACCTTCCAGCTGCTCGCCGCCCGTGCGCAGCCAGCCGTCCTCGTCGCCGCCCGTGCCGCCGCCCTCGACCACCTCCTCATCCGCCGCCGTCGGCCGGCCATCGACACCGCCGCCGTCTCCGCCGTACGCCACGTCGCTCAGCCGGTGTCGACACGGCACGTTGCGCGTCACCAGGTACTGCTTGCCCGGTGGCAGGTGCGACACCCGACGGCTCGCCGGCTCGGCGTCGGCCCACGCCCATGTCGGGAACTTGTACACCAGATAGTCGCCCGCCGCGACAAACTCCTCGGGTGTGATCTGGCCCGTCTTGCGGAACGTCGACGTGTGGCGCGCCGGCGTGTACCGGTCGCGCAGCGTGTTCACCGTCGAATACAGGAGGTTCATGTCGAAGCGAGTCGGTTGTTGTGCTGTGTTTTGTCGTGTTGTGTGTTGCGTTGCTGTTCTTCTTTTCCGTCGTCAATCTCTTCTTTAGTTCTGTTCTCTTGTTCACTCCTCGTCTGTCCTCCTCGTTTGTCTCCCTCAGTTCTGTTCTCGATTGTCCCGTAACTCTGTATGTGGAATCTTGTTTGTGTTGGTCTACTCTGTTCTCCGTACAATCGCCCCTACTGGAAGCTAGGCAGATGGGCGGGGTCACCAGAAGCTCCCCGCCACTCTTATCTCTCCCACGTGACGGCCCACATGACCATCGCTGACCAATCATACAGCTCGTGATCCAAGTCGTGATACTATGTATGTACTCCCGTGTCCTGTTGTCTATCCATGCTCGCTATGTATACCAATGTGTGTGTGCCTGTCGTTATCAAAATGCAAAACGCCGGGTATCTGCTCATCAAGAACGCCGTCTGGTCCATCCTGTCTGACCTTTCTGTCCAGCTTCCTGGACAGCTCCAACCTCCCGCTCAGACAGCCTCTCCCCCCCACTCCTCCATCCCCGTGCTCGGTGGCAGGCTGTACTGCGCGCAAAGCTTCCGGAACGCCGGGCTGAGCCGGTAGAAGCCGTGCTGGGCCAGCATGTCGCGGTCGCTCGTGCAGCAGGGCGACTGCCGCAGCGGCAGCAGCCAGTCCAGCGGGCTGGCCCCCATGACCGCCGTCCAGTTGGCGCACCAGCCGAGGTCCCAGACGTTCATGCCGCGAGGCACGGCCACAATGGCAAACGTGCGAAACGCCAGCTGGTCACGAGCAGCAGCCCGTCTCGCCGCCGCCCTGGCTGCACGTGCCACAGCAAAGGGGTCTGGGTCCTGGGGATGGTCCACCTCGTCCAGCCCCTGTCCGACCTGCTCTCCCTCCTTTGGCAGCGGGTACGTCACCACGTTGTAGGCACCCTCGACGGCCGGCGCGCCACGGCGGATGTGCACGGCCATCAGCTTCGCCCGCTCGCGTCGCTGGTGCGTCTCGACCGACGTCTGGTTCGTCAGCGCAAAGTGCACACACGTGCACGCCATCGCGCTCGCTAACAGGCCCAGAACACCCGTCAGCGCCAGAGCCGCAATGATCCGGGCGTCTGTCCCCTGCGAGAGCGCGTAGCCGCCAATGCCAATCGTCAGGGCCCACAGAAGCGTCGCGTACACGTTGAACTGCAAAAAGAACTTGAAGGCTGTCTGGTCAGCACAGCACAGCCAGCTACCACCACCATCATCACTCACTCGTCTCGGACACCACGCCGCCAACCCACGGACAGAAGTGGTCCAGCTTGCGCACGCAGCGGTTCAGCTCCGAAGAATGGTGTGCCCGGTCCGGTTTCCATGTACCACACGCGTTGCACCACAGCGGCCGTCCGTCTGCGCCGCACTCAAACGCTTCCTTGGTGTAGAACAGCTCCAGCCCGGGACTATCGGGGTCCAGTCGCGGGTCTGCTGTCTCTGGAGACCGCCGCTGCCCCGAATCCACACCGGTCCCGCCCGTTGACCCGTATGGAACCGTGCCACCCAATCCCGCCTCCAGGTCTACCGGGCTGTTGCTTCCGTGCTTGACGTGGCCGCTCGAGTGCCTGTCTTCGTCTCGTGCGTCCTTGGCGCCGCTGCACCCGTGGTTGCGCCCGCTTCCGCGCCCGAGTGCCGCCTTCTTTTTCGTGTGGTAGTATCGCGCACTCTCGGGGCCGAGCGGCACGACGGCGGGGTCTAGACGCGCCGTAATAAAAATCCGCAGGTAGCTGGCCACCATGAGCGCCGCAATCACGACGTAGGGCACAATGAGCCCAATGGCGAGCCCGTGCCGATCGTCCTGGTGCCAGAATTGGTCCCCTAATGGTCAGTAGGGAGGAGCAAGAGAAGAAAAGAGGCAACACATACACAACACGTGCTTGGCAATCAAGTAGAGGGCATAGCCCACGATCCCGGCCAGAAACACCGGAATGCCCAGCGCCACGCCGCGCATCGTCGGGTTGACGCTGTGAACCGGCGGGCCGGCCGTCCTGAAAGCCGGCGTCATGGCGTCCTGGTGGAGGCGAGGCCGAAGAGCTTCGTCGCAGAAGCAGCGGCTGGCTCGCGAGTCGTCGTCGCAAACGGCAGCCGGCAAGGTCGGACAAGAGACGAGCAGACGGGCCGCAGGACAGGCCGCGCCATCCAAACACAAAAAAGGCAGCGGGCACGACAATAACACAGAAACAGGCCAGAATCATGTGGAGAAGCCGAGATGAGAGAGAGGCAGCGAGGGAATTGGCGATGCCGCAAGATCACGTCCGCCACACAGCTCCGCTGCTCCAGATCGATTGACAGAGCGGCGATGGCGACACTCGGCGACGGCAATGGCGCTGGCGACAGAAAAAGGATGTTGATGCAATGTGCGGCTGACTTGCTCTCGTCTGTCCAAAAGCCTGCCTATCAAAACGCCCATCAGGTGTCCACCTGCGGCAGCCTTGCAAACAAGGAAGGGTCGACCAAAACATCGCGTGGGGCCGAGTCCAACAGTCACATGATGTCGCACGTGCTACCAAGCAGACGACCAGTACATGGCCTTTGGCCAGGCAAAGGCCAATTATACACTTTTTCGTAGACTCACCATCATAGGTTCAATGTCGAGTCTCATATTTCCACGTAAGACCGGGACGTGCCTTGCAGCTCGTGCGGCTCTTGAGGCTCTGCCAGACCAACTGCAACTCTTCGCCTTCATCACCGCAAATAAGCGGTCGTCACAACCTTTTGTCCGTTCAGCTCTCCAAGCCATGGCCATATCAATTCAGCCAGTCCCACACGCGCACTTTCCGGCATCATCCCAGAAACGCCAAAATCGCGCTGTCGAGAACTGATATTGCCTTGTCATCCCACGCCGTCTTTCGGTGACGCGTGCACAACATACGCGCACAAACACGGCCCGTCTTACTCAAAACAAAGCTTCGCCTATCCTCTTTCACGCTGGGTAGAAGTGGCTTCACGGTGGCCCCTTCTCTTTGATTTGCTAGTGGTCAGGCGTGCCCATTTTCGCCGCCCAGGCATGTCTCATGACTCTGACCGACCGCCAGTTCTTGAAGCTGCCACTTTCCAAGCATGAGGCGAGCTCCATGATCCTATAAAGGCGGCATCTTTGATATGTGAGGTATCAGTTTCATCTGTCTAACGTCAGTCCCGTGGTGGAAAGACTCTTCCTAAAATAGATTGTTCATCTAGGCTACCACTTACAGCGCCCGAACTCGCTTTCTTGGCCCTACCCTCCATCGTCGATGCATAAGATCTATAAGAAAGTTGCCTGCCTTGCTGCTTCGCTTTTTATAACCTTGCATGAAGGGCGTAGCAAGGCAGGAAGTTGCGGCTGGAAAGAAAAGGTAAGCGCAGAAAAAGATATAAGATAAGGTCATCCTCCATCTACCAGAAGTCGCGGAAGGGGTGGACAAGACAAGACAAAAAGCGCTGTGATTGGCTGCTCGGTTTTTACGTCAGCGAGCCTTCGAGCCGTGCTCCCCGCTTTCCTCAGCAATGTCTTTCTCTCGCCCCGGACCACGGATCATTGTTTTTACTTTCTCAACTCCTTCTAACAACTTGCCTAGGTGAGTGTTATACTCCGTACTGTGTCCCACTTCGCTACATTCTCCACAGAACTTTTGAGCCTCAACTCCACCACAGCTGCCTATGCGGACTACAGATTTCAGCACCTGTTGGGCAAAAATGAGTTTGACGACAAAACCCACGCAGAAGATGGTACAAGTGTGCTGTGCATTGAGGCTCTTATGGCTTCGCCACACCTTGATGAAACGTCGGTATACTTGAGAAAAAAAGGCACACAAGAATGCCAACAAGAGTCATCTCCTCCCAAAACGCCCAAAGAAATTAGGTCCTGCTGAATAGGCGGTAGGCGAAGGTAGGTTGCTCTTGCAGCGCCTGTGGAGTCCTATCTAAGGCGACCGTGGTGTATCAGGGGGCGTTCTCGCCCAAGACTGCCTAACGACATAAGTCAGGCTCCACGATTCAAGGTGAATGCAGGCAGTGCGGTTGTTGTGTTGAGCCTTTACAGCGCACGAGTGTATATACGAATTGATGTATGCACAAACAATGCAGCTATTTTACTTTATTTTATCAGTATTACTTTCCCCGTTCTTTGCCGTGCTGCTTGCAAGTCTTTTGCTTGCCGGGCTGCTTTACTACCATACATATCTGCGTTCAATTACGTTTACAACAAAGCAGCAGAAACTATTCTCTTCACTTATTGTGCTGTTGTGGGCTTTGCCCTGTTGAAGGAGACTGATCGGAAAGCACAGCTGTGACTAAGTCGGGGCACATTTCAACTTGCAAGGGTCAAATGACTGCGCACTCACCAGTTACTATACCCCCCCTCCCCCCTGGACACTTGAAAATTCTACATCATTGATTCCAAGTGATGTTGCTCGTCATGGGATGTGGCTGTGAATCAGTTTCCCTTATGACTCTTCGCCCCCCTTCTTGCAATATGTGCTATTGCTAACTCTTCCCTTTCCTGGGCACAGCTGTGTTCGACAAAATAAGGCCAACGCGGACCGGAATCACTTTGCGGCGGCTACCGAGAGTGAAATCTTCTACTTTTGCTGACTGAGGCTGTCTAAGCTTTGCCAAAGCACGTCTCTTGATTTTAAGGCGCCGAGGCTCAAAAGCTTATTCTTGCCACCGCTCTTCAACCCTCAACGAGAAGAGATGGATCTTGCAGAGAAAACACCTATGCTCAGCCAGCTTTTGCCACTTTTGGCCAGCATCAGCTCCACATCCGCTCCTCGTCGCACGCATTGTGCCCTTTCCGTCTCCGCCCTCTCTCCAAAACAAAGGGTCACGAACGCCAACAACATGTCCGACATGGCCGTTGTGCTGTTACACGGTTTTGGCGTCGATGAGTCCGTCGTCGCCTCAGATTTCAGTGTGGCCGTGCTTTTAAGATGTGATGCCCTGGAAACTTGGCTCTGTTTGTCTTGCAATGTATATTGGTCCATTGATAGGTCGAGAAGACGCGATCAGGAGGCATCTCCCAACAATTGCTTTTCCCATATGGGATTACACTGCTGCGCCTTTTGCGTTCATTCGCATGGTCCGCATCTAGGTTGGTGGTATAAAGGCGCTCGTCTGCGCCAGCAACAACCTTCATTATATCAGTCTCATATCCCCATACCATAATCCACCGCTCCCACCATTCTTCCTCTACTCGTTTTCTCTCTCCAGATTAGCCCAACCAAGCACAGGTCAAATTCAAATAAAACATTCATACGCACAGTCGCCGGCTCCAAACATGCACTCCAACGGATTCAGTTTCAGCAACAAAGCCCACAACGTTGAGCACGGGTCTGAGCTCCTCAATTATAGTATCTGGGTTTGCGTACGTATACATTTTCTATCCGTTCTGCTCAATCAAATAGCTCTACTGACTTGATTGGTTTTCAAAGCATGTGTGCAACGAGTCCGTGAACGGCCCGAGCTCCTCTATGTGCCCGGAGTGCCAACATACGAAGTGCACTGACTGCCCACCCTGCAAATAAATGCACAGATTTTGAGACAAGAGTATTATTCAAACTCGAACTTGCTCTTACCTCGATCGACTTCCTCCAGCATTCACTCATGGACTGGCTTTGATATTTCTTTGGACATACAAATTTTGGTGTTGTTAGATTAGACAGGGGAGTGTACTGGATTAGACAGAGGAGCTACTGGACTCTTGGGGCGTTCATTGGTTCGGTATAGATCTCTTTGGTGCGAACCCTCTCATAGATCTCTGTGGTAGAAATTCTGACAACATTGCAACATTGTGTTTCTGTTGCTGTGAATCTGCTTGGATTGTCACGTGGCCCAATGACGTAAATTACTGATACGGAGCTACCCCTCTCAAGCTGTCAGTCAACACTAAGTATTGGCGGCCGTACTTGCCGAAGAGCCCGTTCTATCAAACTTCTGTCGGCCTTCTATTTCCTTTGTGCCATCCCAGTCGGCCTCTTCTTTCAAATTGTTGTCTTCTCCGGTCATCGCCTCGTCTCCGTCTCTGCCATGACTACGCCCCGTGTCTTCATCATCCGCCACGGCGAGACCGAGTGGTCGCTCAGTGGTCGACATACCGGAGTCACTGATATCCCATTGACGGCCAATGGAGAGCGGCGAATCATGGCCACTGGCCGGGCAATGGTTGGCAAGGACCGGCTGATTGTTCCCAAGAAGCTGGCTCACATGTGAGTGTTTTGTTCTTTGTTCTTTTTTTTTCCTCGCTTCGCTCGATCTTTTCCTTCTTTCCTCGCTTCGCTCAATCTTTTTTTTCTTTCCTCGCTTCGCTCGATTCTTTTCTTTCTTTGCTTTGTTCGATTGTGTTCTATTCTCCTCTTGTCGATTTCTTTTACTTCTTGGTCTTCTCTCCTCGCTTCCTCCCTGTTCGTCCGCTCATCCTCACAGCTACGTCTCTCCCCGTCGCCGTGCCCAACGCACCTTTGAGCTCCTTCATCTCGACCTCCCCGAACCGCTTCCGTGGCAGTGTCACGGCTCCTCCGACGGCCGCACCTCGCCACCGCACCTCTGCAATGCCCGGGTCGAGATCGCGCCCGACGTGCGCGAGTGGGACTACGGCGACTACGAGGGCATCACATCGCCCGAGATCCGGGCCAAACGTGTTGCTCAGGGCATCCCTGGCCGCTGGGACATTTGGCGTGATGGCTGTCCCGGAGGCGAGTCACCCGCCGAGATCACAGACCGGCTCGACGCCCTGATTGCCGACCTTCGCGAGCGCTTCCACAAGCCCGCACTCGAGGCCATGGTCAAGGCCAAGACTACCGGCACCAAGGCGGCCAAGGACGCTTCTGCCTCTCTTGCTGGTGACGTCCTCATCGTCGCCCACGGACACATCCTGCGGGCCCTGGCCATGCGTTGGGTCGGTGCTGCACTGCAGGACGGGCCGACCTTCCTTCTCGAGGCCGGCGGCATCGGAACACTGAGGTAAATTCCAGAGCGCAAAAAAGCGAGCGAAGCGAGGACCAAAAATAAAAGGCCGTCACTGACGTACCACAGCTACGAACACAACAACATCGAAGAGCCGGCCATCCTTCTGGGCGGTGCCTTCACAGTCGATCTGGATACGGATGGCGAAGAGAAGTGAGCGAAGCGGAAGGAGAGAAGAAACCCGGACAGAGACGGTACGTGTAGGTGCCTCATGTCGCAGGGAAATTGGGACGTAGGATCAAGATCGATCCCTTTAGATGGAGTACATACAGAATAGATCTAGGGGCGCTGGCCACTTCACTTCACGGCAAGACCGGCATTGGAGAATCAGGAATTCTTTTTTTCTCTGGACATTGTTCCAGTTCGGTGCCTCCGGTCAGAGTCCGGCCCGCTGTTCTGTCTTCTGTTGGTCTACTCTGTACAAGTAGCAGCTTTTTTCGTGGACCGTCTCTGCTACAATATCCGGTGATCAGGCTGGCGAAGCAGCCAGGCACTTGCCATGGCACTCGCTCGTATCTCCGTCGGCCGGGTCAACCTGGGTAGCTCGGGCGGAGATGTTACGGAGTGGAATGGGGGTGGAGAGAAGGCGGAGTGGACCGACAGTGAGATCTAAGCGGTGGCTGCCGGTTCAGGGAGGTCCTGTTTCTTTCTCTTTTTCTTCTTCTTTTTTCTTTTTTCCCCCTTTCTACGAGGAGTGTGTCAGAACAGATGCGGCGCTCGGCGCTGGTCTCGGAACAAAAATATGTCCAGAAGGAGAAACGTGGTCGTTGACATGTGAGCTGGACGACGTGAGGAAGGCAACCGAAAAAGAAAAAGAGAGACATTTGATTGTCTCAGACAGCAGCCTGGAAATTGGAAAAAGGAACGAGTTGGGCAGAAAAGGCAGGTGAAAAGGTGGACAAGCGGGCTGACCCATTGGGCCACCGAGTCTTCTCTGCCGGATGTCGGGGAGTGCCGCCTAATGCTAGATGATGATCCGCCTCGTTGGAAAGACAGCGGCCGCTAGCCCTTCTCCCGCTTTACTATCTTACTATGTATCTTATGTCCTGTCGTCGGCCTGCTGACGGCCCCCCAGGCCAGACGTACATAGTACGACGTATGTTGTAGCGGTTGCGCTCGCTTGGACAAGCTGCAGCTCTTCTGGTCTGCGAGAGCTCTGCGTTCTTTTTTGGCCTCGTCCGGCCCTCCTTTCAGCTGGCCGAAAAGACGGTGAGCAGGAACAGAATGGGAGCCCATGCTTGCGTAAGCCCAACCCGAGGATAAGCAGGAAACACCGATAAGCAATGTAACCACGGCAGCATTCCTGGACAGGAGAAGAGCAGAAAAGACGCACGCCACATAGAAAGTGACCCGGAGAAAGAGAAAGAAAAGGAACGAGGAGGGAGAAGAGGGGGGGATGCAGCACAGAGGTGGAAAGAGAGAGAGCAAGAGAGGGCCGACAGATGGCGCAGGCCTGCAGATACATACTCCGTACTCTGTGCTCCGTAGTCAGATACGTGCTGCAGGCCAAGGTCATGCCTCTGCATTCGAATGCGCTCTTAGCAGCCCGCATGTTGGATCATGCCGCCTTCAGCACGGCCGGCCAGCGAGGAGGCCAGCGAGACTCCCGATATACGGCAGGCAGAACGACAACAAGTCCGAGGAGGAGAGAGCGCGTGCTACTGTGCGCTTGGTCATGCTGCCGGAAAAGACGTGGCTGGTGTGTGCGAGTGCGTGTGCGTGTGCTGTGTGCTCGGAGATCTATTGGCGTGCCAAACGGAGGAGTGGGAGCTTGTCCAGACGGCAGTCCGTCGTCCTTTTGGGGGGGGTTTCTTATTTTCTAATTTTCTAATTTTCTTTCTTTCCTTCTTTTCTTTTCTCATTTTCTTCCTCTTTTTAATTCTTCCTTCACCTTCCTCTCCTCTCGCCCCCTGCCCGATTCCTGACGTCTGCAAAAGCAGCCTTGCCCAGGCCCCGGCCTGTCTCTTCCCCCAGACCCAACATCACGCCGACAAGAGGAGACCGGCTGTGCTGGCGGGCCGACAGCCTATCGATGCAGACGGCCAGGGGGGTAGGTGGGAATGAGGAGGGGGGCTGGCCGTGGGTGGATGCTGCAGGCGTGGCCAGATGCCAACCAGTCTGGCTGTCGTTGCAGGTGCTGCCGATAAGAAAAAGGAGGAAAAAATGGGAGACATACCATGTAAACAAAGAGAGAGTAAGATAGATCACAACACAGAGACAACGGTCCCCCCTTCTGACCGCGAGCGCCAATCAGCCGACTGTCCGCACAGACATGTGTGCATGATATTGAATGGCTGCACGTCTGCACGTCTGCATGACTGCATGACTGCCCGCCTCCACCCCATCCATCGTTCGCTCCCGCCATCGGCACCTAAAGTCGACGCCGCTCTCCAGCCGGCCAAGGACACGACAGTGTTCCGGGCCAGCCCCCCCTCCCCAGACTTAAGCGAAGGCAAAGAGGCAAAGAGGCAACAAGGCAAAAGGCAAAAGGCAAAAGACAAAAGGGTTCAGATATCAGGAAGAGACGGCAAGCCAGAGAAGGAGGAAAAAAACACGAGCTCGGACTGCCAGGTCCTTTCTGTCGTCACATCGTGCCTCTGACGTGGGCCTCTCGGGCTGCAAGGGTGGGCAGGCCAGCCAGCCACGGCAGAGAGCGAAGAGTGACAGAGGCAGCAGACGAGAGAAGGCAGAAAAAAGGGAAAAGGGAAAAGGGAAAACAGGGATCCGAGAGCCTGGCCAAAACAATCCGAATCCACATCACGTGAGCTGCAGGCGCTGCACCCCACCCCTTCCCGCGTCGGCGCCCCGTTTGGTCGGCCAGCGGTCGAACGGGTGCCTATGCCGTTTTTGCTCGCCTGGTGGCCCTCGGCCGTTTTAGTGCTCTTAGCGTACGAGTAGTGCTGGCCGTCTGGGACCGGCAGAAGAGCCTTCCCTGTCGCCTGGCGTTCTGCTGAGGTCGCACTCGTTCTGTTGCGTTGCAGTTGCACTCGCGCTTTCAGAACGGTGTATCGCGGCTGCTGAAGTCCTGTGAATCTGTCCTCTTGTCGCTTTGTTTTGTTTCCTTTATCCTGTCCTTTTCGCCTTGACCTCTGGCTCCAGTATTTCCACGTTTCATGAGTCTCGTCGTGCTCAACCTTTCTCTGCCTGACTTTTGCTGACTTTCTGCCCGATCTTTTCTCGTCTTTTTTGCCTGATCTCTCTACTCTTTACTACCTTTTCTACCATTCACCACTCTACCACTCTACCACTCTACCACTCTACCACTCTACCACTCTACCACTCTACCACTCTACTACTCTACCACTCTACTACTCTACCGCTCTACTACCTCCTTGTCACCCCCCTTCGCGCTGCCTTGTCCGTCAGGTGCCGCTCCCCAATTGCAGCCTGTCCTCGCAGACGACAAAAACCTCTCAATCCTCCTACTATGCATTCCTTCTTCTCCTCCCCCTCTCGCTGCCCATTCGCCACACTGCACCCACCCCCTCGCACACTCGCAGACCCACTCCCTGCTGCATCTACCCCCTCCCCTGTCTGCCAGAACGAAGTACCCGTACTCGTACTCGCAGTCCACCAGGCGGTGTGACAACCAGTGTCTGTCGGCGCTGCCTCGCCGGGGACCTGCCAAGGAAGAGAAGACAAGAAGAAGACGAGAGAGAAAACCGAAGGAATAGAGCAGCAGACCAGGCCGGGCGAAATTAAACCCGCATGCCTGCCGTCCAAACCGGAAAGACAGACGCGCCTCCCAATAAACAGAGGCGCAAGTGCAATTCCGGCCCCTCGCTCTTGTTGGCACTGAGCCGTCTCCCGTCGCAGACGGGACGGTGCAGCGAAAGAGGAGCCCCGGGCAAGCGAAACCAAAAGAAGGCCATGAATGTTGCAGCGTCACACTCCCACTTGCTTTTCGGCTCTCCCGTGACCAAAAAACGTCCCCGCTTCGACCCCCCTAAATCTTCCCTATTCAGCGGGACGGTCCTTTTTTCAGTCCGGTCTTTCCCAATGCCCGGTGCGGAAAGGGGCGTTTTTTTATAGAACGAGGAAAACGGAACTAGAGAGCTGCAAAGCGACGGCTTGGGCAATCCAGATGTCTCAACCACGTAGCCAAGAGAGGGGGGATGGCCGGATCCCATAAACGGCATGTGGATTGCTGCCTGCCTTGTGTACTTGTCTCGCACGCATGCAGACTCGTAGTCTTGTCTGTCCGAGACCAAGGCTGGCAACTCGTCATATGAGTCGTCGCACTTCGCCCTGTCGGATGCTTTTCTCCTGCGGTGGATTCCGCTGATATCCACCAAGGCGTCCCCTCCATCTTCATAGGCCCACTGTGCAAAGAAGGGGAAGCCTGTGGTGGCGCGTGTTGTGTTGGTAATTGCAGGCTGCATGTACAAGCAGACTCGAATGCCACCCCAAATTGCTCTCGTCGGATGGATGCAGGCGAAATCCTGTTTCGGCCTGCCATATCGTGCAGCGCAACATGCGCCCGATCCTCCCTCCGTCACCAACCGGGCTGCCAGACGGAAAGCCTCCTGAGTCGTGCATGTGCCCTTTCGCGCCTGTGGGTGGCCCAATGGTCCAGCACGGCCGGTATCGCGTAACCTTCCGGTATCTGGCTTGCCTGCTACCACCCAGCATCCCCGGAGAGTTTGTCCCGTGTGTGTATGCGAGGCGAACCCAATCGCGACAGCCGCCGGCACAACAGGACGAGAGGGCACCCCGGCAATTTGCCCATGCACAGACGCTCTCTCGTAGCACAAAGTAGCACAAGACAGCCAAGCGACAGGCACGCTCGCCTCGCCAGAACAAGGCCGGCCTGCCAACGTTGTGCAAGTATCAGACCAGTTCGCGCTCCGCAGCTGCCGACTGAGTAGTGCCCGTAGTGCCCGAGCAAAACTGGAGGACTAGAACGTTTTAGACCCACCTCCACCATGAACGATCTGGCACCCCAGTCGCCGACTGGGTCTCCTTTCCTCGGCTGCCCCAGTCGTGCTCTCATCTGGCTTTCCCATGCTCCATACCCACTGGGCCGCCGGCGGTGGGTAGATACGGAGCAGATAAGTACTCGTACATACGGCCTCTGGACGAAGTACGACCAGCCCTTTCGAAAGACGGCACGGCTAAAGGTCCCTTGGCTGGTTAGGATGACCTCAGCGCACATGTGCTTATTCGTTCCGGATTAGGCATGTGACGGGTTGTGAAGGGGCTGCAAATGGGACATGTCGACTTGCATCAGCAGTCTGACGGCTGTGTTTTTGTCATTACGCCTCGTCCGAGCAGTGCATCGGCGACCCTGCCATCCGTGCTCGTACCCCGTACGGAGCATTGCACATAGTAGCTGCTGCTCGTATACGAAGTCTCGCTGATCGCCTTCTTCTGTTCCGGCCTGCCACCCCACCAGCGGCCACCCTTGACTCTATCCCGCGTATCGTATCGTACTCGTAGGCATAGGGTGGGCCCGAGCCTCCCTCCGCGGGAGATCACCTGAGTGAAGATACAGAGCAGGCAGGTGGATGTGCTTGCGGGCTGAAGAGGGCTGTTTGCCGTCGTCTTGGTGTGCAGGAGCGGGAGGGAACGAAAGAAGGGACGGGCAGCAGGGTGGGACGACAGGGTGTCCGCATCGTGTCGGTAACGTGTACGAGCATACTCTGGCCGCCATGACGAGGAACGCTGACGGGAACCCAACACGGATGCAGGTGAGAATGGCCGCACCCAATGGCATCTGCGTACAAATGCGCTAATACCAGAATGCCAGCAGGGTGCAGCCGTCGGTTCGGCCGCTCGTTGCTGTTGGTTGGCAGACGGTTTCCGGAAGGCCCTGTTAACTGGAGGGGGAAGAAAGTACTCGATACCTGCGTCGTGGCGAACTGTGGTAGGAGAGTCTGAGGAAAAAGAAAATCATACCATCAAACAGGCACACAGCCTCATTTGGGCCTTCATCCTTGCCTGGTAGCAAGGCGAGGCGAAATACGCGCCGAGCGGTAAGATTCCAATGCTTGCAGACGATGTCAGACGGCCGACTCCGGAAATCCTTTTTCTGTTGACCCCGGGACGATGTGCTCCGTACTCATATGTGATAGGATATCATTGCACTATGCTTATAAGATACTGTGATCTTACTTGTTGCACCTTTCTTGTTTTAGCCTCCGCTCTCATGCAGACGGGGTATGTGATCGCTGAAAGCGGCATGGTCGTGGCCGTGATTTTGGCCTCGGCTTCTTTTTCTTTTTTTTGCTTTTGCTGCTGCTGCTGCTGCTGCTGCTGCTGCCCTTTCTACCCCATCGTGTGCATGGCATGTCGTCTTGACACGCCCACATGCGGCGTTCCACACAGCTGTCCGGCCAGCGGACATGGGCAAGCTGTCAGATTCAAAGACGATTGTATCGTTGCACGAGACCGGCCTTTTTCTGTTCACAGCAGCAGCTGTCATCGCACGGCATTCCCGCTGCAAGAAAGGCAGACAGATGGCTGTAGGACCAGGGCGGCCTAGCAGGACGTTTCAGAGCTGTAAGACGGCAGCGTCCATGCCGAGAATATTGGCCACGTTTCCAGGATTCAGGTATTATTTGTGGACACCCGGCCACCGGCGATGAGAGAGCCTTTTTGGGGTGCCGCGCGACGCCTAGCTTGGCCGGAAGAACAGCAGAGGAAGAGGGCGAGACAGACGGGTGGTGCTCGGAGACGACTGGCCACAATGTTGCCTTACCAGTGGGCGAGACAGAAGGAATATGAGCAAATCGTCCGGGCTGCTCCACCGGCCTAGCTCCCCCTCCCTGCTTCCGGTGGGCGAGCACTATTGCAGGCCTGCAGACATGTACCATGTAGATACATAGTATGCAGACATGCAGACTTGTATGGGGCTTGTACCAGTACTCCGTACCAGGCTGTGCTCTCGGGCGTTGTGCTCCCGGGCCAGCGTTCTCGATGAAAAGCCCCGTAGAGGCCAGGGCCGCAGTTGGACGGTTGGGCCATGGCCGGCCGGTCAGGAACACCACTGCACGCTGCCGCTGTCAGGTCGCTTGCGAGGGGGGAAATGCCTGATGCGCGTACCTCGTACGAGGCACAAACACGCGCAAGTACAAAGTAGCTCGCGGCCTCAGCCGTGGGCCCGCTAGATGGCCCGTTGTCCCGCAATGGGTCATCGAAGGGCCCTCTCTCGTCCGTCGCCACACTCCCGCGTCGTGCTGATCTGGGATCGCTACTTGTTGGTGTGACACAAATGGTAGTGCCGCTGCCTGAAACAAGAGCGCGCTGCCACCCGGGCTGCAGTGGAGGGAGGCGGTTCGTGCGCGCCGCTGCCTGCTCGGTCTTTGTCCTTCCACTTTCCCGCGCTCGCATCCGGCCTTCTTGACCACATCTCAGCTGGCGACAACAAGGCCGATGATAGGGCCCTGCTCGCAGCAGCAGCAAGATTCGGCGAAGCTAGAGCAGCGACAGGACACAGAAGCGACATGTCTGAAAGGGAAAAGGGAGCATACATACATAGTACGGCCCCCCACACCGCCGAGTAGAAAATGAGCGCTCGACTGCATGTTTGTGGTCGTAGAGGCAAGGGCATGGGAAGGTCTCATAAATGAAGCCAGTCTGGTGGCTCCAGGCGGGGCGAGTTTGTCCCTTTTGGGGCGAGGAGAGGGGGTCGTGAGATGTAGGGACTTCCGTGACAAGCCGGTCCTGGTCCCACAATGGCAACAATGCATCGTCGATATCGTATCTGGCCTGCGACAGGAATGTGCTCGTGCTCGTACACGTATTGCTGTCTCGACCGACTTTGGATTTCGGCCACGACGACAAGCCAGATTGGGGACAGACGGTCCGTGCACGAGCCGCGACTGCCTGGTGCAGGGCTGGTCTGGGACGTTCCTTCCTTCTCGCCGCCCTGCATCCAACAGGCCTGATGGCAATGCTTGTGGACTATTGGTTTCCAAATATTGATCCTCGACACCGAAATCCAATGTCCATCCGGACTGCCCACCACGAACAGACAGCAGACAGCACATCGATCGAATGGACGCCCCCCTCCCTGGGCCCTGGGTGGGACTGCTTCCCGCAAACACGGGCGGAACGTTCCTCGCTCCTTACGACGTACGGAGTATGTCCATGTGGCTCCACTACAACACTGGTCACCCCCCGTATTCGATACCGATCGGAGAGCGATAACCATCCGTGTGTACGGAAGCTTCTGCTGTTCCTTGTTTTAAAATAGCAACGTGCCATGGTGCCCGCCGCGCTCAGTACGTAAGGATCGTGGCGAGGAGGAGCTTTCGCGCGGCCATACGTCACCTTGGACAATTTCTGGTGGCAACACGCGCTTTATTTTGTGGCATCCCGCGCAGGGAAGCCGGCCAATCCGCTGCTCGTCCTGTTCGAGTGAGGCAGAACGCGTCCAGTACGGTCGTATCGTGCATACGAGCAATAGCCTCAGCCGGACGAGAGCGGAACTGGCAGGACGGAGCAGCAGACAAGCTCACCGCCTTGTGGTGTCACCTGCCTGCATGCAAGCGAAGTCCTGCGGCTGGCTGGCAGCCTGTCAATGCCACGGACACCACTGGACCAGACCATCACAGCCGGCACAGCACAAGACACAAAGCACAAAGCAGGCAGTCTCGAAACGATGCCGGTGGTCGAGGTGAAGCCGCCCGATTGGCCGGACCGCCTGGCAAGCCTGCCCCGTCCCGTGCCGACCAGAAGAGGGGAGGGAAAGACAGGGGACCAGGGTGTGTTCTGGTGCTGACCCGACCAGTGGAGGCCATGCAGAAAAGCACCGGCACACCTGCCAACTTTGTGAGCGCTCGCATCTTGCTCGTACGAGTGGCCGTGCCATGCCACTTGGCATGAGCTTCGTCGCCACCACCCTCCCCCATATATACTATGTATGTGTACGAGCCATTATGCGAGGTCCTTTCCGTTCTGTTGAGTGACTCGTCCGCCCTTCTCCGCCAACGACAGCACGCCTCCCGTTTCCGGCGCGCCACGGCATCAGCTGTCAACAGTGTGTGTGTGCATCCGGTCGTGCGGCCGTGCAGGCGCGAGGCGTTCGGTTCGGTACTATGTAGTCTGGTCGTAGACCTGTGCGCATCGAGGCAACGGCCGAGACAGGTGTGCTTCGATGGCACCGCAGCTCGACATCCACCACAGCGGACGAGCTAGGTGAAAAGGATAAAAGGGGGGCGAGAAACGGAAAGCGTCTGCGACCCGTTCTGCGGCCATTCTGGGGGAAAAGAACTGGCGGGTTTAGGCATTAGGGCATCGAGCGGTGGGTGGCTGATGGTTTGTCAGATACAGAGTACTCGTACGGAGCACGTCGCACTATGCACCTTGTCAGCATGAGAGCGTCCCACCCTATCCGCAACCGGGCTCGGCAGGTGCCAGCGACACTACTATGTACTCGTACCAGTCACAGCAGACAGTAGGCCCCAGGGGCGCGTTTCCAGCGCATGCCAACCCGAGACAGCTCACGCGCCCGCCACAGACGCCGCAAACGCTCTACTCTTACAGGGGTCTTCCCGCAGGGACAAGCCCCAAGCACCCGTTCTTGTGCTTACACGATACCATGTATCTTGGTAAAAAAGCGAAATGATGGGAAGCCGGTGAGGAGCAATTACGGACAAGCCTCGTCGCTCGTAGCCGTGGCCGATTCTTTCCAGCAAGTGTATCGTACATGGTACCTAACCAGTGCCATGGCCGGTTCCCACCTGAAACCTGCGTGCGTACTAAGGTCACTCCCGGGCGTGCAGCTCCCACATGGTATCCTTCGCCCACCCCCCTCTTCAGACCCCTGCTCCCACCACCAGCTTCATCCCTGGTGGCTGTCGCTCCCAAGATACATGCGACGTAAGATACATACGGAGTAGTCTCTCGACCGCTCTGGGAAATGTTTCTTCAGCAGGGGCCGACAGCGCTAATCTGCTGCCTTTCAGGCGGCTGCTCGCGGTATCGTATTTCCCAAACGGTTCCGTGCTCGCGGCTTAGGGCGGGGTGGCCTGGAGGACCAGAAACACTATTAAGCAGACCGGCCCGCCTTTCTCTAAGCCGCCTTCCTGTCCCTGCCAACCTTTCTCGTGTTCTCTCTTGTACCATCTTGCCTCCTCCTTGTCGACCGCGAATACCCACCGCCGCTCTCTCGTTCTTTGGCGTCGCCAGGTAAGAACTGCCTCCTTTACTCATCCCCGCCTGTCTGTCTCTGGTTTCTTGTCATGTCCTCGTGCCAGTCCTATTCCCCCAAACGGCCCATGTACTGGCGGCGGATGATGCCGTTGGTGATAGCGGCACATTCACTTTTCCTCTCTCGTCTGCTTGCCGAGCCAGCGTCATAGCCAGGAGGGATGCTTGCTTAGTATCGTTCCATGGCCGCTTTGTATATGCCATGTGTCCGCTCGCCCAACACGGCTGTCGTTGCACCCCAACAAAGCAGCCGAAAGGGTGTTAGTCAGTACCGCTCGCCTTCGCTCTCCGCAGCGTCTGACAAGACCGTGTCGGACAGACGCGGAAGGGCTGCCTGTCACCTGCTGTCTTACCCGGCTGCCAAATCCGGGCACGGCCAGACGGCTGGAGCGCAAGAACAAAGACGGCCAGAGCGATGTACCCCAGAGCAATAGGATAGTCAGCACCCAACTGGAGAGAGACAAAGGGCCACAGCACGAGGAAGACACGAGAGAAGAGGCAAACGCGAGCAAGTGCCCACCGGTCTTAGTCTTTCTTGTCTTTTTTTCTTTTCTTTTCCAGCCTGTTCGCTTTACTTTACTTGCCTGTCTTGCCTGTCCATCATTACCCGCCCGCTCTTCCCATAATTCCTTCCGTCCTCGGCTAGGGCCCCGCCGTGCAGGCCAGCACAGGCTAGGACGGCACACCCACTGCCACTGGTACGCTGGAAAACACGGAGTCGTGCGTCTGGCTCCTGCATCAGGCCAGCACGGCGCGGTCCAGCTACCTTTGGCTCCCGCCTCTAGGCGCTGCCTTCACGCGTACAGGTACCTGCCGCCCATGTCCACATCGGACCCTAGATCGCTGTCCCATGGCCTACATAGTATAGCCCATCCACTATCCCACCCACTACCACTATCCATCATCCACCTCCACTCTACACCCCCCCCGTCTCTCTTCCTCACTACCTGTAGGCGGCTGAAGCCCTAAGACGCCTGTACCTCCGCTGTATGTGCTCGTATATTAGTGCGGATCTCCCATATCTCCTGCCTTTTCCTCTTTACTACCCTCCATCGCTCGCTCCTGCCCCCGTCTCAAATTCTCTCCTTCTGTTCCCCAGAACAAGAAAGAGCAACAGTCCCGCGACTTCCCTCTTGGGTCTTGGAGGACAGGAAATAGACTTCTTGGGGCAGGAACATCAGGTCACTGCCCAACAACGCATCACGACCAAAACCAGTCCGTCTCCCGGCTTCTCTCCATTCTTTGCCTCTTGTCCCATCCTCACGCATTTCCCATTTCCCATTTCCCATTTCTCCTGTGCTTGCGCTGTCCGATTGGCCTGCCGCCCCGTTGCTAACATCGCGCCTCGCCACACAGCGACTATCGTTCCTGGGCTGCCGAGTCATACGACCAACTCTGGCTTGCGGCATCATCAATCGCCGTCAGATTCCCTCCCTAGTCTTTCCGCTATTTTAGCTATTTTCTCTCGCCCTCGCCTTCCCCACCTCCCTCCCCCCAAACTCTTGTATTTCTCTCCTCTTTTCCCACTTTCCTCCTCTCCCAAACTCGTTTGTCTGGGGTGTCGATATTTTGTCTTCGCCGTCTGCCTTTTTCTCTCCCTCTCTCGCTCTCGCGTTTCCGTCTTCCAACCGCAAACCTGGCGCCCATCACGGAAACTCGACCCTACCAGTACCCATATCCTCACAGCATGGCTGAAGAGGTACGGCCAAAACTGGCCCAGATCCCCCAGGGCCGTGATGTGCCTTCTCTCGCCGGCGTTCCCAAACAAGAGGATGACGACCAGGACCGTCGCCACCGTCCGCAGCCGCTGCAGCTGCCGGCCAACACCGTGACCTTGCCTTCGTTTCGCGAGGCCTACGGCTCCGCTCTGGCGCAATATCCTGCCCCTCCCCCTCCACCAGCTCACCAGCCGTATGTCGACCAGATGGGCCGGCCAGGACCACGGCCGCCGTATCCCGACTCTCCGAACAGCTCTGGCAGACTTGGTCCTCAGGGCCCGCCCGGTCCTCTGGGTCCTCCCGGGCCTATGAATGGCGGTGGCGATATGCACTACGCCCCTCGGCTTCACGCTCCCGACGTGGCCAGCCGCGAAAACAAGGACTACTACGGCGGCTACCCGTACAACCCTTATGCAGACCGCGCTCCTCCTCCCCATCCGTCATACTGGGCCCAGCACCCAATGCCTCCCAACTACCAGTCCCAGCCGCCTGAGTCGGCTCCGCGGCAGAGAACTTCGATTGCGTGCAAATACTGCCGCAAGCGAAAGGTGTGTACTCGCTTTCTATTGTGCTTGTGCTGCTGCTTGTTCCAGTGTTTTTGTGTGTCTGACTCGTGGACAGATCCGTTGCAGTGGCTACCAGAACACACCAGACGGCAAGTGCACCAACTGCAAGAAGACCGGAAATGACTGTGTCTTCCAGCCGGTCTCGTCCACCACCTCGACTGCCTTTGTCCCGGTGTCTGCCATCCAGGGCGGCGTGCCACCGGGTACCCCACTGTACGGCGCTTTCGGACAGCCATTGGGCCCGAACGGCGGCCGTGGACCGGCACCTGCGAACGGTCCTCCTGGTGGACCCAATGGCCCGAACGGCGGTCACGGAGGCATGAACGGGGGCGGCGGACCGCCTCCTGGCTACGGCCCGAACTCGCCGGGCGGCGGGGGCTACTACCAGCAGCAGCATCTGCCATCGCCCATGGACCAGAACGGCCCGCCACAGCAGCTTCCTCCCTCGTCTCAGGGACCTCCATCGTCAGCAATGAGCATGCGCCAGCTACCACTTCCCTATCCCCAGCCCAACAACGGCTACCCTGGCGAGGATCAGCGAAGACGCAACAGCAAACGTCCTCGGGAAGACGAGGAGGCCGAATACTCGAACCGACTCCCTCCTCCGGCGCCGGGCTATTCAAATCACAGCAACAACGGATACTACGGTGGTCCCGACGAGCTGGCTCGTGCTCATGGCGACATGAACGTAAACCGGCACTCGCCGCCGTCGATGCACGGCTCCAGCGTGCCGCTGTCTTCGGGCTCGCCGACCAACGGCCATCACGGTTACGGCCCTCTTCCGCCACCGCCACCCATGTCTTCCGTTGGGACTGAGTACGTGATCCGTATGGACCGCAGCGCGGCAGCGCAGCAGAAGCAGAAGCAGCAGCAGCAGTCGAGCTAACAAGTGAGATTCAAGCAGTACCAGCGTGCGTAGCAATGGCAGTGCTGCCGGAACTGCTGCGACGTCACCGATTGAGCAGAGTGGGGCGAGATCGCCCAGCAGCGAAGCGGAAGACAAAGCGAGGGGACAGGCTGCTGGCTGGCACCTGCAGCAGCCGCACACGTTTGCACGTGAATGCGATCTCGGCGCTGGGCGCGACATGGACCGCTTTATGCTGAACCGACTGGGCAGCGCTCGCCCCGACCCACGTCCCGACTACGTCGCCGACCAGGCGCAGGCACATCTTCTCCGCGAGAGGGTGTAGGGCCTTGGACAATTTCTGCTTTTTGCGGGCTTCCTTTCCGACCTCCTTCACTTCATTATAATTAATTAGCGGCCCCTTGTCGACAATTATGTTTGCTCGCAGGCCATTGGGGGCCCATGACGCTGTGCGGCAGTTCTTTTACTTTCCATGTGTTCTTACGTCAAAGATCGAAGATGGGTCTGAAATTTTCCTTATCTCGATTTCCTAGAAAGGCTGGGCGGCAGCGATGCTGGTTATGGGCAATGATTTTTTCCGAACGGTTAGCTGCTTTGATTTATGTCGTTTTTTGCTGCTGTTACTTTGTTTTTCTGTTTTCCGTTCTGCGATTACGTTTCTCCCTTTCTTTCGGTTATTGTTTTTTTTTTTTTTTTTTTTTTTTTTTGGAAAAAAGACCGGATCTGCCTCACGGCATACGAATTTTTTATATCTCTGGATACGGCATTGCAGGTATTACTACTTTCCCTTGTGTGAGTCCGACCGAGTTGGCGTGTGACGAAGGATGAAAAAAAGGCTTTATAAGATTGAGCAGCAGTCTGGGCGAGGGGAAAAGGGGCGTGGAATGCAGATTACATCAGTGTATTAGGAATGTTGCGCAAGCAAAACAGAAACGGCAATTGACAAGCGATCAACTATTGGTTATCTTACGACATGCACAGGTGGGCCTTTGAGACGAGATGCCAAAATAGCACATATCTACCAGTCGCCGCTTGAAAACAGGGCACGAGTACTTTTTGGGGGGGTGTGTGTTGTCGTAAGAATCTTGCCCAAGACGGCCGTTTATAGCCACTTCTGGCGCTTCACGCCTGTGCGACGGCAAGGGGCGAGGCGACCTGCAGGACGGACGGGCAGAGCGGGCAGCGGGCGACGGACAGACGGGCATCGGCGGTCAGCTAAACAGGGGCGGCTGGCGGGGCAGACAAGAGGCAGAATAGAGGGAATGAGAAAAAGGATGGGTCTGCAGGGAGGCCTTTGTGCGGGAGGAGTGCTAAAGCACAGCGCCTGTAGCCGAACTTGTGCCTTGGCACGGCTGCTGGAATCAGAGCCGGACACAGGCGCTAGCGAAAACGGCGGACGAGCACAAAGAAGCTGCCGTGAGTCAAGTTGTTGGGAGTTGGGGGAGATGAAAGAGAAAGAGAGAGGGGTAGAAGGAGAAGAGAGAGGGAGAAAGAGGGGGAGAGAGAGGAAAAAGAGAGAGGAAAAAGGAAGAGAAGAAAGAGGGAAGAGAAGAAAGAGGGAAGAGAAGAAAGAAGGAAAACAAAAGTATTTGAAAAGAAAAAGAGAGAAAAGACAGAAAGGAAATAAATACAGGGAGAACATGATACAGTTACACGACACAGCGCTGACAGCTCTGAAGCAGAAGATAGGGTGTCGCTTGACCAGCAGAAGCCCGAGTTCCACAGAATTCCACCGAAACGGACACACGACGGACAGGCGATCCGACACGCCATTGGCCAGCCAGAGGAGCTCGCTGCAAGGCACCAGTGACGAACCGGTGACGAGCCAGCAGACAACACAGCCAACCAGCACGCGAGGCGGCCAGTTGGCCACCGGAAGTACTATGGCGGACGGGCTTGAGCAAACAAGCGCCACCCACTTCCTTGGCTTGCGGTGGCGGATCAGGAGGAGGGGGAACGAAAACAGAGAAGAGCAAGAAAGGAAGAAAGAATAAGAAGAAAAAAGAAAAGAAAGAAGAAAGAAAGCAGAAAAAGGAAAAAGAAAAGGAAAAAGAAAGAGGAAAAAGAGACGGAACCAGCTCATCCACCCCATCCACAAGCACGTTGATGCCACCTACGACGTATTCCCCCATACACACGTCCATGCCACTCTGATGCCACACCCCGTCGGACAGCTTCGCCGGAGCTCCCGGGCCTGGTACGGGTACTTCACGTGGGCTGCCACTACTCACCGCCGCCGTTGCTTTTCACGTTCCCTGCCCCTCTACAGGGAATGTGGCACGGCCGCATGTCCGCTCGTCTGCTCGTCGCTCGCTCGCTCGTCCTCGTCCTCGTCCCTCGTTTTCTCCCTCTGCCTAATCTCTAGTCCCCTCCTTAGCCTCTGCTGCTTTCTTTGTTCGGGCGCCTCGTGCGGGTCGTGGCCCCGAACAAGCGCGTGCCGTAAGCTGCTTGGAGAAAGGCGTACGGAGTACGACGCAAAGGGGGGGCGTGCTGGGAGACGACTCTGCTCGCCCGCTCCGGCTCTCTTGGACACATCGCCAAGGCGGAAATCATTCTCCTCCATCTCGCCCGCCCATCCTCTCCCTTTCCGGCTTGGACCTGCTGCTCCTATGTACGTCGTACATAGTATGTGTTAGCGTCCCGGCCACAAACGGCCACTCGGGCGCCGCGCCTGCAAACTGTCCTGTTGGGGCTTGTGGGAAGACCTGCAAGGACCGGGCCTCGACCTCGAGCAAGATAACTTGGCTCTGCCCCCTGACTGCTGTGTGGCTTTGTCCCCCCCCTTGTCGGCCGTCTCTGCATCCTTGTTCCCTGCCGCGCTGGGGAGACGAACCCCGAGGGAAAACGAGAGGGGAAAGAAGAAAAAAAGAAAAATCAAACAAAGGGGGCTCCTGTTCTTACGGACTACGCCGTACTACTCCGTACGGAGTATGTATGAGCCAGCGTCGGGCCTCAGACCCGTGAGCATGATGCTGCCAAACTGCGCGATCGCTGGCTTGGGCATCACTAGGCTGAAAGGCCCGGCCTTAATCACTCATCCTCATCCTTGCTTGCGGCATCGTCTGTTCCCCCGCCCTCGAGGCAACATCTTCTCTGCCGATCGGCAGAGTACACACTCTGCATGCTTTCTGGCCAAAAGTCGGGCCAGATCGACTCTCCCCATCAACGGCCAACCAGTCCCTGGCTGCCAGCACAGCATGTCGACAGGTCATCCTTCCTCCTCCTGCAGGTAAGGCACCATGTTCCGTAGTCAATGTTGCAGTGCATTGCAGCAACCCATCTACCGTGTACATAGTAGAGTCTGCCTTCTGCTTCGTGCTTCGTCTACGCGCCCAGACATCCATTCTTCCGCTCACCCCCCCTCTACTTACTGCATCGTATGCCTCGTATATTATGTACGCTCCTGTATCATCCAACGGTTGGGCCTCTCAAATGGCTCCTTGGCTTTGTCCACTCGTCTCTTTTTCCTTTTCCGTCTCCCCTGTTCCCTGTCACCGCTCTTCCTCTTTTTTTCTTCTTTCTTCTCCTTCTCTTTTCTCTTCAGTCCCCCCTCCCTCCCCCCTGTCTTTCCAGGTCACATGGTTGAAAGCATATGCGAGTAAGACCAACAACCGCGTCTGTGCGACGGGAGGAAGGGAAAACGGCGGGTCTCCCACCCCTTACTTCCCTCCCGATGGAACCAGTGCGACAGACTGGTTGCTAATTGCACGACGTAGCACCCCGTCGCTGTGAGCTGCATTGTGTGCCAGCTGATGTGCCTGAAAATTCCGTCCTCCGCGGGATTCAAGTTCGGCGATGTTGCTTCCTTCTTTCATTTCGTCGTTGGACACCGGCTGAGAGGCAATCAAAACTGGGCAAGGGGGCTTCCTACGAGCCTTGGAGGTAACATTACTGATGCCGACAATCTCAATGTTATTTGCTGCCACTCGTAAGATACTATGTATGTGCGGCGGAGCAAAGGGGCGGCTGGATCGAACCATCAGAATGCAGCCGTGACCTTGGCTGTCTGAGATGTTGCTGCCTTGACAGCAGGGGGAACGAAGTGCTCGTACGGAGTCCTCGCAACCCACTCCAATAATCCTGCTCTTGTCCTCCAATAGTCGCTGACAGTGCGTCCCCTAGCCGCAGATTTCAACCCGGGGGTTCCTTGCCGTCTGTTATCCGGTCCATTTTCTCCTTAGCTCTTTTTCAAAAGTATCATGCCTCGTCCTCCATGCTGTGGCTGTAGCTTGTCATTTCGGACAGCGTCTCCTAATCGGCTCCTCTGACCATCTTCAAATATATTGAAACGGGTCATCTCCCCGGGATTTCGTATTGGATAGACGCCTTAGTCCTAGGTTCGGTCCTTTTGCGCGAGGCAGCTAGGGAGCCATCGACGGGGGTTGTTAGCAGCCAAGGAAAGCCCCGGTTTTAGCTGCTGTTCGGCACGAGACGGGACTGTGAAGCGTAGCCAGGGTAGTGGCCGTACGTAGATTCAACGGCTCTCGTTGTATTTCCTCATCCGAGCCCTTTCCCCATCCCGGTCGTGCTCTGTGCTTCGAGATTAATCACACTAATGGGACAACAGGCTAGCCGGAACGCAGGGATAATACTACGACGTACTCCGTACATGGTAAACGAACAACAGCTGAGCTCGATGTATGTGCGAATGGCACGTTTCCTAGCAGTGCAACAGTTGCCTCGCCGGGCCAGTGTTCTTTGTTTACAGGCTTCTTGTGCAACGTGTTCCAAAGGTTTTAGTCGAAAGCATCGTCCTATTTCACCGGAAGCCCTATCAACGTAATGCTGTTGAGTACTGTAGTCAATCAAATCTCACAGAAAATGCAGTTGAGCTGTTATAAAATTCTATGGTCATATAGGATGTGATAATCTGCCTAGTCGGTTATCAAGTTCCGCCATGTCGAGATCGTAATGCTTTCATAATCGAGCCTTAGTCGAGACTTAACAGAGTGTGAAAAGAGGACACATTTACTTTACAAAAGGGCAGCAAGAACTGGAATATCATTCTTAAGCAGCTTATTTCGAGATTACATGTCACACTTTTCGATCGCGCTCTGTCCTTTGTGGCTCTACATAGTAGCACATATTTAATCCAAGCGCTAGTATGGCAATAGCCACGACCGATCAATACTACAGACTGTTGCTATGTATATACTGGTGCCCTGAAGTGAGTACTGGCCGACAGACTCAGCGTTGTGGGGGAAGTATCAGAAGCAACGGTCGACAGCATCATATCTCATCGCTATGACTTCTCTCATAGATCATCACAATCTATCGATACTAGCTTCTAGTAATGGCATCATTGACACAAAGTGCTCACAGCCTTTCACGTCCTTATGCTTTGACTTTATGCAGCTTTCAAGTGAACAAAGGGCATTACAGCCCCAAGATTACATTTTGTCCCTCCACATACAGGAATCTAAATGGCCAACTAGAACAACACTTGGCAGAACGAGGCATACCATGAAAAAGCCACAATCACCCCAAACTCCTCAAGTCTCAGAGCGAAGACTCGTTTTACGTGGTTCACTCGCCCCTAACTTCAAACACTCAACAAGAAAAAGAGCCAACGAGGCAACATCTGAGCCATGTTGCGACAGTGACGAAATACACGCAAAGTCGGGTACTCTAAGCCAGCCCACGAACTGAATATGAAAAAGTAGCACCGGTCCGACAGCCGTTCCTGCAGAGGATATTGTGCCGACGGCTCCGACGTGCAGGAGCAAAAGAAATTTACGCACAACAGCGTACTGGGTATCTTCCATAAGGTGAATGGCCAAAGCCACAAGAATGTGCGCAAGAAGTTGCAACTAACCATGCGAGAGGGATATGAAGGGCAATGGACAGTGTTGGCGAGACACATTGCTGTTCCGTTCCAAGAAAGGGAGGCACACAATAGGTAGATGACACGTTGGTTCCTGTCCAACAGGGCTCAAGCCGAGTAGCTCCACCCCCCCAAAAGCTCTGAGGCCAACTTTGGATCAAATGACATATTCAAGCGGTATTCCTGCCAGGTCTGTGATGACTTGGTATGAGAACATGTGTCTGATGATCATCTTTCTGTGGCAAAGTCATCCTGTCTAGTCGTGCTTGACAGTGTGATGCTATCCTGGGACAGGCAACGGATATGTATCCGATGGATATTGAATGACTTTGATTCTCCCTCAGTGAGTCTAGACAGAAATGATTCAAATCTAGCAACCAGAACGAAGAGGGCTTCACGCATCAGAAGAGCAAGGGAATAGACACGGTAACATTCTACATCAAACACATTAGCTGGTCTGATGCAATCCAAACGGAACAATGGGCGACAACGTGGGCTTACCGTGCCGTACAACACAAGTTATAAAAACAATCAATGGTATCAACCCCGGCCCAGTTCTCTTTGAGAACTCTTTCCTTTCATTCCCAAAAAACAAACAAACGAAAACGGACACAAAGAAAACAATCAATCCTCGAAACCATGACCTTCAGCGTAAATTGAAGTTCGCTGCAAGTGTGTTGGCAGGCGAAGGAAAAAACCGCACGTATCCGGTATGAGTAGTCCTTATGGCGGGAAAGCAACGGCAAAAAAAAATAGAAAAAAGGGACTAGTAGATGACATTCCTGTTCCCAGACGGGAAATCCATTTACACGGCTGATTCTGTCCAGTTGGCTGTTGACTTGTCATCTGCTTAAAGATGCTTTGACTTTCTTGCAAAAACTCCATCCAAATCTACTGATGGGTCGGCTGAAGAGTAAGTTCAGATTGTGATTGAAATATGCTGACTCCAGGAAAGAGAATGAATCCAAATTGCGTGAAACAATATCCGTAATCCATGGACATCCAAGAGCGTGGCAACAGTCCTATCATCCAGATTGAGCAGTTTCCGAAGAGGAAACCGAGGCGATGCGAACTCTTTACGCTGAACTTATGCACACATGGACGAAAGCTGGCCCATGGGGCTTATGCTTTACCTCTCTCAATGTCGAGAAGGATCCCCAGTCAAAGGGCTGTCCAGCACGGACATCTCCTGTGTCTTTCCAGTGCTTGCTGTTTTCCAGATCCTGCGACAAGATTTGTTTGCAGGAATGAAGAGTGAAAAAGGAGAAGACTGCCGGTCGGACCGGAGGCTCAGCACCACTTTCCAAGCGTGAGCCGATCATCGCTTATCACCCAAGTGGAAAGCGAGTTGTCAAGCCATGTTTCGATGTCCTTAACATCACAATGCTCCAGGAGAGTTTGTAGTCCATTGGAAATGAAGAGCGCGCGCAGAAGTGGTCGTGAAAATACGTATCCGCATCATCCAGTTGAGGGTGTCCAGTCCGTGGAAGTCGCAAAAGAACAAAGACAGGACAGAAAATGAAAGCAAACAGTGAGAGAAAAATAAAAAAGAACAGAAAGGCCCATTAGTCAGTCTAAGACGACACAAAGAGGCCAGAATCACGAAATGTTTTAAAGACAATGGGAAAAGCAAGGCGAGGCGGAAACATGACGGATCGAGGCATCGTCAAATTAGGCCTGTCCCAGGAGGACGTAGAGGCAGACAAGTGGAAATTCCGTCCTGGTTTGCAATCTCTGCAGACTCAACGTCTGGGGTAGTGGTGCTGTCCAGGTGGACCTGGCTTGTTTGCTAGTCCGGCCTTGTTCGGAGGAGTCGTATCCCGGTGATCCCGTTCGGACATGCCACGATCCCGATACTCGGGGCGGTCACTTCCAGCACGTTCCCCGTCACGACGGGGTCCTGTAGGCGGTTCACTAGGGGACGGAAGTTGAGTCTTTGTGCTTGGCGTGGATCCGGGACGGGAGGGGGAGGAGGGATATGCAGGATCTTCATACTGTTGCGGCTGCTGTATGGGGAAGTCGTGGGGGTTGCTAAAACCCTGGGTTGGCATGTTGGGTGCTAAAGATGTGAGCGAGTGATGACGGAAAACGGGTTGGGGGGTAAGACGGGAGAGAGCGGAGAGAAGGCAGAAGAGAGAAGAGAGGGGCTGCAACAATTCAAAGGGAGAGTTATAAGAATTGTGCCATGATCCTACCTCGTCCGTAGTTGTTGTCAACCGGCTGAGCGAAAGCTACACCGTGACCGTTGGGTGGGGGCGGATAGGCTCCGTAGTTGCCGCCAGCACCTCCAGGAACGTTGGGAAACGGCCTGCGGAAGTTGGTCCCCGGGTTGCCACCGAAACCGGGATTGCTGTTGGGAGAAGTCCGCCTGATGGGTACGTTGGAAACATCGTCCATGGCCATGTCCTGCGAATATACGTCCCGGCTGGAGCTTGCCTGGTAGTAAGAGCCAACGGAGTAACCTTCCGGCGCGCCCATGGCGCCGTTGTTGCCGGCATTGACATAGTTGCCACCGTGGCTGGGCACTGGGCCAGTTGGAGGGCCAAACCTGGAATCCGGCATACCTGTGTGCATGGGGGCTGGGAACGACGGCGGCGGCGGCGGCTGTGAGTAACCAACAGGATATCCGCCGGGGCCTCCGTATGGAGGAGCACCCGGGCCGGCGCCGGTGTTGTAGCCCAGACCGTCGCCCTCGGGATAGCGAGGCCCGTTGTCATACTCCCGGGGAGGTCCACCGTACGCTGGCACGCCGTGGCCAACGTTTCCGCCAACAGCCCGCTGGGGGCCGTCTCTGATATGTGAATCCTGGTATCGGACTGGTGAAGGGTTAGGTCTTCGCGCATGGCTATCAGCCCAGTCTCGAAAGGAGATTGCTGGTGTACCTGCAACTGCACCCGAGCCCGACTGCCTCCGTCGTTCTGCTTCCCACCGAGCAGAATCGTTCTTCAGATCGGTAATCATCGCCTGGAGAATCGGAACGTGGTTAGCTGGAGCCGTGGAATGTCGGAAAGTCGGTGTGTCAGCGAGCGCTTACCGATGTCAAGTTACGGTACGCAGTGATATAGTACCCCTGCGTTGCTTGGTTTGTCTTCAAGCTGTTAGATTGGGAAGAATGAAAAAGGGTCGCCAGACAAGCATGCAGCATGGATCTCCGGAGAGCGGCAAGGGAAGACGCACGTCAGGGTTGGTGTAGTTCCCCGGCCGGACGAGAGCATCGTTTCCTAGATACCGACAGATGTCGGCGGTGATGACTTCTCGGTCTATTCCATCGCGCGGTACAAAGTATTCGTTTGTGCGAGAGGCAGGGTTCGGAGCATACGCGCTGCCGTTGCCTCTTGGTGGTGGTGGACGTCCTGCCATGGTTCTTGTTTCGTATGTCGGTATGACGGATAGGAAAAACAGAGGTAGCGATGGATATGCGGGGAGGGGAAGGGGGGCTACGAAAGGGAACTTCCGGACAGCGCAAGGCGAGAGAGAGAGAGCGAGAGCGAAATGGTAAGAGAACAATGAGTTCCCCAAAAAATATTCGGGAGAGGGGAGGAGGAGAGTGGAAAAGAGTAAAAAAAAAACCCAAATCAAACCAGAAACGTTTAAAATAGGAAGGAGGGAGGGAATGGGTAGAAAAGCGAATGCAGACGACGGCAGGCAAGGAAGGCGCGTGGAACGAGAGAGACGGACAGAGTACGGAGTAATCGTACTTGGCTTTAGGGGCTGGCGATGTGGCGTTGTGGGGCGACTGGCCCAGGTGCAGCGATAGGGTACAGGCTTGACAACGTTGCAGCCTGTTAAGAGGTTGGTGCGTTACCGACGGCTGTTTTCCTGCTGCATGAAGAGGGGGGCCTTGGGTTATGCAGCCTGACGGGGGGGGGGAAGGGAAGGCAGAGAGGGAGGGCGAGACAGGTAGCCTCCGTCTTCGGGAGCTACGACTACGAATGTGAAGAAAGAGTGTGGCGAGACAATGATTTTGAGGCTTGCTGTCAATGGCTGTCATGTCTGTGCATTGGTTCCACTGTCGTGTGGTGGGTGGTGCTGTTTGGGCAGTTCTTGACGGCTGTGCGTGCAAAAAAAAACACAAATAAGGCATTTAAACTGGGGAGGGGAAGAAGGGGGCGGAAAAGGGGAAAGGAAGCGGGAACGAGAGGGTCTGGTGCTGGGCTGCACAAGAAGCTGAATTTGCACACAGCGTGGATTCGATGGAATCGAAAAAGCCCCAAAAACGAGGGAAAAAAAAGGAAAAAAAGAGAAGAACGCCTAGAGTCATCCGAACAGCCCCAGTTTTGGCGGCAGTGGAGAGGGAGGGGGTGAACAGGGACGCGAGGGCCAATGGCAAGAGGAAACGCTCAGACAGGGGAATGCTGGCAAGACGTGGGATGCCCCGTCTGAGCGGTCGTGACTGGCTGGAGCGACTTCCTGATGGTGGGGAGGACGTGCAGGCGGTGATGATGTGGGCAAAGGGCAAAGGACAAAAGGCAGCATGACAAACAGCGAACAGAGGGCGCCCGGGCTAAGCCGCAAGCAGAGGGCCGGTAAGGAGATTTTGGCTATGCATTTTTCCATCTGGACGAAAATGGGCTCAAACCATAGCAGGTGTGCCATCAGGCTACGAGTAGGACACTTGCTAATACTGCGTATCTTCTTAGTAGGGCGAATAGGCCGCTTTGTTGGGCTGCCGATGGCTGCCTGACAAGACACGGTTGCGTTGAGTAGAAACGGCGCCTAAAAACTGTCGACCGTCCATGGCGGTGAGAGAGGGCGGAATCCGATTGCTTACGAGAGCAGAGCCAAGACGCGTCAGAAGCTGCGAGTCTCCTGCTGAGATCAGAAACAACGTCGTAAGCACAAAGTCGGTTGCCTGCTGACGGCTGCAGCTGCTGCTTGAGGGCATACGAGTACGACCCCCCCGTCTGATGCAGGTTGCGATATCACATTCCCCCAAATCGCGCCCTGCTCTGAATCTAGGATGAGATATCGAGACACGTCTCGCGCTGCTGTTCGCCCGGCTCCTTGCAGTCGGCCGAGCATGGGAGGGTTCCGACGATGGACATTCGCTTGGCCTGCGAACAAGCAAAGGATGGCTAAGAAAATCCCGTTCGGTGTGGGGGTGGGATCCGGGAAAGCGAGGCATGTGCGTGCTGCTTCTCGATGGCCGTTTCCTGCATATCGCCATACATAGTAGGCAAACGGTGCTCCCCATTCGCACGCATTCGCACGCTGCGAAAGGGGGGGGTCGGCTATGTTGCAACCCTCTCGCGCTGAACGGGCGCTGGACGAGGCGAGGGCCAATGGTTGCTTCTTCTGGCATATTGCCTGCCACGTTGGGCAGGAACGAAGAGGGCAAGGTTGGGCATGCATGCATGTACTCTCGTATTGCTGCCCAAGGCCTTACAAGAACGTACTGTGCAAAAATCGGACACACTGTGCAGAGCAAGAGTCATCGCTGGCGTCTGGACTCGAAATCCGGCATCTATTTCAATGGCTGGTCGCCCATCTACATATCCCGCGACGCCCTTTCTTTGTCGACCGGCTGGTCCAGGCCAGGGCTTGCCCATACGCCCGGAGGCAAAATGTCGGGTACAGGTTTTCTTGCCGCCATAGCCTCTGTCGTGACGCTTGCCATCGATGCCTGGCAGCCAAAGACGTGCGTTTCTGGCTCAGAGAAGCGGAGCCACGGCGGGAAGTGGCGGGCGGTGGCGGGTTTTGGGGGGTTTATTGGCGTCGTGACCTCACCGCCTGTACGAGAGAGGACGGACGTCTGTAACCCAACCATGCCGTTTAGCCCTCGCAAGAAATCGGCCTCGTATTTAACCGCTGGAGCCTGCGGTCGAGAGGACCCGTGGCCGGGTCTTTCGATATTCCGGCTGGCCTCCTCTTGCCCTGCCCTTTGGCAATCACTCCACCACTTCCGGCGTGCCTTGAAGCACGCGTTTGCCTCGTTCCGTCTTAGTATGGAAGAATCCGGCCAGATGGCAGTCACGAGAGAGCACGGAGACGCGAGGAAGAGGATGGGAAGGAGGAACAAGGCACAACCCACCGCTCCCCATGTTTTCGGGCTTCGGCTTTCATGGTTATCAGTTTTCATATTTTTCCATCATTTCTCATACTTGTACCATTAGTCATCTCGTCTTCACCGACCGGACAGGTCCGTGGCGAGATGCCAGTCCTCGTGCACCTGGAGACTGTCAGGGTGATCAAAGTCGGCTGAGCAGCGGGAGCAGACATGTGCCCGGCTGGTCCGACTGGTCTGTCTGCTGGCCTGCGCCATCGTCGTACTCTCTGTTTCCATTGCCTTCTTTCCCGCCGGCCGCTGGAAGAAGGACGAGATGGGCGTATTGGCTCGCTTGGACACGACACCACGCGAGCGGCCGCCGGATGCCTGGCGAGCACTGCGCGTACTCGTGCTCGTAGACGTCAGCGTAGTCCTTTCCTCGGCTTGCAGGGTCCGGGCCACATGCCAGTCCTGGTGCTCCTGCAGCTGGTTGGCCGTGGCAAACGACGTGTCGTGGCAGCGGTCGCATCGAAACGTTCTCGTGCTCGTATCGTCGTTGCTGTGCCGCTGCGCGTCGCTGCCGCTTACCGATACAGCCGAAGACGTGGCTGCAGGCCGTTCGCTGCTCGGGTCATCTTCAGCGAACATGGCTGACACGCCAGGGGTCGTCCTTCTTCGCTTGGCCAGCGGCCAGTCGTTTTGGCTGTCAAGGGTGCTGCCACGGTCATCTTGCCTGTCCCGGTCGTCCTGGCCGTCCTGGCCGTCCTGGCCGTCGTCCCCCTGCATCTCTGGGGCAGCTTTCAGGCGGAAAAAGGCGGCAATGCTCTTGTTGCCCAGGGCCGGCGGCTCCTCAAAGCCGTTGAGGCTCATGGCCAGGTGGGGACAGGGCCACACGGAATCTTGCCGGTGGGCCTGGTCGAGCAGGGCGATGCCCAGACGCAGCAGCTTCTCCTCGTCGAGTGGGGAGCCATCGCGGGGAATGCGCATTTGGCGTGACCGCCAGTGGCCGAGAGCACCGTGATGGAGACGTATCGTCTGTGGCAATCGAGGGGGTAGGGACCGCTGCGTCTGTGTCTGCGTCTGCGTCTGCGTCTGCACCTGCGTCTGCACCTGCATCTGGTCCTTTCTGGTTTGCGATAGCTGCTGACCGCCACTTCGGCCGTCGCTCTCGCCAGGCCACGTCTCCACCGCATCGAACGTGGCAGGAGTCCCAGGGCCAGGAGGGCCAGTGGTGCCAGCGAAGCCGCCCAAGGCAGTCGAGGTGTCCACCGTCGTCCCTGGTTGCTCTCCCTCGCCCTGGGCCTCGTCCGCGTCTCTGCCGACGGAGACCGCCTCCAGCAGTGCCTGCGACAGCCGCTCGTCCAGCAGGCGGCAGCGCAGCTCCGCGGCAAAGACGCGCAGCCAGCGGCGTCCCTGCTCGGGCGACGTCAGCGGCGGCTGGAACGACTTGGCCGAGATGAGCGACTTGATCTCCGTGCGCGACGTCACCTCGCCGTGGTCAATGCCGCGTAGCATCCCGTAGACGTGGCGGGCGGTGTCGGCGTCGATGCTCTCGCCAGCACCACCGCCAGCCAGCCGGCTCTGCATCTCGGCCAGCGGGATCGTGCGTAGCTCGGCAATCGACTCCGTGTCGAACGCAGCCACCACGCGAGCGCCCAGCTTGCCACCGAGACCGCGCAGCCGCGTGACCGACGACAGCCGTTCCAGAAAGGAGCCGACGGCCCGCGGCCGCACCACCGTCTGGCGGTCGGGCTTGTGCTGGCTGGAGCCAAGCTTGCTGACCAGCTTGTTGGACGCGATGCCGGCAGAGCAGCGGAAGCGCAGGTGGTCGTAGATGGCCATGCGGACGGCCCGCACGATGCGCGCGCCCTCCAGCATGGCCACGTCGTCCCAGTCTGGCGGGTCGTCGTCCACACCACTTTGGGCCATCTCGTCACCACCTCCACCACCTCCCTCTGGCCTCTCTTCACGGCCTCCGGTGTCTGGCTGAATTACACCGCTGCCGGTGGCTGCCCAGTCCAGCGCGATGGCAGGTGGCGGCGGCAGTGGGTCGTCCGGACCGTGGGAGCTGGCGTCGCCGTCGTCGGCCAGCAGCTCTGGATACGTCTCGTGGACCAGAACGTCGTGCACGCAGGCCGAGAGGTCGATAAACACCTCGTCGATGCCAGCTTTTTCGATACGGCAGCGGCCCGCCGGCAGGCTGGCCTTGATCGTGGCGAGAATTTCGCGCGACCGGATCCGGTACGGCTCCAGCGACACCTTGTGCGTCTGCATGGCCTTGTCGGCGTCGGCGTGATAGGCCCACTGCGTCTCGCCCTCTTTCCATGTCGGCACATGCTGGAGAACGAGTCCGGGACAGAGCCGGCGGGCCTCGACGGCGGTGACCATGCGGCCAATGCCAAAGGCGCGCGCGGGGTAGTTGACCGCAATCAAGTTTCGCCTGGTCCGTCAGTGGGGGACAAAAGGGGGGAGGAGACTGGGAACAGAGAGAATCACCCACCACTGCTGGACGGCTAGCGGAGTGTCGTCATCGACGCCCAGACGCAGCATCTCGCACTGGGCGTAGTATGCATCGAGATCGATGTGGGCGACGACCCGCAGCGGGCAAGACGTCACTGCGGCCGCCATATCGGTGAGGTGGCGGCGGGTGAAGCGCGAGTGGCGTGCATTTCTGCGTTGAGCCGTTGAGGTCATCTCGATGTCCTTGTCATTTTCATTGTTGCTGTCGCAAGAGCCAGGTGGAGGCGGGGGCAGAGGGTCTGTTGTGTCTGGCCGTAACTGCTGGGCAAGCGGCTGCCCGGATGGACGCATCGAGGAGGACAGGAGGAGGCATCGGCAGCAGGATGGCGGCGTTGATCGTTTCGTTTGAAGAACCAAAAAAGGCCGATTGATCCAAAAATGAGGAAAAGGTTATGTGTCAGCAGCGCGAATTCCCCGGAGGACGCGTTGAGCGGGAGAGACTAGGGCGTAGTTAGCGGGGGCTTTAGCGCGACTGTAGTGGCACGACGGAACTACGACAGAGGAAGGCACAAGGTGTTTTTGAACGTGGAAGGAATGAGTCGCTGGAGGTCGCTTTGTGTTATTTTTTGAGACTTTTCGGACTTTTCTTGTCACAGTAGTCCAACTTGTGATATCAAAATCACAGCAAATGGCAATGTCAATCAAAACTAACAACGACCAGCTCATCCAGATGGTAAATCTACAATTAGCTCATACAATAACTATACAAACACCCTCTTTAGCCACTCCCGACAGAAAGGATTCTGACAAAAAACATATGTCCACATAGTAACAAATGAAGATCCCAAACCGATCCCTATAAGCGTCGCGAGTGCTTTTTTCCTGTTCGATCTCTAAAAGACGTTGAAAATTGTTTGTTCTTAGAAACAGCACCCCTTCCTTAGAAAGATCTATCAAAGAGATTTCAAATCCCTTCAACCAAAAGTATACATGCCACAAGAGTCCGCCATCTGCTGGCCAGTCCGGGCCAAACAATTACAGACAGGCACGATTCGCAGTCCAAATGCTGCCGACCAAGCTCGTGACCATATACACCACATCTAGACGAGACGGCGAGCCTTGGGTGCGGTGGCGGTCGATGATGAACAGCACCTGGACCAACGGGGGCGGTGTCACAACGAGTTGACGCGGCTGACGTCTAGAGCAATACGATCGTGGCAGCTCGACCAAGGGGACTATAGCTGGACCAGCCGACACGGACCTCATCCTTGCCGACGGTGATAGGGTCAGGATCTGATAGGCATTTACGTCGAGCAGGTTTAAAAAGACGGCCAGCTGTCTTTGGCCATGGTCGTGTTGCGGTCGGATAGGCTGTTTTGTTTTTCACACTGCAGAACTGCCGGGCCTGACTGTCTGGATTTGCCTGGCCTAGGTTGAGCAGGATTCGGGCCAGAGCCTTGACATTACCGCAGGGATCCGGGATATCGACGTGCGCCGTCTGACAACCGGAGTCAATCACCAGGACGTGCGAGGCATCACAGGGCCTTTTGATTAATGGCCATGACTTCTGACATCATGCTTGATATTGTGGTCGGCTGCGGTCGCAACTGGGATGCAGAAAGTGGCCATTCAGACGAAGCCGTTTTGCTGGCCGTATAGTCTGGGAAGACGAGATGCCGAAGAAGTCGTCTCCAGAGGCTCCGGCTCTCACTGCTCTAGAAGGCAAGCTTAAATCGCGCTCCCTTAACCAGATTACCGTACTTGTCCTCTTTCAGCCCACCGTCATCTGGTTCACGAGGATTCGCCTTCAGACTTACCGACAAGGTCTCCAACTGGTACAAGGTAGCGCACTGTCTTGCGGGTTGCCGATCGTGCAGCAAACAAGGAAGCAATTTGCTGTGGGCATCATTCCCGGCCTTCATACGGCTTCGGAGAAAGACAGAGTCCCACGGCGGCCATGGTATCGCCGTTTTCTCTCTCTTCGCCGCGAGCCGCTCCGGTTGACGTGGTCACACTCAGGTCTCTGACAAGCACGCGGACGGTGAGAACGGTCTCGCCCGCAGGATAGAATGAAACAAGATCTAGCGCTTCTATCAAGAGGCGCATCGACCGGAGACGGCCCTTCTCACACAGTGGCCATGTCTCCAGGTTTGGTAGCGAAAGGCGTGGATCCTCCTCGAGGCTTTCTGCCGGAGCAACAAAGTCGCCGGTTTGAAAGTCTCGTCCCGTAGGAACTCGGCCAGCAAGCCGAAGAAGAGCCTAAATTGGAGATAATGAGCTCGGCCCTCAGAGCTGACACTAGCTATAGACTCCAGCGGAAATACATGGCACTCTGGAATTGCACAAAGCCGCCGAAGTCATAGGGGACGATGGGACCTACCAGGGTAAAGCGGAGGCGCGGATAGGGGTCTTGAGGCTGTGTAATAAGGCCCGTGTCTATGTTGTGCATAGTGGCATGGCCGCAAGATTGCAGAGCGCCGTTTCACCGCTCTTCAAGTAAGACAGAGATCTTAAGAGTCTATTTAAGGCAAAAGGGCAGACTGATTGGCAGGCCCCCCTTTCGAAGTTTGGTGGTGTGTTGAGGTAAAAGTCGGGCCTCTTGAGTCACGTGAAGAATGATCACAATCCATGCGGGATCTAACGGTGGCATCCCGAATGCCTGACCCACTCCCGAAAAGCCTCATTTTTGGCCCCTTCGAGCCCGCACTACGGCCCCTCTGACGCCGTCTAGACTTCTGCTGCGCCGTCTACTTGATGTATATAAGGAGAGCCTCTTACCCTCTGCATATATAGCTAGCCTATGCATCCTATTTTTATTAAAAGGCTACTTTATAGTGTATACTTCCTATACCGCTACTATAGCATTACAAAGAACGAAAGGCTACACCTCGCCCCTCTATCCTTCGCTCTTTATACAAGAAAGAGCTTTATCCCGTCCCTTTCTTAGTCGTTCCGAGTTGTATTACGATGACTCACCGATCCGTTAAAGGATTGCCTACGCTGAACGGGCCTGAAGATTGGCCCGCCTGGTATACGGAGCTGATTTGTCGTGGCAAAAGATCACTAGTCTGGAAGTACGTCGACTTTACCCAGACTGACGAATCAAAACTGGAAAAGGCTCCAACAGAGCCTATTTTGGAAGAATTCGCACCCGATCAGATAGCAGTCTACATTGATAAGAAGACAGACTGGCGATATTATTTGCAAGGCATCGCCAGTTTGGGAGATATGATCGATGACTCCCTTGGCCCCAACGTCAAAATCCAAGTAGTGAGGGATCACAACACCTCCCTCTGGCAGCAGGTTCAGGATATCAAGGACTTCATAGAGCCTTCGCTTTTGTAGATTGTTAGGAATTCTTCAAGATGGTGCTATAAGCACAAACAATGCCTGTTGTCCCTCCATATTTTGCATTGTTTCGTCGTGCTCTCTCGCCGACTATCTTCTCCAAGCGAAGGGGCTCGTCACATATACTCTATACAATTACCCGGGTTGTCTAGTTTGCATACTTCTACCAGGATGAACTAGTTTCATAATCTTTATGCCGACTTTCGCTGCATTGTAGGTATTGCGACACCTACAGAAACCAATAACGGACTACTGTTATTGAAGTCTCAACGGAGTTGTTACTTAAGAAATACCCGTACTGTGGTCGCATAGTATCGGCACCAGGCAGGCTTCTTTTTAGCAGAGAAGGTTGTATTAAGTTGCGCTATATTTGACATGGCATGGCGACGTTAGTTGAAAGGTCTGCTTCCTATAAGAAATACACCGTATGGAGCAATGAAGCTCCCTTGATGTTAGTAGTGCGTTGACTGACACAATGCATCCCTGGGAAGCGTTGGCCAAGCCCTAAAAAGGCCGACGCTGTCCTCAGTGTTGATGCCACTGGCTTCCATGGAGTAGAAGACATATAAGACGGCAGAGAGCATGCCTCTGGCCGAAGGATGTTCAAGAGATACGACACTCCCCAATGAGCTCAATAGCTCAAAAGGTGTCTGCAGAGAAATCGTGATATGTCTAGTGCAAAGGTAAGTTCGGGTGAGCTTTCGCTCCGCAGTAGTTCAAATGTGCAAGTTCCACCTGCTGACAAAAATACGTTACCGTTGGCTGGGGGGTACGGAGATTCAAGATGTCATTATTCATTGGGTTCTATAGCATTCTATTGTTCGTGGCCAAAGGAGGAGTTCCACGGACGGGGCTCCATGCCTAGCAGCATGTCGCTGATGCCCTCCCAGTGCATCTCGGGCCAGGCGACAGGGTCAGAAGCGGCAGCGGGCAGCGGGAAGGCGCTGTAGCCGTAGAGGCTAGGGTCGAAGAGGTCTGGGGCGGGCTGACGCACGGTAGAGACGGTCGAGACGGTCGAGACGGCCGACATGGCCGAGACATCAGCCATATCGAGGAAGCCAGTGGGGACGCTGGTAGGACAGGCAGCCAGCAGCGGGAGGGAAGTGGGAGGATGGTCGAAGGAGGAGACGGCGAGGAGCTGTTGGATAGGGGGGTTTTGGTGGGTATGAAAGGAGTGGTGGCTGGGAAGGTGGACGAGGTGGTTGTGAGTGTTGGGGTGACAGTGGTTGAGATTGGACGGGTATTGAAGGATGAGACTGTTGTCGACATTCTGGGTCTGGCTGTTGTGACTGTTCTGACCATTCTCGCCATTTCGGCTTCGTCCATGACCCTGTCGGGTCTCGCCGTCCGTCCCGTCGTCCGTCTCGGCCACCAGGGCATACAGCTCGCCGATGACGGACATCCAGCGACGCATGGTTCCGGGCACATGCGGGTCGGCGTGGTGGCGGGCGGCGAGGGCGCAGCCGCGGTCGAGAAGGGCGCGGAGGGACGTGTGGCCATGGGGGCTGCTGTTCTGTGGGTAGAGGCTGTCCGCTCCGCAGACAATCCCGAGCACGAGCACGAGCACGGACGAGTACAGATAGTAGACGTCTGCCCAGGCGTGCGGGCTGAAGCAGCCGAGCCGGTCCAGCTGCAGCACCAGCTGACACGATAGCCGCCCAGACTCGACGCAGACGGCGGCCAGCGGCGACGGCGTGGTCACGGAAGTCGACGCGGCTGCCGGTGCCGCCCGAAACTGTTGTAGGAGTGCCGGCCGCGACACCAGCGCGGCCACGTAGTGGTACTGGATATGCAGCAGCAGCAGGGGTCGGCGCTGGGCCGGTGGAACGGCATCGACGGCATCGACGGCGGCGGGACTGAGGTCGAGGGGCAGGCTGTCGCGCCAGCGTGCGAGACGACGGAGAACGGATTCGTGATGGGGGGTAGTCGTGTCGGCATCAGCCCGGAAGCTTTTCCTGTCGCTGGAGCCCCGGTTGCGGATGGCCCGACAGGCGAGACCGAGCAGAACGGCAAGACGGCTGGACCAGACGGCGTAGGGTGGGAAGAGGAGGCGGGTATCGTGGTCGTGGTAGTTGTGGTGGTCCTGATTGGATTCCTGGGTGTGATCTTGGTTGTGACCGTCCACCTCTCCAGGCCCGTCTTCGTCGAGTCCGTCTTCGTCAAACCCATCCACCCCCTCGCCCTCACCCTCCCATCCCACCGCACTCGGCCGGTCGTGCGACGATACCTGCAGCTGCTCAAACGCAAAAAGCGTCCACCAGACCCGTCGGCGCATCGCTCGGTCCAGCGGCCACATTCCGTCGCCGTTCACGTGACCATGATCTTCACCACGTTTCCCATGTCGATGCAGTCCGATGGCGTGGCCGATGCGCACGGCTGCCCCCGTCAGCGTCCAGCACACATCGCGCGAGTTGGTGTGGTGTAGGTGCAGGGCCGCCAGCAGGAGTGCCTGCACAGCGGCCAAGCTGGACGTGAAGAGCACGCGACAGAGCAGCGCCTGAGCCTGGCGCCACCATCGATGCTCGAGGCGGGCGCCGAGACGGCGACCCTCAAACTCATACTGCCGCCGCGACAGCAGCAGGACGCAGAGCAGCGTGCACAGCCAGACAGGGTCGACGTCATCGGGCTGGCGACACCAGTTGTCGAGCTGCTTCAGAAAGGTGGGCTCGTGCAGCACGGCAAAGTCGCTGTTGACGCGGGCAAAAAAAGTCTGCACCAGGCCGTAGACCACAAGCGTGCTGCCGGCATCGTCGTTGTGATTGCTGTGGCCTTTGTTGTCGTCGTCATTTTCGTCATCTTCTCCCTCGCTCTCTTGCAACAGCTCGTCCACGGATCCCGGCCACGCCATCATCCCCGGTAGACTGCTCGGCGACTGTGCCGCGTGGGCCATTGACTGCAAGTCTACTGGTCCTTCGTGGAGGTCGTTGTCGGCACCACCGTCGTCCCCCTCTCCCTGCTGTCGACGACTCACCATCGTTCGCAGCCTCCGCTGGAAGAGAAAGGAGCTGGCCCGGCCAATGTACTGCGCCTGGCCCTGTCGGTCGTGCATGAACCGTCCCTGCTCTGGAGGTGATGTCTCAGTCTTTTTTCTGTCGCTTCTCGTCTCATATGTCCTGTCTGCCGTTTTGTTGTCTGCCCTTTCGGCCGCCATCCCTCCCGTCTCGCCCCCCATCCCCTCCATCTCTGTCTTCCCCCCCACCTCTCGGACCAGTGCCTCCAGGCTCTCTGTGCTCGACAGGTCTGCCGTCGGCATCAGCTGTCGCACCACGCTCTCCAGTAGAGTCATGCGTGCATTTTGCACCTCCGGGCTGCCGTACAGTCGCTGCTTGCGTGGCTTCGTCACCAGGCACTCGTACCCGTGCTTGAGACAGTGTCGGCATCGGTCTTGGCCTGGCACTGCGCTGCACTTTTGCTTGCGGCTCTTGCACCGGTCACAGCTGCGTTCCGTGCGCTGTCGCAGCTCCTGAGGCACTCGCCGGCTCTTGGGAGCACACCGTCCGGCCGAACTCATCGTCATGTTGGAACGTGTGGTGGGTGAGGAGTTGTTGTCGTGTTGTCGTCGTCGTCGTGTCGTCATCAATGTGATTCTTCGTCGGTGTGGTCCGAATTGTCTTGACAATGTGCGTCGTGTTGTTCTGTCGTCAAATCGATCTTCTTTCCTCTTTTCCTGCCCACTTTTCGCCCACTTTCCCCTGCTTCTCTTCTCTCCCCCTTCTCGCTTCTATGTTCGCTTCCTTGCCGCTTTTGTTCCTTCCGCTGCCTCTCGTATTTTCGCCTCGCTCGACTCGTGTCGAACTGAACTTTCGCTCATGGGTACAGCCTTCAAGACCCTCCCCCCAAAACCTGGGGGCGGCATACATGTATACCGCTATCTGACAGCCGGCTATACTACGTATGTAGCAAAGACCTGGACAAGATGGGGAACATGCCCGTTTGCTGCATACGGCACACCGATGTGGACCCCCCCCAAGATAACAGCACTGTTGCTACTCCGTAATGACCAGAAACGCTCGTAGCGCACGCCTTGTCGGTCTGGGCCGTCATGCTCTTTTTGCCAAGCAGCAGAACTTGATTTTCCTGCTGCGTGTCCACCGACCCACCGTGCTGCGTGCCTTCCCGTTTCGTGCCTTCCCGTTTCGCCGGACTCCATCACGTTCATTCCCTGCTTGTCCCAATTGATTTTTCCATTTGTGAAGCTTCTGTCAAAACATGCCTCTGTCCCTTCTCGTCTCCCCTTTTCACCCTTCCCTTCGTCGTAAGATATTACATACTTGGCCCCCAATGGTTGCGTGGTTCTTATCTCTGGCCCGCTCGCTAGGATGCAGCTGGGATGCAGCCAGACGACAGGGGCTGATGCATTATTCTTCAGCCGCTTTTGATTCGCTGCCCCTTCACTTTTCCTGATCCGTCACTTTGCCCCGGCATGAAGCCACCAGCTCGACGCCGCCAAGGCCTTGCCACTTCGCAATGCGGACAAGCTTCTTTTGGGCGACCTGCCGGACACCGGCATTCTCTCCCGCCCCCCTGCACATCCACTGGTGCTGTGACGGTGGTCAATGCAAACAGCCACCGCAAAACTGGCCGCTGCGACCATTGTGACTGTGCATACATACAGAGTAGCATGCATGTCCATTCGTCTGTCTCTGCGTCCCGTTCCTCGCCCGCTCCCGCCATGGCTAAAACAGAGCTGCACCCGCCCGCTCGCTGGCCCCCTCTGCACTCCTCTCACCCGTCCAACCACAGCTGCCATCATGAACGAAACAAAGAAGATCGTCGCTGTCGACACCGAGCGGCTGGACACCAGCCAAGAGCACTCGGACAAGGCCGAGGCGCCCTTTGTCAAGCACACCAAAGAGGGCTTTCTTTTAGTGCCCCAGCCGAGCGATGACCCAGACGATCCACTGGTAAGGAACGCGTCGATCAGCACAGATACGTCCCGATGCTGACCCTCAGAACTGGAGCTTCTCCAAGAAGCATGTCGCCTTGTTCTTTCTCGCTATGGAGTCGCTGCTGGTCAAGTTCTCGGCCACCCTGATTGTGAGTATAATCTGACGATAAGAGTGAGGAACAACAGCTGACACCATTCAGTCTCCCGGCGCCCGCACTCTGGCCCACCTCTTCCATGTTCCCCTCTCCAAGGCCACCTATATCGGCTCCGCGCCCACCATCATGAACGCCGTCGGCCCCTTCTTCTGGATCCCCATCAGCCACCGGATCGGGCGCCGTCCCGTCCTCCTGATGAGTCAGATCATCGCTATGGTCGCTGCCATCGGTGTCGGTCGCTCCGAGACCTACGCCCAGGCCCTCGGCTGTCGTATGGTCATGGGTTTCGGCGGAAGCGCTGGCCTGTGCATCGGTCCCGCTGCTATTTCGGATATGTTTTTTTTGCACGAAAAGGGAACCCGCATGGGCATCCAAAGCATCTTGCTAGTCGTCGCTCCGTATGTCGGTATGTTTTGTTCTCTCGTTCATATTCTCGGTTTTCTCCTCTGATTTCTCCCGTCTAACTCCTCCAGGCGGTGTTGCTGGTGGCTCCATTCAGTACAACTCCAAACTCGGCTGGCGATGGTCTATGTACGTCTCTGCCATCTGCTACTCGGCCCAATTTGTCTGCCAGTTCTTCTTTGGTGAGTGCTCTTTCATTCTCTCTCCTTCTGTCGTTTCGAAGACTTCGCTGACACAAGACAGTGCCCGAGACCATCTACGAGCGTGAAGTCGCCGCGGCCGAGTTGCCCGAGCAGAAAAAGACGATCTGGCGCCGTCTCGGCTTCCGCATGCCCACGAACCCCTCGGGCGAGACCTGGCTGCAGACCTTCCGCCGCCCCTTTGTCATGTTTGCCTACCCGGCTGTCGTGCTGCCGTCCTTCTGGGCCTCCGTCGCCGTCATGACCGAGGTCGCCAACACGGCCGGATTTGCCATCAACTTTGGTGCCAGCAGCCGCTTCCACTTCAACACCGCCCAGGTCGGCTTCTGCTTCATCTCCGGCCTCATCGGAGCCTTTACTGGCGAGGTGTGCGCCGGACCGCTCTGTGACATGGCCGTCAGGAACTCGTTGCGCCGCAATCAGGTCTGGCGCGCCGAGAAGCTGCTAAAGCTGGCCATCACCGGACTTGTCACGATATTTGTAAGTTTCGGCTCCGAGACCTTTTCGTCTCTCAAATTCATTATTTTTCCCACACTGACCTGCAGGCCGGCCTCATGCTTTACGGCTTTGAGCTTGAGAGCAGCAAGGCCTGGGCTCGTCCCCTCGCCGGCATGATCCTCTTCGTCTTCGGCCAGGAGGTCGTCGTCACCATCATCATGACATACATGACCGACTGCTATCCTGAACATGCTGCCGAGGTCGCCGTCGTCTTCCAGTTCTTCTTCAACCTCATGTGCTACCACCCGCCGTTTTACACACCCCAGTGGATCGCCAGTGCAGGCTCTAAGGTTCCGTACATTGTGTATGCTGTCCTTCCAGTCGGCCTGTTTCCTATCCTGATCGGTCCGTTTATGTGGAAAGGCTCTCAGATTCGTGAAAAGGGCCCTCTTTTCAGATTCATTTCCTTCAAAAGGTAGGATCATATTGTGCTTTGTTCTCAAGCAATTCTTGTTGTATCTGGTTGACAGGAAGGAGCTATGAGCGGATGAATTTCGTTTCCACAACGAATTCTTTGTATGATGCTTTGGGCTTTGTCTGCTTTGTATATATGACTAAAGTGGTGATCGCTTGTGCCTGACTTAATAGTATCCTACAATTTAGAGTGCATAATGCGGATCGTAAAGGTAGCTGTGTAAATACTATGTCGATACACCTGTTGTAATAAATATAAGATGAATAAGAAGAACATCGATTAAAAAGGATGAGCGGGACAAAGTCGACAAGAGGCAGATGTTGAATAAAGAATTAGTATATAACCCTGCTTAGCACGCTGTAAGGTATGGGATCCATACGTTTACTGGAGCAGGGGGGTAACGAAAGAGCAGCAGGCATAAGCCCGGTTGCCTTTTCTTACACCAACCAAGTTGCTACTCCCACAACCCTACAACAGAAAGCCACGCGGTTCGGGCCCACGCCAAATCAAAAGTTTGCCACAGCCAACTCACACAGCAGGGTAGAATAGTCTGTATCTATTAGACAACTCGGCACCCTTCGATACTTAGTCTGATTTCGCTTACTTGACCAATCTCCAGCTTTTCGCTTCGCTGATCTGCTCTTGGGAACCGCTCTGCTCCCAGAACTCTGCAGCCGACCACGTCTGTAAGCATTTCGTCAAGCCTATCACGTGATTTAGAGCCATTGGATGCTTGTCTTCACAGACCTGGAACTGCACAAAGTCTACTGATATGATATGAGACCGATCTCTGCGCTGTCGGCTACCTAGGGGGGGTGTCGAAATCATTGAAAAGCAGAAGTGAGAGCTGCCGACGGCTACGAAGATGGGTACATCAGGGTTAGTAGCTTGTTTTCTGTCCCCGTCCCGCTACGTGCTTGTCTTTATTGACGTACACTCCAGAGAATTCTCCTTGGACGGCGACGGGATGCGCCACTCTGTCACCATCCTGGTTTTTTTCGTTACGCTCAGAACTATGTTCTTCGTATTAGTGCTCTATATAATATACCGTGCGTCCAGTGCTGAGGCACTGGCACGGGTTGTCTCTGCTTTGAGCGGCGTCAATGGCAAGGACGACCTATAAGGAAGGTTGCAAAGGCTGATAATGTTACAGGGGCTGGTGTCTTGAATAGACGATTGTGGTTGTCGACGGCGGCATACCCCTGGTTTCGAGCCGATTTGTTTACATGTCTGACCTGAAGATTCGGGCTCTTTGTTTTGGAAACACTGCCAGGACTTGTGGCGCCACGATGGCAGTCGTGACGACGCTTATGGATCCATGGAGTACCAACAGAAGTCTGTGTTCTGGAAAGCAATAATAAAAATAAGAGTTTAGTCCGCTTAAGCAGCTTACTAGCCCTTGATGTTTCGAGGATCAGGACACGTCCAAGCCAACAACGATTCTACAGGAAAACTCAAAAATAAATAAAAAACGGTCATCTCATACACATGTATGGATCTAATGATAAATATCAAACTAAAGGCAAGGATGCGAGAAGAGGTATCCCCAGAAAGGAGAAGGATAGAGGAACAACACAGCTTCGAGGCCAAGATATGTAAGAAGGAAAACCGCAAAAACAAAGCAAAGGCGCTATCTTTTCAAACCATGCCCCTCGATATGTGCGTTGGAACAGGTTTACTAACTACTGTACTATGGTAATCTATATAAGGGTGGCCGGCTGTTGTGGACGCTAAGGACCGCTAAATGGGCTTTACTATCACATTTGAGCACATTAAGAACTAGATGTTATATATTTCGCATTCAAATGATGAAACAAAACCTGGGGATGACTCGATTGCTGCTGAGTTTGTGTTTAAGAAGGCAAAACTATCAACATAGGGCTGAATCTAGAGACTGAGATCAGACAGATGATTTGGTTCGAGCGTCAAGAAGACGGCACTGCATTGAGTACGCAATAAATAAGCGAGTATAAGAGGTGTAGGACAGACACGAACATATCGCTTGGGCCACTCACTTCCGTAAACACTACAACCTCGTCCAAAATCAGGACAACTTCTCTAAAGAAGCTATGGACGTCGAGTTGTCCCCAAAGCGACGTTGCGTAGGTACAGCTAGCTGCTCTAGCAGAAATAAAGCGATGATGACGCTCATGTTTCTAACTTCAGCAGCAATCGCGAGATGAGATGGAAGTGATTCCAGCGACACTGACCCATTTCATCTGTCCCATAGCTATGTGCGGTTCAGCAAGGCCATGCTCAAAGCAATGGCTAGGAGACTTGACTTATGGCAGAAGATTCCCGAGATCCAGACAGAAGCGTGAAATGGCATATACGGCTCTGCCAACGGCTAGACAACAGGGCTAACATAGAACAGCAAAGTGGAAAAAATGGCCAAGCATGTTGCAGATGTCGTTGAGAGTGCTGCTGAAGCGATGGGAAGATAACCATTCTGTTTATACATGCTTACCTAGTTCCGCCAAACATCATCCTGACGCCAGGACCTAAGAAGTGGTAGCAGCTATTAACTGGGCGCATACGGGACGGTTCGCCACGTACTAGAAGTTCTGCTAGGCGCGACGAGAAAGGCTTATCCCAAACTCTTTAATGATGGAATAAGACGAGAGTAACTGAGGGGTCCCACCCTCTTTCTGGATAATTGACAGCAATTCCCTATTACTCGTAGACTCTCCAGAAATCCTTCCAGCAATGCGCTTTTCCGAAGTCGGAAAAACCCCGCAGTGTCTGCTCTGCTATTGGGTGGTCGGGCGTCGGGCGTCGGGCGTCGGGCAGCAAAGCTGAGGATTTCGACGATTTCGTGAGGCCTCACAAACAGCAACAACTCGTCTTCATCCTTTTCCTGATAATTACAGAGTCAAGAACAATGTAGCCGGGCTCATCTATTAGAAAAGCTACGAAGACGTCCTTCAAGGCATCTTCCAAGAAGTTTTTCAAGAAATTGTTGGGACGCGAAAAGAAGGACATCGCCAGCAATTTCCCCTCGCAAGGCGAAGTTGTATTTCATCCCCCAGCAGCAAAAGAAGAATCCAACATCGAAGCAGCGTCAGAAGAGCCCTTTGCCTCCACCCTCTCAAATACCCCATCAGTTCAAGCAAATATTGTCAGTTCGTCTTCCCAAAATGCCGTGCCACAAACCGACGACATTCCCTCCACCCCAGAAGCAGCGACAGAGGCGCTCACGGTGTCTCCCCACCCCATCTCGAACACCTCCCTAATTGTAGCGGACAATGCTGCAAACCCGGTTTCGGAAAATGTCGTGCTGTCTGCGCCACAAACCGACGATATTGCCTCCACCCCGCCTCCCACTACCGCCGAAGCCTCTCCCAGCGACGAACTATGGACAAGAGCGTTTGGGCTGTTTCGAGAGAAGGAGCCCGAGCTTGCCAGGGATTACATGACGCACTTAGCAACCCTGCACAACTCGGTGGACAGTGTAGATCTGTCGGCATCTCGGTCGGTCAAAGATCTCGTAGACCGACTGCTCGAAAAACGAGAGGAGAAGCTATGGAAGGTTTCGATCTTGGGAAAAAGTGTGAAGATCCGGGAACAGACCGAGAAGCTGGTCAGGCTTCTCGTTTTTTTTGATCCCGTGGTAAAGGAAGCCGTCAGCTCCCAGCCATACGCCGCTCTGGCATGGTCTGGCGTCTCGCTGATTTTGCCTGTAAGCACACGACTGTCTTCTGATGCCTGTGCACGTACTTACTCCAGCAGCTGCTTACGAGCGGAACGACGCAAAACGAAGCCATGCTAAAGGGTTTCGACACGATTGGCAACGAACAGCTCTACTGGAATATCTGCGAAAAAACATACCTCGAGTCCGCAGAGCACGAAATCTACAAACCGCTGGTCGAGCCGCTCGCCCAGCTTTATTCCGACATGATAGCATTCCAGGCCCTTGCCATATGCCATTATTCCAAGGCCCAGCTCTCTCGCGCCTGGGAGAACATCGCGGGCAGCAACGATTGGGACGTCAGAGCAAACAAGATTGAAAAGCAAAGCACGAATATCCAACGCAATATCTTGAATCTGGACAAGCAAGAGATTCGAATTCTATGGAATACGCAGCTGCAAGGGATACAGGAGTCGCAGTTTGCACTTAACGACGTACGCCAAATTCTCAGTGAAAACAACAGACTAAATCAGAAACGCTATGATGACGAAAAGGAAAGAGAACTCCTCAAAGAGCTTGCATCAGCCTACGAGAGTTACAAGAACTTCAACAAGCAAAGAGTGGAAGGCACATGTGAATGGTTCTTCAACGACAACAGATTCCGCACATGGCGAGACTCTAAGATGTCGAGCCTGCTCTGGGTTTCTGCTGGTCCAGGCTGTGGGAAATCTGTCCTATCCCGAGCTTTGGTTGACGAACACCGACTTTCCACCAATGCTGCTACATCGACTGTCTGCCACTTCTTCTTCAAGGACGGAGACGCTCGTCGCTTACGCAGCACTGCCGCTTTGTGCGCCGTGCTCCATCAGCTCTTCACCCAAGACCATACTGGAAGCCTGATAAAACATGCGCTGCCTAGCTACAATGAGGGCATGGCTTTAAGAAACAACTTTCCGGGGTTGTGGAAAATCCTCATAAACTGTGCTAATTCTCCAGAAGCGGGACAAATCATTTGTGTCCTAGATGCCCTGGACGAGTGCGAAATACAAAGCAGAAACGAACTAATTGGAGAGCTGAAAAGGTTCTACTGTGAACAAAGAGAACTGGCGAAATCTTCAACGCTGATGTTTCTGATCACAAGTCGTCCTTACGCTGATTTGGAGTTTGCATTTCTTAAATTTAACACAACGACTTACTTACGTTTTGATGGCGATGAGAAATCAGCCGACATTGGAAAGGAAATCAGCCTGGTCATTGACGAGCGCGTGAACACAGTAGCAGCAAGCTTTTCTGAAAAGCACCGTCTCGAACTTGCGGACCACCTCAAGAGCATGGAAAACCGCACATACCTCTGGCTTCATCTTGTGTTTAGCATAATCGAAGGAAATTTTTCCTACTCGAGGCCGCTAGACATCAAAAAACTCCTCTCTCAGATCCCACCAGAGGTGTCTGGAGCATATGAACAGATCTTGGATAAGAGTTCGAACAAAGATTTGACCATGAAGCTTCTCCAGCTTGTCCTTGCGGCGGAGCACCCGCTGACTCTCGACGAGGTCAACATTGCGCTGGCATTGGCTGATAGTCCTCAGGACTCGGCCGCAGAGCTGAAGTCTGCGCTGTGGCCAAAGGGCAACTTTCAGACTACAGTCCGAAACTTCTGTGGTCTTTTCGTCAGCGTCTACGACTCGAAACTCTTCTTTATCCACCAGACCGCCAGAGAGTTTCTTCTCAGCTCTGAGCGAGATGGAAATTGGAAAGGCCATTTCGCATTACCGGAGTGTCACAGCATCTTGTCTCGTGTTTGCATCGACTACTTGCTATTTCCTGATCTTGTTGAGCACCCGTTGATTGTCGAGGACGAAGAAAACGAGAAAGAAACAAGACCATCATTCTTTGAATACGCTGCCCGGTATTGGACTTCACACTACAACTCGCAAGAAGACGCAAATGCGTACAAATCACGAAAGGATGCTTGCATGCTCTGTCACGTACATCCAGGACAAGAAGAGAAAACATGGCTAAAACTATTCTATATTATACAACTCTCAAAGTATTCAGAATTGGCTGTAGCAAGTCACTTCGGCCTTCGAACAGTCATTTTATATTTATTGGACGAGCAGAAGATCAACATAGAACCAATGGATACCACCAAAACGTCAGCGCTCCAAGCAGCATCATTACAAGGCCAACTTAAGACTATACGGCTTCTAATCGACCGCGGTGCCAACGTTAACCTTCAAGGCGGAGATTACGGTTCGGCTCTCCAAGCAGCATCGAGGAACGGCTACACGGAGATTGTACAGATACTGCTTAACAGCGGTGCCGACGTTAACTTGGACGGCGGAGCAGCGCTTAAAGCAGCATCGAGGAACGGCCACACGGAGATTGTACAAATACTGCTTAACAGCGGTGCCGACGTTAACCTTCAAGGTGGAGAATACGGTTCGGCTCTCCAAGCAGCATCGAGCTTTGGCTACAAAGAGGTTGTACAAATACTGCTTAACAGCGGTGCCGACGTTAACCTTCAAGGCGGAGAATACGGTTCGGCTCTCCAAGCAGCATCGATATTTCGCCACAAAGAGGTTGTACAAATACTGCTTAACAGCGGTGCCGACGTTAACTTGGACGGCGGAGCAGCGCTTAAAGCAGCATCGAGGAAAGGCCAGACGGAGATTGTAGAGATGCTGCATGCTAGTGCTAACAACAAGACGGAAGAACTCTGAATTTTTAGGTTTTGTGGACGATTATATATTATAGGCGTTATTGAAATTGAGTCAAATGTACATGGAAAGTCTAGTCTATACGGAGTCCTCCTAACACAACTTACGCTCGGCTTTGTCTACGACAATGTCCGAAGCGATTGATTGCGTGGCAGACACGTTATTGCAGTTTAGAATTCTGTTAGCTGCAAGGGCTTGAGTGTATTCCGTGCTCCGTAGGAGAATGCAAAACAGGGATGCCGAGATGTTTGGTTGTGGAGCAGTGGGTATTTGTTTCGTTTCAAGCTGAAACGATGCATTCGTCGTCGTTCGCAGGGAAGTGACCCACTGCATACACTACTATCTATAGATCTCGCTTCAAACGGTATACTCAGAGAAATCTGTTGGGCGAGCGTTTCCCTTGGCGTGTCTCACGTAAGGTTGACGACGTCTGTAAGTACGCAATCTCGTGGAGCCACCATATGATGACGAGGCAGTGGGATGAGACGAGAGCGTCTGGGTGCTGAGGTGTGAGTGCGTTTCGGGGCAGTTCTCTGATCGGTTGTACCATCATAGATATATATCTCGTTTTCGCATGTCTCCTTGATTGGATTTCTTTCTTTACACACATCCCAGTAACTTCTCTTCCAAACACTTTTCCATTCTGCAAAAAGTTCATCTCTGCGAGATAATCTGTTGCTTCGTTTTGATCTTCTGCAATTTCACATTTTGTTTCTTGAGACTTTCATTTCAGCAGCCAGGTGCTCACCTCTTTCAACTTCAATACCGACAATCAGCCAACATGAAGGTCTCCGCCGTCACCATGTCTGTCCTCATAGGTCTGGTTGCCAGCCATCCCCTCATTAGCAACAGCAAGCGACAGGCGACTGATGTGCTGTCTGTCCCATCGGGCACGCCTACCGGTCATCCTCCGGGATTTCATTCAGGTTTCCCCTCGGGTGTCCCATCTGGGTTTCCGTCTGGGTTTCAGTCCGACTTCGTCTCTGGAGTGGCACCAACTGGTGGCTTTCCTTCAGGCGCGCCTGGTCCGCTGCCGTCTGGTGTCTTTTCAGGCTTTCCCTCTGGCGCAGCGCCGTCTGGACCTCCTCCTTCGGGCACTCCTACTTTCAAGGTGGTCCGCCGTGACGACACCACTTCATTCCCAGCGCCTCCGTCAGGCACCGCTCCTCCCGGCTTCCCGTCTGGCGCCACTCCCACGGGCCCGCCGCCGTCTGGTTTCCCGTCTGGTGTCGCTCCCTTTGGCATGCCCACTGGCCACTTTCCGTCGGGTCCTGCTCCTACTGGTCCTGCTCCTACTGGCCCTCCGGCAGCTTCCGACACAGCGGCCACTCGCATCTAAGTGTTCTTGGCACCTTGGTATCATTCATTGGGGAGCAAGCTTCAACTTGCGGGCACGGTCAGATCGGCTTTTCGTTCCTATGTGTCATTTATGTAGATGTATATAGCTATCCCCATTAAGTCTATAAATTGAAGTACAGAGGATAAAGTACGAGTACATGTCGGCAGTGTCTATTCTGAAGCTCCCTCCTGCAGCTTCAGCTCGGCCTCGTCCATGGCGGTGTTGATCATAGTCAGGATCTCGAGGGCGCGGGTGTTGGGCACGGTGATGCGGAGGCGGCGCTCGAGGGTGGGAAAGATGCCGATAAACGAGTTGGCACAGTGGTCGAGGACAACGTCGGCGTCGTGGGGGGAGATGTTGGCTTCACGGGCGAGCTCACGACGGAGGATGGGACGGGCGACAGGGTTTCCGATCACGTAGGCCGGCTGGCTGTCGAAGGAGACGCGGGCCCAGGAGAGAACAGAGGGGCGGAGGGTGAGAGGAGCAGCAAGACGGAGGTCGCGCGATGACGCAGCGACGACGAGCTCAGCATCCTCAGCCTCCAGAACCCAGTCGTTGCGGACAGGGTCCCAGACGGTGAGGTCGCGGCCATCGATGGCGACGTCGACACGACGGGTCTCTCCGGGGGCGAGGACGACCTTGGCGAAGCCCTTGAGCTCGAGCGGCGAGCGGCGAAGGAGGTGGCCCTTGGCCCGGAGGTAGACCTGGGCGACCTCGGCGCCGGCGACGGTTCCGGTGTTGTGCAGGGAAAACGAGGCGGTCACGTGACCAGACCGACCGATGGACGAAGCCGACAGCTGCAGGTCGGCGTAGCGGAAGGTGGTGTAGCTGCGGCCATGGCCAAAGGGGAAGAGGGGAGTACAGTGACGAAAATCGTAGCCGCGATAGCCGACATGGATGCCCTCGGAGTAGAGGTGACGGCCCTGCTCGCCGGGATAGGAGAGGAAGCCGGGGACGTCGCCGAGGCGGTGGGGGAAGGTGACCGACAGCTTTCCGGACGGGTTGACGCGGCCGGTCAGAACATCAGCAACGGCACCGCCCATGGCCTGGCCACTGTAAAAGGTGACGAGCACGGCGCCGACGCGGTCAGCCCAGGGCATAGCGACGGCATCGGGACAGGCGACCACGACAGCCATCGGGGTGGTGCAATGGTCGGCGAGAGCAGTGATGAGGGCATCCTGACCGGGTCCGAGGGCGAGCGTAGAGCGGTCGGAGCCCTCGCCATCGTAGGCGCCCTCGGTCGAGGCGAAGACGACGACGAGATGGGCGGCAGCAGCTCTTGCAAAGAGGGAGTCGTCGGCAGTGTTGCGGCTGTCGAGCTCGATCGCGACATCGGGGCCCAACAGAGCCCGCAGCTCAGCCAGCGGCTCATCGACCTGGGTCGGCATCGTGGTGGCACAGCCAGAGCCCTGGATGACGGGGGTCTCGGCGTCACGGCCGACGACAAGCACACGACGCACAGTCGGAGCCACCGGCAACACGGCGCCATCGTTTTTGAGCAGCACCATGGAGGCAGCAGCCATGCGACGGGCCTCGACGTGATGGGCAGCCAGATCGGTGGGAGCGACCGGGACGGTGCAGCCGGCATGGCAGCGGGCGATAAAGTCGAGCACGCGCACACAGGCGGCATCGACGACGTCTGCCGACAGCTCGCCCGACCGGATGGCTGCCAGCAAATCAGCCTTGCGACGGGGGCTCTCGGGCATGTCGAGCTCGTTGCCGGCAGTCAGCGAAGCGGCGCGATCCTTGATGCCGTTCCAGTCGGACATGACGAGGCCGTCGTAGGCCCAGTCGCGGCGCAAGACCTGGGTCAGCAGCCAGGGGTCCTCGGCCGCCTGCACGCCGTTGAGGCGGTTGTAGGACGACATGACGGTCCAGGGATCGGAGTCGCGGATGGCCATCTGGAAGCCGCGCAGATAAATCTCGCGCAGCGCCCGCGCATCCACGACGCTGTCCATGCTGGTCCGTTGCATCTCCGAGTTGTTGCCGGCAAAGTGCTTGAGCGACGTGCCGACGCCCTGGTCCTGGATGCCGGTGATGACAGCAGCCGCCAGCTTTCCGGTCAGCAGCGGGTCTTCCGAGTAGTACTCGTACGAGCGGCCGGCCAGCGGCGTGCGTCGGATGTTGATGCCCGGTCCTAGCAGCGTGTGGATGCCCATGGTGCGGCACTCGCGGCCCAGCAGCACGCCTAGATGCGCCATCAGGTCGATGTCCCAGCTGCAGCCCATGGCCGAGCCGTTGGGAAAGCAGGTCGCCGGTCGCAGCTGGCCCCAGGCCTTGTCGATCTCGCTTGCTCGCTGCTGCACCACCGACAAAAAGGCATCCAGGTCTGTGCCGGCCTGCTCGTCGCCGTCGATCTGCGGCACCGAATATCGCACGCCGTATGTGCCGTCTGTCATCACCGCCGGCTCGACGCCCAATCGCGCCAGCCGTGCCGTCTTCCACATTCCGTTGCCCGTCAGCAGCGCCGTCTTTTCTTCTGCCGTCATCGTGCCCACCAGCTCCCGCGCTGCCAGCGCCTTGTCCGCCAGCGCCTGGTGGTCCACGTATGTTGTGCTTGGTGTAGACATGGTGAAGATGCACAGGTGTTTACGTGTTGCAGATGGAAGCGCTCGTCTGACCCCATCTTATACCGGGAGTTCTCTACATGGTATATCGGCTTCCTGGTCGGCCTCTCCGACCGGCAGAGGATATCCCGAAAAAGCCTCGCTCGTAAGACGGATAGCCTGACAGGCCCTGTTGACAAGTTATCCCACGCGAACTCGACCGAACTAGCCGACTGACAGCCGGATTGCGCACTGTGGCTACGTTATGAGTGCACTCCAATGTATCTAAAGCCAGTGCACGCACTGTGTATGGGTACAACGAGTGACACGAATCGGTAGTGAAAATTTGTATGATCACGTGCAACTTCCACCACTTCACCTATGAATACCATACCGCGTTCGCACAACACCCCCCGTCGGCCAGGTCGATGTGCGCGACCGGACTCGCCGTCGTCCCATTTGCCGCCATCTCCCAGATCTCCACAAAGCCTGCCGAGCTGTCTGTCAGCGCGACGAACCGGTCGGAGAACCCGCTGGGCGCCACGCTGTTGGCCGCCCCGCCGCTGCTCGTTGTCGGCACGAGGAAGAGCTGCGACTGCACCGTTCCTCCCGCGCTCAGCCGGAAAGCCGAGAGGTAGCCGGTGCTGTCGCTGGACCGCGCCCGGTTGCTCGCCCACAGGTACCGGCTGCTGGTCGACAGCGCCACCTCGTCGGCCCAATAGTCGGCCGCGTCTTCGCCTGATGGCAGCAGCAAGTACGTCACGTTCGTCGCCGTCGGCAGGCCCGTTGTCCCGTCCAGCGCATACACGGCCACCTTGCTGGTCCCCTCCAGCACTACATACAGGTACTGGCCACTGGGATGGACAGTCACGTGACGCGGATCAGATCCAGTCGCCGGGCTGCTCAGGTGGCCCACGACAGACACCGCGCCCGTGCTGTTGTCGATGTGGTGCGTCCAGATCTGGTTGCCGCTGTCGTCGGCCGAGTACAGGAACGGCCCCGACGGCGCCAACGCCAGCCCGTGCACGCCGGAGCCGCTGGCGTACGTGAAGTTCTGCACGGCCGCCGCGAGCGCGCCGTCCTCGTCAACCGACAGCACCGCTCCACAGCCAGCGCTGCCGCCGAAAAAGGAGCCGTACACGCTGTAGGGCGCCCGCTCGGCCGCGACGACGTAGATGGCCTTGCCCGTGCAGTTGCCGCCGGCGTCGACGGTCGTGTCGAGCGTGATGTTGGTGGCTCCGGCAAGCGAGTAGCTGATAAAGGCTGGCGACGACGACGTGAACGACGTGCCGTAGAGATGCTTCTTGTCGTGCTGTCGGCCTTGTCAGTACCTCGGCAGGATTGAGTGCAATGCGATGAACTTACGCTGAGAGCAATCCAGGAGCTGGCGCCGGTCGTTGTCGTGTTGCCGGTAAGATGGAGAGCCAGCGAGACATCGTCAAAGACGAGCGTGTACAGCGAGTCGGTTCCAAAGGTGCCGACAATCAGCTCGTGCACGTCGGCGATGACACCAACGGCACCAGCACCGAGCAGCAGAGCAGAGCGTGGGATCTTCATCGTATCGGCTTGTTGATAGTGTGCCTGAGAAACAGACAGGGAAGAGACCTACATCTTCACGTCTTTAATACTCTCTACCAGCCGCGTCACCTTGAGCTTGGACGTCTCTGACGCGTACTCGGCACTGGTTACGAACTGTCGATCGCCCCGGCTCTCGTGCTCCACACTTTGACAAGCGCTGTTTAGTCTCGATTCGCTGAAACTCGTACGTAAACGACGACGTATGCTGACGAGGGATCAGCCGCAGATCATTAGGAATTACCGACACTTGGGAAGTGACAGCATTTGCACTACATGGCGATGCAGAAGCACATCATCTAAGAAACCCCATAGTCTTCCAGGAGGACACATACGACCGCACCACCTCAGCCTGCACCGGACCCTCTGTAGCCATGGTTTTGGAGTGCTCGCTCGATCGTTGTGTGTCCAAAACAATGCCACCGCAAGCCATGCGCTCAAAATGACCCTCCAAGAAGCCGAGTACGAACATGGCTGGATTTTCCGACGTGGACAGCGACGATTGGCGAACCCGCTGGATCCATGTGGAAAAGGGAACGATGCCATCGCGAGGGACACCCAGAGCATCTGCCAGGACCGCCAGCACGTCTTTCCAGGGCTGGCCGACAGGGTTGTCCACGTGGTACACCGGATACGCCTCTGTGGCATCGGCCCGGTTGTCGATGTTGAGCAGGTCGACCATGACGTGAGCGGACCGGTCGACGGGCAGCCAGTGCAGAACGCCGCGCAGATCGGGCAATGCTCCGAGAGTGTGCGCGCTCTTGAGGAGAAACGCCAGATGCTCTACCGGATTCCAGAAGCCGCTCACGGTCGAGCCGGAAATCTGGCCTGGCCGTGCCACCATGGCCCGAAAGAGTGTCGGGTGGCGACGCAGCGTGACCGTGAGCATGCGTTCGCAGGCCCACTTGCCCTCGTTGTAGCCGCTCGGCATCACGGCATCCATCGGCATCGCCTGTTCCAGCACAGGGGACGCAGCCGCGAAGCCGGTCACGCCGATGGAGGAGATGAACTGGAAGCCGATCCGGCGCGGCTCGAGGCCGGTGGCCATATCCCGGGCCAGGTCCAGCAGGTTGCGCATGGTCTGGAGCTGGGGAGCGAAGGCGCTGAGGGGCCGCGTCGCGCTCATGGGCCAAGCGTTGTGGACAATGTGGGTGCCGTGTCGGGCCAGCCAGCCGTACTCGTGGTCGGACAGGCCGAGCTGTCGCTTGGAGGCATCAGTGCCATAGACGCGGATCTTGTGGCGTGCAGCAGCCGACAGATGGATGCCTCTGGAAGAAAATGCCTCTTCTTGACGCTTTTCGGCCGACACAGAGCTCACAGGACGGTTGATACAAACAACGGTGGCAACATCGGGTCTCTCGGCGACAGCCTGAACAATGTGCGATCCGAGGCTTCCAGACGCACCGGTGACGACCACGACAGCTCCACGGCTGCCAGAACGGACCGTAGCACTCTCCGCAGCAGCAAGTGCGGGAGACTCCCAGCCATCGGTGAACGTTGCGACTAGTCGTAGTGCTTCCGCTTCGCGGGCTGCCACATCGCCTCTGTCAATCACTTTTGCCGGTGGGACTGGGACTGGGAGGGAGCCAGGAGTAGGTGATCCACTTACCAGGCCCGAGTCGTCCACCGGAGTCGTGCTACCCGAAGCTGTATCTGTTGTGTATTCGCCACCAGAGTCTGCATCGGTTGACGTGTTGCTGCCGGCATTGTCATCGTCGTCGTCGTCGTCGTCTTCGTCCTTCTCTTCGCCCTCTTCCATTCCAGCCTTCACCAGAGCATTTGATACACAGGTGACAAATTGGCCAAGACAGGTGACCATGACCGTTTCGGCACGGTCGAGCGTGCAGTGAAAGGTGTTTTCGATCTCGCGCGCCAACTCCATGCCCATCAGAGAATCAATGCCGAGGTCGCCCATCTCACTGTCGAGAGTCATATCGCTGACCGCGATGCCGGAGACGTCGGCCACGACAGCGCAGACCTCGTCTGTGATATCGCGCGGGCCAGACTTTGTCTTGTTTCGCTTTGCTGTCTTCTTTGGACGACTGACCGGTGGCGATGTTGTCGCTGTAGCCCCGACGATGGAAGAAAATCGGGTTTCTCGCACAAACGACTTGTCGACTGTGACCCGCTGCAGAACCTTGCTCATCGTGGCCTTGGGAACACGGACGTAGACCAGGCCCAAGATGACCTCGGCCAGGGCACCGGTGGAGGCATCAAAGACGAAGATGTCGGTTGTGTACGTCTTCCCTTCGGCCTGTCGGGAGTGACGAGCCAGCACATGCCAGAGACCCGGGCCGTTTTCGTCGCCATCTGTGGCCGGCTGCACGTCGGGTGAGCGCATGACCAGCTCGAGCCCGGTGGCGACAAACATGTCGCTGGCCGGGATATCGGTCAGCAGGTTGACATACATGCCGGCCACTTGACCATACGCGTCGGCTTGGGGCACGTCCAGCCAGGTATTGCCGGCGTGGCGTCTCTGGACGACCCCGGCACTCTCGGCACTCTCACCGTTGCCGCGGCCGACGATGTAGTGCACGCCACGGTAGACAGGCCCAAAGTCGACCACTTCGTCAAAGGCCCGGTACACATTGCGGAGGCCCTGGATGGCCTCGACGCCTTCGTCGGCCGGTCCCCAGGCCAGAACGGCCTCACACTGGGCATGGCTGACGAGACGCTCGAAGCGGCCGAATTCACGAAGCAGTGCCGGATCGGAAGATGCATACATGTGGATGAGGCCGTCGGCATGCTTGTTGTCGTCGGAAGAGGACGTGCCGATGCTGTGGATGGTCCAGTGCCAGTCTGTGCCGGCATGGTCGAGCTGCTCGAGGTCGATGTAGTAGTCGCGCGTCGGGTCGGCACAGATGGGCGAATGGCTGACCATGTCACGGACGACGGGCGAAAATGTGTTGGCGCGCCAGTCTGGTTGTAGGCTGAAGAGCGTCTCGATGGCCAGGTCGATCTCCAGGGTGGCAGGGGCAATGGGTGCGGTCTTGGCGATGACATGCGTCGAGAAGAGGCGCTGGTACGTGTCCGAGGCCGTGTTGATGCGGAACCGAGCCAGCTTTGTCTTTGTCTTCTTTGTCTTCTTGTCGTCCTGGAAGCCGAGAAAGGTCCAGAGAGGAAGCGTTTTGGGGTCGACGGCCCCGACGTGTTTTCTTCCTCCATCGACCTGTGCGACCACCTGGAGGGCTTGCTCGATGGGCGACTTGAGTTCGAGCCAGTGGCGCGACTTTTCAAACTGGTATGGCGGCAGCAGCAGCAACGGCCCGTATTCGCTTGTCTGCATGCGGTGGTGCGGCCAAAAGGATACGCGCAGGCCCTGCTTCCAGAGCTCGACGATGGCCTCTGTGAGCCGGTCGACGCCCTTTTTCGTATTGGTGATGGCGATCGACTGGAAGTGGTGTGCATCCGACGTCGATGTCGATGGATCGAGGGCTCGCGAAGCCATGACAGCGATTGTCGAGTTGGAGCCGGCCTCGAGGAAGATGGCCTGCGGGTGTTTCTGGGCAAGCCGCTGCACAGCGTGGCGGAAGAAGACGGGCTGTCGCATGTGGGCGCCGGCAAAGGTGCAGTCCGGCTGGCTGTCATTGCCATGCTCGGTGGCCCGCTCAATGGGAATGGCGGCCTGGTGGAAGGTCAGCTTTCTGCCGACTTCGTCGAGGCGCTTGATGAGACGATCCTCCACCAGGGCCGAGTGGAAGGCATTGGTCACGTTGAGACGCTTGTTCTTGAGCCCGCGTCCGTCTCGGTCGAGCTGTCCGGCGAATACGTCGATGGCCTCAGTCGATCCGGCGATCGTGAAGCTGCGCGGCCCGTTGTAGCAGGCAATGGCAGCCGATGTGGCAGAGGTCGAGTCCGTGTTGGCTTTCTGGAGCACGTCGTGCACCTGTGCTTCGTCGGCCTCGATGGCCATCATGGCGCCGGTGTCGGGTCCCCAGGCACTCTGCACGAGCTGTGCCCGGGCCACAACCAGTCGGACGGTGTCCTTGAGGCTCAGAACACCGGCCACACAAAGAGCTGTGATCTCGCCAAAGTTGTGGCCGACAACAGCCACGACCTTGCCGGCAAGTCCACAGTCGAGCCAGCTCTTGGCCGAGGCATACTGCACCGCAAAGAGAGCCGTCTGCAGCTTGACGACGTCCCCGTATGGCTCACTCGAGAAGATGTCTGGGTAGATGCTGTCTAGGCCGTGATTCTCCCGGATGGCCGCATCACACGCGTCGAGGTGGTACCGGAACACGGCAGCCTCTTCGTAGACGGCACGGTCGAGACCGACAGAGGTCGAAACCTGGCCCCCAAAGCACAGGATCACCGGTCTCTCCGCCGGGACTGGCGCAATGTCCGCGCTCGCTGCCGTCTCCTTGGTCGCCGTAGCTGCTCTAGCCAGCCTTTCCTGCAGCTCGTCCAGGGAACGGCAGCTGAAGATGAGTCCTTGCGGCAGAGCAGGATTCGACTGCCACTTCATGTAGAAAGACACGTCGGCGAGCGTGGCGGCGTGTGTGTTGTGTAAATATGGACCCAGTACAGCACTGTAGGCGGCGATATGCGGATGTCGAGGCCGGTGATCCAAAAGGGCAGTCGAGGTGACGAAGATGAGGACGAGGCCGTCTGCTTTTTCGACCGTTCAGAAGCCAGGTGGGCTACGACCACGCTCGAGTTGGAGCCACAGGCTCCATAGTTGTTGATCAGCGCCACCTTCTTGTCGCCTGGCCAGTGCCGCAGCGACGTGGCCACTTCCATCTTGTCGGACGGCTCTGCCTGGATATAGGGGTTCATCGTCTGGAAGCTGGCCTGTGGCGGGATGAAGCTGTGCCGCATCATCAGGAGCACCTTGATCAGGGCCACCAGGCCGGACGCGCCTTCCGTGTGGCCGATGTGGCCCTTGACAGAGCCGATGGGCAGGACAGTGCTCCGAAGAGGCCCAGCAACGGCGTTGCGGATGCTTTTCTACTCGGCAGGATCGCCGACGGGCGTGCCTGTGCCGTGACACTCGACCAGGGAGACGTGGCCCGGATCCACGCGCGCTTTCCGCATCACGTCATGGAAGAGCGTCGACAAGGACGGCACGTTGGGCACAAACAGCGGCGTCGAGTTGAGATTCTGGTTGATGCCGGTGCCTCGAATCGTGCCCAGGATCGTGTTGCCGTCCGCCACGGCCGTCGACAGCTTCTTGAGGAAGACGTAGGCAATACCATCGCCGCGACAGTAGCCGTCCGCGTCCGCGTCAAAAGGCTTGCACTGGCCCGTCGGGCTGATGAAGCTGCCGGCGGCCAGGTTCTGTGTCCATTGCAGATTAGTCAGCACATTCACGCCGCAGCAGATGGCAGCCGGCACCTCGTCGGACAGCACGTCCCGACAGGCCGTGTGAAGAGCGGTGGTCGAGGACGAGCAGGCCGTGTCAAAGGTCCGAGACGGTCCCGTCCAGCCAAAGTAATGCGACACCCGTCCGGGGATGAAGCTGCGCAGCTCTCCGGTTCCCGTAAAGGCACTGGTGGGATGGCAGTGGATGTTGACGTCGTATTCGTACGAGCACAGCCCGACATAGACGCCAATCCTTCGGTACCGCTCCTGCCAGGCCGCATCAGCCGTAGACAGCTCATTGAAGTAGCCAGACTGCGCGAGGGCATGGTATGTCGCCTCCAGCGAGAGTCGGCCCTGCGGATCGATCGCCATCGACTCGCGTGGGCTCTTCCGGAAGAACGTGTGGTCGAACGCGTCGGCATCGTGCATGAAGTTGCCATACCATTTTCGGTCAGCGTCTGTCTTGGGACGGAACAACATGTCGGATGTCATGCGCTCCGGCGTGATGATCTCATGCTGCGACTCGCCCGTCTTCAGCATCGCCTCAAACTCGTTCAGGTCACGTGCACCTGCCACTTGGATGGACATGCCCACGACAGCCACCACGTCGTCGAAGCCGTCGTCAAAGCTGTCGTCAAAGCTGTCGTCAGACCCTCCCCGTTTAACCGTCACCTCGGCACGGTGAGGCATCTCCGCTCCGACTTCTTCGAAATGGACTTGCTTCGGTCCAAACGTGCGCAGAAGAGTCGGTGGCAGCGGCCGGTCCAGGCCAAAGGCGATGAGGGAAGCGTGTTCGTGCTTGGCTGCCAGCCCCGAAACGGTGCTGGTCCAGTTCAGCTGCCGGGTCAGGATCGATCGAAGAACCATGCCGACCAGGTCGACCTCCTCGCCCGAGACCGGCTTTCCGTCTGGCTGGTCGAGGTATGTGGGCAAGGCCAGCAGCGCGGCATCGGGAAACTGTAGACCCGGCAGTGCGTGGCACACCTCAATCAGCGTTTCCGTCAAACGTTCGCGCTCTGCCGTCGGCGTGTGCAGCTGGCCTCGAAACGCCAGCGGCACGGCCGTGATGCCGGCTGCCCGGAGCTGACGCGCCAGCTTGGGGGCTAGACGCTCAGATGCCGTCACCGTAGACCGGCACTCGTCAAACAGGACCGAGACATAGGCGTCGGGGAATGCCTTGGACACAATGTGCGCCATGTCTTCGCCCTGTCTGCGCGTTCGCCACGCCGTCGCCAGCGACACAGATCCCCCCTTCCCGGACTCCTTCGTCCATGCTTCTGTAGCCCCTACCAGAGCGGCCATCAAGGCACCGATCCGCAGAGCCGTGGCACCGTACTTCTGGAACTCTGCACGATCATGCGAGCTGGCGACTGCCACTGCCGCGATCATGTCGGCGCAGAATCCCGCAGTCTCAGCCTTGTTGGCTCCTTCCAGCCGAGACTCCTCTTCCTGCTGCCGCTGCTGCTTCACCAGCTCTGCTTGCAGATCCTTCCCGTCGAGACCGGTCGCACCGCTGAATCGAAATTCCAGGTAGCGCCAGTACTGGTCCAGCTGGATGGCAACCATGAGAATGCCGATCCAAAGGTCGGGGATTTCTTTGTCGGGGTCCAGCGAGCTAACAGAGTCAGGACCATGTCGAAACCAGGAGTCAATCTCAGCAAGCAGAGTGGCACCCTGCATTGTGCCAGCCACTTCAGGCATCTTCTCGGCCATGGCATCCCAATACCGTGGCAGGTCTGCCAAGGCCTCGAGAATCCATTCTCTGTTAGGACCGTCTACGATCTGTCGTACATGTTTGTCCAGTGACTTTTTGCTTTGTGGCCCAATGTGACCCCCAAACAAAAAGCTTGTCGCGTCCTGGACATTGGAGAGTGAGGTGCGTAGAGATACCGTCATCGTTGGTTATGGCGTATGGTAAAGTGTTATGATTGAGGAGACGTAAACCTATGCAAACACGCTCCCACGTTCTCTTTTAAGTAAAATGTAGTTCCCTCCAAAGTTTGTATGCTCAGGTTCCGCGAGAACGTACTTTACGGCAGGGGAGCCATGCGAGTTCCGGAACAAAATAATAGCGATGTGACAGGGCGCAAAACATCCGACATGGAAGGTCTTTTGGCCGTGCTGGGATATGATTTTCCGGGACTATGAAGTTTCTAGTCGTTGGTGGACCCATCAGATAGTGTGTATATCTATCTTATAATCGGTATCTTTCTTCGCTTGTTTCGGCTGTTTGTTTCTACCGACTCGCTTCTCCTTTATGCTCTCATCGAATACATCATCATGGCAAACAACAACACGCACGAAACCGGTGCACCCCCGTTGGAGGTGGCCGTTGTGGGCGGAGGCATCATTGGCGTCATTACAGCCATTGGTCTTCTTCGCCGCGGCATCAACGCCGTCATCTACGAACGGGCCTCTACCTGGCACGAAGTCAGCGCCGGATTTGCCTTTACCGGTGCAGCACGCGTCTGGATGAAGCAGCTAGACCCTGCGCTAGTTGAGCTTCTCAGCAACATCAGCCAGAAAACGGATGCTGATACGAGCAACGCCTACTGGAACGGCTACCACCCACGCACGCGGGAGGATGCCGAGGACGAGTCCAAGTCCTTGCTCTTCCGGACGCCTGCCAACAACCTCAGTTTCTGGGGCTGTGTTCGCTCGCACTTTCTCCTCGGCATGGCTGCTCTGCTGCCCGAGGGAACTGTCAAGTTTAGGAAGCAGCTGGCGACCTATGACGAAAACCCCAATGGAAAGGTCACTCTCCACTTTGACGACGGCACCACTGCCGAGGCGGACATCTTGCTTGGTTGCGACGGCATCCATTCGTCCACCCGGAAAGTCCTCTTGGGCGCAGACCATCCGGCCAGCAAGCCGGGCTTCAGCCACACGGTTGTCTACGAACCATGGTTCCCATCGACGTGGGCATTGCCGCTCTCGGAAACAAGGTTGCCAAGTGTGCCTGCAACCATCTGGGTCCTGATGCAGACCTGTTGGTGTATCCGGTTCGTTCCATGGGGGGGGGGGGGCAAAAGGAAAAACACTGACTCATTCAGGTCATGTCGGGCACGCTGCTGAACATTGCCGTTTTCGCTTACGACGAACCGGAGTTTCCTTGCCCGGACAAGATGACAGTCACGGTGGATCGGTCCGAGATTGAGAAACTGCTCAAGGGCTGGAGTCCCCAGATCGCGGACATTTGGAAACTGTACCCGGAAAAAGTGGTCAAGTGGGGAATCTTTGATCTGGAGGACAACCCGCCACCCACATATGCCCGTGGCCATGTTTGTCTAGTCGGAGACGCGGCGCACGCCAGCACCCCGTACATGGGAGTTGGCGCCTGCACTGGTGTCGAGGATGCCCTTGTGATCTGCACTCTCCTCGAGTCTGTGCAGAAAAAGGCACTAGCAGGACCGGCCTTGGAAGAGGCCCTGACAGCGGCCCTGCAGACTTACACAAATGCGAGGCTGGAGCGAGGCAAGTGGGTCCACCACCAGTCCCGCCAGATGGGACAGATGTACCATTGGCGCTATGGCCCTATGGGACGCGACCCGCAGCGCATGAAGCAGCAGCTCGAGGAGAACTGGGGCAAAGTGGTGACCTTTGACGTTTTGGCACCACTGGACCCCGAGCTGCGTGAATTGGCCATGCGTCCGTCGGTGACTGCAGCAGTTTGAGAGTCGTGCAAGTGGTCATTACAATGACAATGCATGCCGTATAAGAATTAGTAACAATGAATATCGAAGAAACAACTACTCGAATCCTGTGGTTCTGAAGTTGGCTCACTAGTGTATTGTTGTGGTTGGGTACTTCCGAACTATGTCGACGTGCATAAAGCCCCTACTAATTAGGTGGGCTCAGACGCGTTGCGCCACAGGGAGCATGTATCTTTTCATCCTGCGCCACGAAACCGCACTTCCAACCCGTTTTGGCCTAGCTCATTCGACACCACTAATCACGGTGTACTTATGGCCGGTGAAAGCCGAAACCCCGACGGAGATACTTTTCCGCAGTTGATTCTTCGCCACGCAACCATTGCGGCTGCTGCGGCTGATACGGCTGCGGCGGCAGCGGCCGCCGTGATTACGGCAGCCCGTCGTCAATACGGTTTGATTGTATATTGTAGAGATCTGATATTGTATAAGAGAAAATACGAAACATCGGGCAGAGTTCATCCGATCTTTTGTTTCTATACAGCCACCCACTAGCATGCCATTCTGTCACTTCTCTGCAGCCGTCAGTTCTTTGCAAAATGCTTACCACCTTCTTCTGTCTTGTCGTTGCGGCACACGCCTCGGCCGCATCTCTGAAGCATGCTCGCGATTCATTCAACCCGTCAACATATGCCAAAGAAGATGTCATTGAGCGAGACTTTGCCATCATAGGTGGTGGAGCAGCAGGGACATTTGCAGCCTTGAACTTGGCCAAGAAGAACAAATCCATTGTCCTGGTCGAGGCCAGAGATAGACTTGGTGGAAACACTAGGACCTTTCACGACCCTGCCGCTGGTGTCTATGTCGATTTTGGTGTGCAGGTGCACCTGGACGACTCCACCGTTCGCGACTTTTTCGACAGTCTGGACGTGCCTCTGGCTGCTCCGACTGCCAACCAGTGGGGCACCAGCGCATACTACGACTTTGCCAAGAGAGTTGCCCTGCCCAGCTTTACACGAGGTAGCATTGGGGATGACTACATCGCTCAGCTCGACAAGTATTCTTGTGTGCAGGACCTCAACGGTTTGCCCAGTTCCGTTCCTGAGAACCTGCTCTTGACGTGGCCGGAGTACGTCGAGAAGAACAACCTCTCAGAGAGCTCGGCCAAGGGAGGTCTTTCTTGGCCGGCCACTCCCAGCAATCTCTTGGACGCCACTGCTCTCGCCGTTCTGAACGACGGAAACTTCATCGAGATCGCTGAGTTTAGTGGCTCGGGTGTCTACAGCGCTGCTCACGACAACTCTGCCATCTTCGTCAACGCTCTGGCCCAGCTGAATCCGCACGTGCTTCTAGAGTCTCGCATCACTGCTGCCCAGCGTTCGCTGTCTCGCAATGACAGCGTGCTGCTCGTTGCCCAGACCCCGTCGGGCCAAAAGCTCATCCGGGCCAAGCAGCTCATCCTTGCGATGCCACCCATCTTAGACAACACACAGTATTTCGACCTCGACAAGACGGAGATGTCAATTCTGAGCAACTTATCCGGAAAGCACTACTATGGTGGCGTTGTGAATAACACTGGTCTGGATGACAGCATCGCGTACACCAATGCAGGCGTCGACACTCTATACAACGTTGCCAATGTGCCTGGTATCGTCGAAGTTGCTGCATCAGCTTTTGCCGGTTACCACTTTTACTGGTACAACTCGATCGAGGCAACAACACAAGACACGGTGGAGGAGGCAGCTCGAAGCACCATCAAATGGCTACAGACGCAGACAGATGCCTCAGACGTCGAGCCGACCTTTCTCGACTACCAAGACTTCTCACCCTTTCATCTCGCCCCTCCGACTGAGGATATTGCCAATGGTTGGTATGGCAAGATGAAGGGTCTCCAGGGTTACCGGAATACGTGGTATATCAGCTCGCTGTTTGTTGTTGGCGCGACGCAGATCTGGAACAATACCCTGAACATCCTTCCCGATATCATTCAGGCTGCCGATTTGTTCAACTAGGTGAAAAGTTCATGTCTTTTTTTAGATATGGGGATCGCTACGTACTACTGGCAAGAGCTCAACATAAATTCGAGAAAGTCGAAGAAGTCAAATCAAGCACTGCCGACAGTATTTTTATTGTTCTCGGTTCCTCTATAGATTCAGGGACTTATGCTAGCTCATAGGAGTACATTTCCCAAACGTACGATTGCTTTGATATTTTGGTTACAACATTATCAAGTAACACCTTTTATAAAGGAATTACGTAAATCGACTGTTTGGTGGTTCGATTCTGCTGTGTATACTATTCATACTCAAACAGCTGAAACAACGCATCGCGAGTGCAGAAAATAAGTTGCTACAGAGGTACGAAAAGTACATCTGCACCTCAGACCTTTAGTTTGGAATGTACCCTGCGTCTATACTCGTACTTTTGCTATCACTTCAGGGTACCAGCTTGTTTTTTTGTGTCTTCCACGAAATGCCGAAGTAATCCCAGTTGAGAGTGTCTCGAAAAAACGTGCTGTCCAAGTATACACCATCGTTTAGTTTGCCATACGCTCAGCACGGCCCTGCAAAACCTTGACCAAGTCTACACCAGCCTTGGTCGCCTCATCCAAATCCTCTTTCGGCAAGCCGAGCAGCTTGTTCTGGGCCTTGGCCGAGAGGTTGCTCGGATCCTCTGGGAAGAATCCTCTCGCGTACAGAAGCTTTCCGAAGCCAGCCATGTTGCCTGATTTGACCTGAGCCAGACCCTCCTCGTAGCGCTTCTTGGAGGCCTCATGGGTGATGGTCCAGTCAGCATCCTTGGTGCCGGTGACACGCTTGACGCTCTCAAACATGTCGTTCTGGCTGACGACAAAGCTTGTGAGATACACGCCCTTGTTCAACAACTGCGAAAGAGAAAGGCTCTTGTCGCTCTCGTCCTCGGGCAGCTCCTTCAGGCTCAGCACTTTGGCCACGGCGCGTCCAACCTGAGACAATGTCGAGGTCGAGTTCTTGGTGTTGCCGTCATCGTACAGGGTAAGGGCACGCTTATCAAAGTCGAAGCCAAAACGAGACTCGCCTCCCGCCAAGCTGTAGTCGTACCAGAATCCACAGCAGACGTTGATCCAATGCATGCCGAGCCCTTCGATCTCATCCCGCTGCGCCTTGGCCACCGGCCCAAGCAATGTGTCCTCTCCAAACTTGACATTGTCCACGTCGCCCGCATAGCCATTAGGCATTATGTAAGGGACGCCCGCCTTGGCAGCAGCCTGGACCAGCTTGCTGTGGGTGTCACGGGGTGCTGTGGGGCTTACGGAAACAATGAAGAATTGCTGGTCCTTCAGGGCAGCAACAATGCTGGCCTGGTCATCGTAGTCGATTGGAGCGGCCAGGACACCCTCGGGCAGCTTGTTCTTGCTGTCTTTGCGGATGAGGGCCTTTACAGTGTGCTTTCCAGTTTTGAGGAGCGCTGCGGTGATGTGCGATCCAACAGTACCTCCAGCCTAAGGGTTTGTGGGGTTAGTGATCTACCGCCATACTGTTATGCAGAGATGCACGATATGCTTACTCCGACAATGGCAACTCGCTCAATGGCATTTTTGAAGCCGGCGGGCTGATTTCTGGCGTACCGAAACATAACCAATGTGGTTCTGTTTGAAGATAAAAGGGAATAACTTGGAACAAGAAAACCTGGTTCACAAGAAGCTAGTGTAAAGATGTCATTGTGTTTTCCCAAGCGGCCCTTTGCCCCGTAGTCCCTTTATATGTGAGGCTTCGGCGTCGGAGTTAATTGCGCACGGTGGGTCCCGGGGATACGCCGTGAATTGTGGGGCCGCAGCAACCGCAACAGCCGCAACGTCTTCGTGCCGGGATTACAAACCTTGGATACATTCTGTAAACAAGAGCGCAGACAGTCTGGCAATGACACCATAAAAGACAATATGATCAAGCACATATTTCATAAGACTAAAAAGAGCGAGAGCTCCATCGCCTTAACATACGACAGTCAATATCTTTTTCCGGTTCATGCGCCATGACGATGCCTCTGGAGAAAACCGGCACTGCTGCCAACGAGACTTCCTCTTCTAGTACAACAGCAGAGCAGAAGATCCAAGATGGCAGTAGACAAGAGGCTACGCATCCTTCCGTTCAGCGTCCGCAGTCAGTCATCGGCGAAATTCTCTTTATTGCCTTGATCTGCTCTTCTCAACTCCTCGCGCAAGCTGGCCTCGCCATGAGCATTGTCCCACAGCACCTCATTGCCCACTCTTTTGGCATTGAGAACAATCCGGCCAAGGTTAGCTGGTTCTCGGCCGGGTACTCACTCACGGCGGGCACCTGCATTCTGATCGCGGGACGGCTCGGCGACGTCTTTGGCCACAAGCGCTTTTTTGTCGGCGGCTTCTTCTGGTTCTCCCTGTGGTCCCTTCTTGCCGGAGTGGCCGTCTACAGCACGCCCGAGTTCTTTGCCTTCTGCCGCGCCATGCAGGGAATTGGCCCGGCCCTGATGCTGCCCAACGCCATGGCCATCATTGGCCTCTGTTACAATCCCGGTCTACGACAGAACTTGATGTTCAGCCTGTTTGGTGCCACTGCTCCCAGCGGTTTCCTTCTCGGCGCTGTCTTTAGCAGTTTGCTTTCCGAGTTCGCCTGGTGGCCCTGGTCGTATTGGATCATGTGCTTCGTCTGTCTGTTTCTGGCCTTGGCGAGCATCTTTATCACGCCCGGAGCGCCGCCACAGAGCAGCAGCGGCCCGGGACGAGAAAACGCTAGCATCTGGCAACGGATTGACATCTTCGGCTCTATTGCCGGCGTGACCTCGCTGGCCCTCTTCGATTTTGCCTGGAACCAAGGTCCTGTGGTCGGCTGGTCGACACCTTACACGTACATCATCTTGATCATTAGCATCCTTGCCTTTATCGTCTTTGTCCTGATCGAGAAGCGGGTGCGATATCCGCTGATCCCCTTTGGCGTGTTGAAAATCGATGCGCTCTTCAATCTGGCCTGCGTCAGTGCCGGCTGGTCCAGCTTTGGTATCTTCGTTTACTACATGTGGAATTTCCTCGTGGTGCTCAGAGGCCAGTCCACTCTCTATTCATCAGCTCAGTTTGTGCCGATTTCCATCTGCGGAATCCTTGCTGCCCTCACCACCGGTCTGGCTTTGGGCCACTTTCGCGCCTCGACTGTCATGGTACTCGCCATGCTTGCCTTCCTGGCCTCTGGTATCATCTTTGCCACTGTGCCGGTCCACCACACCTACTGGGCACAGACCTTTGTGGGCATCGTCCTTTTCCCCTGGGGCATGGACATGTCTTTCCCTGCTGCCACCATTGTCATGAGTCGAGCGATGCCACGGGAGCACCAGGGCCTGGCCGGGTCCCTCGTCAGCACCTTTGTCAACTACTCGATATCCATCGGGCTCGGCGTTGCAGGTACGGTGGAGGCGCAGGTGGATGACAATGGAAAGAACACCCTGCAAGGCTACCGGGGAGCGTTTTATCTTGGTGTCGGTCTAGCCGGCCTGGGTGTGGTTGTGGCTCTAGTCTTTTGCCTTGTGGAACGTATCCGCGGAGAAGCGCCAGACGAGGCGTCTGATGAGAGGCAAAAGGTCACGAGTTAAAGCACAGTGGAACATGCCTAAATTGGAGGTAGTGTTTTTGAAATTCTAGATGTCCACAAAACCCACATAATCAATTCATCACTTCAGAATCCAAACATTGATCGATATGGTTCAGCGAGAAACTGCTCCCAGGCTAGCATGTCCCAGGTGATGTGTGGCGCTGTATTGCCCACCATCGCCGCCTCGGCGTCTGACTGTACTTCCAATGGTTGCAGACTGTCTTCGACAGCCTCAAGTTCGGAAAGTTCCTTTCGTTTTTTGTCCGCGTTGAGACGGAGGAGCCGCCGTGCCATCGACAATGCTTCGCGTGTCAATTCCGTGTCGACAGCCATGGTGAGGTTCTCCAGGCCTTGAAAGGCAGCAGCGATATGCGTCGAAGCGATCGGCGTGTCCATGGCGAGCAGGACACAGATGTACTGGAAGGCACTACCGATGACGTTCCAGAAGAGACGGCCCTGGTTCACCAGCTGCTGCGCTGCCTCAATTGCCGCCTTTCCAGCATCTATCACGAGCTGAAGGATGTCGTCGGAAATGCCCTGCTTGAGCTGGTAGATGCGGCGATAGAAGCAGAAGGCGAGGTCCGCCCTGGTGACGACCAAGAATGGGTGCGTAAGGCGAAGCCTGTCCAGTGCCCGGAGACGCTCAAACAGCTCTTCGCGCAGCGAAGACGTCTCGCATTTGAGGTGGAAGGGCGAGTTGGGCGCCGGGATGATCTGGGCGATCTGCACAAACTGGTCGGCCACAGACCCGCTCACGAGAAGGACGGAATTGCAGGTGACAGCACGAAACGCGACGGCAGAGCGGTCGTACTCGTAGGCGAGAAAGTTATGTGCGGCCCATGAGACCCAAAAGATGCGCCGCAACCGGTCGGCATCGTGGCCAAGGAGAGCCGCACCGGCGACAGCCGCCGTCTTCTTGATGTTCTCTTCTTCGTGCAGCCCAACGGCTTCGCAGAGATGCATCATTGTGCAGGAGGCAATCCAGACGTTTTCGGGCAGGCTTGTGGCGCGTAGATAGGACACGTGCATGGCCCAGGCAATGATGTGGTCGATGCCCAGCACGCGCATGGAAGCAGTGTCGTCGAGGATGGCCTTGGCATACTGCACCAGCTCGGCCTCCCGCGGGTGCCCAATGGGGGACAGGAACGAACCCAGAGCAGCCACACCGGCAGCCACGGCGCCAAACGCGGTTATGTCGGTGCCGAAGCCAAGATAATAGTCTCGACATCGCTGGGCGAAGATTTCTGGGTCGAGACAGTCGAAGATCGGCGCCAGGGTTGAGAAGTGCACGTCAGAGTACACCTTCAGGTCCTCCTCCGAGATGAGCGTGCCTAGAGGGACATGGCGTGCGTCTGAGGCAGCTGAGGACCGCGTGCCAAAGTTGTAAGCGAGAGAGTGCAGTTTCGAAGGGCTGTCACAGCCAAGGACGCCGCTCAGAACATGGGGGAATGCCATGACAGCAGATCTCCCGGCATACTTGGACTTGTGCTCGTCAAAGATGCCAGCTGGCGCAGACGCGGCTGCGTGTACACTTCGTGCCGAAGACGAGGAGCCTCCCGTATCGCTCGGACTTGGCTCTGCTGGAGACGGTTTACCCGGACTCCGTGACGCGGAAGCAGTGTTACTAGCACCATCATCCTTGGCACGTTTGACTGGTGGGTACGCAGTGTTGCTGGTGATGTCGTCGTCAATAGTGCCTACGGCGTAACTGCAGGTGTACTCATAGGTGGTACATGTTCCACAAGGGAGTTCACCATCGCATTTCCGTTTGCGCTGATGGCAAGGCATGCATGCTTTCCGCGCCCGCTTGCGCCCGGCGGTTGGCATCGACATTCCCCTTGGTGCGGCAGAGGAGTTTTGCAGAGTGTCAAGAGCGGGTCTAGCAGAGATCGAGAGGGATAATTGTGTGAATTTTAGACAAACTAGCGGCCGATGGCCATCGGACGTGAGCGAACTGTACTAAAAATAAAGTACTAGATAGAGAGGCCCGATCGGTCCACTTTACTAAGGCGGTTGACCCACTTCTCTCCAGCCAAGTCCGCAGCCGCGGTTAAGTCGCGCCGGGTATACGACGTAGTAGCGAGCACGGGGTCACCTGTGCGCCAGCTTTGTGTCAACATGGTTCAAGTAGACAAAAAAGCAATCTCTTTCGTCTGGCTTCGTGGCCTAACAGACACCACTTCTAACATTCCTTGCTCAATGAAGCGCACCCATGACCCCGTTATGATCACCAGTCGCCCAAACATGGGTGGACTTCATCGTCTTCAACTTCCACACATCGTCCACTTTGACGGCATCGCAGTTGTAGAAAGCGCCACTGTTGAACTTGGGAGAGTCAGTCTCGTAGCCCTTGCCTAGCACGCAATGAACAGCCATGGCATTGAAGGTCGCACGACTTGTGGTTTCAGAGTCAACGCTGACGCGCATGTTGGTGAGGTAGTGGACCGTGTCGATGAGAGAGTGGACCTTTGTCCAAACGTTGTCCCTGAGCTCTTCGTAGCCATGGCAAGCTTTGAACGCGATGTATGTGTAAACATCGGGCGTCACGCTGGACTTGAGAAGCTTCTCATCAGACTGGTCGATGGACAGAAACGCGCGGTAGCATGCGTCTGCAATGGCTTCACGGTCGCTCAGAGGCGGGCCAGCGAGCTTGGCCGGAAGGGGAGTTCCGTTTTGTACCGTGGTGTTCTCTGTGGGTTTAGAGTGTGGTCTTACGATAAAGTTCTAGGGGCTGCTCGCGGCAGGCATTATGTATTTCTGCATTTTACGCTGTGGGGCTGATTCAAATCCTGCGTCGCTTCCATGTTTCTGCGAAACGGATCCGGAGGAACGTTTGCGGACATTTTGGACTGGACGTCAGCCGGAGTTTTTATCTCGGGAATACTGTTTCCCGTATTACTCGCCCGGATAGTCTCTTGCTACCCGATGAATCACCCGTTGGTATATCGTAGTCTCATGGTGTGCACTAGCCACAAGACCGGACCAGCATTTTGCATATCCAGTCTGGGATGGACATCGCGTAGCATGGTTGACGAGCATTACTCAAGGCGTCATATATGATGACATAATATTCTACCTCTCTTGGCCATTTTTAACTTTATCGACTTTCTTTCGAGGACCCAGTACCCAGTTCACCTGGGCCAGCTGATCTTGGAATGGACACCGACAGCGAGTGGGCCAGTGAGCCTATTGCCGTCATTGGCATGGGCTGCAAATTCGCTGGGGGCTCAAGCAACCCCGACAAGCTGTGGGACCTCATGGCTTCTGGCCAGACGGGTTGGAGTGCGATCCCAGAAGACCGGCGGGACCTCCGTGGAGTTTATCATCCGAATCATGAAAGAACCAACACAGTGCGTATTATGTATACAACGTTGTTCCCCTGTATATTAGTGCTAAACCGTTCCAGTCCCATGTCAAAGGTGGTCACTTTCTTGACGAGGATGTGGCAGCTTTTGATGCGGCCTTCTTCAACTACTCGGCCGAGATGGCCCAAACAGTCGACCCGCAATTCCGACTGCAGCTCGAGTCTACGTATGAAGCACTTGAAAACGGTATGTTTTCCCTCCCACAGAGTCCTCCACATTCTTTGCCCACTAACACTGTTAGCCGGCCTGCCACTGTCAGAGGTGATGGGTTCTCAAACGTCCGTCTTTGCGGGTGTTTTTACGCATGACTACCAGGAAGGGATCATCCGGGACGAAGACAGGCTGCCGCGGTTCAATGTTGTGGGCACATGGGATCCCATGTCATCGAACCGCACCTCGCACTTTTTTGACTTTCGCGGAGCCAGCATGACGCTTGAAACGGGATGTTCGACAACGCTGGTGGCTCTGCATCAAGCAGTGCATAGTTTGCGCAGTCGGGAGGCCGGCATGTCCGTAGTGACGGGAGCCAACGTGATGCTGAACCCGGACACATTCAAGGTGATTGGGTCGCTGGGGATGTTGTCGCCGGACGGTCGCTGTTTCGCTTTTGACGCGCGAGCCAATGGCTACGGCCGTGGCGAAGGTGTGGCCACCATCGTGATCAAGCGGCTGTCAGACGCGCTGGCCAACAACGATCCCATCCGGGCCGTGATTCGCGAGACAGCCCTAAACCAAGACGGCAAGACAGACACGATCACGACGCCATCGAGCACGGCCCATATCGAGCTGATGCGGGAATGCTACCTCCGGGCAGGACTGGATCCACGGGGCACGCAATACTTTGAGGCCCATGGCACGGGAACACCGGCCGGCGACCCGATCGAAGCGGGAGCCATGGCGGCCGTTTTCAGCCAAGGCCCAGGCCGTGAAATCGAAGAACACTATATGCGCATCGGCTCGGTCAAGACCAACATTGGCCATACCGAGGCAGCCTCAGGTGTGGCGGCTATCGTCAAAGGTGTCCTGTGTCTGGAAAAGGGCCTCATTCCGCCTACTGTGAACTACGAGAGGCCCAACCCGAAACTCAAGCTGGACGAGTGGCATCTCAAGGTGGTCCGAGAAGTGGAGCAGTGGCCGGAAAGTCTCGTCGATGGTCCACGCCGCATGTCCATCAACAACTTTGGCTACGGCGGAGCAAACGCTCATGTCATTCTGGAGAATGCGGATCCTTGGACGCAAAGTCTGTTGGATCTGCCCGTCAACGGAAATGGACATACGAATGGTACTGGAAATGGGTATTCGACCAACGATGACGCCAAAGTGTTGGTCTTCAGCGCATGCGACGAGAGAGGCTGCCAGAAGATGGTGGAAAACGTCAAGGCGTATTTGGAAAGCCGCAGTTCACTCGAATACAAGGAGGCCCAACAGCTGCTGCGCAATCTCAGCTACATATTGGGCGAACGTCGGGCGCTCTTTTCTTGGGTGGCAGCTCACCAGATTCGTCTCGACAGAGACGGTCGAGGCAGCAGCAGCCTAAAAGCCGTCATCCAGGCCTTGGATGCTCCCAACTTCAAACCAATCCGCCGCGCCACCGACTCTCCTCCTCGCATTGGCATGCTTTTCACCGGCCAGGGCGCCCAGTGGCATGCGATGGGCCGTGAGCTTCTGACATCGTATCCCGTCTTCCGCCAATCGATTGACGAAGCCGAGGCGCATCTGCGCGATCTCGGTGCGGACTGGTCGCTCTTGGAAGAGCTGCAGAGAGACAAGGCGGTGACAAAGGTGCACTCGACCAAGATCGGCATTCCGATCTGCGTGGCACTCCAGATTGCCTTGGTGTGTCTGCTCGAATCGTGGGGCATCAAGCCGGCTGCAGTTGCGAGCCATTCCTCGGGCGAGATCTCAGCAGCCTTTGCTGTAGGTGCTCTGACACATCGTCAGGCCATAGCCACAGCCTACTACCGCGCCATTCTCGTCGCAGCAGCGGACGAAAAGGAAGAAAAGGAAGACAGACAGACAAAGATACCCGGAGCCATGGCAGCAGTCGGTCTCGGCGTGGAAGCAGTACAGCTATACATTGACCAGCTCGCCAAGACCGACGGCAAAGCTGTGGTTGGCTGCATCAACAGTCCGGAGAGCGTGACCATCTCGGGCGACAGGGATGCGGTGCAGAAGATTGAAGACCTGTGCAAGCAAGACGGCGTGTTCGCCCGGCGTCTCCGTGTCCAGCAGGACTACCACTCGCACCACATGGACCCTTTTGCAGAAGACTACCGCGAGCGTCTTCGTCTGGAAATGGCACGTGACGGGCAAAAGAAACAACGGCAGGGGATGGATCAAAAACAAAGCCTCAAGGCCATCTTTTCGTCCGCCGTCACTGGTGGCCGCATGACCAACATCAAAGACATTGCCAGCCCTGACCATTGGGTCGGCAGTCTGGTGCAGCCAGTCGAGTTTGTGGATGCCTTTACCGACATGGTCCTCGGTGATCTGGACGAGTCGACAGGTCGCAGTGTCGACGTCCTGCTAGAGGTTGGCCCACACACGGCGCTCGGTGGCCCGATCCGTGAGATCCTGTCCTCGCCCGCGTTGGACGGCCTCGAGCTCCCGTACTGGGGCAGTCTTGTTCGTGACGAGCATGCCGGCGACAGCATGCGAGCAGCTGTCACCCATCTGTTCGAGGCCGGCCTGCCCCTGTCCATGAGCGCGATCAACTTTCCCGAGCTCGCCCACGACGAGGACGAGGACGAGAGAGGCCTGCAGGTCTTGACAGACTTACCATCCTATCCGTGGAACCACAGCAGGCGCCACTGGCAAGAGTCGCGCATCAACCATGCCATCAATCGGCGCAGTCAGCCACCACACGAGCTGCTCGGAATGCGTGTTGCCGGCACAGATCCCCGGACGGCCGTTTGGCGTCGTGTGCTGCGTGTCAGCCAGACGCCTTGGGTGTGCGACCACGTGGTCCAGGGCAGCATTCTCTTTCCCGGCTCGGGCTATGTCTGTCTTGCCATCGAGGCAGCTCGACAGCTGCAGCAGGAGAAATCCGAGGCAGTTTCGGGTGTCCGTCTGCGCGACGTCCACTTCCTTCTCGGCCTTGTTGTCCCAGACAACGCTGATGGCGTCGAGATCCACACCACACTGACACCGGTCTCCGATCAAGACCAGGCTTGGCAGCGCTTTGAAGTTTCTTCGGTCACTCTGGACAATCGCTGGACTTTGCATGCTAAGGGCTTAGTCAGAGCTGACAAAGAAGGGGCAGTCGATGATCCAGCACCACCACATCCCCTCTCTACCTACACACGCAGTCCCGATCCCCAGGACTTGTTCGCCAACCTCTGGGTACGCAGCATCTGCCATTAACCGCTCTTCCAAAACACGACCAAAATCGTCCAGGATGGCCGAAAGCCGCGATCCGTATGTGAAATCACCGTCCGCCACGAAACCTCGACCGATGCCGACCCTGTCGAGGCGGCAGAGACTACGCTGCTGCATCCCATCACGCTTGACGCTGCCATTGTTTCGTTTTATTCTGCCTTGCCTAGCGTAGGGGCTCTGCAACAAGACCCAAAGCTGCCGAAGTCGGTCAAGTCCATGTGGGTGTCCAGCAGCATCAGCCGCGAGATGGGCAGCACGTTACGCTGTGACACGACGCTATTGCATGACGATGCCCAGAGAGGGACTGCCGACATAACCGTCTATGAAGATCAGACGGACAACGCGGTGCTCACAATCCAGGGAATCGAGATGGCGTCGCTGGGTCGCGGAAGTGGAGCCATGGCACAGAAGACTTCCGACAGCCAATGGCGATGGGAGCAGGAGCTATGCAGCAAGCTTGTGTGGGGACCGGATCTGTCGCTGCGCAGACCGCTGGCTCTGGCGCAGCTGAAGCAGCAGTTTACTCCGGTAGAGTTGGACGTGGATCGGACCAGAGACCTGGAGCGCCTTTGTGTGTACTTTGCTCGTGAAACACTGCAGACGCTTACGCAAGATGACGTCGCCAAGCTGCAGCAGCAGCAAGATTCACACCTTGCCCGATATTACACCTGGCTGCGCGAGTTGGCTGCCGAAAAAGGCGACAGCAGCAGCCCGACCAGCTCTGACGAGATTCAACGGCTGGTGGCCTCCTTGCAGAGCAAAGGCATCGATGGGCAGCTGATCTGCCACCTCGGACCGCTTCTCCCTTCTATTCTCCGCAACGAGGTCAGTCTGGACGAGGCCGTTGGGCCCTTTTTGGCTGAGTACAACGCGAACTCGATCCGTCGGCTGCCGGCACTACAACAGCTTTCAGCTCTCCTGCGCAAGATCATGCACAAGAACCCAAGTGCTCGTGTTCTCCAGATTCGATCTGGATCTGGCTGGCATGTCACAGAGTCCCCGCTAGCGGCTCTGCTAGCCGAAAGGGCGGATCTTCTCACGTTTGACGAGCTCGATATCAGCCAGAACCAGAACCTCTCCAAGACGACATTGGCCCCGGAAAGCTACGATGTCATAATCGGCTTTCAAGCACTGCACAACAAGGACGCAGGCAATACAACCCGGGTCCTTGCCAATGTGCGCAGTCTTTTGAAGCCGGGCGGCACACTTCTTTTGGCAGAGACGACTGGGGTTCAGGTCGATGTCGACTTTGTCTTTGGTTTGGTCCCAGACTGGTGGCAAGAAAAAGGCACCGACGCCGAAATTGAAGCCGCTGTCGTCTGGGACCGCGTGCTTCGAGATGCCGGTCTAAGTGGCGCGGATCTTGTTCTTCAGGACGTCCAGAGTGACCAGATCCACAGTCACGGCAACATCATCATGTCCACACGCGCGCCGGCACAAGAAGTCGGATTCGCAAAGACGACCAGCTTTGTCGTGGTAAGCACTAAAAACACACCTCTCCACTCACCCAACTGTATTCGCCATCTGTCTAGGGCCATCCAGGCTGCCGCTGGCACGGACGCTGAGATCGAGCATGCTGTTCTGGGGGAGGCCAACTTGGACACGTTCAGGAGCAAAATTCGCGTGTTCCTTGGCGAGATGGATGAGCCCATTCTGGCTGATGTCGACGCCGTACTCATGGAAGGCCTTCGTGCCATGGTCACCCAGTGCAGCGGTCTGCTCTGGATCACAACCGGCGCCACCGCAGAGAAAGCAGTGCCGGAACGGGCTCTTCATCATGGTTTCCTGCGCGTGCTGCGCAACGAGTACATTGGCCGTCCATTTCTCTCTCTAGACCTCGACCCGGCCAAGCGGTCCTCTTCAGACGAACATGACAGCATTTCCGCAACCATTGTAGAGGTGCTCGAGCAGGCTTTCGGTACTGTTACCGAAGAGGTCAAAATTGAGGCTGGTCCTGCGGAATTGGAGTATGCTGAACGTGACGGCCTTCTCCTTGTTCCTCGGTACTACAAAGATGGTCACTACAACGACATGGTTGTCGGCCCTCTGGTGCACAGCTGGGGTCATGGAGCCGAGAACGATGAGACAGTTTCCAGCATTCCTCTGGAAAGCTTCTTCCAGGACCGGTCTCTGCGACTGCAAGCAGGCATCCCTGGACACCTCGACACGTTGGCTTTTGTTGACGATGCAAAGAACAAGGATCTGCCGTCGCATCTCGTCAAAATCTCTCCCCGATCGTACGGCGTCTGTTCACGCGATGTCCTGGCTGCAATGGGCCAGCTCAAGTCTACATCTGCTGAAATGGGCTTTGAATGTGCTGGCATCATCATGGATGTCGGTAGGGAAGCCCGCGAGAATGGCTACCACGTGGGGGACCGTGTCCTAGCACTCTTGCCAGGCTCTTCTTTTGCCAGCCAGGTCCGTGTCCCGTGGCATGGCGTTGTGCCCATCCTGACTGGAATGAACTGGGCCACCGCCGCATCAGTTCCCTTGGCTTTCGCCATCGCCTACGCTGCTCTTGTCGATGCTGCACACCTCACCGCAAAACAGACTGTGCTCGTTCACGCTGCCGGCGGTGCTGTCGGACAGGCTGCCATCATGATGGCCAGACACCTTGGCGTGGAAGACATTTACGCCACAGTCGGCTCACCGGAGGAGCGAGCCCTTGTTCAGCAGCAGTACAGCCTCCCGGCCGATCACGTGATCTCCGCTCTTGACGATTCGTTTGCCGCTTCTGTCCTGGCCGCTACTCAGGGACACGGGGTTGATGCCGTGCTCCATTCCAACCCCTACTCTCTACAGGCCAGTCTGGACGTCCTCGCACCCTTGGGCTGTCTAGTCGAAACCGAGAAGAATGACTCTGGTAGCAACAGCCCGGTGCCGCTGGAGTCCTTCTCTCGCGGCATCTCCTTTGTGTCTCTGGATATGTCCACTGTCCTACGTCGTCGTGGACCCGACATCCATCGCGCTCTTTCGGATGTGGTCCGTCTGTTTGAGAACCATGCCTTGAAGCCAGTCCATCCCGTCACTGTCTATCCTATGAGCAAAATTGAGGAAGCTTTCCGGACCATGCAAACCGGCAAGCAGATGGGCAAGGTTGTACTCTCTGCAGAGCCCGACGAACAGGCCTTTGTGGTTCCTCGCCCGCACGGAGTAACGCCTCGCACGAAGCTTCGTCCAGACGCCTCGTACCTCGTCGTGGGCGGCGTGGGTGGCATCGGACGTTCCGTTGCCCACTGGCTGGTGGCCCATGGTGCAAAATACTTGCTCCTTTTGTCTCGCAGTGCCAGTGCGCTCGACCTCGAGAAGAACAGGGAGACAAGCGGTGCGCGCTTCATTCGCGAGCTGCGCGGGCTCGGCTGCCATGTCAAAACCATCAGCTGCGATGTTGCCCTCGCCAGCTCGCTCACCAAAGCCATCAAGACGTGCCAAGAGGAAGACGGCTTCCCTCCCGTCCGTGGTGTTGTCCAGGGCGCCATGCTGCTGCGTGACGCCGTCTTTGAGCAGATGACCCTCGCCGACTGGACAGATGGCCTCCGGCCGAAGCTGTATGGCACGTGGAACTTGCATACCGAGTTTGCGCAGCCCGACGCCCTCGACTTTTTCGTCATGCTGTCGTCTGTGTCTGGTGTCGTCGGCATCGCATCACAGACCAACTATGCGGCCGGAGGAACCTATGAAGATGCCATGGCCAGCTGGCGACAGTCGCACGGCCTACCTGCTGTCGCTATTGATCTCGGTCCCATCTCTGACATTGGCTTCGTTTCCACCTCGGTCAAAGTGGCAGATCGTCTGCGCAAAGACGGTGATTTCGCCATGCTCGACGAGGATATTGTCCTGCGTGCCCTCCACGCTGCCATCCAAAATCCGTTTGGTCCTCGCTCCCAGATCATTGCAGGCCTCAACGGCTCCCCCGGCCCGTAGTGGGATCTCGACGGTCGCTCGCAGCTCGGTCGTGACGCGCGCTTTGCGCCTTTGCGGCCACACAGCAAGGCCGCTGCGCAACCGGTCGACGGCAATGAATCCCGGGCCTCACTCGCTGCGCAGCTCGCTGCGGCCAGCGACCGTGAAGAAGGGGCCAGACTTGTGGCCGCAGCTGTGGCTGCCAAGCTCGCAGACATCTTTTTGACGCCCGTCGAGGAAATCGATCTCGGCAAGCCTCCGTCGCATTTTGGCGTCGACTCGCTCGCGGCGATCGAGGTGCGGAACATGCTGGTTTTGCAGGCCGCGGCAGATATCTCCATCTTCAACATCTTGCAGACAGGAAGCATCGTCGAGCTGGCAGATTTGGTGGCGGAGAAGAGCCGTCGTTTCGCAGATGCGTAGATGGAAAAGAACGGATGCGGCAAGCTTTTCCTAATGCTCTTGTGTGCTTCTCTTTTTTTCTATCTATCTATTATAGTTGGTCCAGTTCCGTTTGCTATCTATGTTCTTACGTGTACTCCGTACAGATGACTGGTTTGTTCGAAATAGACAAGAAAACAACCGTAATGAAAAATACTTGCAGCCAAAGCTTCGTCGCTTCCCTTTCTCTCACCACCAATCATTAGATCTGTCGTATCATTGCATCGACATTGGCACTTCAGTCTGAGAAAAGTAGTTGTACTTTTCGTTCCCGGACTTCAAGAGCTCGATAAAATCTTCAGCAACCTTGTTCAACCCGTAAAAGGCCTGCAGTGTCGTCATGATACCTGGTATGAGTTTCACATAGGCATTATTGAACCCGGGATGGGACTGGGAGAATCGACCACCCAAAAGCAGCAAGATGGGGGTCAAGGGATGCACCTGCGGCAAAATGTTAGTAGCGATGGCGATCCATGTTGCTTCATCGGTTGCCCAGTTATGTACCTGGAAATGCTGACCAAGCACTGTGACGACTAGAGCCGCATCGTCCACCGCATCCAGTGACTGCTGCTTGTGCTCGGCAGAGAGCGCCTGTGTCAGCCGCATTCCCTGTGCCTCACTGCCCAAGGGTCTGGATTCTGCAAGCTCGTAGAGCATCAGCACAGACACATGTGCCCCCAGAGTAGCAAAGGCAATGAGGGGATCTGGGTACTCCAGTGAAGCATAGATTTGCAGCAAATCTATGCGTTGTCCTAGCAATGCGTAAAGTGAACGATGTCGACTACAAAAGTCCTGCAGCTTAGATGGAGGTTTCTGTTTGTGTTCCAACACCCGTCCACAGATGGCAGCCGCAATGGCACTCTCCGCAAATGGCGAGAGATCGCCGTCCGTACACCGAATGTCATCACCGGAAATGACGTCTGCAAGAAAACGCATATTCGTGGAAAGACCGTTGACGAAATTGACCTCGGAAGCCGGCAGGCGAGTGCGGATCTGATGAATTGTAAGCAAGGCAAGTAAATGCTGGAACAATGCACACACCAGATGCTCGTCGAAGAACATGTGCAGTCCATCGACCATGCTTGTGAACCGATCAATGGTATAGGCAAGCCAAAACGTTCGTCTCTTGCTTTCCAGATCGATCCAATCTTCCTGCACCGGGTCCTGCAGATGGACAATCCCTGGACACTGCTCGAGCTGCATGTTGGGCGTTGTTTGCGGCGCGTCCAACTCATAGAGCCTCATCATCTGGATCAACCGAAAGGCCCTTCCTGCCGACATCAGACCCCTATGGAAGTCTTGACACGTAAGCTCGTAAATGGCCAGCAGGGTCCATGCTTGCGCCAGCTCCGAGCATAAGTGATGGCACGTTTCTTCGGGTTCAAATGCCTGAAACAGTTGTCTTGTCTTGGCGTACAGCTTGCACTCGTAAACTTGGAATTGGCTCGAGCGCGATGTGGCCAAGGTCCACATGGCATGCTGCAGGCAATCCTTCTTCTTGGTCTTGCCAGGTTCTCTGGACCAAGAACGGTAACGATGTATCTGCACAACGGGTGCAAATGGATACACTCGATCGAAGAAAAGCTGATCTCTGCATATATTAGAGAGAGAAGGAGGAAGGGGGGGAGAAGAAAAAAGGGGAGGGAGGGAGAAAGAACAAAACGATCTTGACTCAGCTGTCACAAAAAAATCAGCTCTATCATATCAACGAGACATAAGATACGTACAGATCATTGTGCATCATGGGTGCGATCACTAGATCTGACTCCGCTGGTAATACAGCCTGCCCCGGGAAGTCTTCTAATGGGGGGACGGACGAAAATGGGGCAAACGAGAGAAATGGTGAACAAGTAAACGAAGTATCGAAGCAATTCCTGGACATGGAATCAATAGTGTCAAATGGACATTCCATTGCGGTCGACGACAACTGGACAATACCGGATACATCGGGTGTCGTGATGGTGGTTTCGGGTACTTGTTGCAATTCGTCGCAGTTTATATTGCTGCTCCCACTGTCCCCATTGCCCTCCGTATGATCATTTTGGGAAGCTGACGAGGAACTTGTTCCCCGGGATGTCGTTCCAGAAGTGGAAGATGGCCCTTGCTGTACATTAAGCTGACTCTGCAGATCCCCTAGTGAAAAGCAACTTGTCAGCACAGATGGGCTTCGGGATTTTGCCCTCTACTTTCTGATGATACTTACCAATTCGCTTCTGTAGCATCTTAAGGTACCCCTTCTTAGGCCCTCTAGGCAGGATACTGTCCCGTATGGCACAGGATGCTCCAGAATTAGCACAAGCCGTGCATTGCGGTGTGGCCCTGTCGCAGCGGATTCTCTTTCTTCGGCATTCTTCACACTAACGTGCCAAATTGTTAGCGCCCAAAGGCCTCTCTCTGCTTAGGCAAAACTTGTCCGGCTTACAGCGCCTCTTGGCTGTTGTGGTAGCAATTGTCCCACCATGGCTGTTTTCGACCAGTATTTTCATGCGCTCAGCTATATCTGGGAACTTCGAGGTGTTGAGCAGCACATGCCTGGTTGGCGGTGCTACTTCCATCTTTTATGCACTTCAACACGCTAGATGGAACCCGCCGATGACACCATGACTGTGCAAACACGCATAAAAGTCCCAGCTCAGGCGTACGACGTCTGACGAGGAGAAAGCTCTAGTAGCGTGTAAAATCTGGAACCGTGCATAGAAAGGCCCTACTAGTTCTTTGTGAGCATCGTGGATCACTTTGTGAGCATCGTGGATCACTCGGGAGAATCGTCCAATATCTGTCCACTCAGATTGTACCTTGACGTGTGAAGTACTCTGCAGATAGCCGAAGATTAATCTGACGCTATCAGGCTGGCATTACTCATAGCTGAACAGGCATCGAAGGCGCAGATCAACCTTCCTCTTTCATACTAGTACCGAAATCCCCAGCAAGCTTTGCGGTCAGCTGATTAATTCTGACCGACAATAAAAGCTTCATCATCACGGTTAGCACCGTAACTGGCTGCTGTCCATGTAATGTGCCCACAAATGATTTAAGGGACATATAGGTATGTGGCGGAAACAAGGAAAATCTTCTAGAAGTGAAGGGCCTCCGAAGGCCAGCCCACGGAGAAGGTTTATTGACCCTCCCTACAAATACGTACAAGGTAACACCGGTTACTTTAGGCTGAACGGTGTTGAATTGAATTGGTCATATATAGCCTTGCCTACTATGCCGCAGGGTATGGGATCCCTACTTTTGCACGTAGTGCAGGTGATGTGACATGTCAACAGATAGCTCCATCGTCGCCCGGGCTCTCCAGGCCTCGGCCTTCGATCCACCCTACTGAAGTCGATGCCGTGCATTTGCCTTACACTCGATCTCCTTTGTCTCTTTCCTGTTTGTTTTGACCATCCATTTCCTTTACAAAAACAAGTGGGTCAGCCACTCGGCCCAGTACCTATGCATGCATAAGGAATCCTACTCATCCATATTTCAAGATTAATGTGAGCTGCAATTGAAGACATGGGAGGTGTGGTAGGGGGCGAACCAGTGGGAGAACGGTGGAAATGTCAAACCCATCAGTTTTGTGGCAGTGGCGTAAAATACCGGATGGTCTCGGGCATTGCTATGACAATTCAGTCAAGCAGGTTATCAGATATCGATACAAGCATCGAGAAAGGTACAAAAAATGCGCTCATCTTCCAATATGTTCTGCTCATCCAGAATACTAGTCCCTACAACACACACTAGTCAGATGCTACGGCCATCTATAAAGGATCCATAGAATTGCCTAGATTCTGTAACGTGTCTACAGCACGTGGTTGATGGAGGCAAATCATACTTTAGTGCCGCTCTGCTACTACGCAAATATAAGAAGAGATAGCCTCGCTCTGTATAGTTTGATACTAACTGGAGAATTTTAGTAGGTATATTCTAAACTCTATCATTTCTACAAATCTTTCTTTGACTTAGCCAGACTTGGGAGGGCCAGCAGAGGCAGGCAAGTTAGAGGGGGAACAAGCGGGAGAAGAGGCATAAACTAGTAGTGAAAGGCGTGCATGCAGGGGTCTGTTTCACGGGGTGTATTGAGTCTCTATCTCAACCCCCGCCTCCCAAAGGAGGGCTATTCAAGGCCCTGCTTCCTCACCCAGGGTCACGTGCCCATCGTGTCCCCCCTACTTCCCCTTTACATTGTAGCCCTACGTCACTAATAGGCAGAAGAGGGGCTAAAGAACTTGTATAACTAGGAGGCTAGATGGGCTAGTGGAATTGGCCACCGTGGAGGACGTTACTGTGTTATCTACGGTGTACTCCGTACGGCCCGTACATATAGTGGCCCTCGTTCCGCTGAAACTCGTACGTATCTTACATAATGGCGTATGCGAGGGATTAACCGCAGATCTTTAGGAATCGTCCGCCACTTTGCGCCAAGAAGACATCAAGTCCGAACCTCATGTTTTCCCCAGCTTCCACTCAGTAGTCCTCTTCGGGACAAAGTACGCTCTTGAACGGCGCGTATGAGTCGTCCACAGCGAGTAGCACAACGGGAAGATTGACACTCGCCTCCCCTTGCTAAGCGGCAGAGCCCGCCGTCCCAAGCTCGGGGTCTTTATTCATGGTGTCGGCATCGGCGGCGCCGGAGTCTAAATAGCCCCAACCACCGTTTGGCAGCAATCCCATGCGTGGCGCGAATGCACTCGGCTGCTCCAAATCGAATATTTGCTTCTCCTTATTTTTCTGCAAGCTCTCGCCCGCCACTTCTGCGACGCCAGCCAGTTAAGGTCTCGTATTAGAAAGATAGGGCGGCCATACGTTTGAGCGAGTTTTGATCGACGAAACAGACATGTTCTTGGTATCAAAGGCGGGTATTATTTGTAGCTGCAACCCACCAAACTCAACCTTGCCTGTTATCTGGTATTCGATGGAGACCCCGGCAGGCACAGAGACACGCTGCCCGTTCCGGTAGTCTTGGTCGTTGCCATCATCGTACCAATCCTGAAGCAGTCCTTTTCCAATGGATGAGCTCTTGTCTTTTCGAGCAGCCGACTCTTCAGTCGAAGAGTGAATTATAGCCATTGCAACACACTGTTTTGCAACCCTGGGTTCCACGGAATCACCATCGAGCCACCGCTGCTCCGGCAAAACGATGTAGTCCTGGCCTGGGGCTGTTTCGATTGCGGAGGACACGACCCATATCTCTGGTAATGTGTTCGCCTGTGATTCCATTCACGCCACCAAGATATGGACGGATGGCGAATTTGTTTTCCGAGCCGGATGATCTTCGGTGTCTGAAATTAATCCACATGGCTTCAATTTCTATCCTGCGAGCTCAGTTCACCGCTGCATGAGTTGTTACAAAAGCAAAGGGGAGATTTTAGAAAATAAAGGACAATGACGAATGTAAGGACACACGTTACAGCGGAACGAATAAGCCGCCTTGGGCCACCATAGCTGGCGATAGATTTCCAATGAATGGGAGAATGTCAAATAGCGGAAGTGGACCAAGACCGGATGGCAGGTCGTATTCGTTATTGTCTTCCAGGAGTCATATGGTGCGCTGGAAGGAGATACTCAGATCTAGGTTTGTCGCGCTTTTTCTAGCGATGGTAATAGACTTTGAAGGCGGCTGGCTTGGGTTGATCCTCTGTGTTCAAGTTTACTTCCAGCGGGTCTGGAAACACCCATGTCGTTGACCTCAAAGATCGCCCACAGTCTGACGACCTGGCGGGGCAAGACGGATCACGGCGATGCAGACCAGACGGTGGAAACTTTTGCTGTGCACCTCAGCTAGACAATTGAGCGCTTTGATAGTTCCAGGCGCGAGTGTCAGCGCGCCTGAGGCCCTGCTTCTAGGAAATGTGCTTATGGTCGAGGGTAGCTCGTAAGGACAGAGAGTAGGGCCACAGGATCCGCCATATGGCTTAAACACACACACATACAGCACAAGAAACGATACAGGGAAACGGGACGATCCAACGGCTGAGCTCCTCAATGTGCTCACATGTTCCAATTTAGCCAAGATGCGATCGTCAGACTCTCCGATAGCAGTATACATGCGCTGACTAAGCAAGAACTATCTTTAAACAGCTATCGATACTAGTTTCGACGTTTTACAGATTTTCGATCACGTAAATGAGAGGGCACATGGTTGCGCTACAAATCAACATAGTTCTGGACAATCGGGATATACGCGGTCTGTGCGCCGATCTGATGTGCTGTGAAAGTTCCCGTAATGGATTAGCTTCACTAATGAAAAAAAGTCAAACAAAGCTTCAATAATCTCATACAGGTATTAACCCCTTTTCAACGAGGCAGAAACATCTGGCGGACGATGGGCGTACCGCTCTGGCCTTTCCTGGCCTAGGTTCCTAGGTATGATCTTCGTGTGGATATGATTTGGAATACAACGGCTAAGTAGTGCGGAAATCGATCCTAGGGACTATCAACAACAATGTGGTATACCAAAACGAGCCTACTCGTCGGCAACGATTGGCTTCTGAGCCCAGGCCACGTTAATCCTGCAGAAGCTATGCAAGCTTTTGTCCCGTAGTTCTTTGTGGACATGAGCAGCATACACAATCACCTCTGACGGGGTCCAGCCGAGCTTGGATGCCGAGTAGCTTATCATACCTTCAATGTCATTCTCAAGTCCAGCTTTCACAAATGTACCAATCTCAGCCTGCTTCGGATCTTCTGGCCACTCTCCACACGGCATCTGTGGAGAAAATAGACCGTTAATCAACAGAGTAAATTAGAGAGACATGGAATGGGACACACCTTGAACATCTTCTCTTGTATGTTGACGAAGCCGGCCTCCTCGAGTGATTTTCTCTGAATCTTGTCACGTACAACACTATAAGACGCCTTGGAACCCATTTTCTTAGCTCCTTCGCGGAAAAGATAGCCCCACTGGGCCATGGCGGACTTCTCGGACAGCGTTCCGTCGTCCGACTCGTAGAAGCCGTTTGCCTCGGAAGTTTCGATCCAGCCGCCGGGTTTCAGGACCCTGAAGATCTCTCGGAACAGCGCCGTCCAGTCTTCAACGCAGCCAATTAGCCACCGCATATGCACATAGTCGATTGAATTCTCTTCGAACAACCATGTTTGTCTAAAGTCATCAATTTGACTGAAGTAGATTGGTTAGCCTTTACTGTGTAGATGAGAAGCTAAATGCTGAGGCCTTCCTTACAAGCGTACGTTGGGCGGGACCCAGCCAGGCTGGATAGGCGACAAGTCAGTGCCAATGACCTCTGCATTGGGATAAGTGTCGCCAAAGTCTCTACGCGGACAGTTAGCCTTCATTTTCTTGTCTGTTTCAGTGAAGTAATGGCCATGCTGCTTCTTACATTGCCCATATGCCTGTGCCAGTTCCGATGTCGATGACTTTCTGCACCAATTGTCAGCTTTCCAGCCACTAGTGCATTTAAAACCAACCGATCTCACCTGTATGTTGTCCAGCAGGGGCGCAAGATGGAGTTTGTCGTCATGAAGGAGCAAAAATGCGTGGTGCCTGGTCGTTAGAGTACAGCCGTCTAAGGAAGACGTTCCACGGGCTTACATGATGTCTAGCGCCTCGTTCTGGCGATCGTCGTTGGGGCCCCTGTGCACGTTCAGTGTTCTGTTCTTACCCTTGCTGACACTCTGGGTGACTCACCAATAGTGGTTATTTCCACGATCGCTGTGATACGTGCGTCCATTGATAGAACGATAATGCAAAATGCTCGACGAGATGGATGCTGTCGAGCTGGACACATCGTCGCCATTTGCCGAGTCGGCGTCACCCTACACCAAGGTCAGGAGCAAGTCAGGCTATGAGGGACAGCAGAACCTACTTCCGGCCGTGGCTGCTCTGTCCAGTGCTGCGGCAGTTGAAGCTCACCTTCTCCTGGTACTAATGGACTCGGCATTGTATTGAACGATAGTATAGGACCAATCAGTACAGAGAAATCGATGATGTTAATGAATCGATGACAGGATAAAGACGAGAGGAATAAAAGAGAAAAGGTAGCGCGTGCCCGTGTGGGCGGGGCAGTCCTATTTGTAGCCGTCTCCAAATCGTACGTGGCAGCATGCTCTGTCGGCCATGCCCGATGGTACCCTAGAACGGCCATGCTATCCAAGCTACGGTTGCAGTACATACGTAGTAGTTTCCCACGGAGCATATCCGCAAATACTTGGGAAATGCTGCAAGAGGAAGGAGAAAGCGCTGTTGGCTTTCAGTCTGTAAAAGGATTATTATCTAAGCCTTGACCACAGTGTATACGAGAAGAACGGCGATACCAAGAGTGGTAACCGTGTCACGCCCCACTTTAATTGGAACACGCATAACGTGCACCAACTAAAGTTGGTGCTACCCACCCTACCTGATTGTAACGCCGCCCCAGGAAGGGGACCGACGCAGGCCACGCGCAAGCCGTACGCAGTATGCGCACAGCGTATTAGATGCACGTCGTGGACTAGAAGCGGTGCTTGTGGCGCAGGCTGCGTGGCGCAGTCTGCGCACAGGCCACAGCACGTGCTAGCGCACGGGCTAAGTAGAAACGGGGTCGCGCCTGCCCTGCGCACTTGGTGCGCCAGAGGTGCGCCTACGATAAAGAGCGCCTCCCGCACTCCCTTAGAGTGTAGGAGGCAAGAATTAGCTATTGAATATACGGCTGCTTCCTTCTGTTAAGAAGATACCTCCTTGCCTGCCTAACTTACCTGGCCTACCTAAGTACACCTTTAATAATTCCTAATTCTTTTACTATTAGGCTACCCGAGTTAGGAGGCAAAAGGAGCAATGGCACCTTAAAAGACTATAAAGCAAACGTTGCACGCATATAGTGCGTAGGAAGAGAGCAGCTTTAAGGCGATAGTTAAGAACCCCCTTAACCCTATTGTCGAAGAAGTAGAGAACGAAGACTTTAATCTTTTAGAGGAGGATTATAAGTAACTAGATAACGATAATGTAGGCGAAGGCCCCTTAGGGTAGACTATTAAGCCTACTATAGACTAGATAGTAGCAGACCTTATTGCTAAAAATAATCGACTATATAAAGTAAAGCGCTTAAAGTAGCAAATAGTAAACTTATAGCAATAGCTTCTAGATATATATAAGAGTATTTGTAACGCCGCCCCAGGAAGGGGACCGACGCAGGCTACGCGCAAGCCGTACGCAGTATGCGCACAGCGTATTAGATGCACATCGTGAACTAGAAGCGGTGCTAGTGGCGCAGGCTGCGTGGCGCAGTCTGCGCACAGGCCACAGCACGTGCTAGCGCACGGGCCAAGTAGAAACGGGGTCGCGCCTGTCCTGCGCACTTGGTGCGCCAGAGGTGCGCCTACGATAAAGAGTGCCTCCCGCACTCCCTTAGAGTGCAGAAGGCAAGAATTAGCTATTGAATATACGGCTGCTTCCTCCTGTTAAGAAGATACCTCCTTGCCTGCCTAACTTACCTAGCCTACCTAAGTACACCTTTAACACTAGTAGGCTAAGGCCTTTAAATATATTCTTCTCTTATTTATTCTAGTCTGCGCTACTAGTAAGCGTTAGCACTTGCTTTAAGCAATAGCTTATAAACAGCTTAATATATGTAAGGGGCTGGTGTGCAATGCGTGGTCACGAAGGCTTAACTGGTTTGTACTGTTGTATTAAGACTTCAACTTAACGAACTATAGGAGATTGGTAGGCGAAGGCCTGCCAGCTAATATATACGTGGCTGGAAGATGCGGTGTAGCGCAAACCTAGTAGGGCGTGGCGCAGCTAAGTGGCTGTGCTAGTCCCGTGCAACGTGTCAAGATAGTTCGTTAAGTCCGCCGCTTGGTAAGCGACTGGTTGCCGAACCGGTGCGTAGGGACGCGTGTGTGGAATACCCTTACAATATATGTCGGGTTAACCTAAATCGGATTAAGCGCTACTGCACTAGCTTATAACATAGTAAGAGATTTAGGTTTTAGTTCTAGATTGTAAAATGATTTAGAAGCTTAGCCTTGTAAATGCTACTTTTTTTAGCTACGTAAATGCTGCTTTTAATGCTTAACTTAGACTTAGCGTCTAATTTTAATTTAACAATTAGAGGTCTGCTGCTTAGTCTGCCACTAGGAGTTCTATTCTAGCCAGGCAAGGTTATAAATATAACCTTAGTAATCTTAACAAGGTTCTTTTCGTCCGTCAGATCAGTGCCCAAAGCACTAGGTGCTTTACAAAGCGTATTGTAAAGGCTTTTCGGTTTATTTGTTCAGCTTCTCCCGGTCCTCTTAGGCCGGGCTTATAACCTGTCAAGGTTAAAGGAGGCTATACGTAGCGGTCATATAACGTGATGCACTGTGAGGAGCAGGAGGCTGAATAGGGTCTAGTGTGGGCGAAAGAGTGTTGTGTACTAAGGAAGAAATAGATACATCGCGACCCTTCTGGGGATCCGTATTAATACTAGTGTCAGGCCCCGCTTTTGTGCCTTCTAACCAATCACAGGCCCGTACGGCCAAGTGGGGCGGAAGGGCCACAGTGTGGCGGATTCCAATGCTTGACAATATTCTCTTAAACTTAGCGCTTTAAATCTAAAGTCTTTTAACGGTAAACCTTATACTTATGCCGAGATATAAAGCAAGTAGTCCAGTTGTAGCCCACTAGTTTAAATGCCGCATCTCTAAGACGTTCGTAAAGCAGTAGATTTGCTGCGTCTGCAATAAACTCCTGCTGTACAGCAAGGTTTACACCTTCTAGCCTATCGATATACCGACATATAGCCACCTCTTCTGGAACCGTAAGTCGACCGTGCGTTGCTGGCCGCCCTTTTCGACCATTAATGCCACGAAGTCGGCTATAGAGCACGCTGTATAGAACTTCGAATTGTTTCGCGACAGAACGTATAGAGGACTTAGGAGTTGTCGTATAGTACTAAACAGCGCCCTGTAGACGGGACTCTGCAATTTGTTTGTCCATATCGCGTTTCGTTAATAAAGTAGGGATTTTAGAAGCTTGGTGATGCCATTGTTGATCAGGTAGGGTGGGTGATCAGGTAGGGTGGGTAGCACCAACTTTAGTTGGTGCACGTTATGCGTGTTCCAATTAAAGTGGGGCGTGGCACGGTTATGGCTCAGCAATGAGGAATTTTTCTTCTTGACGTTATCTTACATACGGAGACATATTTTCGGGTCCGAAAAAACTCCAGAAATACGACGTATGCACGTTATACCCGTAGTATTTTCCACTTTAACAACTGGAATACGCCTATAATTGGCTCAATCCCCTTGGCGGAGTCTCTGCGGAGAGCGTTCCGGATTGCCGCTTTCTTACTCCATACCCTTGTCTTGTACGGAGTATCGCTTCCTTCTACCTTGTCATTTCTCCGTAGTCAACTAAAGTGGAACATTACCCCTCCTGCACGAGACGAACCTGAGGAAATGAAGGATGACTTAGAAGGCTGGATGTCGACTTACTCCGTAAAGCGTAAGCCGTCGCTGCCATACGGAAAGTCAGGTTCTGCTTAGTGCTTTCTTTAGCTCCACATAAATACGGCCCGAAAGAGTTTAATCTCGTCCGTGTCGGCGATCGGCGGCTCCGTACTCCGTGCATCTCTGTCTATTCGAAGGACGAATGCAGTCCATACAGATGTGGCGTACTGCCAGTTCTACCTTTTGCCCTTACTTGACCGATTCCGTATCATCATGTAAGTTCTGGCTCGGTCCCGGGCAACGGCTAAGCCCTGGTAGATGTAGGCAAACCACGACATAAATATCCGTGACCCGGCAGAGCGACCTCTTATTTTTAATGCACCTCCGGCACTATCCATGGCCCGACAAAGTCGTCCATGAGAAAGTAGCCCTGGGCCAAGCTGGTCTGGGTCGAGGCCACCTCGTTACGGATCTTGAGGTTCTGCGGAGTGATGGGATGGGAATGTTTGTATATTGCGTGGTACAGGCGGCACGTGTTCCTATTTACATATCTCTGAGGTAGTCCATAGACTTCCACAATACACACGCACTCATTGGGCTTCTGTCATCCGACACATTATGACTGACTGATAATATCAGCCACCAAGGACTCCCATGATCCACCAAATCCATCGGTTCCGCCATTGCCGAACTGAACGCCATCCGGTAATCGCATAGTTTCAGCCACGTTTGGTCCTGTTGTAAACCCGTGAAGATGGGCATCACCAATCGTGTCGTGGATATAGTTCATGGTGCCTTGATTGACCTGTGTCAAGCTTTGAAAGTTCCAGCTCGCTGCGGCATAGTGATAGATTGCGCTGTTGGATCCCACATACCACTGGGCAAGACCCATCCGGCAAACGGTGTCACCTCCGCTACACCAAGAGAAGTTGGGGTCGGAGCTGGTGACCGAAAATGGTGTCCCTGGAAGCACGGCACCGTTATTGCCTTGGTTGTAGTTCGTCTCGCTCTGAAATAGGGAAATGAACACGTTGGCGGCGTTGTGGAAGCCAAGCTGAAAGAGCCAGTTGTGCTCAGAGCCAACGCCCGTAAGCCATGTTCCACTCGTTGCTTCAACGAAAACGCCACCCTTGACAGCTGTTCGGATGCCTTTTCCACTATTGTCAGTCGCATGGTCGGCAACCCATGACCAAAAATTGTCGACATAAGCAGAGGAGCCAGCTGCGAGATGCAAGCCTAGATACGCTGCTCGACAGTTGGACTCGCTGCTACAACTGAGCGACGTGTCGCGTGTGCCTCCTATGGTGTTGAGCGAATTAAAAATACCAACGTCACCAGGGCTGTTGCCAGCCATGTTGACTCGAAGCAGAATGGCACCTGGTAGAGCCTCGTTGACGGTAAAGCGGATGTCCTGAACATGGGCCGTGCCTTTTTGTCCCGCTGTGCTGCCAATTTGTACCACCGGTGTTGGGTTTGATTCGGAAGAGAAAGCGCTGCCGGAGCCAGAAATCGTGGACCAGGCTTCACCGTAAAGTTCCGTACCAGAAGGTAGTGTGATGGTTGAGGTCACTCGGTAGATCCCAAAAGGAAGATACGCGATCTTGCCTTGACTCGCTGCAGTATCAATGGCACCCTGAAGTGCTGCAGTGTCGTCGGAAGATCCGTCACCATGAAGTGTGAATCCGCCATTCTGGGTTGCATCCTTCAAATTCACCACATCAGAGATAGTCTTGTCTGCATACTGCGGCGCACTAATGACTGGATAGTTGCCACTGGGAGCGAGAGCGGACGGTCTGCCAACTGCTGACGCCGTCGGGTTGTCCTGGTAAGTAGGGTTGGCTCCACGAGTGTTTCCGTAAATATATGTCCCGAGGCTCGTCACACCACCAACTTTAACAGTATCGCCAACGATAATCATACTTGAGCTGGCCGTATCCTTGGATATATTTTCAAGCATAAAGTTGGGGTAGCTGACCTTGCTCGTGAAGAAGTCGCCCGAGTTGGTACTTTTCCCGTCGATGACAGCGACCCAGGCATTTCCAGAGTTAAGAACGATGCAGAACCCGACCGTATCACAAGCTGGCGCCAAAATGCTGATTGTGAACCCCCCGTCAATTAAGATGCCGGTGGTACAACTGTTGAAGGTCATTCCCTTAATCTGCCCCTGCTGATGACCTGCAATAGCATATCGTAAGCAATGCCCATACCCTGTAGCTCGCAAAGAGAAGCGACAACAGAACTTACCATTCCAGTGCAATCCAATGCTGCCAAAATTGAATGTCACATCAGACACGGAGATGGTCGATCCTCCACCCATGATAATACCTAGTCATGGGTTGATAATTAGATGAAGAGGTATGGCTATTAAAACCCAGGTTGTGACTATGACGCACCTGTATGGGCGCCCTGAGGCATCGTAACTTGCACATTGATCTATCATAGTTCTTAGGTTAATTGTCGTCGTACTCTCTTCCAAGTCACTGTAAGCCTACCAGGGCGCAATTCTGAGCAACGGCCCAGTTTAAAGCAACAAAATCGCTGTTACCCGAATTTTGGGTTGTATCCAATACAACATTCTTGACTAGAGACACATCATTAATTGGTCAGAATAACAAGATGGTCAACAACCGCAGCTTACTCATTACCGAGAAGTGAGTTTCTCCACCAGAGCCTCCACAAGGGTGGTTTGTACCATCTCCCTGGCCTCCCACGATGAGATAATCACCGCTGAATCCTGCGGCGGCACGGATCGTTGGTGGATTAGCAGCATCGCCGATTATGACCGTATCTGTGTCGAGAAACAAGGTGGATGTGAGGGTATAAGTTCCTAAGCAGTACTATAAGTACAATGTTCAGAAAATTGGATAACAAAACCATACCGGGAGGAAGGTACACAACGCGAGGCTCGCCAGCCAAAAAGCAGTTGTCTCTTGCACCACCACTGGGACCATCAGACGTCAAAGCTTTGATAAAACCTTGTGCGTCGCCGGAATTCACGGTTTTGTAGACTGGATAGGTATAATTAGCTTGTCCAGCACTGTTGACGAGGTCTGGAACATAGCCCCTGACAGCGCCAGTAGTATGATCGATATTTGGCAAGAACCATGATGAGCCACTCTGTCGCTTCGCGAGTCCACTAACGATAGAACGTGGCAGAATAGCTGACGATACCAAAGGTAGCAGTATGGTGAAAAATCCCGAGACAGTAATTGACTTCATGTTGTAGGTGCTGGAGGCTTAACAAAGACACAGGTTAAAGTTCGTGCACAGATAGATACTGAACTTGCGGGTTTGATGAAGTTTTGGTATGCTGTGGCTAGGCATTGTTTTATGTCAAACTCTTCGGTAACAAACCCCCTCTGTAAGTTCGACCATGAATGCTGCTATTACAAATAGCGTCAAATGCCAATGCAACGATATAGTTCGTGTATGCAGGCTGTTGTCAAGGCATAGAAGGGATCAGATGGTGTCAGCCAACGTCAGCAATTCATATTCAACCAGTCGTATCACTTCGTACACCCGCTGAAAGGACACTATTACCGAAAATCAGAGTTCGGTAATGTAACGACTCGAGGAATGTTTCGTGGAGTAACCCCGAACGTCACAGAATGTAAACTTATATCGCCGTTGCCGTATTTCGTAAGACGACTACATTATGATAATCGGACCGAACTAAGTCACGCACCCACCATACAGTTGTCGGAATATGACGGCCTAGTGAACATATGTGTAGTTATGGGGGATGACCTCCGATCTGTGCTGACTTGCATAAAATCTCATGTTGCGCCACTCAACGAGTGCGCTCCGATGATGCAGGTAGTAAGCACTAGGTAAGCTGGGTGAGCAGCTGCGGGTTCAAATCCTGACAGGGGTTACCGTCTATTAGCCGAGGTTGGGGTCTTGGCGGACGACATCAGAGTCTTAGTTAAAATTGGAGAGGTCGAATATTTTGTACCAGTATGGCTAGATATATTTATGGCTATCGACGAAAGGTTTATAGCACTTACCAAGGAGCACAATCTGCAACTCAAAATGTATCTGTAGTGCCAAAACTTTGTTCGGCTTTAAGAACAGCATGAAATCTTCTATGTTGTTATGGGGGCAGAAGTCGGTCAGCTGAGCGGCAACATACCCGGACGCAAAGCGACCACCTTGATATCAGCGGCCTTCTGAAATTCCCGGGTCAGAGTGACTATCGTGTTCAGTGCGACCTTGGAAATGTGACAAGCGAGGTCTTCGCCCCTGCACACTGTAGCACTTCAGTCACTAAGTGGTCAAACAGTTACGAGGGACAATAGCCACGGAATAATGGAGCACACGTGCAGCTGTCTGATGCGGAGAGTTATGAGATGCTAACGACGACTCTCGTGATCTTGTTCATAATGTCGTGGAAGTCCGTGTAGGTCAAATAAGTGCCCCTCATGTAAAATGTAATAGCAAAGACGACGCAGCAACATATACCTCTGTGTGCTACCTGAAACAGCATCAAGTGTACAAGAAAGACAGTCAATCGTTCATTGACCGTTGCAGTTCTTACCGGCAATACAAAAGAGGAGGCTAAGAGACCAAAATCCAAACTTCTTAGCAGCCACCTCGACAATTTCCTCTTGTAGCAGATCGATCTCAAAGACGCTAGACGTAACGGCTTTAATCCGCAAGCCGCGACGCTAGCAAGCCGGGCCATCATATTAGTAAGTGTCGGTACCGGTTGAAATATCCAAAAAGAGGGTAAGACCTTACAGTCACTCATTCTCGTATTTGCATTATGTATACCGTTCAGCACGTACCCCTTACTTCTAGTTTAGAAGCTGGCCCACGTATAGAAAATCTCGTATAACTAATGGGTAGATGCTGGCTACATCTTCATACTTTAACTGGACGTATGTTTTTCGCAGCCTATTTCGGACTCTCTGGGTTTAACGTGGGGATCGAACCACGAGCCTTAAAAAGCGGAAGCTACAGGTACCACCAACACCTTCTAGGCTTATAATGGCAAGTTCTCCCAAAAACGTGGGACTCACAGTTTTCGAGGTTATCTGCCTGGTACAAGATTTTTCGATGCTTCTTTCGATGCAGATGTCAAATATAAATAACATATCAGGATGCATACTATATTTATCATCTGCACGAAAAGAAGCATCGAAAAATCTCCTACCAGGCAGATAGAAAACTGTGGGGTCCCACCAAATTTTTGGATAATTTGACAATACTAACCCTTCGACGGAAGGATCGTTGGCTAGCGTTTGTGGAGGTGTGGGGAACTGCAGTGGCTTCGCGAGATAGATTAGTAACAACGGGTACGGGAAAAGCAGAATGAACAGGAAATCAAACCGAAATCGAAACGACAAAAGTAGAAGGAACATGGCGTGATTGTCATCGTTATCCTTACTTCCAAGCTTCCTCGTATCAAATCTCAATCTGGTATGGCTCTTTTACACTTTAAATACAGACGGCCAGCTCTATGGACATATCTCTGTCCAGACAGTAAGAGCCAAATTGCTAGTACGTACTTGTCCGAGCAGATCGGTGCCTAACTCGCTTGTTAGTGCTTCCCAGTCAAGATACTTATCACCCTTACCTACCCTTTGCATGTGGCCTTTTGGGGGCGTTAAGCAGGGCGAGAGTACTGACCATAGTGTACCCATGCTGCGGCTCTGTGAGAGGCCTTGGACATTTATACGGTAAAAATCATTCAGCATCTAGTACACTGCAGACACCTTGCTCGTACACGCAGTGAGTAAGATCGTCGCTGAGTTGGGGCAATCAAGAACGAACATTGAGCGTAAGAAAATATGTATAGCCGTGTCGTGAATAGAGTAACAAACAAGGCACGTTGGAAATTGTGTCATAAATAGTAAAGGAGACTTATAGCCTGTGTAGGTAGTTTCGCTCATTTTACTCATTGATCCTTACGGAATATATTGAGGTTCGTGACTGGCTTCATAGACCACAACATCACGTCTCCGCGCAGCAACTTGTAAGCGAGATTTCTGGAGGTTTTAGTGATTATCATAATATTCTACTCTATTGCTTAGTGTCCTAGGGGCTGTCCTTACCACCTATGCTAGTTACAAAGCAGGCCACTGAGCACAGATAGATCGTGACAAGAGTATCGTATGATAGGGCATCTACCTGCGTTCGAAAAGGTATAAATATCTCCTATTTCCCTCTCTTTACAAAGGTTACTTCTCGCAACACCACTTCAAAAAGAAGCAAAGACATTCCGGATGCAAATCCAACATTATCAAACGTCTTTTTCAACACCCTACCAAGCCAAACCCCACTTCTGCCACAATGTGCACTCGCCAAGAAATTGTCTATTATTGCTCGAAGGGCACGGAGTGCCTGGAGTCAAAGGGCGAGCGGCTGTATATGGAGGTTATTGTGGTTCCGTGCGAGAAGGCCGAGCGTAACAGGAAGCCGTGCTTGCTTCCCACTTACCTGCCGCAGCTCGCTAACCGGAAGAAGGCTTGCTGCGAGACCGAGACCACCAAGGTCACCAAGGTCGCCAAGGTCGCCAAGTAGTCTGGCAACTGGTCTACCTAGTTGCTAGCAACTGATTTACGAGGCGCCGAGTCGATTCAACCGCGACTAGGGACGTTTTTCGAAGATTTAGCAGAAGCTTCTGTCTAGTATAATGTGATACATGAAGAATACTACTGTTTTTGCCGACTTCCATTGCCGTCTCTGTAGCCTCATCTTGGCTTGAGTGCATAGAGCTTGACTGGAAGCAGTCCTGCTTCTTCTGGAAAGTTTTGTACTTCGGAACGCACGACTCGTAGCCCGGCCTCGGAAAAGAGGCTCTGGAAGGACTTGTCCGCTCTGCACGGACGGTTAGCCGGTAGCAGGGGGGAAGTGAGAGCAACGAGCGAGCAATGCCCAAAATGTTCTAGGGGCACTTACCTTGTCACGCCGCTGTCCAGCACATCAAAGTCGTCAAAGCCAGTCGACATGATGTTTTCCTTGATGACGAGCACGCCTGTCGTGGGCTCTAGAACGGACCCGCATCGCTGCAGGAATTCCACCAGCTGCTTGTCGTTCAGGTAGCTCGTGCACCACTGTATCCAGATGAGTCCGTACGTCGGAAGGTGCTTGTTTCCATCCTTGTCGTCCTCTGTCCCTTCTTTTCCGCTGCTGCTGCTGTTGCTGCTTTCGCTGGCAGTGTCGCCGGTCTTGGTTGGATCCCAGTCCTCGAGACCGACGTTGAAGACCCACCGCACACCCAACCGCTCCTTCAGCTGCGCCGTAAACTTGGCGACGGGCTCAATAATGTCCACCTCCTCGGCCATATCCAACAACAGGCCCTCGGTCACACGGCCGATGCTGTCGTTGGGGTTAGCAGAAAGGCAGAGAGACAGAGCTGCCAAAAATAGACTCAAAACAAACCCACCCTGCACCACCCTCCAGGGCCAGTCGCACACGCCGCATGCCCGACTTGCTGCCGATGCCCAGCTTGGCCAAGAAGCTGCGCGACACCCGGAGGTCTGCACGCGACACAAACGGAAAGCCACCGAGCATGCCGTTGTTGTCGGCGCTGACCTCCTCCCAGTACTGCTTGGCGGCTGCGTTGTTGACGAGCGCTTCTGGCCGCTCGGGAAGTGTCGTTTCAGACATGGTGGCGTGTCTGGCAGGCGATCTTTTCTTCCTGTTTGTTTCTGCAAACTGACGTCTGGTCGCTTTTTCGTAGATAGCGGGGACCCAAAAGTGACGAACTTACACAGGTTAGCTATTCTGCCAATATTCACCGCCGAAATGAAAATCTTCACCATGAAACCCAACGGTCCACTCTGACAACACTTTTCGTTTGCCAGCCTTGACCCATGTTTATTGTCTTAGCGTCGGCAGTGTCTAATGTCGTTTAGTACTCCGTAAGTCCCAGTCATCACAGAAAGCCGACCAACATCTGTCACGGAATGCTCCTGTTGGAGTAGCTGCCTGCTCGGCTAGCCAGATGGAGGGAGAATCGCACCAACCTCTCTTCAGCACCGTCGGACCTCTGGGCAGGAAGGATCTCTGGTCGCCAATGTCTTCTTCTTCCGGTTTCCGAATCATTCAAAATGGAAGCCAGCTTGGATGGATACACTGCATATCGTGTCAGTCCTAAAACGGCTAAATATGCGAGCACGGTGAAGCACCACGTCTCTTGCACCCCGAAGCTAATCGCAATCACGCGGATCTCGGACCTAGCCAGCTACGTACCATTTTTGGTCACCTGCATAATGTCAACCTTGCTTGTCAGGTAAGGCAACGAGGAGACCCACTGCCGGCTGAAGGCGGAGACGCTCGTCGTGAAGATGCCCTGGCTCTGAATGATTGTCACTTAGCTGCCGACTTGCACTAAGATTCAGAAGCTGTCTGCAAGTTTTATCACATTCTTGTTTCCCGCATCGAGTGGCTCGAAGATGGCTGTCAAGGTGAAGAAAGCAGCCGTGACGATAAGGCTCAGTGTCTCGTTTATCTCCTCCATGGAGAAGTCCGTAAGCATGGCCTTCCGCGTCTTTTGCAAAAACCGGCTCGGGTTGAAGCGCGCCGCCGGACCAGGAGTTCCGGCTTTGGCAATGGCCAGGTTGACGTGGCCCATCTCGACAATGACGTGGTCCACGACATCCTGAGCGTCTTTTTGGACGTCACGTCGCACGGTGGGACAAGGGTTTCATGCTCTCGGGCCGCATCAGTAAGCAGGACGAGGCGGCGTCCATGAATACAAATCTTCCGGGCTTTGTTCTTGGCAAGAGCGCGGGCCATGACTAGACCGATTACTGCATAGGGGTGTAGAACGAAGAGGAGCAATCCAAAAATTTATCACGAAGACGTACCTAAACCACCATCGGTGATGGAGTCACGATGCCGTCAACCCGGAACGTAGAGCTCGTATTAAACGCCTTGGAACCATCTTATATAACAATATACAGACAGTGCTCATTTTTTAAAGTAGTTATCCATCCGGGTTATTCCTTCGATCAGATGCGGACTTGGCTTTCTATTATAGACTTAGCTTTTAACTCGACGTCGTCCAGGTAACAAGTCTGTTAGACGTCACTCCTTTTTGGGGGGGATTTCTTGATCTATATGCAGAGGCGCTTTGTACTGCAGTCCCTGCTCGACCGGCAGATGGCACGGGGAACTTGTCAGTCCGCTAGCATATGCAAAATATGCCGTCTCTTGCTCCGGTAGACATTTGGATGTCTTGCAGATGGCGAGCTAAGGCAACTGGCTGTACAGCACTAACGTATCTTGCAGAAAATGGCCTTATGGGTGCCTGAGTAGTACAACAGGTTGGTTGGGGGCGCTACTTCCAGGCTGCGTGATTTGATAGGCGTTTCTTCTATCACGGTAATCTCACTAGAGGACGTGTCGCAGAATAGCGCTGGAGATACTGTCGAACGAAGAGTGAATATCAAATCTTTACAACGCTTTGTCCCGCAATGGAAACAGCTTTCCGTTCTCCTCTAACCTGAACGGGTCGCTCTTTCGAAGTGGGTGGCCAGTCATCATCCACAAAACTGTTGGTACCGTTGCACTTTTTGGAAGAATGGAGTCTAGGCCTGTGACACAGAAAAGTCTGGTCCTGGGTGCCATGGCTATCATTTGTGTTATCCTCGGGAGCCCATAGTCTTATTGATTGCTGCCGATACCCTCATCGTTTTCATGACCGCCTTTAAGGGCACCATTCCTATCACGGGTGGGACCTTCAGTCTGGGTTACCAATGCGCTGTAGCTGTTGCTCGCAGCGACGTCGCAGAGAAGATCAACCACACTCTCGGCCAGGTGAACGTCGCGTTCCGCCCGCTCGACCTCGGCAGCCTCGCCAACGTGCGATATTTTCTCGGGTCGTAGCAGCAGCTTCACAGCAGCAGCCAACATCCACCTCGGACCCGGGCCCTGATGCGCATGCGCCTGTTTTCCAACATCCACATGCCAGAGAAGTCCAGACAGGCATTGGCTTGGCTAGCCGTCAAGTCAGAGACTCGGGGCCAGAGCGGGTTGTACTTTAGTTTGAAAGAAGCCGAATCTATCAAAATCTCTTATGATACAATGAAACAGGGAGATCTGTGGCAGTGGACGTTCAAGTTCCTAGCCAAAACTAATGAGGCTAATTTGTTGTTCGACTTCGCCAACCTACCTTGACCTAAATTCCATGCCAGTCCAAAATTGTATCTTTATGCACAGGCTCTACTCCGTATTCTATGCTGTAAGCTGAGCTAATGGTGAGCTTCCGTCTACGTTCTACGCTATAGCTACGGGCCGAGTTTTTAGCTCAGTTGCCGCTAATCAAAGCTGTACACTCCGTACATAGTCTCTTAAGTACGTCCTGCAACCTAGAAGTGTTTTTTTAAAAGTATAAGAAGTACCACATACAAGTAAATCGGACATATCGGTTCGCGTACATAGTAGAGAGCCAGTGTGATCGTCTCTTCTCGGTCTGCTCACACCACCAGCAATCACCCTTACAGAAGCAAGAAGCGGGTCTATGGTGGGGCGTTACAGAAAGCCCTTGCTTTCTATTAGGCAGAGAAACATACTTAATCCCCTACGGGACAAGTTTGTGTGAAGGAGCAACCGACTAAGAAAAATGACGCGTACAAGCACTCCGTAATGTTGAAATATCGCGTGACTGAGTGCATACGAGTATATGATAGAGAAGGTGAAATAGAAGGGGAAGAAAATGGGAATGGGGTTATGGGAAACCAACGTATACTACCGAAAACTGCATATACATACATCACAGGTACTGAAAAGTAAGAACAGCATGCAGTCGAGCTGCCCCAATATATCATATAATAACGACTAAGCCAGTGGCTTCCTGACCTTAGCCCCTGTACTCCGTACGCTACCAGCGTTACTTTACCCCACCCACTTCATAGATATATACCGGATATCTCGCTTTTTTCTCGCTGCCCCCAGCTGCGTTTACTCTAATTTAACAGTAAGAATGGCCAAGGAGAGTGCTGCTAACATGGCTCAAGAACCAACTGTAAGGGTGGTCCTGGCTGCCGACCAGCCCGATAATCCGCATTCTCCCGGCAATGTGGCTCCAGACACGGTTCTCCAGGACCCAGTGCAGGTAGATAGCGTGAGTGCCTGTTTGGGGCGGGTCTTTCCGCTATCAAGACCTCCTTCCGGAGATTTTATTTCATCTACTTACGGAGTACTTCTCCCAGGAACGCGTCGATGACGAGGGATACGATGATAGCACCTCGTGAGTCTTGGAGCGTCTGGCAAGAGTCCTAAGATAATTGGGTCTCTGACAATTTCTCTCAGTGATGGGGCTTCTAGCTTTGTCTCCTCCCTGAGCTCGAGTATTGTGAATTACAAGTACGTCCTTAAGCCCTGTGATAGTATTGAGCTTTTCTGGACATCGATACTAAACTTGCATAGATATGAGGTCTGTACCTCGAATGCGCATACAGCCGCCTGCATCATAGATCGTGCTAACATAACGGACCACGATATAGAACGGCCGCCGCTACCATGCCTTCCGTGAGGGCATCTACGTGGTGGTAAGCTAAGATGGCACAACTGATGACAATAACGTATACATACAATTTCGGGCCATTAACACCCAAGCTTCGATAGCCCAATGATGAAGCTGAGCAAGAGCGACTGGACTTAGTACACCACATTTATCGCCTTTTAATCAAGGGCGAGCTTTTTCTGGCCCCTATCAGTGCCCACCCGCATCGTGTCCTCGACCTGGGAACAGGCACTGGCATTTGGGCCATGGACTTTGCAGAGTTAGTTGCATTTCCACCTAGAGATGAAATTAGTATACTCATTCGTCTCTTACATCTTTAGACAACATCCTTCTGCTGAAGTTCTCGGTACAGACCTTAGCCCCATTCAGCCTAAGTGGTATGTTAATGCAGGATGTCTCTCTTTGCAGCGAACAAATTCTTACTTTGAGAAAACAACAGGGCCCCTCCTAACTGCATCTTTGAGGTGGACGATTTCGAGCAAGACTGGCTGTACCATAAAAAGTTTGACTACATCCATGCCCGTGAGATAGCAGGCTGTGTCAGCGATCCCGACCAGCTTGTTCGCCGCGCTTTCGAGAACCTGGTCCCTGGCGGATACTTTGAGATACAGACCGTCTACCCGCGCTTTGTCTCTGACGACGGCACGCATACTAAGGCAGTAAACGCACAGCTCTGGATAAAGAGTGTTTGCGATGGAGCGGCCAAATTTGGAAAACCCCTAGACTTAACGAAGGAGTGGCTAGGGGAGCTTAAGGCTGCAGGCTTCGTTGATGTCCATCAGGAGATTCGCAAGGTTCGTTCTTTCTTTACCCTCCCGCTCCCTGAATTTTTGAAGAGCCTACCATAACACGTGTTGTCGAACAGCTCACGATTGGCGCTTGGCCAAAAGACCCAGCCCTTAAGGAGATTGGCAGATACGGCCTTGTCCAGCAGCAGCAGGCCCTCGAAGCGTACTCGCCCGGTATTCTCTCCCGCATTTCTAGCTGGAAGGACGAAGAGATTCAGGTGCTCCTAGCCAAAGTGAACGAGGAGTTAAAGGATCCGGAAATCCACATTTACCACCCCATCTACTTCATATGGGGCCGGAAGCCGTGATTGCTGTACCTGTCTTACCTACATGATCAACACACAACCTTTGCGTTAATGGATACCGCGTCGTCGAGACCGCCCTTAAGGCAAATTGCATTTTGTCAGACAGAACCACATAGCCCTCAGAACCTGTATTTGAACACAATCCACGCTTTTTATCAAGCGATAAAGGGTGTGACTTACAATCTATACCTTACAACACAAGTTGTCCGGACATGCGTTAAATATATAGTAGGGATCCCATATGATAACAAAGTGTGAAGCTCTGGAATGGAGCGCACTGTGACCGTTCTGACTAATGTCAGCAAAGCGAGTTCTCATTGGTCAGAATAGATAAAGTGGGAAATAGCCCCATTGAAATATCTGCGCCATTGAAGGTGAGCCATGTACTCCGTACTCCTTTCTAGTTAATACATTACGCATATCATTAGCCGCATCAAGCAGTGTGTCAAAACACGTACTAAATAGCCCCCTGCGCCACACAGTACATGTATTCTTTCATCACACTGCATAATCGTGCACGCCCCTCCCATTCTGGTCTGGTTCATTCGACATTATCAGCAACTCTCTAGTTTTCATCCGACTCGTTCAATTCATTACTTTGTGTCACAACTGATGCTAATGGCAGGGGATACGAAGCACTGTATGGGTCGTCGGCATACCTCGGAAGTACCTAACCATAACAATACATTCATGCTCACTGGGCACCCATAATTCGACAGATAATGGGATCAAGTTTTTTTGCTAATCGGACTAATTTTGAGAAATGGCGACAGGTTACTCCGTACTCCGTATTAATTGGGTGGGTCTTTCGTCTTTACCGCTGTGGCTTCTACTCCGTGCCCACTAGTCTGTACGCGCAGTCTCTGCGCGAATACCAGTGTAAGACCCGTACGTTAGTCCTTGTGGGATATTCGTCCGGACCAGTTGCACGTATCGTAGTAAGCTCTAAGGCCTTCAGAAGATCTAGTGATGATATTTCGTTCGGTGGTTGACTGAAGCTCCAGACTGTGCGCAGTGTGCGCTCAGATCAGGGCTTCGTCTTATCTAATGATTTCGGCGGCCGAGGTCAGGTGACCTCGGGAAATCCACACCGCCTCCGACGTAGCGCTTGGCAAATCTGCCGGCTCCGTCCTACTTACCTCATTGCTCTTCTCCCACCCGCACTATCGAACAGCATGGATATTGAAAGCGAAGATATAGCAGAGCTGCGCCGCATCATCTTAGAGCAGCGTCGCGCTCTCTCAGAAGAGCGTCGTGCTCGCTCAGAAGAGCGTCGTGCTCGCTCAGAGGAGCGTCGCGCTCTCTTGGCCGACACGAATGCAGTCGTTGAAGGATTACGACGGGAGAACTTGGAACTTTCTCGTGCTCAACTGGGTACTTGTTCATCTCCCGATATTTCCCTGTACTGTCTGCAGCTAACCGTTCTGGCAACCAGACATGCCTCTCGATGATTATCTCCTCCATATTCACCGCGTCAGTTTCCAGATGTGCCGTCTGCTTCCTATACCACAATCATCCGCCGTACCTACGACCCTATCTGAAGGCCAGAAAGCGAAGCCCGCGACTTCGGGCACAACAAGCATCGTGGGAAAATATTACCCGCGGAGGCTGCGTATCTGGGCCGATTTCGAACGGCTTTACCGTGCAGCCTTTGACCGGCTGCATGCGGCCCTCGGCAACCAGGCGTTGTTTCCCTCCATTGCGGACGTCAATTTGCTCGAGAAAGGGCTAAGAGAGGATCTTCCTCTCGAGTTCTTAGGCTCAGACGCTTTTGTTAATGAGGGCAAGACGTCGCATTTTGTGCATGAAACACTAGAGAAGCCGGCTCAGAGAATACTCAATGCTTACTTAAACACCACTGACACAAACAAGACTCTATATTTTGACAGCCGTACAGCAGGATGCCGTGTCGAAAATTCCGTCGTCATTGACGACACTGCGGCGGAGGGAGAGGGGGCACCTGTCACTTTTGTTGCTGTTACTCGGCCACCGCCGAAAACACGTCCCGACTGTCTCGTGCTTTGTGCCGACACCAACATTGGTGACGAGACCATGCTGTCCTTAGTATCGGCAGAACCAGAATCTATCGAGCCCGTTCCCGTCGCCGACGTCGAGTCTGGCCAGGCTCTTGTCGACAATTCTTTCCAAAACGTGCGCAACGTCCATCGCATCACGCTGGCGGAGCACAAGATGGTGACGCGTCTACGAGCCACGACTGTTTCTAGCTACGCCAATGGCCAGATGGATGAAGATTTTGTTGTTCAGCTTGCGCGCGCTGCCCGCACACGCTCGACGGCAGAGGCACAAGAGGATGCCGCCCGAGAGTTTAGCCGCGGCAAGCCAGGACAGGTTTTTTTTTGCACGAGCCTTGACGCAGGCTTTTCACTACATGGTATCGTCAGGCGTTGAGTTTGGATACCTGGCTTCTGGAGAGACGCTTTCGCTCTTGCACGTCGCACCCGAGGATCCGTCAACACTGCTTTACCACACTGCGCTTTTCCCCGAGTACACTCGTCGGCAGATTGACCCCGCCGGCCGCGTCATTGCCTCCACGCCGGATGCAACTCTGTCAGTCACGACGCCGGTTCACGAGCGAGCAGATCTGCGTGTGCTGGCCCTGTCGATGCTATCTGCAGTTGCCTTGATGGCCTTCGAGTCCCGCCCGGAGCCTGCACGTCTGCGGAGCATCAACATTTCGCAGCTGCCCATGTTCCCTGATGAGGCAGCACCTGAGTCGTCTATACCCTCGTTGTCATCGCGGGCAACATCACGCCAGCCATCGACCCGACGGAGCAGCGAAGGGCCGGACCATCGCAAGCGAGGAAACGAAGACAGTCGTGATGACGACCATTACGGGAATGATGGCGATCGGACGCGCGGACGGCTTGCAGTTCCTGCATATCGACCGCGTCAGTCATCTCCATTGAAACGCCAGCGGTCTGAATCCGGCCATGCAGAAAGGGGCGCAGAGGCGTGGAAAGAATTAGGGAAATTCGAGAAGTTGGAAGGAATCAGTGAATGGGAAGATCGAAAGAGACCGGAACAAGCAGATGACGACAACGAAGAGCAATTCCGCGGCCGAAAGCGCCGATGTGTAGTTGGTCTACAATACATCTCCAAAAGAAGCGGCCTTCCCTTGGGACCGACCCTCCCGAGCACACTAGATCCATCAACTTTTCGACCGATCCGGCCGTACTGCACGCAGGCATGTCTACGGAGTCTCGTGCAGGGTGGTGACCTCGACTACGACTGTCCCAATGCAGTAATTCACGCCCATGCACTCCGCCGTGATGGCGTCGACCTGCGACAACGGCCAAGGAGACATGCGCTGACAGGAGAAGAGCTATGTGATTTGGTTCGGCTGCAGGTCCTAAGCAACTCAGAGCAGGACTGTGCTTGCCTCATCGACGACGGCTTCTCTGGCGCCATTGGATCCTTGTTCAAGATCACTGTGACGGGGTACGGATATACATTCGTGGGCAAAGGCGTTCAAAAGTTCCACAGTCGCCGTCTGGGTCGTGAGGTCGACATTTACGACGGCCTAGCAGCCCAGCAGGGTGTCTGCATCCCCGTCTGTCTCGGCCTGGTCCAGCTCTTGTTGCCGTACCCCATGGCAAACTGCACGCTAGTGACTCATCTGCTTCTCATGTCGTATGCTGGGCCGCCGCTGTACCGTGTGATTCGTGTGCACGGCGTCGATGTGGAGCGCGAGACAGAACGCACAATGGCCGAATTGGAGTCTCTTGGACTTGTGGACAATGACGACGAGAGCAACGGCAACCTAACATGGTGTCGCGAGACGATGCGTGTCATGAAGATCGACTTTGATCATGCACATATGCGGCCAAAAAAGCCTAAGCAACCCGAAGAGCCGGACGCTGGCCACGGCGGCAATCTAGGGCACTTTGAAGGCCGCCCTGATGGGCACAAGCGAAGCCTTAAAAGTTGTGATGATAGCGGACCGTGGCGAAGCCGGGTCGGTAAGGCATATCTCACAGCTGACAGTCTGCTGTTGGCATAAACTGGTTCCGGGTTTTTTTTGTTTTTTTTATTACAGCATAGCGAAGAGGGATAAAGGAAATACCATGGACATAAAGCATACTTTGATTAGCACGGAAGGCGGCGGGAGTTATCGTTTACAACACAACATTGCCAAGGGGGTGTCCGTCTCATAGCGTTCTTAATAGGATATACTTGCCGTTAATGGCTATGTAAGATAACTTCTTACGTGTCAAACCTATGCCATTAGGATTTATAGCTTGTTTGCAGTAAACTACTTGACTTTACGCAGCACATATTGCTCAAAATAAGCTTCTCTGCTGTAGCTAGCTATGCATATAAGCAGCCTTCTATGCCATTTTCAAGTATTTTGTTCTGTAGGTGCTATGCGTCCTGCATGTCTGTCTGTAATAGCGCCCAGCTGTGTATGCGTGCATTCTTAATATAAAACGCAGCTCCGATGGACGTCTTGTCCATCCTCATGTGCCACACAGTGCAAGAACTGTCCGCCCCTCAATATTATCTAAGCAGACACATGATATAGCGACCACGGTACAACACAAAACTTAACAGCACCTACAAAGCGTAATTCTAAAACTCTGCCAATATCAATAAGAACAGTACTTTATCAAATTAACAAGATAAAACACGATCGACTACTACAAAAAGATTCAACCGCTATCAGTTTCAAGATGCGATACGAAAAATATAAAGAGCGTTTTGGCTCTAAGCGTTGCCCAGCTTTCTGGAAGAACAATATACAAAGTCTTACTGCCTTGTTCGAGAAAGCTACGTCGCGATCTATTTTCGTTGCTATCGACTTTGAAGGCTTCCTAGATTGTGAGAACAACTCATATCAAGGATTCACCGATGTTGGTCTAGCTGTCTTCTGTCCAGCAATACAGCCCGATGTTTCTTCGCCCCTAGGCCGGACACTCGAGGCCATCATTAAAGAAAACGATATATCTAGCTGCTCCTTTCTTATCAAGGGGAGGCACCAGACAGCGAGGTCAATAAAACGCAGAGAGCCCTTCTACTTCGGAAAACCACAATGGACAGAGGAAACTGAGATCGAAGCTACACTTATTACACTGTTGACTTCAATTCGAGAGCAGTTTGGTCAAACTCCAGGCTGCCCACCATCGATGGTTCTTGTTGGATATTCTATGGATGCCGAGTTCGCAATTTTAAACAAAACATTCCCACGTCTTGTTTCTGGGGTTTTTTTCTCAGATTGGGTAGATTTACAGGAAATTGTAAATGGTATGTGCGAGATGGGGTACAAAATCGGTCTACAAGACGCGCTCCTGTCATTGGGATTTTCCCGTGGAACAATGTCTCGATTTTCAAGGCACCAACAACACTCTGCTGGCAACGATGTTATCCGCGAGATGGCCGTCCTGGTTCATCTCTTACATTATACCCATTTGTGCAGCAGAAGTGCTAGCACGCCGACTCTGAAGTTTCAGCCTGGTAAATACCTATTTCCACGAACACAACAGCAAAAAAAATTACATGGACAATCCCGTCCTCGTCCTTTTCACCTATACCCATTTACGGTCTCTGTTAGTCTTGAGGCAAATCGTCCTATGTTGGATATCGCCCGCGACGAACATGCCTTATATGACATGTTCTCGGATTATCTGCCAACTACGACAGCGATGAGGCCCGGTGGATTGTACGGCTGGATCTGTCTACCTACAGGAGAGTTGCGAGCTAAACTTGTGGCTGATGTAAACGGGAAAGTACACCGTGGCCAGGTATGGAGGGTCGCGCTCTTTCTACTTGGGAACTACCTACCTGCAGGGATCGAAAGAAGATGCAAGATGCTCGAAGTCACGAAAATGCATGTGTGCAGGAGAGAAAGCAACAAGAACGACGTGTATGGCGGGAGACCGTACAAGCTGAAACCGAAACGCTATCGTTAGGTATGGCTTTGTTAGATATTGAGACTTTGTAGGGATATATAGGAATAGACAAAGTTCAAATGAGTTTGAAAGCTCGGCATATGTTATCTTATTTTACTATTTTATTTTATGCGTTGTTGTCTTCGTCTCACATTACTCCGTCACTACATCGTTCAGCAGTCGATGTTTGTATAGCGTCTAAGAGGTTTATTGCTACCGTTAAGATAGTCTCTCTGGGTTCATAGCCCATATTCAGATTCTAAAGATTTCAATCCTAGTGATTACCAATGATTGTACTTCCCCATCTTCTCTTCTCTCATAGTCCCTGCTTCTCCAGACAAGATAAAATCTAGCTACATCACGTGTCAATTGTGATCCTCTAACTCCCTGACTAGTTCCTCTTGACTGTATTCTCTCCATCAATGTCCACTCGCTCCTTCCTCACCAAACAGCCACCAAAATGATGCTCTTTCCCCCACCTTCCTCCTCCTCGTTTCATTTCTACTTCGTTACTTCTATAATATTCTTTCAGAAGAACGTTTGACAAGCAATGGTGGGCAGGACGTCGTAGTGGTTATCGAGCCAGTGTCAGGTACTGGTCCCTTCGGGGGCGAGGGTTCGAATCCCTCTCTTGTCGGCCAGCTGCGCCAGGACAAGACAGACACTGGCCCCTTCGGGGTCGAGGTTCGATACCCTCTCCTGCCGAACAAAACTTTTGCATCCCCTAGTAGCATGTCATCTTAACAGAACCCCGTCTCAGCGATGTTACTTCATGAAAATCACGAATTCGGCTGGAACAGTTTCATACTAGACGTAGGTATACCGGGTACCGTCACCTTGGTTCATCTTGTTGTAACCTGGTGTTTACTTCCTACGAATCCCTGAAGTATCGGGTCTCTGGATGCGGTTCCGGCCCAGCGTGTAACGATCAGACCTATTGTGTATTTGTCAAGCATTGGAATCCGCCACACTGTGGCCCTTCCGCCCCACTTGGCTGTTATGGCCTGTGATTGGTCAGAAGGCACAAAAGCGGGCCCGGGCACTAGTACTAATACGGACCCCCAGAAGGGTCGCGATGTATCTAATTCTTCCTTAGTACACAGCACTTTTTCGCCCACACTAGACCCTATTCAGCCTCCTGCTCCTCACAGTGCATCACGTTATATGACCGCCACGTATAGCCTCCTTTAACCTTCACAGTATTCCCGCTTCAGAACACCAGATCTTCGGAGCTGGGCTTCTACGATTCTCAGACAACCTACCTCAGGCCGGCCAGTAGTACATTGCGAATACACGTCGCCCAAAGCGGAAGTCGCGCGTGGGCAATCATGTGCACTTGGATCGGCAGGATACTTTCCCTCGAGAGGACGTAGGCGAGACGATAAATTGGTAATTTCGCAATCTTCAAACGTGCCCTGGTGCGGGCCTTCGTAACTGACATTTTAGGAGAATATGTTTTTTTTGTAGCTTTGACAGCATGTTATATCGGGTTCTACAATCGTCACAGTATGCCCCATACGAGAGTCTTTACGTCCACACATAAGATAATAAGTAAGACGGGCAAAGCTATGACGTAAGACAAGATTTCAGAAAAAAATTCAGCTAAGTGCACAATCATTGCAGTGCTCGCGGCCTATCACCAACCATCTGCCCCAAACTCAGTAAGATGGCAGATGCTAAGCCGAAAATTGTCCAAGATATCACTCGCCGCAACAGACAGTATATCACCTACTCGGACGGCACACAATGGGCCCGCAAGATCGATCCGCAAACGGGGAAACCGCTGGGAGAATTGAAGCAGCTGGAGTCGCCACCCAGGCGGAGCCCGAACCACTACAGCTGCACGTCTTCACGGAGTTTCAAGCGGAAGGGGAGCCTAAACACAGGTCTCTTCACGCTACTCGCGCTGATTCCAATGGAACTTTGCGCGGTCAGTTGTGGCAGGTTACAGGAAATGCCGAGAAAATGCGCTTTGAAGAGGCTGAGAGTGTCAACGCTTTCAGTTCCGACTCATTTTCTTGGCATCAAACGCTTAACTCCAACCTCGGCGACAGCGACTATGCCAAAGTGGGCCAGGTGGCTCGGAGCGAGCCACCGCCGCAGGCCAGGAATCGCAAAGAGGTCATGGAAAATTGTCAAGGCTGGACGATTCGGGTGCTGGAGCGCCTTGCTTCGGAAGGCATCGTTAACGAGGACACAATTGCGGCGCTGCGAGGGCAAATGGATCCCATCGACTAAGATTACCAACCAATGATCAGCCTGATTGGGAATGCTAGAAGATAGCAGAGTGCTACCAGTCAGTTTGACCGACACATGCACCCTGGTGGTGCAAATAATCCCTTAGAAAGTGTTCGACACCACTAGGCGTAATAGGTTGAATTTTTTTTGGAAGGCCAATTGTTTTCCATCAAATCGCTTCACATCAAACCTGATGGTCTGCATCGTCTGGCAAATTTGTCTTAATCCTGTCCCCAATGCATGCGTATGGTGAAGTTTAAGCTTTGCGGCATAATATTTTACCGAATAGTCAAGGTCATTCGTCAATTCATAGGGCGTGGCTTTGTGCCTTTATCACCAATCTCGCCTTTTCTGTCGGGCACCTATCTATTCCTTCCAAGACGAATCTTGTTTCTGCCCAACCTTAACGCTTCGAAGTTGAGCACAGTATCGCTTCATAACATGCGCCTCATTGATACACATAACTACGAAATACAAAATTTTGTGAATGTGATTCATCACTATGCAATTCTTTCGCATCGATGGCTAGAGGAGGAGATCACATTCCAAGATGCTTCAAACATCAAAACCGGCAAGGGAAAGGGATACGAGAAGGTTAGGGAAGCATGCAAGGCTGCCGAGGACGACGGGTTTGGATACATTTGGATCGACACGTGTTGTATCGACAAAACCAGCAGCGCAGAACTCTCGGAAGCAATAAACTCCATGTATGCCTGGTACATGGACTCGACGAGGTGCTATGCCTATCTCGATGACGTTCAAGCCGACAGTGACATCGGCAACAGCAAATGGTTTACTAGGGGATGGACTTTACAAGAACTGATTGCTCCTTCAGATATACAGTTCCTTAATTGCAATTGGGAAAAGATTGACACAAAGGCAAGCCTCCAAGCGGCACTTTACCAGGTTACAGGTATTCCTGGAGACATTCTCCAGAACGCCAATCCCGAATCGGCCAGTATAGCACAGAGGATGTAATGGGCTTCGAAGAGGACAACGACAAGAGTTGAGGACCTAGCTTACTGTTCGATGGGTATCTTTGACGTCAACATGCCTTTGTTTTACGGTGAGGGGGAGAAAGCTTTCGCCCGCTTACAAGAGGAATTCATTAAAACTTCAAACGACCACCGCATTTTTGCATGGTGGCTTCAAGGCTACGACACAAGACTTTTTGCGCCCTTTCCAGCCGCATTTTCTAAATCCAATGATATTGTTTCAATCAGTCCTTTTAGCGTCGAAAACAACATATCTACAGAGTGCAATGGAACGTATATTTACGCCACACATCACCCTAAATAGATTCAAGCCCGAAGAGACATTGTTCTACTTCCTTGCCTGAACGGTATGGGGAGAGTGACTTGTTTTGGTGAAAAAGATTTAGGAGGAAAAAACTGCGAGAAGGTGAGCTTACCTTATACTATGCCGGAAGTCAGGGTACAGGATTTGTTTGGCGAAATGGAACTTTGTTGGACAAGATCACGCATCCAAGAAAAACGCCCGACGCGGAAAAGACAGCTCCCTATGTTTAGGGCTGCAAAGGCTGGAAATATGGAAGTAGTCCAACTTGCTCATTCTTTCAATATGCAACTGGCGAACGTACGGAACATAACGGAACAGGCCGACTACGTGGCGGCACTAGAAGTGGTGGTACAGGAAGGGCACGACACCGTTGTAAGGCTTCTTCTTGATATGGGCACCGATCCAAGCCATGACGCATTGGTACAAGCAGCAGCAAACAGGAACATGGCCGTGGTGTGGCTGCTTCTCGAAAGGGGTGCAATCGCAGATGAGACGTCACTGGTGAGGGCCTCACAGGAAGGTCATTCTATGGTTGTTCAGCTGCTTCTTGAAAAGGGCGCCAATCCAAGTCAGGAGGCATTGGAGCTGGCTGCGGATTTAGGACACTTGGAGGTAGTGCGATTGCTTCTTGAAATGGGCGCCAAACCAAGCCAGTGGGCATCGGATAGGGCTGCGAGATATGGACACTTGGAGGTAAAGAGGCTGCTTCTTGAAAGGCAATCATAAACGAGGCATCGCTGGTGAAGGCTGCACTGGAAGGTTACGAGACAGTCGTCAGCCTGCTCCTTTGTGACGAAGCTGATCAATACGAGGAAAAATCGAATGCAGCTGCGCACTGAAGACACTTGGAGGTAGTGAAGGTACTTCGTGAGAGTGTGTTATCCGACACAGTCAAAGGCGCTACGAAATAGACGGCAAAGCATATTGTAACGAAGCCAATACAAGTGTCCCTCAGAGGCCGTGTATATCGAAACGCTTGAGGGTGGCTTCAATAGTTTGGATACGTATGAAGGGCTCATCAAAATGCGAGCCACAGATGCCATAACTATCGAGGAACAGTCATACTTGGCTGTAGCTCAGAAGACACTGCCAGCACTTGTCTCACATCTGTCCAAGCGGCGCCTGTCTGCACCTCGGCTATTGGGATACGTCCTTCTGAAACTGGCTGACCGGCAGGCATCCCAATGGACGTCTGCTCTGGACCAGATGTTGACTTCCCAATTAGCACTGCTTCAGCCACACAACGAGGTCGTTTGCTGCAAAGCATCAAATCGTCTCCTGTTTTTTGTCTGTCTATCTTTCTTTCATCAAGCCGCCTAGGTATTGGCCCAAATGGCCTGAGTACGGCCGCTTTCGTGAGGTCTCCCGGTGATGCTTTACAATAACCTGGCATAGAACTAGACCCGAAATCCAGGCAGTAGGCAGGATTTAGGCTCCCTATCAGGACTACACATCTTCCGACGTTACAATTTCCTGCACCATATGAGGCCGTTATGTTGACCGCCATAGCCACTTCTCAAAGGGCAGATTTATGACAAAGTCGACAATATGGCTTAGCTGGCGCTTAGGTCTTTCTGTGGCATCCAAGCAACCTCGACTTGCTACGTATCGCCCTAAAGTTCATCCGGCAGGCCAAGGCGACGCAGGGGACGACTATATGCAGTAAAAAAAAGATAATGAAGAAATGTGGATGCAAAAAACGTACAGCAGCGGGTATTCGCTGGTCGTCACCGACCCAACTACTAATCCGCCGATTACTGGTTTAACTAGGGGAGAGCGGACGGGATCCCGTGCTTTCCAGTATCTATGGCCGTACGTGAAAGAGTGAGGAGTAGGTGTGCTTATACGTGATCGACTCAGCCTCGACGATGAGTGGTGGACATAGGCCGTGTGACAGTTTTCCGCACCGTGTCCGCCACCAAATCGGTCGGGGGAAAGCAGGCCGACCGCTTGCAAATAAATCCGGCACAGTGTATAAAGCGGCTAATATCCCGTCGACGGCTTATTCGATCGGCTTCCACACGCTCACACCACTTCGCACACAACGTCCACCACGCACACACACACACACACACGATGTCGCCGCTGTTTGATCTGACGGGCGAGACGGCTGTGGTGACAGGAGCGACGCGCGGCATCGGCCAATCGATTGCGCTGGGCCTCGCCGAAGCCGGCGCCGACATTGTGCTGATCCAGCGGGACGACGGACAGACGGCCACACGCGACGCGATCGTGGCGCTGGGCCGGTCGGTGGCCATCTACACGGCGGACCTGTCGAGCAAAGCAGACGTGCAGGGACTGGCGGCCAAGGTGTTTGCGGGCGAGAAGGCAGCTGGGGCTGTCCGGCCACCGATCCGCATCCTGGTCAACTGTGCCGGCATCCAGCGGCGACATGACGCGCGCGCTTTTCCGGACGACGACTTTGACGAGGTGCTGCAGGTCAATCTCGGCACCGTCTTCACGCTGAGCCGTGACTTTGGCGCCGCCTTCCTCGACCTGCCGCCATCGCCGACGTCTGGCCGTCGCGGCAGCATCATCAACATCGCCTCGCTGCTCTCCTTTCAAGGCGGCTTCCGCGTTCCGGCCTATGCGGCCTCCAAGGGCGCCGTGGCCCAGCTAACCAAGAGCCTGGCCAACGAGTGGACCGGTCAGGGCGTCACCGTCAACGCCATCGCACCCGGCTACATCGCCACCGACATGAATGAGGCCCTCATCAAAGACGAGGCCCGCCAGCGCGACATCCTCATTCGCATCCCCGCCGGCCGCTGGGGTAGACCTGACGACTTCAAGGGGCCGTCCGTCTTCCTGGCCTCCAAGGCCGCCGAGTACGTCAGCGGCCACGTCCTCGTTGTGGATGGCGGCTGGATGGGGCGGTAGGCTGCTGCGGATGAACAGAAAGTGCGGAACTCATCCATTGTTATGTAACAGTACAAAATACAAAAAATGCAAACCAAATCCAAAGCAAGCCATTCCTACAGCTCTCATCACTTATTGCTAATATTGCCACTTGTCGACTTCATCACACTCTCCAGCCACGGATACACCGACCCATTCGCCATCGGGTAGCCCATGTGCAGAGCGCCCGAGAAGAAGCGGGCTTCCTTGGGCGTGCCGTGCTCAAATAGTAGCATTGAGTCTTCGATGGGCATGAGCCCGTCTTTGGTGCCCTAGATTAGTCAGCATTTGTAAGATGTCTTTGTATTATGTCATCCAACCACACATACGTTGATCAGCAGCAGCCGTGTCGACGGCTGGTCGAGGATGCCGGTAGCGAGCAGCGAGAAGCGAGCGAGGGCGCCGCCGGCAGCAAAGGCAGCGATGCCGGCGGTGTCGTCGTCGCCGGTGCAGAAGCCGTGCTTGGCAGCCATAGCGGGCGTCAGCCGGAAGGGGTACTCGTGGCCGTCGGCACGGGCGAGCCAGTCGGCCGAGAAGAAGTGATGGACGCCGGCGCCCTGGGCGACGACGCCGACGAGGTGGGAGGCGTGCGTATGAGCGGCGCGGACGGCGTAGTAGCCACCGGAGCTGAGGCCCCAGCAGGCAACGCGGCCGAGGTCGAGCTGCGGCACATCGGCAGCCATCCAAGCCAACAGGCTGTCCCAGAGTCGATCAGGGGCTTCCGGGTCGGCCGGGTCAGCCGGACAGTCAGCAGTGCCGGGAATCTCGAGCACGACGCTGGCCCAGCCACGTGCCAGAAACTCGTCGCAGCGGCCGGTGTTGTCGGGTCGGTAGCCGTCGAGACCGGTCAGCAGCACCATCACCGGACACTTGCTCGAGCTGCTGGCACCGGGGGGCAGCCGCAGGTAGACAGGGATCGTGTGGCCCTCGTTTGCCAGCCCATGTCTGTGAGGCACTGCCACCTCGCAAATGGGCACCTCCCACGTCGCGGCCGCCCGCAGATACGCCGCCTTCTGCGCCTCCCAGGCCCGCCATTTGGTCACGTCGTTGACTGTCGGCCGCGACGTGATGTACGGGAACCGTGCGATCCGGTACACGCAGCATGCCCGCAGCAGCAGCGCCGACGCCTCTTTCGTCTTGGCTGTCGCATCTGCACCTCCGCTGTCTGCCTCGGACAGCAGCGTCTCTGCCCGTGCCGTCAGCGCCTCTGCCACGGGGAAGAAGGCCTCCGTGTACGCGGCCGATGTGCCGTCGTTGATGTCGTGCTCAATCAGGTGCTCAAAGATGGGCGCAAAGTCCTCTGGCTGGCCGTCATGGAACGGATACACGCTTATGGAGCACTTGTGCCTTTGTCAGCATGAAAGGACAGATAGCCAGCTCCAAGGTCACACATACCGGAAACCTCCACTTCGTCTCCCACAGCGCCTTGATGCCGTTATGGTGTGGCATGCGGCCCTCAAAGGCCTCCTTGCCCATCAGCCAGCTCTCCGGCGCGGCACCGGCTCCGTTGGGGGGGGGCATCCTGGCCGTACGGTCGGGACAAAGTCACAGAAGAAGCGTGCGCGTCACTGTGCGCTTGGCAAATCGGGGTGCAAGCGTTCCAGGCACGTATAGGGCCTGGACCTTGTGGCTGCGGCGACGACGGTGCACCTCGTGGGTGGAAGTGAGTTTGTTGCGGGCGCTATTGGTCAGCGGGTGATGGAAAAAGAAAAGGAAAAGAGAAAGAGTAAAAAGAAAGAAAGAAAAAAGAAAGAAAGAAAAAAAGAAAGAAAGAAAAAAGGAACAAGAGAGGGGAAAAAGATACTTACAGCAGACGGATGTAGGTCAACCGGATCTTGGCAACGGCACCGCGCGTGTAGGTGACAAATCGGGCGTTCTCGTCGAGCGATGAAGATCGGCCTGGGCGAGTCAGAGTCGGACTAGCCCTGTGAGGTGCTGGGCCGGCGATATATGTAGCCTTGTGCATTGTCGGACGTCGTGATGGGGAAAGAGGACGGCTGTCGAAGTTGGAATGAAGGATGGCAGACGGTCGTGGGCCTAAGACTAGTATTTATTGCAATAGCAAATAGGAATCCAAAGGGACAGGAAAGAGCGGACGTAGGATTTGCTAGATGGCCGGATTCTCGTGGTTGGTTCTTTGTCCGAGGAGCTTGTTTGGGGATATCCGGCTGACGCATTATATACATGTGTGCCGATACGACGAGCTGACCAACTGGGTCCCATCGCACGAGGTCCACGTCGTCGTGGTCGCATTTCCAGCTTGTGTGGGCCGAGAAGACAAGCCAGGGCCAAGATGGATGGGCCTGAGATACGGAGTAGATAGGCCTGTATTGGATCGTGCGGCCGTGTCGTGCCGGTGTATATGCTAATTAATGTATCTTACATTGGAATAAAAGAGCTAAAAAACCTCGTGTCCAAGACATGCTGCCAGCCCACAAATCAACTAGACAGAAACACAAAACAGCAGACAGGTGATCTAGGACAGGTCGCGCAGGTCGTCCGTCAAAGCTTGTCTGAAGCAGGGAATCAGCCAAGATTGCGCATTTGCATGAGCGTCGTGGGGGTGGTCAAGGCTGTTTCATGTACTCTTCTTGGCGCCCTCGTAGTAGTGGGCCATTTCCAAGCCGGCGCGCCGGAAGCCGCACTTGACGTAGAAGCCCTCGTTGGCCTCGCTGCAGTCCAGGATGCTCTTGTAGCAGCCGACCTTTTCGGCGATGAAGTCCAGCGCCTGGATGATCCGCAGGCCCAGCTTCTTGCCCTGCTGATCCTTGGCCACCGCAATGTCCTCGATGTGGCCGACGATGCCAAGGTTGTGGATGCTGGGAGAGTCAGCCAAGAGCTTGCGGTGAGGTGGCATAGAGTAAGGAGAGAGGTAAGGAGAGAGGAGGGCGGAGAGGTAGGGGGAGGGCGGAGAGGGTGGGGAATAGCAGAGGATAGACGAGGAGAGCGGAGAGAAGAGAGGAGAAGAGAGCGGAGAGAGCAAAGAGAGCAAAGACAGCACAAAGCAGAAGCAGACAACACGTACAACTTGCGCTCCACCAGCAACGCCCCTGTTCCCACCACCTTGCCGACTGCCGTGTCCTCGATCACGAGCACAAAGTAGCTCCCGTTCTGCCCAGCCATCCAGTCGTAACGCTCCACAAACGCGGCCTCGCTGACGTCGCCCACCGTCGTCAGGACGCGCAAGCAGTCGAGAAACCCGCTGGCGTAGTCGGTACGGCGCAGCGACCGCACCCGGTAACCCGTCGGCAGCACCGCCGCCACTTCGGGGCTGACGAGCTCGTCCGTGAAGAGGCCTTCAGCCATTGTAGGGAAGTGGTCGAAAAGAGGTCGAAGAGAGGTCAGAAGGAGAAGCCGACGAGATCGAAGCGGACGGGAAGCCGGGCGGAAGGTCGAGAGCCTGAACGAGGTAGACGTCTGCGAGTCGGTGAGGTCGAATCGGTCAGTCAACAGGATGCAGAAAGATGAGGCCGAATTGTCGGTGGCGAGATGCGGAAACCAAGGCGGTAAAAACACAGCTGCGAGACACCGGCGAAACAGCAGAAAAGGATCGACGACACGATCGCACCAGAGCAGCTGAGTCGACCAGAAAGGAAAGGATCGCTTTGGCTGTCAGCTTCTGCCTCAGATGCGATGCCAGACGTTCCCGACGAAAGCTGTCCTGAACTCCGGAAATCAGGCTGGATTGAATTGGCTGACTAACACAAGTCGGAATCTTCAGCCCACGGCAGACAGGGCGTTCCGATCGTCACATATACTCGTCGCCTCGTATGGACTCGTAACAGCCCAGGCACGCCCGTCTCCTCTTTTTACTTTTATTTTTTTGTCCAACAATCCTTCGAGAGCCACTTGTTCTACGACAAACAGCGCCATCGCCCCGCCGACGGGGCCAAAATACGCTGGAAAAACAGCCGAAACCCCCAGAGCTAGTGCGGGCTAAAAATAAGACTGTCACTACGGAGTACGCGATACGAAGTGTTGGTGCCTGAGGCAGAACGAGTGACAGAGGAAGTCAAGCCACAGTTTTGTTCGTGGAATCGAGGTCGAACAAGTCAGCGCCTCAAAGTCATCTTGTAATCACGTCGACCATGCAGTTGTCGAGTCAACTAGATCAACATAAAATATAGAAGTCATGTATAATGATCCTACTTGCCTGTTAGCAGAGTGACAAATCGTATAAAGTCCCTTGCAGAAATTCAATATGTAGAAAACGACACAAACATCCAAACATTCACATCTTAGCCGCAATTCAGACTGCCAAACGACATTCGTCAGAGCCCGACACGTTGCTTCTATTCTCTTGGAATAATTCACACACAATGGAGTCCGCTACTACGAGCACGGCGGCAGTTTGCACAATCTACACTCTTACATGGGCGAGTTCGGAACTCGTCCGGATCACAACGTCGTTGACTGATACCATCAGGCGTATGGTGCCAGCTACTTGCAACACCGTAGATCTCTTATTCAATATCATCGAGGTCCACTTCTTGATGGAAGAACTTCGCTTAAAGGCTTTTAAGCTTGCCCGTCTTGCCTGTGAACTCGCCAAGGCTGCTACGGTCATCACCAACGCCGATCGAGATTACAGCGAAGCCGTCTCAAACTCCGAGGAAGTCTTTCACCCTTTTTCACGCCTGCCTACTGAGCTGCGACTTCTTATCTGGACGATGGCCGCCCAACCACCATCCTTTGCCATAGCTTACTTCATGTCCTTCGAGGCTACACTGGCCGGCCGAGAACCTGCGGCTCGCTTTATGGACAACAGGGCATTGTGGACTACCTGCTGGGAATCCCGTCATACTATCAAACGTGTCTACGAGAAGAACAGAGTAAGCTCTTTTGCTGGCAGTAGCGTGAGTGAGATGCGGTATTTCCTACTTGCCACCTTCAACCGGATGGCCGAGGATTTCAAACAGCAATGTCGCCAGTTCGCTGCATGCTTCCGAGCTAATATTGAGAGGGTGGATTTTTTGATAGGCGAGGATGATGATGACATGATTAAATTTAGACATGGGTGGGTTTGGAGTCTAGCTGATAGCTTCGAGCTTTTTTACTCCTTTAACAGAATCTGCACAAAGCTTAGACGAGAACACCTAATCTAATGGCTTAGTTATACAATCTGAGACTCGATTTCCGTTACATATTATAGGCTGGAAATAAATCTTCCTGTTTTGAAATACTCAATACTGACAATAAAGTATTGACATTAACCATTTCGTCTCCATCGAGGCGGGAAAAACTATACTTTTACTTTATATCGTACAGGGCACTGCTAAACGCCGGTAGGCCACCCGATATGCCCTAGATGTAGCAGGCTCATTCCGACTTCTAGTCCTATGTCGCGCAGTTCGTAATGTTCACTTCATAACATAAGTCTTTGCAATCGAGAACGATGAAGTCACAAGTTTAACACGTAACCCTGTTATGGCAGGAGTATTGTTGTGTTTCAGTTTGAACACATACTTTTAGCAGACTACTCACAACACACTACGCTTTAGACATGCTTTACTGCAGTATTACATCCATGGACATGATTACATCCGACATCCTTGAAGCGACATACTTCATGACAACGAAAACATACCAAAAATGTCCTCCGCTCCTACCAGCTTCTCGATAAATTCTACCCGCTCTTCAAGCACGGGATTCTCTCCGGCCTTGCCATCGACTTAAGTGTCAAGTACGCTGACTTGAGGCTTATTGATGACCAGTTCGACTACTGTGCATAGGAGCGTATACAAATCGAAGCGCGTCTGGTAGACTTTGCGGTGGCGCTACGGGCCCTGCGGGTGGCGGGATATCTCGGCCTCTATATCGTCGATATTGTCCAATATTTTCTTGTCTTCATTCACAGCTTCGGCCGTCTAGGTACGGCTTCGATCGTATTACATGGATAAAAGCCGGGGTTAGGGGCCCCGGCTTTTGTCTAACGGCTTGCTAGAAAGACTTAGCGGACATGTGGTTAGAACAATGTTACGCAGCGTCCGCAGGTCCTAGTCGACCGAGCCAGGCAACAGTTCATACGCGATTCCATAGAGGCCTCGTCCGCTCGCTAGTATGCATCTTTAGCTAGCCATATCTTTTAACAGTGCAGCTGCCCGGAATTCATTCTGGCTCTTGCTCTAGAAGGGTCGGTTGTTAACGACTTTGATTTAGGCGACACTCAATACGGCTGGACATAGCGAAATCGGGCCACAAATCAACTGGATTGTATTCCATATCCGCTCGTCTTCTCTCATCGCATCTGACAGGTGTTCGAGGCCAGTGATTGTCCGCATCTTAGTTATAACCGGTTCGGCTTTTATTCACCCGTAGCCCATTGAAGTCGCTTAATGGGCCATTTTGGTCTGACTTATCTTCTGGTTGCTGTGTAGATGCTAGGTCTCAGCGTCTTTCTCAGCCTTGCGATGCTATGATTAGCCAACTTGGTGGCGGCATCTTTAATAATCGATAATATCGCCATCGCACTATCCATTTCACGTTATATTTTATTTTCGATATACTTTGTAAATGCTCAACTCATACAAGTGCTAACGGGAGGATATTTGAAAGTAAAGCTGGCGGTAACGGCACTTTCATGCATTACTGCTCGCATAGACGCACCTAAGACGAGCATAGCGTTTATTTAGGATGCCCTACGCAATTTTACAGTAGCTCTAAGGTTGCTCTTTGTAATACTAAGGCGGTTACAAAAGCGGAGAGGAGGAGGAGGTGCACGAATAACTATGTAATGAAGATGAAGTGATCTAAACTGAAGATACAAAAGCTATCTACTAGAGAGGCAGAAAGGCCTCCTTATATACACGCAGTGGATTGTGAAACAGGGGTTTGTATGGCGATCGGAAGGCGCCGTGCGTTGCGTCAAATTGAGCCTTTTCGGGCAGGTTGGCGATAATGTGCTTGCGGGATGCCATGGTTGTCTCCATACTTGGGTGGCTGCTTACAAGATACAGGAAACAGACGGCTAATTGGCACTGCCCTTTAGATGCAAACGACATTCTAGGCGACTAGTGCGCACTCCTCGATATTGGCTCTCTCCAGGGAAAATCAACATCGGAGACAAAGGCACAAGAACCACGATTGACTGTTCATTCTCGATTTTTAAGCGAGCAGGGAAGGAAGATAAGTGATCTTTCCGACCGTATATATACGCCATCCAAATTCTTGAGAAAATATTACTGCTGGATAAGTTTACCAAGGCGGACCCAAACGACATATGTCTTGAAAAGCAGACGCTGCTAGGACACTACTCGATGACACAACGTTTCGGGCCGTAGCACTAGACGGAAATTTCTAAATGTACAGTATTACTACTTGGTATAGTTCGACGATGGGGCATTGCGTATAGCAAGCAGCATGAGAACCTAGGCGTGAGTGGAAATTGTTATTTAGCTAAAGCATCCAGGCTAGGAAGGGTTTTATGTCAAATTATGGGTGCTCCGTGAGCATGTGTGTATTTGTTATAGTTAGGTACTTCCGAGCTATGCCGACGTGCATGAAATCTCATACTAAATAGCGCCCTGCGCCACACAGTACATGTATCCTCCCATCACACGGCACAATCGTGCACACAGCTAGAGGATCTCCGGGGTCTTAGTCCCCACGGGCACATAGCTAGGATCATTGGCAGCTGCACAGAGATCCTGAGTTTATTAGGTACTTGATAGAGCCCTTAGCAGGTAGAACCCTGGAGCAATTCTTGGGTCAATATGGACATCGAAAGCGGACGATACTACGACACTTCTACAGTTGTCTGGCCGGGGCCGTGGACCACCTGCATCAGATCAGACCGCGACCTGGCTGCGCGCAACATTCTCTTCTACACGAACGAGGTATACCTGAGCTACTTTAGGGCTGCGTACAGCTAAGCCCATCTGTCTGCCGGAAACACACCATCGAAATCTGCCTGCGAGCCGGAAAACAGACTGTCGGCTTTGGAGTTGATGAAATTCAAACTTATTCTCCGTCGATTTCAATATGCTTCTGATTTAAATGTGATGGTGTTGATGGCGTTGATGGCGATCACTACGACAAAGGCATTCAGTTACGATTTCACAGCACCCCGAAATATCCGGATAAGGGATATTACAAAAGCAATGAAGATAAAACATGGTCTCCCGGCCCTTCTCCACCTCAAAATAAAGTCAACATGAAGTGTCAGCGACTGGCTTTTCATTAATGGTGCGGACCGTGATTTTTCTGGCGCCGATTCCGTGGATAAGTCAGGTAAAGAAGAGAATTGATAAAAACACAGCATAGCCAAGCCTATGAGCATAACAGCTACAACAGCCGCACACTCTGGTCGGTCAGGTGAAGCCAGTCTGGGATCCTCGCTAGTCTACGGAGTACTCGAACATCAGTGGCGAGGGCCTGAATTCTCGATGGTTCGGCTAGTCGAAGTTTACGACAGACAGAAGATCCAATCAGGCGAGAAAATGAGCTGATCGAAGTTTTCGGCTAATCGAGAAAAGGGGCTAGCTTAATAGACCGCTGGCCCAGCGTTTCGGTTGGGCTTACAAATACAAGGAGCTTACTTGGGATGGTAAGATACGTAATGTAATGTCCCGAAAATACGGAGTCCTAGCACGTTACTCCGTACATACACTTGTACTCGTGCTCGTACTCGTAGACTTCGAGATTACACGCTGTTCTAGCTTAGAACTTAGGATAGGATATTGCCTGTTATGTGCTTTCAATGACGCCTCTCTCGGTAGACGCCTGCTCAAGTAAAAGCTTAAGTTCCAATTTAGTCCGCCTCAGCTGTAGCGACAAGCCAGCATTTGAACGGGTTACATCATGCCGTGTGATAAACAACACTTTCATATACTAACGCGCGATAGAGAGGACTGACCGGCTAAGCCGGGAAAGTATCCCTGTATACTATTCGCAGGCGATGCGACTTAAGCGAGAGGTTTTTTAACATCTCTGGCGCTAATGTTTTCGGCGCCGGACTACTATCATTAGGCTAGTATCGGTAGCCCTCGGCTTCAACATCTCTTCGTCACATATTCCGGGGTCTCCAGCTACGAGCTTTGATCATACTTATATAGGCAGTTCGGGGCCGATGGTTTCACCAAAGGAAGTCATCTGTGTCCGGAACGCCTCTGTTCCGAGACGCCAAAAAGGTGATGTCATGAAAGCGCGCGGCTATTAAAGATCTCGCCAGACATTTATACATTTCAGATAAAAAAAAGCCTCCCTCTGTCTCCTTTGACCGATCTCCTTCTGCTGTGAACTGTTACACAAGTCTCACGTGTATCCACGAAAGCCTCTCCGTCTTATTTGGTCTCGGCTCAACAGCAGGTTCAATGGCTTACAACGTCTATCCCCAGACGACATTTGATCCAACATATCGGACGGTCCCTCCGCCTCATAGCTTCGCTCAAGACCCGAATCATGTCTGGGTCGTTTCTGTAATCCTACTGACTGTGTCCCTTTTCCTTTTGTGGGCATCAGTCTTCGAGAAAGCCGGCGATGGAGCTCCACAGTGCCTACAGCTCTGACAGTTGGATCTGCTTCCTTTGTCTTGACTGAAGCAATGAACTGTTATCTAGCCAACGTCTATTGGACCACGTCTCATGATCCGAGGACGCTTATGTTTACGCTACTAGGACGCGACTTTGATGTGTATGTCGGTATTATATGGTGGTCCTATGGGGCTGTCTTAAGCTGCATGGTTTACAGCGCACTGAACCGCGGAATTCGAACCGGAAGGTTGTGGGCTCTTTTAGCCTTCTCAGGATTTCTGGACATTGTCCTCGAAGAATGCATGCTCATCTACGGAGGCGTCTATATCTACTATGGGCACCAGCCACTGGTCTTCAACGTCTTCCCATGTTGGTGGGCCTTCTCCAACGTCTCGAGCATCTTTGTTGGCATCTCTATCACTTACCGCTATCGTCACTGGCTTAACGGATGGAGAAGCTGTTTGATTCCCGTCATTTTGCCACTTTGCTATGCCGGTCCTCAGGTTCTCACAGCCCTGCCTACTATATACGCCATCCAGGCAGACTACACCCCGATCACGACCCAAGCATGCGGCATTATCACTTGCGTCCTTGCGGTGGTTCAAGTAGGTGTCGTGATGGATACTGTTCTTGGACGGAGCCCGAGTGATTTTAGCAACGGTGAAAGTACTCGGCTTCAGTCAACAACCAAAAAGCTGTCCTAGATAGTTATCTTTGTAATGGACCAACCAGGAAGCCTGGGCACGTTGTCCTTACCACGCCTTTTCTTACCCAGAACGAAATGAATCATCCACGCAGTCGGGGATCAGAAAGTTGACTCTAGATTATTTTTGATCCTAGATCGATGGCTCGACGCCCAAGTCGTCGAGCTATGAAAAGCCTGGGGAATATCATGTATATAGATACACGGCCTTTGTATTTAAGTGGTAGATTTCTTTCACACTATTTAACCATTCTTTAGTGTTTGGTTTTGTACATTTGCAATACGTTTAGATGCCGCTTGAGGTAAATTCTGTGCAACATATTGCAATGGGCCTTGCGGTTTGCGGTAGAGACTGACTAACGCACCGACGACAGACCACCGCCAAACAGTCGTCTCGGATTTATAAGGGAAGAAGGGAGAATAACACGATAGTTGCAGTCCCGGGACAATAAACACCTTACAACGCAACAGGCTCCGGGAGGATACTGGTACTTCAGCTACAGTTACAATAGCTATAATGGGGGACCTGCAAAGACATCCATAGCGGACATTCAGGAAGTCCTCCACCCCGTCGTCGTCGTCATGCTCGGTGTGTTTGGGTACCGATGACCAGCAGTTCGGTGATAAGAGGTGCCGACTAAGCCGTTTGGGCGACCGGAAGAACCTGATCGGCTACCAGCTATGTCATCAGGCGGCCATTTTCAATTGTACAGCGAGCATTTGCAGAAAAGCACGGAAAGCTGGAAAAACGTGTTGGCCACTTCACTCAAATAGGAACAGCTTATCTTAGTTAAAATTGCGTGGAACACTTGTAGGTCAGGGAGTGGCTGTTGACTTGGGCGTTTGCCACAACAGAAGGACGCGTGCCTGATCTTGTTCGAAAGTCAGGTACTCATCCTCGTAGTGGTGTAGTCACAAAGAACGTGACTGGTGTATGATTTACACGTCTTCTCATCGGCAAAAGTGACGAAAGTGGTAGTGGCAGATCCACTGTTATCCAGGCCTTCCAACGGAGGCGGGGCAGACCGGTTGCTCTTTCCCAACGAAAATCACATGCTTTCCCATCGCGACCGAGACTCGTCGCGTCCCATTCAGTCTTTCTCATTTCCTGTCTGTCTAGGCCCAAGTGAAGTGCACATAGAAGACGCGGCCTGCATACGGCCAGGACATTGCACACCACACGCCCAGAGGTCCTGCGAATACACGGCGCATCCGAATCTTTGCAGGCTTACAGCGGCGGACGTTTTGCGACAGCACGGACCGCCTCTCGACAGAATTACGAGGTCATCTCGTCCCAACGGCCCAACGGCAAAGAAAAAAGCGATTTGGTCCCTGAAAGTCAGACCTGAACGACGACGCATAAAACAGTGCACTCGCATGCTCTGGCTGTTCCTATGAGGACACGTATCTAGGCCGCCATGTTTGGCCGCGCAAGCGGCGATGGAGCGGCAGCAGCAGCAGCAGCAGCAGCAGCAGGAGCTGGGGTGATGGCAGGCAGCGAGAAAGACGGAGACGCGGGCGAGCGGATGCCGTTGCCGGTGCTTCATGTAGAACTACCTCCAGAGTCGGGCCAGCCGCTGCTGCCGGGGCCGGTGGCACGGTCGATCACGCTGGGGACGGAAACGATCCGGGGAGCAATTTGGACGGCTCGAACGGTTGGCCGGGTGCCTTTCTATGCGGCACGATTCACGACGACAGCGAGCATCGAGCTGGGACGACAGGCGTTTGACGCGGTGCTGCGAGGAGCAGGGGCGGGGAGAGCGGAAGGGACAGGCACAGACACAGGCACAGGATCACCAGACGGGGTGGCGACAGCGGCAGCAGCAACGTTTGACGCGGCCCATCGGGGCTTTCACTACCTGCAGCTCTTCACGTCAGCCGGGTTTGCGCTGGCGGGCGGCAGCGCGGCGACGCTGCTGGACCTGTCGGAGGTGATGCTGGTGCTGGTGGACGGGACGCTGGGGTCGACGGAGTCGTCGCGTGCGCTGCGCAGCATCTTGGAGTTTCTGTCGCGCGAGTTCCAGAACCCGGCGACAGGGCGACCGGGTGAGAAGGTGGGGATGCGCGACCTGCTGTGGGGTGCGTGTGCGCTGGTGTACCTGCAGGCAGCCTGCCGGCGAGTGGACGAGGAGGAGCGGGCGCGGCGGGGCGTCGAGGTGGTGGTGTGGGACGTGGTCGTGCTTGACGGCCGACGGGTGGACGTGCACGAGAGCAGCCTGTATGGCAGTCACCAGGGGGCATACCGGCGGTGGGAGGGGGAAGCAGACACGGTGCCTGTCAAGGTAGACGACCCTGAGACGGTCATCCGGCGACAGATTGCAGCAGCCGTGGCGGCCGATGCGGAGGTGGTGGTGACGACCAGCACGTCCAAGATCATCACGGTCGATATCACGGGCAGCCAGCCGCTGTCGCCGATGGCATTGCCTCCGGGTGTAGAGCTCGTGGAGCTGAGCCCGTTGCAGCCAGTTTCGGCCGGGATAGCCGAGACGACCGGGCTGGCCAGCACAGCCTTCCGAGTCGTGTATCGAGTCAACACAAACGACACGCAGACAACGGCAATCCGGCCAGGGCTAGAGGGCGTGGAGAAAGCAGACAATGCCGGTGGCGAGGGTGATGGCCGGGTCGAGCAGGCAGACGACGACGAAACGGAGATTGGCGATATGGTCACGCCCATCGTCACCGTCCATGTGCCCACACCACAGCGGTCAGCGTCGCCGGAGCCACCACCGGTGCCGCCAAAGCCAGCAGCAGCAGTCCGGCCGGCAGTCAAGTCGCCGCTGCGGTCGGTGTCGACAACCCATTCTCTCCGGACGCCGCCAGTGCCGCAGCCCAGGACGTCGTCCAAGGCTCACACGACGGCATCGCAGTCGCGGGCCAACCAGAAGAAGGCACGACAGCCGATATCTTCGCCACGGCAGCAGGAGCAGCAGAAGCAGCCGAAGAAGCAAGAGCAGCAGAAGCAGCAGCAGCAGAAACAACAGCAGCAACAGCAACAGCATAAAAAAGACCAACATCACCAAGCACGGACGGCCAGTAGGCCAGACACGCCCATAGACAGGTCAACGGGCAACAAGAGCAGCAGCAGCAGCAGCAGTGGGTTCCGATCTGTGCTGAAGAAGCCGGCGATTGCGAATTTGCTGCACAAGGAGGCGCCTCTGGAAAGCACTGGTAGTCACAGCGTCCTGGGCCATTTCGGGAGCCCAGGCAGTTTTGGAAGTCCAGGCAACCACAACAATCAGGGCAACAGCCCTGCATTTCGAAACAGCAGCGGGCGGATCCTGACGGTGGTGCAGCAGGCAGGGCCGAAGAGGCCAAGCCGAGGCGAGTCGAAGCCGACACCGCTGACGGCACGGGCGCTCAACCGACACGAGCAGCCGGGGGGCGATGCTTTGGGCGAGAGCAGCGGACGCGGCAGTCCGTCGTTTACGTACGCGGCCTACCACCACCAGCACCACCGGAAACAGCGCAGCCTGGTGGCAGACGACGTGGAGTCGCTGGCGTCTTCGCTGGCCGAAAGCGTGCCGATGCACACGGTGGACCCGATCGCGACGGCGTCTGCGTTTCTGCGGCCAGGAGGAACGGCAACGACAGCAACGACGACGACAGCAGCAGCAGCCAGCACCGATGTCGGACTGGTCAGCGGCAACACACCAACCAGCAATCATCGGCGTCGCCGGTCCTACAACAACCGCAGCAGCATCTACACGCTGCATACCAACGACTCGCAGACATCGCTGGTGGTGTCGACATACGGCGGAGGAGCAGCGAGCAGCAGCGATGTTCTCCTCCACAACAACAACAACAGCAGCAACAGCAGCAACAGCAGCGACGCGTTTATCAGAGAAATCCAGCGCACCGGACGGGTGGCCGGCATGTTTCCGGCAGCACCGCTGCTACACAGCCTGCGGCACTACATGCGCTTCTCATCGGCCGCATACGGCCAGGACTTTCTGCGGGTGTTGGGAATGGGCTACCCGACAGCGACAGCAGCTGCGGCAGCGGCCACGACAACAGCCACAGCGACGGCAGCATCGACACCACAGCACCGCGACGTGGCGGCCTATGCGCACCACACGGGCTTACGACCCGAGGACATCGTCCTGGCCTCCTTCATTGACGGGACAGGCGGAACAGCGAGGGCCAAGACACAGAAGCGACAGCCACAGCTACCACCGCTGGTACACTACGTGGCGCTGGACCATGGACAACATGCAGTAGTGCTGGCCTGTCGCGGCACGCTCGGGTTCGAGGACGTGCTGGCCGACATGGCGTTTGCATACGACGATCTCGTCTGGCGCGGCCGCACATATCAGGTGCATCAAGGCGTGCACGCGGCTGCGCGACGGCTGCTCTACGGCGGTGACGGTCGCGTGTTGGCGACGCTGCGAGCGGCCCTGCTGCGATACCCCGACTATGGCCTGGTGCTGTGCGGCCACTCGCTCGGAGGGGCTGTGACGGCACTGTTGGGCGTGATGCTGTCAGAGGGGGGAGACGAGGGGGTGCAGTTTGTCACAGCGAGCTCGCCGAAATTGTTGGGGACGACCACAACGACCAGCTCCACGCCATCACTGCCTCCGGGCCGGCCGGTTCACGTGTTCGCCTACGGAGCCCCCGGCACCATGTCTGAGGGTCTGCGACGGGCAACACGAGGACTGATCACGAGCGTGGTCCAGGGCGACGATGTGGTGCCGTACCTGTCGCTGGGTGTGCTGCACGACCTGCAGGCGGTGGCGCTGGCCTTTAAGACAGACGACAGCCGTGCGTCGGCCGAGCTGTGGAGCCGGCTGTGGGAGGGGTTGCGGCGAAGTCTGGGGGTAGGAGGAGGAGCTGCCGGTGGAGCAGAAGGGACAGCTCCCCCCAATCTTCCGGACGACTGGGCACACGCGGCCCTCAAGACGCTGCGGGCCAGCATGCTGAGCGCGAAGCTGGTGCCACCCGGCGAGGTGTTGCTGGTCTCGTCGCAGCAAGTGCTGCAGCGGAGTGGTGGTGGTGGTGGCGGCATGGATCCGCTGACAGTGTCGCCGGCACGGAGATTGATGCTGCGACACGTGCGCGACGTCGAGGCACGTTTCCACGAGGTGCGCTTCGGCCTGGCAGCCCTGGTCGACCATAGTCCGGGGCGGTACGAGGCCGCGTTAGACCAGCTGGCAACAAGAGTGCAATTGTGAGGGATGATGGAAGGCCTGATTCACCTTGGACTCGTCACGTGCAGTATGACGTCAGCTTCCCCGCCTGTGCTGATTGGAGGGAAAATCACCGACCCCAGGAACGGCGCCGAGTTGCGGCCCGGCTTCGGTGGGTACTGGGCCGAGTTAGCCTGCTGCAAGAGTGACATGTTCTCGCATCCTTTCATCAGCACTTTGCCCTGGACTTTGTTCCTGCACATCACACAGCACCTTCACTCCACGCCAGCAAGGTCAAGCACGATGGCCTCTGAATCGGTAACGGCCTCAGTCCTGACGCAAGTCCACACTCTCAGCCAGGTACGGAATATGTTCTCTGAGCGACAGACGGCAGCTTGACGTGCTGACACTTCCTCTCCTCTGACAGATCCAGCGCCCGCTGCCTGCTCCGGGCCCGGGGGAGATCCAGGTGCGCATCAAGGCCGTCGGCCTCTGCGGCTCCGACCTGCACTACTATCATCAGCTGCGCAATGGCGACGCTGTCGTGCGCGAGCCCATGACCTTGGGCCATGAAGCTGCCGGCATCGTCGAGGTTGTCGGACCTGTCGCGGCTGGCGCTGCTGTCGATTCTGACCACGTTTTCCACGTCGGCGACCGCGTCGGCGTCTCGAGCTAGGCACGCCCTGTGGTACCTGTCGCTACTGTCGTCGGCCGGACGGCCGCGGCTACCATCTGTGCCCACAGATGCAGTTCGCCGCGTCTGCCCGCAAGTGTCCTCACTGCCAAGGCGCCCTGCAGAAACGCATCAACCGGCCGGCCCGGTGGTGTTTCCGGTGAGTGGAGAGAGGAAGAGGAAGATGAAAGAAAAGGAAAAGAAAGGAATGATTACGTAATGCTGACTTGGCCAGAATCCCAGACACGTTCAGCTACGATCTCGGTGCCCTGATCGAGCCGTTGGCCGTGGCCGTGCACGCACACCGCCGCGGCGGGCTTGCTGACGCTGATGTCGACGTCGACCAGACACAAAACATTCTCGTGCTGGGCGCCGGCCCCGTCGGCCTATTGGTTGCGGCCGTCTGCCGCTACGCCCATCTGCAGCGTGCCGGCCGCGACAAGGCGGCTGGCCTGCACATTGTCATGCTCGACCTGATCCAAGACCGCGTCGACTTTGCTGTGCAGCAAGGTTTTGCCGACGTCGGCGTCGTGTTGCCGCGCGACCTCCTCGGCCAGACCGACGCCGACAAAGACGACGACAAGGCCGGCCTTCCACCCAAGTTCACCAACCCCAGGGCGCTCAGCGAACTGCTCGTGGCCAAAGCCCGTGACGGTGCCCTTTACGACGTCACTTTTGAGTGCACCGGCCAGGAATCTAGCGTGCAGACGGGCATCTTTGTAAGCATGATCTCTCTCCCGATCCCGTGACTCCGTGACCCCGTGACCCCGATCTAACAACCCAGTCTACGCTTCCGGGCGGCCGCATCGTCATCGTCGGTATGGGCGCGTCTGCACAACGGATCCCACTAGGAACGGCCGCGGCCAAGGAGGTCGACATCGTCGGCGTATTCCGCTACGCCAACGACTACCCCGAGGCCATCCGACTGCTACGCGAGGCCGACGCCGAGCAGCTGGCCCATATGGAGAAGATCGTCTCCCACCGCTTTTCCGGACTCGCCAATGCTGCTGCGGCCTTTGAACGCGCCAGCAAGCCGTACGACGAGGACGGAAAGCTGGTGCTCAAGGTGATGATTGAGCCATGAGTGGGAGTGTTGACCAGGTCGGTGCTTGACACAAATCTTGGATAATGGAAGTTGAGAGGATAAGAAAAAGGAATAAAGACAATAAAGATAAAGGGGTACCAAGGTAAAAGAACAAGAGATATATAAAGTGCAGAATTCTTGTTTATTTCTATAGAGCCTAAAAGAGAAATACGATAGCTGTGTTGAACACCTGTCCGTCACGACTTGTCCGGGAAGCCAAAGTCGATGCCAAAGGGCGGGTAGACGAAGCGCTGCAGCTTGCCGGCCTTGTCGAGGCCGTCGGAGTAGTCGTTGAGCAGCTGCAGGTCGGCGCCATCGAGCGTGACGATCTTGCGGTTGGCGTCGATGCGGGCCGGCGTGACCGACTTGGGCACGACAGTGCTGCCGCGAGCCAGGTGGTAGCTCAGCAGGATTGTGGCTGGCTCGACGCCGTGTTTGGCGGCTGTCTGGACGATCGGCTCGGCCGTGAAGAGCGGGCCGCCCGTGCTGCCAAACGGGCTGTAGGCCATGATGTGGATGCCGCGTTCGCGACAGAGGTCGACAATCTCCTGCTGTGGCAGTGCCGGGTGGTTCTCGATCTGGTTGACGGCCGGGACGACGGTGGCGTGTGGCAGCAGCTGTTCGAGATAGCGTTTGCTGTACTGTGGTGGTTGGGGATATGTAAGAGAGGAAAGACGAAAGACGAAAGAGAAAGAGAAAGACGAAAGCGAAAAACAAAACATACATTGCTCACACCGACAGACCGGGTCTTGCCCGTTTTCAGGACGGCCTCCATCTGCCTCCAGGTGTCGACGTGGTTGTGGCTGCGGATGATGTCGCGCTCGCCGTTGGGCAGCTTCGGGAAGCACTCATCGTTGCCGCCGGGGTTCAGCAGCAGCGGCCAGTGCACCAGATAGAGATCGACGTAGTCGAGGCCAAGCAGCCGGAGACTCTTGTCCAGCCCCAGCTCGACGCGCGTGTTGTACGAGGCCCAGACCTTGGAGACGACAAAGATGTCGGCACGCGTGACGACGCCCTTGGCGATGGCTGCCCGGATGCCCTGGCCGACCTCGTCCTCGTTGCCGTAGCAGTACGCGCCGTCGATGAGCCGGTAGCCGGCCGTGAGGGCGTGCTCCACGGCAGCTGCTACTTCGCCCGGAGCAGACTGCCATGTGCCTGGAAGACGGATTAGAAGCCGACAGATCATAGAGGCTCGACAGTGCGGCCGGCAAGACACGGCATACCGAGACCCAGCGCCGGGATGGGCAGTCCGTTGTTGAGCGTAAACGTCTTGTCCGTCATCGTGGCGGCAGAAAGAGCAGGGAAACAGGAATGAGAGGATGGAAAGACGAGAGAAAGGGAAAAGGCGGGAGAATGATGAGAGGAAGGGGAAAGAAGAGTTTAAAGAGCCGCCGCGGAAAGCGCAATCGGCAAAGCGGGGAGCCGAGCTCACAGCTCGCAGCCCACCAAATCGGGAAGGCGCCGGAAAAAAGCACCCCGACAATCACAGGCAGGCAAGATGGATGGACAGAGTGGGTCACCAAAGTGAAAAGAATCTATTGCTCCGAGTATTAGCAAGTAATAGGAAGCGAAGATAAAACAGTCGAAGCAGAACCGACCGGACCGCAAGAGATTAGAAAAACAGCAGCAGCGAAGCGAAACGTCGACATGTCCAGTCGCACGCAAAAACACAAAACACCCAAAACCCAGTCGGCGTATTCGTACAGGATCGATCCATTACCTCCCGCTCGTCTTCTAGCCGGCGATCAACACCCAGAGCCTGTGATATATGTTAGCTGGAGCGAAAAATGAAGGACGTCCAGACAGGGCCACTCACAAGAAGAAGATCATTAACACGCCAAACATTTCTGTACATGTTAGCACGTCGAGTTGGTAAAGAGCGGCAAGACAAGTACTTACTGGCAATCAGCCACCGGTTGCCCGAGACACGGCCCCAATACTTGAGCAGCTCCTTCTGAGCGCCTTGCACGTTGTCCACCACAGATTCGGTCTTGGAAAGAGTCAGCCATGTCTCTACCGTCTGCCGTCTGCCGTCTCCATCGCACTCTCTGACTCACATTCGCATCGATCCGCTCAATCATCTCCGACTGCTCCGACACCATCGAAGCCAGCTGCCCAAAGATGGACCCCAGCTCTGCAATGGTCGACTCGATCGCCTCGATCGCATCGCCGCGCTGCTGAATGTACGTGTTTGACGGCTGTGCCTCCTCCATCATCATCAGCTGCTGGTCGCTGACGACCGGGTTGAGCGAGAGCAGATCGCCACCGCCGCTGCCGCCATCGAGCAGAAGCCCCGACGCCGCTGCAGGCCCGCCGCGCAGTGCCGGTGTGTTTCGGCCGCTGCCGCTGCTGCTGCCCGTCGTCGCAGCTGCATATAGCGGCGAGGCTGACTGCTGGTGCAGGCTGCCGCCACCAGCCCCATGCTGCTGCACTGGCGGCGCCACCTGTGAGATGAAGTTGTCTGTGCGTGCCCGCGTCGACTGCAGGTTCTTCGTCCGCACTTCCAGCACCTCCTTGAAGCTGGCCGACACGCCCGTCAGCCGGTCCTGCAGCAGGTACACCACGTTCTTGCGATGCTCGCCCTCTTCCGACTTGCCGCCCTGTTGCTGTCGTGAAAGTGCCTGCAGCCCCGAGATCTGCTGGTTGATCGATGCTGCACCCCAAAGTCAGCCACGGCCTCCTGACACGTACACGTACACGTACACGTACACCGACCACAGAACACAGCACATACCCAGGTTTTGCTTCACCACAAACGTCAGCTCGTTCACCTCCGTCGCCTTGTCGTCAAACATGCTCTTCCGTTTTGCCACTGTCCCGCACACTCGTTAGCACACGTCGTCCGTAAGCCATATCTTCGCCGTGCTGCATCGCCTCCTTGACTCACACATTGCCAGCCGTTCCAGCTTTGCCATCGTCGCCGAGATCCCTCGCCCAATCTCTGCTGCTCGCCGCGCAAATTCTGACCGTCTCACGTGGCCTGCCGCTGCACCGCTCTGCTCGTCCGCCAGCGTCCCGTCGTTGTACGCGCCTGGCGCCAGCAGCGGCTGCTGTTGTTGTTGCGAGACCGATGCGCCTCCGCCAGCAAACATCATCGCTCGCTTCTTCTGCGCTGTCGCCGCTCCCTTGGACGACTGCACATGACGTCGCTGTGCCTGCTGCACCACCGTGCGGAACTCGACCGTGCGGTCCTGGATCCGGGACACTGCCATGGCGTGAGTCTGCCGTCGTTCAGTGGACCGAGCCGCAGTCGATGCGCGTCCACCAATGGCGCCTTCTGCCGGTCCTGGTCAAACTCAAAGTCGTACTATGGTGTCGTGGAACAGAAAAGCTTCGGCTTCGTCGGAAAATCCTTCGGTCGAAATGTCGTCGCCAGGGTTTGCGTGTGGAAGTCTCGTCTTGGCCAGTCGGGAGCCCGGTTCTACAGAAATTATGCAAGGCAAATGCGGCAAGTGAAAAGAGAAACAATGGTGACGCCGTGGAGAAGAAAGAGGGGGGATTGGAAAGAGATTAAGTTTCAAGGCCGTAGCGGAGATCCAAGAGACGGAGATGGCGATGTAAACCTGGCCAGTGCCCCTTTCGCGCCTTCTAATCTCAGACACCCAATCAGCGACTAACGCATTACGTGGAGGTCCCCGCGTGCGGATGAACGCCTGAGGCAGAGAATCTTGTACACCATGCTGGCCAATCACAGCAGAGGAGGGTATTATTGCTAATTATAGGCCAACGGCTGAAGAACCAATTTCGAGACAAAAGGCTGCATAAAGACAACAGGCAAATGAAAAAGAAACCCCCCAAAATCCAAAAACAATCACATCAAATCGTCCTCCACAAACGTAAACTCTGCGTACGGATTCCACTCCTGTCCCGGATAGCTGGTCGCCGACATATGGGGCTGTTCGCGCTCTTTGCGACGCTGCTGCTCCAGCTGCTCGTCCATGTCGGGCACAAACACCGGAATCTTCTCCTCCAGGTCCTTGAGCATCTGTCGCCTCTTGTACTCCTCCACCTGCTGGGCCGACGTCTGTCGGATAGTCTTCTGCCGTCCCACCTTTGCCGACTCGGCATCGCTGCTGCCGTTGACAGAGACAGCCGTAGGTGAAGGCGTCGACAAAGCAGATGGTGAGACTGGATTCGCAGGCGGCGGACTGTCTGCCGAAGAGGCTGCAGCGGTCGGCGCCTCTCGGACAGACGTGCCGTTGAGATCCTCCTCTGTGGTAGTTGGGCTCCCGACAACTGTTGTCTGCACGGGACTCTGAATGCGCAGCGGTGCCGGCGCCATGGGGTTGCCAATCGTAATGTCTGTGAGAGAAGCGTCCGTGGCATCAATGGGACTTTCGCCCATGGAAAGGGCGGTGTTGCCGTTGGGCTGCACTGGCGCTGAGTCAGGCGTGGCATGAAGCGGCGACGAGATCGCCGAGTCCGAGGCTCCAGCCATCAGTCCCCGGCCGTCCTGTATGTGCTTCTGCTGTATTGCTGTCTGGGATGGAGCCTGTGGAATTTGTAGCTCCTGCTGCTGGTCGGCCTGCGGATGGGCCTGTAGAGGTGGCGTGGGCAGAAACGAGCTGTCGACTGGATCCTGTTGGCTAGTCACCGCTGGGGGCGAAACTGTGTTCGGCGTCGACGTAGTCTGTTCCTCTGGTTGCTGCTGCTGCTGCTGCTGCTGCTGCTGTGGAAGAGGAGGCGTTGGTGCATACGGTGCAGTTGCGACTTCTGCGTAGATAGCAGCAGGGGAGTCGTACCGAACTGGGTGCTGCTGTAGCGGATGTGGCACGGCCTGGTTCTGTCGGACGACTCCGTCGGGAGCTGTGTTGGAAAAACCGATGGCCGGTTGGCCTTGCAGCTGCTGCGTGTAAGGCCCTGTAGCCTTTAACCCGGTGGCCTGACCATGGAAGACACCCGCTGGGAGGTGCTGTTGTGGTTGCATCTGCAATTGCGGCTGGTAGGCCACGAACCGCTGTTGCTGCTGCTGCTGCAACTGGTGCGATCGCGCCATCATGTCCTCGCTGTACACGGTAGCATATCCCATAGGGATAGCAACATTTCCGTACTGCGGCTCGCCGTGCGTGTTCTGCATTTGCTTCCGGGTCGGTACAGATGCTTCGCCGGTTTGCACATGGTTGCGATACGCCGCCCCAAATGGCGCAATCGGCCGAGGCGGCTGCTGTTGCCGTACTTCTTGTTGGGATATCTGTTTCTGCAGTGCTTGCTCACGTGTGAGCACCGGCTCGGACGCTGACGTTGGTAGGCCCAGGTTTGATAGCGGAGGAACGAACGGTCCAACAGTCCCGACAGGAGTGCCAGAGCCACGGAACGTACCGCCCATAGGCGCGCTGATCACCGGCTGGCGCGAAGGCTGTCTAGGGTACTCAGGCCCGCCCGGTGGCGGGCCCCGAGGATCAATGGTGCCGCTCTTGGGACGGCGGAAGCGGCCAAAGAACTTCTTGGACCGATCTCTCTCCTTGTCATGCTTTGTCACCTGTGGCTGGGATGTCGGGACGCCTAGGCCAGGCTGGGGATGTATGGTCATGTTCTGCGGGTATTGCCCAGCCAGTCTCTGCCCCATGTCCTCTGGCTGCTGCACCACTACAGAGGACAGCTTCGACCGGTGGAACTGCTGTTTCTGCTGCTGGGGCGGCGGTGTTGGCGCCATTGACGGCGTCAGGCTCACTGCGTCAGCAGCTGGCTGATGGGTAGACGTCGAGATAGATGGTGACGGCACGTGACTCAATTCTCTACCGATGTCGCCATTAGCAGCAGCCGTTGGAGCTTCCGACAAAGCAGAAGGCGGGCGGTCAATAAGATCAAGGTCAGCATCTGGATTCGGCGCCAGAAGAGCGACTGCAAGCTGTCTTGTCGGCTGTGTCGGCTGCAGCGGAGGCGGCGAGGATCCCACGGGTTTGCGGACAGGTGGCCCATAGGACGCGGACGGCAGACGGCCGTGAATTCTGGATGCCGGAATGCAAGGGCCACTGGCACTCCGCACCTTTCCGGTCGTCATCATTTCGAGGTTGGGGCTGACAGAAGACGGTGCCCTAGAAGGCGACAGTCCAGGGATCGTGGAGTTCGGCATGTTCGTCGTGACAGACAGCTGTTGCTGCGGCTGTGGAAATGACAGCCCTGTTGTGCTAGCACGGGGACGTCCTCCTAGATCACGTTCCCAACCAGATCTGGGCGCTGGCTGTCCTCCGGGTCTGTCTGGGCCAGAAAAGCCAAACTGTTGCGCTAGTTGTGTCGGTTGAGCGACTAACTGCGACATATTGGCTGATGTCCGATGCTTGTCCTTGCCCTTGCCTTTGCCAAAGAAACCCAAGAGGCCTGACCCGCGCCTACTATGTCGTTCCTCTTCAGGAGGGACGCTGAACGTGTCTGCCCGGTTGGCCTGCTGTGGCGAGATGAATACTTGCTGTTGCTGCTGTTGTTGCTGCTGCTGGATCGGCGCTGTCCGAACCTGCGCAATTTGACGAGGACCATAATTCTGGCCGTCATCGCCAAAGCCTTGTGGCATCCTTGCCGGTGGGAAAGAACTGTTTTGTGGGGCCGGGCCGCCGGGCTGTTGTTCTTGGTTCAGGAGGAAGAGCTGTGGGTTGGATATATGCGTAGCTGGAGACAAAATCAGCTGCTGCTGTTGCTCCGGATTTTGTGGCTGTCTCTGCAGGGGCGGTCCCTGTGGAGGCCTGCTTGGATGTCCCTGGAAGCCAAGTGACCTCTGAGCGTCTTGGGCGTCGTGATATATGTGTGGTTGTGCCGACTGTGGCCGACTGCCGCTGTCCTGCTTGCCCTTATTGAAGGGAAGGAAGCCCCGTAGCTTGTCGACGGTAGAGTGCTGATGGTGGTGCTGCTGATGTTGCTGAGGTTGCCGGTGCAAAGAAGGCGTCCTGTCCGATGTCGTCTCGTGGGATGACGGAGGCGGCCGTACAGAGTGTGATGAGGGCGGTGGCGTGCCATGAATAGACTGACGCCAGTTGCTGATCATGGAGAATCGGCGGCCCTTTTCGTCAGTGGCGTTGCTGTCGCCTGCAGCGGCGGGTGGATAAGGCCTTCGGACCACTCCGGGCTGCTGGGTCTGGAAAGGAGCTGCAGGTCCATCACCATTGGAAGCATGCTGATGGTTTTGCCCGTCTGACACTGGGATGATTCTTGGCCGTTGTTGCTCCTCTTGCCACAGCTGCTCCCTGCTTGATGCTTTCTGCTCCTGATGCTTCTGCTCCTGATGCTTCTGTTCCTGCTGCTCCTCCTCTGGGTTCGGGTTCTTCTCTGGCCTTGGCTCCTCCTCTGGCATCGGCTCCACATGTTGCTGCTGCTGCTCCAGAGCAATTGGAGGTGAACCGACGTCGTCGTCCTTTGCAGGCGGACGCGGCTCAGATGGCTCTGGCTGTCCAGTGCCCTGTATGGTATTAGCAGCGGTTGACTCGGCCGAGAGCAGCTCGGCCTCCTTGTCGAGGCCGTAATACTGCTGCGTGGGTGTCGTGGGCGACGATCGCTGGCGCGTGGACGCGAGCGGTTCCTGCAGATGAGACTCCTTCAGCTTCCATCCTCCCTCGGGCACGAATTGCGGGCCACCCGGCTGGCCGTGGATGGGAAACGGCGCGCTCTGCTGCAAGGGCTGCTGCTGCTGCACAGGCTGCTGCACAGGCTGCTTCTGCTGTGGCATCTGTTGCGCAACCGGCTGGCCATGCCAGCTCGGCTGCTGAGACGTCTGGTACTGGCCCGGCCCTGACTGGACCTGGCTCTGGTTTCCCGATCCCTGGCTGCCCTGACCACGGTATGCCTGCTGATGTTGAACAGCCTGACCTTGTTGTGGCGGTTGCTGCTGCTGGGGGCTCGACACCACCGGGGATCGGTTTCCCCAAGACGGCTGCCGTTGTTGGCTAGGGCTGCCGATGGGCCCAGACATGCCAGGAAATGGTCCGTACGGGCTGGCGGCTTGGTCGAAGTCGGGAGCTGGTGCACAATACAGACGGTCAGTGTCTGGAAAAAGGGGACAAAATGCACCACATTCCGGGCCTCTCTTCAACGCACCCTGTGCAGTGCTTCCCGGATGCTGCGGCGGTGGCCCGCTCTCGGGCCGCTTTCCCTTGTTCTCGCCCATCGGCGAAGACGGCGGTTCGAACAGGTGCAACGCGGACGTACGACGGACGGGAGGCAGGGGAGTAAAAGACGACTGGCGGGTGACGCTTCTCTGCAGCTCTTCTACCTGCTGGTGTTGCTGCCGTTGAAGGTAGTGCTGTTGTTGATGCTGGATATGCTGCTGCTGCTGCAGTTGGAGCAGTTGCTGTTGTTGCTGGTGCTGGAGATATTGCTGATGCTGTTGTTGTAGCTGCGGCTGTAGCTGTAGCTGAAGCTGCTGATGTTGTTGCTGCTGCAGGAGAAAGAGTTCGTGCTGCTGTTGTTGCTGCTGCTGCTGGAGATACAGCTGATGCCGGTATGCATCCTCTTGCTGCTCTGGCTCGTAGCGATTGGACGGGTCATGCACAGCAGGTCCGCCGTTTTGGGCAGCAACGGGACCGATGGCAGTGTCGCCGTCGTTCTTGTGGCGCTGTCGCGAAAACATGTTGCCAGCGCGAGAAACTTCTGGGAAGTGGAGAGGGCCGCGGCAAGACCGCAGGGAGGAATGGAGATGCAAGAGGATTCCAGCTGGGCAAGAATGCGAGTCGGCGTGCCGAAAGGGGCCAAAGGTTCTCCGTACGCACGAGTACCTAGTGTCCTGCTCATCCGATCGCTTCGGACGGCCTGACGAGCTGCAAGGACAGAAGGCGGAGAGCAGACAGCAACAGGACGGCAGCAACGCGCTCTGTCGCGCATCTGACTTGCCAACGGCGTGCCGGGCGATGCTGGGAGAGGGGGTAAGAGCAAAAGGGCGAGAGACAAGAAGAGACAGGCCAAAAAGTAAGACGGAACCGGGATTTCGTGTCAGCTGGAGCACAAGGCTGTATTGGGATGAGCCTGTGCGATACTTTTTCCTCTTTTCCCCTCTCTGGACAGCGGGAAGGCGCTAGGACGCAGGTGAAAATGGCGTTGTGGGTCCTAAGGCTGCTGCTGACAGCAGATAAGAGCGGCTGTGTTTGGGCGTTCTCCTGTGCTTGCTCTGGGAATGTGTCTTCTGCTGTTGCTGTTTCTGGCCCGCGTCGGTCTTCCTGCTGACCAATGTCCCTCGAGCACGGGTCCCCAGAACTGGTCGTCACAGCATTGGTCCTTGCTGCAGGGATGGCCATCCTACAAGTGGAGTAGCCTGAACACACGGCCCCACTGTTCGAAGGAGTCGTGCACACAGCAACAGAGGCTGTGCTGGCCATTTGCCCTTTCTGCTGCATCGCGACTCGTCCGTCACACGGACACAGCCCGTCTCTCGTTTCTCACCGCCGTCGTGCCGGTGTAGACTTGTTACTTGTATTATTGTTGTGGCCGGACAACGATGGATAGCATGCACGCGGTTTGAGGATATATCCCTATACGTAGAAAGCCTCCAGAAAAAACACTCTCCAGCCCACTGTCATAGACCCAACACCGTCGCCGAAGCCAAGAGAGGAAAGAAATAAGAGGGGGGGTGAGAAAGATGGAGGGGGGGAGGGAGGATATTCGAAACGAAGAAGAAGAAGGGAGAAGAGAAATACGAGGAACAGAAGGAACAAGAAAAGAAGAAAAAGGAAGCGAGAAAATTCCTCACCTTGTCAGTTCTCCTCCTCAGTTTTCTCAGTCCTCCTCGGTCCTCAGTCCTCCACCTCCACCTCCTCCTCCCCTCAGTTGGCCGCCTTCTTGTGGAAGCCCTTCTTCCGCAAGGAAAAGAGCCCTTTGCCGGCCTTGCCTGTGGCTGCCAAGATCTCCTTGCCCTTGTGCGAGATGTGGTTGCTCGACGGGATCGACGGTATGCTGGCGAGTGCAGCCGCCGGTCGGGATGGTGGTGGCTGGCCGGCCGAGACGGTCTCCCAGATTGGCACATACGACGCCCGGGCGTACTCGGGCACGGCCGTCATGGCGCTGAGCCACGCGAGCAGGCCCGAGTCTGCGTTGGCGTACTCGCTCCGCGTCTCGGCCAGCTTGGTCATACGCTCCTCGTGCGTCTCAAAGGCCATACACTGCCGCAGCGTCAGCAGCTGGCCGCTGTTGCCCTCGTCCTGGCCGTAGCCGCCAATCAGTTGGGCCGACGGGGCCAGCTGGGTCGACTGCGCCGACTGTGTGGACGAGTGCGAGTGCGCCGACAGCACCGACTCTCTCGGGCCTGTCGCTGCCGACGGCTGTCGCTGGTGCGGCGGTCGCGGAGACACCGGCAGTCCGACAATGGCCGGTGCTTTCGGCTCGTCTGCAACCACGTCCAACATCGATCGCAGGGCCGGCTGTGTGGTCGACTGCACGACCTCTGGGGCCGAGTCTGCATCGACTGGCGGCGCCTCTGTCGCTAGCGTGTGGAGCTCAAACGCGCTGAAGAGAGATGCCGGCGATCTAGGGTCCTCCAGCTCCACCGGAATTGGTGGCTCTACCGACATCCGCACTGCTGCCGCCGATGACGGAGGAGCTGGCTCAGGCGCTGAGCTGCCATCGACCTCAGCAGCAGATGCCGTAGCAGACGCTGCTCGAGACGCGGCCTGAGACTCGCCCTCCCACGAGAAGCGGCGTCGAATCCTGGCGTCGGGCGAGACAGCCGGGGATTTCAGCGTTGCCGGTTCTGGTGTTGACAGGGTAGGGGTCGTCTTCAGGATTGGCTCCGGGATCGGCTCCGGTTTCAGCTCCGGGCTCTGCTCAGCCTTCTGCTCAGCCTTCTGCTCAGCCTTCTGCCCACCCAGCTCAAGCTGTGAGCCCGAGGCCACCAGGGCTGCTGCTCCGGCTACCTCTGCCGCTGCTGCAGCCGCCGTCAACATGGGGACGTGGGGCAGAGGTGGCACCGGTTCTGCGGAGGCGTCGTCGACGTCGTCGGCAGTCCAGTACTCGTCGTAGACGCTCTGCAGATAGGAGCTCTCGCGCGTCAGCTTTCCATCCTCGCGGTCCGACTGCTCGCCAGCAGCCGTGTCCGTGGTCGCGTTCGCGTTCCCGCTCGCCAGATTGGCCGGCGTCAGCGTGCGAATGATCTCCTCGTGCAGCTTGTCGCTCTCTTTGGGCGTCCCGACTGTGCCGCTGGATTCTGTCGTGTTCGTTCCGGACCGCTTGAGCGTGGTCGTGGCCAGCGGCGGCGGCACGCCGTCAGCAAGCGGCAGCGCGCCCCGGTGTGGATTGAGGGGTGCCGTCGGGGTCACCACGGTGCTCGGCGGCGGCGGCGAAGCGACACGATCTAGGAGAACCTCGGACCGATCTCCGGGAACCTCCGCCATGTCGGCCAGCTTCTTTGTGCTGGCGTCACCCGACAAGGCAGCCGCTGTGGGCGCCACGGCCAGCGGGGCTGCTGCCTCTACCTTTCCTGCGGCCGGTGGCAGGGCCGGAACAGGAGGCGCACCATCGGAAGAGAGCAGGCTTGTCTCTCCAAAGAGCAGCTCAGGAGCAAAGGTCGAGAAGCGGGCCAGGCTAGGGAGCTTAGGGAAGTTGGAGAACCGACGGGCCTCCTCTTCGGCGGCCGTGCTGGCAGCAGAAGATGCAGCCGAGTCAGTCGAGACCTTTGGCTTGTGTTGAGAATGGGGACCAGGTGAGGGTGCTATGATGATGGGAGTCTGGAAGGCTGCAGCTGCGGCTGCGGCGATTTCTCGGACGGGTGTTTCTGGTGATCGAATGTTGGCCGAGGCGGCAGGTGCGACCGCGGTGGCGTTGTTTCCTGGACTGCAAAAAGTCAATTCCAATCAGATGTCATCAGGACGAGCATCTCTCACCTTGATGACGCTTGTTGTTGCTGTGGCACGGTCTCCTCGCTGGATGTACCACGCCGGTAGATTTCCGACGGGCGAACGAGGCTGCTGGTGCTGCCGTTGGCAAGAGCGCTGGCATTGGCCGTGGCAGCTCGACGAACAGCGGCCGCAGCCGGCGACTGTGCACGCGGGCCCAAAGGCGACTGCGAGCGAGCCTCGGACGTCCAAGGCTGGCGTCGGGCGGCTGGCGGCATGGATCCAGACCGCGGCAGCTCGGCGTGCAGCGGAGGAGCGGTGCTGGAGGACGGGACGCTTGAGAGAGTGCGAGCGGCCGGCGTGCCGATGCTGCTGCTCCGGTTGCTGCTATTGCTTTGGCTGTTGGACGGCAGCGCCGGCGAGCCCTGGCGCCAGGACTGCTGGGACGGCAAGGACGGCAATTGTGACGGCGGCTGTGTCGAAGCCGACTCTCCTGCTGCTGCCGTCTGTCCGTTTAGCAGCGGCCGCGTCGGCAGCGAGTCCTGTCGTGGACGATGTGTCGCCGTCGTCGGACTGGCGGCTGCACTGGCACCAGCTATAGACGGCAGCGTGCGGATGCCAGACAGCATGGTTCCGGGAAGACTGGGCATCGGCGGTGGTACACCGCCGGCCATGTGGGCTCCGTCGTCATCCCCATCGTCATCGTCGTCCTCGTCCCCCCAGCCGCTGCCGTCGTAGTTGATCGTCTTGGCCTCGACCCATTTCCGCGTCTTCTTCCGGCTCACGTTGGCCTTGTAGTTTGCTGTCACCGTTCCCGATTCCCTGGGCGACGACTGTGGTCAGCAGGAGCGCAAGAAGCAGGACAACAGCCACAACAGAGGGACTGCTCACGTGGGCGACGACACGGCCGACCGGTAAAAGGGACTGCTGCCGTAGCTGCCCTCGGCCATGGTGGAAAGAGATGCCGGCGAAATGGCGCTCGCTAGCGGAAATTCGGCTGTGTGGCGAGTAGAAAGACAGCCGGGTGGCTTTTGAGAGGGTAGTTTCGGACAGGCCGTCGATTGTCCTTCTGTGTCGTGGTGGCTCTCCAGCAAGTACGGGTATTGCGAGCAGAGATATTTACGAGCCCTGGGCCCGTCGCGTTCTCGTAAGAGGAGAGAGCCCTCTGTACGCAATGGCTTGCGCGCTAAGAAGGAGGACCACCTGGCGGCCCTGAAGAATCAGGAAATGCGGGACAGGAGGGGGACTGACGACGTACTCCGTAGTGGGAAGAATGCAGGGCCCAGCGTCCACTGCAGGGGAGATGATTGGGTGGTTAGGGATCGACGCAGCTGGTGCCAGGCGCTAAACACGCGCTACCACGGTGTAGAATCGGACTGAAACCACCTTATTTTCCGGGGGGTCAGGACGAGAAAGGAAGCTGCACAGATCACGCAGACTGCAGAAGACGTTGCCTTGGTTCACGATGTCTGGACGGTCTCTGTATGTTCTGTATGGAGCGCCCCGTACTTGAAGTAGAACCGACGACGCATATCTGCCGATCGAGCATCGTAGATGTTGTCTTGGCCTGGCAGACTAGCCTGCTCGTACTCGTATTGCAGGCTCGAGCACATTCCATGACTACGAATGGCATTAACGTCCAGAGGGCTCCTATACCTCGAGAATGCGACAAGCTGGTGGCGAAGCCGCATTGTCGAGACAGGGATATCTTAAACGAGAGCTCTATTCCTGCCAGCAGTCTCTTCTCCTCATGCCTACACGCACGCTGGAATGCCTCGAGGATCGGCGGAAATTGCTGGCAATGCAGGGGCCACAGCGCCTAGTCGAAATGGGCCGACGTTCGTATCTTGCATACGGAGTACGTCTATCCGTATGTGCTCAGACTCCGCCTCCTCGCCTCAATAGTCCTGCACGCCCGTGTCTCCCGTCCTTGTCCTGTCGTCGTCGTCGGCATCTGCCCATCCCGGCGACTCGTCGTCGAACCAGGCCTCTTCGGCATCGGCTCGCGCCAACACGTCGTAGTCGCTGTCGTCGTCCACTGTCACGTAGTCGAAGCCGTCGGCAGACGCTCCGCCGCTCACAAACCAGTTGCGTACAATTGCCTGCCAGCGCCGGCTGGCTGCATCTCGCGGCGATGTCGCATCGCTGCCGTCTTCATCATCTAGGTCGAGGTCACCAGCCGTGGCCCTGTCGTTTTGGTCAATGCCATGACCCTCTTCCTCTTCCTCTTCCTCTTCTTCGCCTATTCGATGTAGTCGCTCTGGATTCCGCAACATAGACGCTTCCAACACCTGTCCGAAACCTTTGTCGCGTGCCTCGGCTCTCCGTTCGTCTGGCGTCTGGAATGCGCGCACCAGCTCGTGGTACAGCTGCACGTCTGTCCAGCCGGTCAGCATGCAGGAGAGCAGGTCCACTTGTGGAATTTCGGGTACGTGCCGACAAACTCGCGATCGCTACTCTCGACATACGACGGATTGCGCCGCAGGTACTCCAGCCGCCGGTTCTGCACCCGAATTCGTGCAGCCTGTCTAGGCGACCGACTGGGACGTGGACGCGGCTGTGAAGCCAGCGCGAAGGGGGCTGTACCGTTTCCGTCGGCCGACGACTGCAAAAGTAGTGAAGGCATTGGAGCGTCGCGTCTTTGTCGTGTGTCAAAAGAGTGGATTGCGGGGAACGGCAGCTCAGCAGAGGGTGCTTTCCATTTGGGGAGAATTCAGCCACGCCAACAGAAGACCAATGATGAAGGAGCCGACGAGATGTAAGACGATGATGATGCCACCGCGGCAGACACCTCTATCGCATCGACACCTTTTCCCCCAAAATGGCCCTCCGTCTCGCCATCGACTGTCTCTGTGGCGCTGTCGCCCAAAATGTCACCACCAGCTCGACGTCTGATTCGTCCGTCGTCCCACTCGCACTGTGCCACTGCACTGCCTGCCGCCACTCCAGCGGCCTGCTTTGCACGTCGTACTGTCCGATAGAGCCGCCTGCTGCTGCCGACCACATTCTCGCATCCTTGTCCGCCTATGCTTCTTCTGCTGCTGTCACCAGGTACTTCTGTCGCACCTGTGGCTGTCATGTCTTCCGTCGGGATCGAGGAGCGGACGAAATTGTCCAGTGGCAAGTAGCCACTGGTGTCATCGTCGAGGAGATCGGAGATGCTGCTTCTTCTGACAGACCTGCCACCCTGGCATTTGTCCGTCATGACCACGTCACCGACACGCAGGACGGCGGTCTGGCCGTGTGACTGCCTTCCATCAGCGGCCGCCCGATGGCAGGACTGCCTGCTGACACCACTTCGCCGGGCCCATCGTCACTCGTTGGTCCCGTCGATATTTTCGCTTCCTGTCACTGCCGCAATGTTTGCTTCACCGTGCGGCACCCCGACCGCTACCCGGTCGAGAGCCGTCGGCCACACTCGGGCTTCAGCGACCTGATCCATCCGTTTGCCACCACAGCCCCGGATGTCATCGCGAATCCGTCAGACGACAAGTGGTGGTTGGTTCAGTCTCAATCTCAAACTGCCTCGGCCTCTCCCCACACCCGCTATCTTGCCGGCACCTGCGCCTGTCGATCTTGTCGCCTGTCTTCCGGCTTTGAGATCCAGACCTGGGCCTTTGTGCCGCGCGCCAACATCTTTCTCCACCACCAAGCACCGCGCTCCCTCGACTTCTCCGATCCCGACATCCAGCGCCTTGGCCGTCTCGCCACCTACAGCTCCAGCCCAGGAGTCGAGCGCAATTTCTGTTCCAGATGCAGCGCCACCGTCTTCTGGCACGACATATGGCGTCCTGACCTCGTCGACGTCAGCGTCGGCCTCTTCCACCAGACCGACCATGCTTCCCGAGCCGAATCCATACTCAGTTGGTGCACTTCCCGCGTCAGCTTTGCCGAGGAAGCCGTCTGTGGCCGTCGAGGTCGAGCAGCCCAGCGAGCAGAGAGTCTTGTGGCAAGCCTAAAGACTGGTACGAAATCAGCTCTTGACTGATTCTTTGATATGCTGTACGTGTGGTGGCGTCTTTTCCAGCTGGACGTATAAGCACAGGGGCAAGACTGGCTCACCTTCTAACGCCCTATAATGTAGTAAAAAATACATCGTAGTGAACGTTATAAGAGGAGTCGTGCTTCATCTAGGAGGACCAGAGTTACAGGAACTTTACGCCATGTTGACGTATCTTGCTATCTGGGAAAGCTGCATCAAGAGGATATGTCCGCAGAACATACATGTCTTCCGGTATAACCGGGTTTCCATACAGAACTCCCTTTGCCTCCGTCCTACATAATCCTAGTTGCTGTTGCGTACTACGTGTGCGGCATCCAGGCGGTGCATCCCGTTTAGGCTCCCCCAATCGACTAAAATGAACAACGGTACATGGCCATCGCCCAAAATTCATGCAGCCGAACTGTTGTTGCTAACAGTGCTCAACGCCTCCGTAGAAGCGCAAACAAGGTTGTACGTAGCATCGTATTTGTCCGCAGGAACCTCTCCAAGATCACCCCGGCAGTTTTCGGTGGCCGCGTTGTTGCTGTGATTCTTCTTGCGGACGTCATCGGGACCAGCATCTGCGTGCTTCCGTGGTCTCCATGTGTCTGCTGCCATTTTTGGTGTTCCTTTATCTTCCCCAGCTGGTCGCACGGCGAGCCTAGATAGAGCCCTAGACGAAATTACTTTGTCCGATTTCTAGTCGGTCAAGGCATTTTCCGTGCTCATGTCCACTTCCATGCTCCCCAATGGCCCTTCCACAGGACGAGACGGCGATGACGCTTCCAGTGGCAGAGAGTCCAGCTCCACCTCCATCTCAGCTTGATGACCACTGACAGACGAGGGAAGCTTAACGCTACTACTACTCTCACTCTTCATCTGCTCAACCAGGCGCTGAGCTCGGCCCTCCTTTTTGCGTGGCGCCGGCGCCCGACCGTTCTCTTGAACATAGAACTGCCGAAGGAGAAAAACTGCCTTATCGCGGCCCCATCCGCCTTCAACATCAAAACCTGGCTCGACGTTTCCGCCATGTCCCGAGTCTCTAGCAGGGACTGAACCTTCGGCAATGGGAATAGTTGAAGCACGGCGCACGATGGGCGGATTGTTCATAGGAGGGCCATCCAATTCCGACGACGAGTCAGCAGGCATACCCTTGTCCGAGGGCATAGATGTGCTGCCTCCGGTACCTTCGAGGGGTTGGCGAACCGTCCGCGTGCGTCGTGGCTTCGACATCATGTTGGTAACATAGGTCTCGATGTAGGTGGCATTCTGGGCCGCAGGCTCGTTAGGCTTCGAGTTCATGTGAATGCGCAGCACACCACCGGTGCCTCCGAACTTGTCGTTGGCGGCTCCAAAGTAGACCTTTTTGATCCCGTACTGGCGTAGCATTGAGGCACACATGATACACGGCTCGACGGTAACGTACAGGGAGCACCCACGGACAATGTCCGGATTGACGACACGAGCGGGGTGCAGTTTCTGACCGTAGGGAAAGAGGTGCCCTTTGCTTGGATTGACCCGGGCCCAGTCTCTGTCTGTGAACTCGTCCGTGTCGTTGTCGTAGTCTTGAGCACTGTCGCAATCGGAATCATCGGCACGCCGCGAATCAACATCGCTGACATCGTCCCATTGCGCCAACAGAGCGTTCAGACACATCAACTCAGCATGACGGGTCCCGTTGCGAGTCATGTTAGTCGCATTCATGCCTTTGGCGATGACACGACCATTGTGAACAAGAACACAGCCGACAGGGGTCTCATTCGTCCGCAAAGCTAACTGAGCCTATGAGCCTGGTGTGTTAGTTGAGACATCAAATGCCGATGCAACCTTTAAGAGGAGGACTGTGCCGTCCATCCGATTCATCGGCTGAGAAAACAGATGGCATGTAGGGTTTAAACGCACCATAGCAACAGCTTCGTTCATATAGCCCCGATGCAAACGTTTGATGGGGTCACACTCCTCGGCTTCTTCCGCCATGGTATTGAGATCTTCGTTGATATCGTGCAGTATCTCGTTGGCCAACATGTCACCGCTACTCAAATTACCACGGCGCTTGCCAGCAGTTCGGGTCATTATAAAGCTGGCATTTGATTCGTCCGACTCGTTGCCCTCTTCGGCATCGCTGCCCATCAGAGCGATGTCGCTCTTCCTCTTCATGCTTGCCACGACGCCCTGATCAACACCACTGTCCATCGTCTGGCCAAAGCCTGCTACTGATATGACTTCTGCTAGCTCTGAAGAGGGCGTTGGCAGCATTTTTTTCGACGACGGGGTTTTCTCTAAGGCGATGACAGTATTAGCGCTCGCAGTCGGCGACGCACAATTTGCCACGGTGCTGATGAGTGTTTGACGGTTGGCGGTCAAGTTAGCGGGGCCAGTGTGAAAATGGACATTTTTTGTCTTCTTGCCGTTGCTTTCAGCAGATGACGGGCTCAACACACTATCGGACGAACAGCCCAGTGAAGGCGCCGGATAAAGGCCGCCTGTCTGAGAACGTTCGCGGCGTGCCGCATCTTCAGCTTGTTGCTTCTGGCGCTGCTCACGGAATATCAGAACGGCTCTCTCAGCCCTGCGAGCACGCCGGTTCTTCTCATGACTGACTCCATCGGTGACCACAGCGGCGGCCAGAGCGGGAGCTTTGAGCTCTACATCGGTCGCAGGACTGGAAGTCTTTGGCACTAAGGCAGAAAACGGTCGAAGCGGGATGGCTGCCAGTCTGATTGTCTTTATGGCGGTCGTAGTGATTGCCTTCGCTGTGGTGGAGGTTGCGGAGGTCGCGACTGTAAAGGGCGTCTTTGCTGCTGCCGTTGTGACTGTCGCTGTCGATGCTGTCTTTGTGTTGATATTTTGTGTATGATGCGTCTTGTTGGGCATCGCCGTTGTTTGTGCTGCTGCCACTGCCCCGTATGTTCGATGTCTGACTGTGGCGCCTGCTCTAGTCGATGAAAAATGCAGTGCCCTCCCACGACCTCGGTAGCGATAGCTGGTCCCCTCTGCCATCAGAGCCCCGTGGGCCTCTCGCGGAGGAGCCGGGTGGCCAGGATCGGCAGCAGAAGCACAACCAGCGCGACCCCGGCCCCGGCGACGACCACGGTTGTTACCACGACTCCCCAGAAAAGGGCTGCCACCGTCACAGCCATCCAGATCAACTCCATCGCCAGGCTTGCAGCCTCTTGAATGCAAGCCAGCACGACCACCGCGGCCACCATGTGAGCCTCGGTCATTGCTATTTCTACCTCGTTGAGTGTGCTCGCTAGGTGGATAGTTAGTGCTGTCTGTAAAACTATTGCCTGCTGTCCTAGACCGGAGTGCTTACTGCCACGATATGCCGATTTGCGTCGGGCCTCGTCCTGAGCCACGCATGTCGTTGCTTTCCTCTCCCTTTGTGGAAAGCTGGCAGTGTTCGTCTTTAGACACGCCAATGTCGTGTCTTTGGTGGTCTCTATCGTCTTCTTGATCGATGCAGCGCCACGTCGTGTTCACGTTCTGGGACGCCTCGCCCACGCTTGTGTGTGGACCATGTAATGGGGAATGGAATTGTGTTTCTGTGAGTGAGATTATGACAAGAAGGGCCCACGTACTCACGCATGTCGTGGCAGCCAAGATGGCAAGACGTTGCCATGGATGGAATCTGGAACTTTGCGCGAAAAGAGAAGCTACGATGCTTGTAAACGCTATGACGGCAACCATCAGCACGCCCACGTCAAATAACAAGGAGAAATTGGAAGGAGCGGATGGCAGTCGTATCACAGATGGGGAAGCAGCATTTCGGGCTGTGCCCAAGTCGGACCTGTCTAGCTGGGCGATGGCGCGCTGCTTCCTTCCCAGATGGGATCTTTTTTTGGAATGTGCCATGCTACTCCTGCTCCCTGTAGATTTCCCTGCTTGCACGGGCTTGAAAACTGTATTGTGTTGGAGAAGCTGCTGCAGCCTGAACTCATCGTACTTGCTTCCTGCTTCTTTCCTGATGGAGTTGCCCTTTTACGGAGACATGAACATGGCTTTTTTAAAGTTTATAAAGCTTTTGCTGAAGCGATCTGAGAAACGGTTGTGCTCGCGAGACCTTGTGCATGTACGTGGCCTGATGGGGAGAGGGTTCATGTCTACTGACTAGGTGACACGATCATACTGCTTTTCACAATTCCCTCCTCATTTGATGACAGACTTCGCGGCAATTCTGGTTGTATTACGTTTGTCCCGACTCTGTGTGACAGGCTCTTGGAGTCAGTTTCAGCAGACGAGTCAGTGCATTGCAAACGTCAGGACATCCAGCTCAAAAGCAAAATGATAATTATTCAATAAAACTAGTAGTTGTACCAAAAAGACCAAGACACACTCGCTACGCTTCCCGCTCTCCGATTCCCATCATTGTCTTCGTGTCGAACAGTCATCTTGAATATGCGCTTTTGCCCTCGGCATTCAAGCAAGTGCTATTGGCAAATGACGGACGAAGAGCCCACAAACAGTCTCTCCACGCCGTATGTGACCTCCGACACAGAGCCACGGGAAGCCTGAGATGCGCGCCAGATGAGCAAAGACGGAATCAGCGACGTCATCAGTGTGGACAAGCCAGCACACAAGGCCACAGCGTCCAAAGGCCTGGAAACAACCTCTGTGGCACTGGCTGCAACAGGAGTCTGCCCGATTGATGTACCACCGTGCCTCTCCGACTCAGCCCTGGCTGCTAGTCTGCTACTGACTCTCCTCCTCTGTGACGGCTGCACAGCATATGTTGCTGTGTGGCTGTCGTTCAGGGAGGTCTCAGTAACAGAACCGCTGGCAACTGATACGGAGTTGAGACTGGAGCCGCCATCGCAGCCCGCAAGTCCATCGCACCCATCGCACCCATCGCATCCGTCGCATCCGTCGCATCCATCGCACCCATCACATCCATCGCAGCCGTCGCAGCCAGGGCCACCGTGGTGTTGATTTCGGCCGTCTTCATCCCCATCTTGGCCTGTCGCTGCGTCTCTCTCCACGATGCGAGAGGTTTGAGACTCTTCCAAGCCAGCGGCTGCCGTCATGTCGGTGGCACTAAATAAGAGTGCAGACGACATTGTGGAAACGCCCTCCTCGCCAAGACTGCATCGAGCAGGGGTAGAGGGATCCAGAGGCACGTCGTGGGGGATAGAAGGCGAGACAATAACTTCCGACAAGCCTGCTAGTTCGTCGCCGAAGTGAGTCTCAGTACCAGAAGCCAAAGCTCCTTGGGTTTGTTGTTGTGGTCGTTGTTGACCGATCAATTGCCGGGTAAGGGATTGGGGCTGGACCAAGGTACCGTACGAGCTCTGGGCCAGGCCAGTGGCCGTGGCCTGGTTGGAGAAGTGAGCCGGGGAGAATGCTGCAGGGAAGCCTTCGTTCAGGGAGGTGGCGAGTTCCAGGTCAAGCTCCACTTCGGTGAACAGACGGCCTTGGTCAGACAGCTGGGCCCAATCGAAAGAGTCTCGGAGCATGTCCCATCCCAGTGTATTGATGTCGTCGACAACGGTAGTGGCCGGATCTCTGGCGGGTTCGGACAAAAAGGCGCTCGGCGTCTGCGGAGCCATGATCACCGGATCTGCAATGGTCACTGGTCTCTTGCCCTCTACCTTGTCCTTTGCGGCCTGGGCAGCCTGCGCCGCGTTCGCCTCCTCCTTTGCACGGCCCGACTGCGCTGGAACGGCATAAGGAGCTGTGCGGTTCGTGCTGCTTGTGCTGTCTTGGACAGTGCCCATATGGTGGCTCGGGTCGCATCGCGTCTTCTTGCGCCGACAGTCAGCGCAAGCACCGCGCTGCCGAACGATTTTGGTGTTTTCTCTCTCCTCGCGGGTGCGCGTAGAACGGCTGGTCATATGGGTAACGTCCTCACCATCTCGCGTGACGATCTGCATGCTGTTGTCGGGAAGTCGGCTCGGTCGGTGGTGCTGTCGTTGCCATCGTCGTTGCTGGTGTTGCTGGTGCTGCTGGTGCTGCCGCTGCGTGGGCTGCCAAGAAGCGGTCACACGCGAGGGCGCATGTACTGCTGCGGAAGGAGTCCAGGTCGGAGCGGCGGGTGAAAGCACAGGTCCGGCCATAGCGGCCATGGTGGCCATAGGATAGTCGCCGGTGAACTGCGCTGGGGCTGGGAACAGGGGGAGCGAGAAGAGAGAATTGGCCAGCTCCAAGTCATTAGGCGGCGGTCCCGATGCCGGAGCTATCTCCAGGAACGAATTGCTGCTTCCGCTGCCGCTTCCACTGCCACTGCCTCCGGACGCGGAGCCCGACTGGTATGTCGGCTCGACAGCGTTGGGAAAAACCGGGCTGGGGCTCGCAGTGAAGCCCGACGACGTGGTGATGGAGGCAGTGGGGACGATGTATGTCTTGTACCGCTCGTTTGTTCGCTGGGTGTGAGACTCAAAGTCGCGCTGGATCATCTCCATCTTCATGGAGACGGGGATATCAAGGGCGATGAAGAGATCGACTAGAGCCTGGAGTTCCGGGGTGCCCATAGGCGGGGCGAACACGAGCGGCTGACCCGGACCCTCCTGGAAGATGGAAAAGGTTGTGGTGGCCATGGGAGTGACGCCACAAGCGACACCGGGAGTAGAAGCAGGCGTAGAGCTGTGGGGGCTCTGGGAGCTGCTGAAACTGCGTTGTTGAGCCATTGGTGCTTACGTGTCGATGGTGCTTAGTTGTTGTGTCTTTTAATTGTTTAAAAGGATGCACACAGGGCCCGGTGGCTAAGTACCAAGCGTTGTTTGCTTTTGCGCTTTCGTCTTCTTTGCAGGCTTTCTGGGATTCGCTGTTTGGTGTTGACAGGGCCAAATAAAGCAATTCAGGGTCGAGATATTCAATCGACCTCAAGAAATCCGGTAGAGCGAAGGGCTGGTAGTCAGGCAAGATACAGCAAAAGATCAAAGTATACCTGAGACCGTTGTTGATATACAATGCGTTGACGTTGTGCTGTCGTCTGTGGCGATTCAGCAACGCAAAAGGCGGTGGTTGGGTTGAAGGTGGGAAAAGCCAAAAAGATTTGATTCGAAGGGCACCTGCTGAGTTTAATACGGGTCTATCGGTGGTCTTTGTAAGACTCCGTGTGTGGCATTCAAGAACGAAAAAGCCCAGCGAGGCGCAGGCAAAAGTCCGTTCTCCGTAAGTGGAAATGGCACGGACTACCGCAAAGAGAAGGAACGAATCTACCCCCACCACGGCTCCTCCACTTTTTCCAGACGGGCTGCAAAGTCAGACCAACACGGCCGAGTCACCATTGGCGAATCACATCTGACTCACATTCTTCTCGAGGCCAACGTTCCTTGGCACTCTGACTACGCGAAAGCGGTCTGGATGCAAGATAGAAATATCGTCGCTCAGCAAAAGTGCTGCGACAGAGCTGACTCGAAGCCATGCGGCTTCTTAGCGTGTGCTTGTGGTGCTAAACCCGCTGTGGCCTCGTTCCGGTCAAACCGCCGACAGTCAATCGATAAAATGTTCACAGCCCCGTTCTCTCGTCCGATAGATCCACTTTACGGAATACTACCCCTGCCAGACATTCCTGACCAACTTGTGAGTCTCAAAGCCATCCAACGTATCGTAGGGTAGAAATAGTCCACAGCCATTTGCCAAAAAGGTTGGTTGCCTCTGAACTAAGGATCAAAGGATAAAAATGTCTATTTGCAGTATCTAACGCGGGATATGCAAAATAAGAAGTGTAAGAGTATGTAGCCAGCTACGAATACTCCATCTAGTCCACATTGAGGGTCTTCCTGACCACAAAACACGTTATTTGATCGTGTCTTCCATCATTGGCACCCAATGTTCTCTCTGCGGCTGTTCCTCTTGGCTTCCGTAGATTTCGCTACTCTGCGTCGCCCATACCATGTCCTCGGTTCCATTCGTCGTATATGAAGGATATGTCTGGGATGCCGAGGCGCCATCCAGGTCGAAGTCCAGACCGATATCGATGCCACAGCCAATGGCGGTGCTCAGGTTTCCGTCGCCATAAAACAGCTGTTCCTGAGACAGTCCGTCAACGAACAGAGGGTCCTTCTGCCATTCCACAATGTCCAGAGGACCGTAGGGGAACAGTGCTGTTGCGTCGCCCAAGAATACATCACCAGAAGCAGAAGCTGGCGAGTTGGGCGTAAGTGGTGTCAGAGGAGTCAAGGGCGTTAATGGAAGCCCAAGAGTTGAGGGAGTGCTGGACAGGCCACCCGAAAGAGCCATGACTGTGGAGGTTTCACGGGCGGCAGAGGTCAGCTGCAGGGGAGAAGCCAACGAATTGCACACCGTCCATGGCGCTGCCGTCGCCGCGATGGTAGATCGCAGGGAAGACGCTGTGGAAGCGACTGGATTTGATGCCAAACCTCCGGTCTGTTGGTATCCGAGAGCATTGGCGCCGTCATCTGCCGGGCTGCTTGTGTCCAGAGGTACCGGTACTTCAATGAGAGCATATACCTCCTGTACCCATGCATCTCGTGTCCCATTGCAGCCAGGGCAATGGTCTGGCACTCTGCTCTCGATCGTGTGCCCGCAGTGGCTGCAACGAAGCCGCATCTTCGGTTTCATGTAGTAGCGGTGCTTGCCATGCTCGCGTCCGTAGTGGCGGCGGATGGTGTTGAGGTTGTTGTCCTCACGCATACAGACGTGGCCGCCGGGCATGCCGCTGCTGCCGAACTGGCACCGCCACCTACGGACATTGTTTCTGATTCGTTCCTGTGCAATGAGAACGGTGCGAATCTCAACCTTCATGAGCTTCGGCACTTCCGCTTGTTGTGAGGCAGCACCGCTGATGGCTGCGTCTCCGTCAATCCCCGCAACTAGCGGCGTGCTGAAGCTATCGTGGGCTGTCAGGTCGATGCCTTGGGTACTCTGCAAAATATCATCGATGGGGCGACCATGCTCGTCAATCTCGCGGCCGCGCGAGCTCTGGAAAATGTGCTCGGTTGGAGTCCACCGTTGGGTGTACAGTGCCGCACCCTTTCCGCACTCGTCTAGGGTAGTTTGTCCTACGGTGGGCGATGAGACTGCGTCGTGGGAGGAGGTTTCTCCATTATATGATGTGGGCTTGGGAGAAGCCCCATACTCGTCGGGAAAGGGACACTGGTGAAGAATGGCCTGTTTGAGAGCCAGGTCTCTTTCTTGATATCCTTTTTCTAGCTTGGAATAGTCGAAGCATGCACACTGAGAGAAAGCCGACACCTTAGCCAATCTTATTACTTTCCGGAAGATAGCTGTCTAGGGGGTGAGCATACCTTTTTCCTCAATACTCTACATCTGTGGCAGGCCCTTCGCTCTGCCCTGATGAACATGGGGAGTCTGTGTATTCCGTCCACTTGTTCCTCCAAGGCACGCCATGAGTTGTACATTTCTTGCAGCGTGGGGAGCTTTCCCGGGTTTGCAGGCGGCTTATCAGCCATCTTTCCCTTGCTCTTGGTTGCTAATTGTCGAGCCGGCTGGAAGAGTCGCATATTTCGTTGACTCAATTTGTGCAGGTGTCGGAACAAGTTGCCGCTTCCAGTCTTTTGAGTTCGGATGACTCGTCTGGCCGCCTCTGAAAGCGGCTCCTCACACCTGGTGCCAGCCTTCTTTGCGGTGGTAGGATCGGATGGAAGTAAGGTCTGAACCGGTTCTGCTTGGAGTCCTTGGCTGTGGGTAGAAGAAGCAGAATCGTCACCTGACATTCTGCGCAATAGCGGTGCTAGTCTCTGAATAGGATCGAGGTTACACAAAGGAGACAGAATAATAAGCCCGTTCAACGGTGATAAAAGTGTAAGATAGGACAGCTGCTAATGATGTCAAGTAGGAAGAGCAGAGGAAGAGACAAGAATATGTAAAGTCGGACAGACTCAGGGAAAGAGGGAGCCAAGGAGAGCAGGCAAATCAAAGTAGCATGGAATGGCAGCATCTTCCAAGGCAGCCATGTATCCGGCACATGGATGCTCTTTGCTAACCAAAGACTGCAGGTTACACAATGGAAAAAGTACACCGTAGACCTCATTGTGGCGAAGGCAGCACACATCAGAGGCAGCAAAGTAGAACCCGTGAGGAGTGGGGGCCAACGGGCCGGTGAGATCTTTCAAATCACGCATCGAGCAGAGCAGTAACGTGGATGTTGGAACTCGGACAGGCGCAGGAGGCTGTCCAATGGTGGTGATCCTAGGGCCGGACAAATGAGAATCCAGGACTTAAGCAGTGCCACTCCACTAGCAGAAGGCTTCTCTTCTTCTCCCTCCTTGGCCTCTCATTTGGGCCGCCCTAGTCAGGGTCGCAACGGCCTTCCATTCGCCGTCCGTGCAAGTGCATCTGCCGAGTTTGTATAAGCTATCTGCTGCCAGTGGCCCACTAGCGGTCAACGGTCTCGCGCTTACTCGCCATCCGGACGCCCGTCCCGTCAAATTGCACATTCAGGCGCAGTAGCCCTGGCCGCATAATCGGTCGCTATCGGAGCGACCGCTCAGTTGCTTTTCGGAGCAAAACAAGGAAAGGCAGAGCGCAGGGCAGTCTGTAAAGACGGATATCTGCCGCACCCTCCAGGCAGCAGGAAAGCCGATCCGTGGACGGAGAAGATGGTGGCGAGTGAAAGAAAACCCACGTGCAATCCCAAGATGTTGTGTTTCCTTTGTGGGGGTGTGCCACAGCAATTGGTGGGGAGAATACGGCATTGGTCGACTGCTAAGCTCCCTGGAGCAGTGAAAGATGTGCAGTCATGAGATGTGGGCTAGAAGGGTTTACTACGCTAAAAATATTGCGTTGCAGTGTTCAGTGCGCTATAAACCAGCGCACTCAACAGCGCAAGCTGCTAATAAGACACCTTCGAATGGCAGCATTCTCCAATGCCTTTGAATTATTGGCAGCGTCTTAGGCACGTTTGTAGTCATTAGACGGAAGGCCTCTCAATCCAGAAATGCATCTGCATTTCTAACGGTTGGCCCAAGCTTCGAGTTTCGCGTTTATTATGTTAGTTCGATGTGCTGCGCCTTCTATGATCCATAAACGTCCTATCAAGGCTCTATGTCGTAGTAGGCCTACAATTGGGTGTGGCGGTGGATCGATCGGGGCCTGGCTTTTCATTTTTTGGACGACACTAGCCACAGGCAGGCCGACTGGTCACTAGAGAATATCTGCAGAAGAACCTTAACAAGAGGCAGGGCTGATTTGAAGTGTGCCCTGCTCAAGCATGGTTGCCATGGCTGCTAGGGAGACCGGTCTTTGGTTAACAGGCCTCCTGCAGACAGCCGACGCTCACGACATATTCCCACAGACTTACCAGAGAAGCAAAAAGCCAAGTCATGCGGATTTGATAGAAGTTTTTGATTGGGCGCGTTTTGTCCCACGAAACTCTGCCCGGCAGCTATAGCCAGATAAAAAGCAGAAAGGATGAACCGGTGAGATGTTGTGTGTTCGTGCCTGTGCCGTCGGGAATTCCGAAACAGTATTCGTGCCGAACTGGTTTCTCTGGAAAATAAGCGTTGCTCCTTCGTTATCCAAAACTGTCGGACTACATACTTTTGTATAGCTGCTCAAAGCAACCAGTCAACCCGTCATGACTAAACAGCCTAGATGGTCAGGCCAAGTCGGACGGATCAGCCACAAGATCTGGGCAACCGGAAGTGTAAAGTTGAAGGGTGCATGATCGGTGCCCGGCAGCTAAATCAAGCCAGTCTCGAATTGACTGAGGCATAATCACTGAGGTGAGGCATATCCGGGCGTAATCAGAACAAGAAGGCTGCATACCTTGGCTGAAAGTATATAAGTCTTGCAGTACCGCCCCTTTGACCCCCTCCCCATCAAGCATCGTGGCTCTGGCAATTCCCAAGACCGTTCGTTTACTTCATCATTCAACACATCCTACTGTATTTCCTGGCGCACTGTTTCTCCTTTTTCTTTTCTAGTGAAATGGGCTCTGCTGCCGGGCCTCCTTTATTGTCACAGAGATGCACATGATGAGCACCGCGGACTCTGACGGAAGACACTGCGCATACAAAGAGCACAGAGAAAGTCCAAACGGTTATCCCCCTCCTTATTCTGCACGAAAGAAAATTGCTGATGCATTGTCAACTTGGCCGGGCTTGACGCCAAAATGCGGCGGTGCAATGCTTAGTCATACTCTCCTTCGGAAAAGGCAAACATAGCCAATATTTGAGAAAAGTACGAAGTACAGGCGACGGCCGATTTCTAGGATACGAAAGAAATGGGCACGGACTAGCAGATGAATTGCTAGGCGAAGCACGCAAAAGCGCAGGCGCTCGCCGTGTATTACGGACAACTCAGTTCAAGGGCCCCACTGACTGCAACCGCCTCGCGCCTTCTTTCACCACGGCCGTTTCTTGAATAGTTTCGCCATGGCCAAATACAGTCACCTGTCTCGAGGCCCTCACCTTGTCCTCCAATGACTCCTCCAATGACTCCTCCAAAGCAGGTAACACGCCAAGGATACGACGAGAGCTTGTGTGCATCCGGGCTGCGGATAAAGCAGTGAGTGGGCCCAACTCAAGCTGTGATATCGCGGACTACGGGACCAGCAACGCCTAACTACCTGTTCGCCACCTCTCCGCAAAGAAATGCAGGCCGTTGTGATCCGAGCTGCCTCAACGAGAGTTGGGCTGCACTGGGTAGAGGAAACGGAGGGGCGTGGGCTCCCCTTCCCGACAGTCTACCAGGCTAGCAGGCGTGGCTGTTCTCCTCGCCTTGACTGTACCCAGGCATCTTCCCGTACGTGCCAGGGTTCAGGAAGATGAGAGTCATACCTTAGCCATGTAGTGAGTAGGTGCGAGTTGTTTGCAAACCGGAGAAGTATAAAGGTGCCAGTCCCGATAGATGTATTCATATACCACAGCTTTCCGCATCGCTACGCAATAGATACCGAGATCCTACATTTTAACTTCGCTTCCATTCTCCCAAACCCAACCATATTCATCATGATGAGATCATCGTCTAATAGAGCCCAGGCAGTGGGCAGCAAGCCAGAAAGCATTTACCAGTGGCAATGTGTACGTTGTATTTTATGATATATCGATGGCCTAGTCCCTTCCTCTTATATTTTTTAAACCGCAGGCTTAACCAGTGCTAACTTCAACTGTCGGCAGCACATATGTCACCTCCGTACCAACAGCTACAGATTCGACCTGCAGTGCCAGGATTGTAGTCACAAGTATTGTTCGAACTGCTCCGTTTACGAACACAAGGTCAGGGCACATTAGCAATGGCCAGATTAGGTGAAAATCAGGACCAGGACAGGAGCTTTCCGGCTATGGATAACAACTTGGACAAGTTGCTTGTTGCGCGTTTTGGTCGCATGACTCTCATCCCAATGTGGAAAATTGGGTCTCTTTGGATAGCTAGGGTTCGTCCTGCTTGGTTGTATTGGTTGTATTGGTTTAAAGTCAGATGTAAGATACGTTAGTTGTCTGTAATAAATTCATACCTCAATGGTAAGGTTGTTAGTGCTGTAAATTGTGTGCGTTTCGCTTCAGTGAGACGACAGTATGCAACGGCCATAGCGATGCCTTGGGCGCCAAGTTTCGGCTCCGAGGAGGAGCTAGGCCAGATACGAAGACGAGCAGACATGCTCCTTCCGCCTTTCTCTCGTCCAACCTTCACTGCTATTCCTGCCCTCTTGGGCTAACCCGACCAGGCGGTAGTTGCAGGGGGGGTGCTTTAGGGGATCTGCTATTACCATAGCTGCAGATGACGAAATTTTCTCGGCTGGGGCTCAACTCGCCCAACAAAGCCAGTTGTTGCCACATCCAGCATAGCACGCACAGTTTAAAAGGGTTACAGAAAGCGATCAGCATCATCATAGCCCCGCCAGCAACGGGACTCTCGTACATTACACCATAGGCCTGCATTCGTTTATTCCGCCTCCTCCATGTCCGCGCCAATGTTGCGGTTGGGCACCAGCTAGACGTCGCCTTTGAGCGGTGAGCACGCCGATCGGTTGGAACTGTTCTGTGCTCGCATGTCCGCATTCGAGACTGAGGCTCCCGCTTGTGACAAAAGTGTCTTTCAAGTTGGCAGTCCAAGGCAACCGCGCCTATTTAGGCTGCCAAGACTTAGTCCTCAGGCTCATCTCGCCAGGCCTCCCAGTCCCATTGCATTGCCCTTCTCTCTGATCATTTTGCCTTTGTCTGGTAAATCAAAGGAGGAAAGCCTGAGGTTGAGGCTCTGCAAGACCATCCCTAGCCGCAGGACACACGTACGACGTACGCGCTCAGGCCGAAATGCGCAAAGCACACTATGATCAAGCAAGCAAACCGGACCCGCGTGAAAATGCAAAAACGAACGTCACCATGCAGGTCACATCTGTGCGCTCAATTGGGGCTCTTGTACAGGACCTGCGTCCCGCAATGCCTGTCAGACGTCATTGGGAAACTGACAGCGGGGTCACAGGTACACAATCGTCTCGGGACAAGCCCACTACCACCTCTAAGCACGTCAATGCCCAAGGCGCACTCATTCCGCCTGCACGACATTCAGACCGCCTGCGTTGAATACGTCACGCATCCCCCTGTCATGCACCTCAGAATGCCACACAGCCGACGGGTACTCCACCGCTACGTCAGAACAGGCAGCTGGGGAGGCCTGGGACAACGTGGGACAGAGGCCGACGCTTGTCAGGCTTCACGCCCACTTACGACCATCGTGAGGCCTATTGGGCTTGTGCTACGTGTTCGTGAAACGGGGAGAAGCTTGGACGGTTGTTTCCCGTCGTTCTGTTCGTCTTGTTTCGTACAGACCAGCTACTCATACATTGGCCTGTCAGGCCTTACCCGACGCTCGTAGGGATCTTGATCTGGCCCCGCTTGCGATCATCAAACGGCACGCCGTACCGCCAGCCCACGGCCTTGGGTGACCGTCCGTTCTTGCCGACGTCCTCGGCGTCGATGTCGCGGATACGAAATTCAAAGCGCTTCGTCTCTGCGCGCGTGGTGCGGGCATATTCAGCAGCCGCAGCCGCACGGTCCCGCTGCATCATGGCTTTATGCTCGGCGGCCGTCTTGGCGCGGAAAGCCCGGAAGCTGTCCTCGGGGCTGCGAGCTCCCGTAAGCACGTCGCGCTCGAGCGTGATCAGTTCTGGGATGGGCACCCGTTTGTCGGCCGGCAGCAACGTTGTGTGGAATGCCTTTGCGGCGGCGTCACGTGTGAAGCGCCGCGATTCTGGCACGGGCAGGAACAGCTGCTGTGCCGCATAGCCGTGCGCATGGATCTCGCTGATAGGCTCATGCGGCTGCACCGCGTCACGTGGCCCGTAATCCGTCTGCGGCAGCATCGCCAATACTGCTTGTGCGTATGGCTTTGCTAGCGGCTTTCCCTGTGAGAATGGCAATCGCCTGTCAGAACAACTACTCCTGAGTGGCAAGAATGCAAGCAGCTTGGAGGGATCGTGAAAATGGCTCAGAAAGATAAGCATGGCAAAATTTTGTAACCATATGGTTTGTCTTAATGACTAATCGAATTCTTTCGTGTATCATCACAGCCAGAGGTGGAAGGGAAAGCAGGCAAAACAGCGCAGCGAAACATACCTCTGTGATCCACGACTTCTCGATCTGCTTGAGCCGCACGACAGCCGCTACCCGCCGCATGTCGATGCTCAGCTCTGCAGCTACGGCCTTGATGCTCTCGCCGTGCCGCACAACCTTTTCCCACACCAGCTCGCGCACGCTCTCTCCCAGCACCGGTTGTGACCGGAAAAAGGGGTTTTCTGGGAACGGGCGCATCACAGGCGACGGCTGGCCTGCCACGTCTGCACCTGCGGAACCGTCGGCACCTTCGGACGCTCGAGCCCTGGATGCCTTGACCGGCTTGTACTGCGCACCAGCTTTTTCAAACCAGGCCCGCATAGCCCGTCGCTTCTTGAGCGACTGGCAGGGTGTTGTTGTGGAGAAAGCCGCCGCGGAGAGAAAGGATGGCAGACGCGACGGCGAATATGTGAGACAGGGACGGCGGGAGGAGAGACAGGACGTGGAGGAGGAAGAGGAAGATGAGATGAGGACGGAGTGGTGGCGACGACAGCTCCGGACCGACGGCACGGCGGAGGCTGTCACTCTGCTGCTGCCACCCAATTGGAGAGTACGGAGACTCGCAGCCAAAGAAGCGACCGCCGGCCCCGACGCGGGCGCGGCAGATAGCGCTGCCCGCGTGCACTGTGGTGGCGGCATTGCTTGCGAGTGATGTGTGATGCGAGATTGAAAGAGAGGAGAGAGTGCTCTTAAATACGGAGGAGAAGCTGGAGACGAAAATTTTGTGGTGTGGGCCGCTGCGAGTGTGGCTTGTCCCACCAGCCACACAACGATCTACGGCGGGCGATGGGGACAGCGGGTCCAGATGCATTACGGAGAACAGAGTACGGAGTACTCCGTACGGAGACTCCGTATAGACAGTCGCGCATTTTGAGATACGACTATGAGCAAGCAGCATAGAACTGGGTAGACAGGTATGAGGGAATTTAGACTCAATTCAATAGTAGAGAATATGTCTGAAAAAAGAGCTCATTTCTAGCCCACATTGTCGCGCCTGCCTTAGACATGCTTTTCTGCCGAAGCCATAAAGTCACGTGCAGATGCCGCCAAAACGTGACTATGATCACTGCCAATGTTGCGAGGCGATTATCAGCAGAACAGCTCGACGTCAAAACAGAAACCGGATCGGCACCATATCATTAATCGAAACCCAGGCCTGAAGACCATTGACGATGCCGGGACCGTAACGACTGTCTGCCAAGTCGCCTTCCGGACGAGACACGAGACCATCGAATATTCTTCCCCCCCCATTACCCCCCCTCCTCCCTTCAGCTTCCTATGCAATGGCCGCTGCGGCGCCGACGCAGAAGGTATGGGTGCGACGGCCTGGCGCATCGGCGACACTCGTTACCTTTAGCGAGAGGGACGTGGTAGATGATGTGCGAGAAACGCTGCTACACAAATACGGTAACTCCCTGGGACGCGTATACGATGCCCCCGACATCACGTTGCGGTTGATTCCCCGAGCGGACAATCAGACGGAACGCACATTAGGGCCAGATGAGCCGATGGCAGAGGTGCTGGAAAATACGTATGCAGGCGGTCAGACGATCGAAGAGGCGCTGATCATCGACGTGCCGCTGCGACGCATCACTCCTTCCTCTTCTCCCCAAGCAGGGCGACCTGACGGCCTCTATGCCGTGCCTGTGGGCTATACAACCTCCCGCGATAGCTATTCCAGCGGCTATGAGACGCGCACCGACTATTTTGGCCCGGGAGCTGTCGCAGCCTCCAATCATAGCCATGGCTACAGCCACGGCCACAGCCACGGCCACGGCCACAATCATGGTCACGGCTACAGCCATGGACCTTCCAGTCACATCCTCCAAACAACCTTTCAGCGTCACGCGCATGCCCATCCGCTGAACCTGCATCTCCAGGCACCACCACCCAGTGCATCCGGGGGTGTAACCAACGGCCGCTCGTCGCAGATGCCACAGGCTGTGGGTGGAGGCGCAAACGGCGGCAGCAATGGCGGTGGAGGCAGTCCACACCACCATCCACACTCCATTTCCGTCCTAGCAACTGGCCAGGTGCCGCCCATCCCGAATCTGCCATCGCCAAACGGCTCGCGGTGGCAGCAGAAAGACCGCTCCGACCGGCCCAAGCTACACCGACAGATCTCGGCAAACGGTCATGTCGATGGGTCTGGAAGCCTTCACGGTGTGTTTTGGCCGTCTTGCTGCTCTTTTTTCCCCTCTCCCATCCGGTGCTGACGTCTGTTTCATGTTGCAGAATACGTGGGTCAAGGATCCTCGGCCGCCGGCGGCGCCGTCCCGGGATCGACGCTGGGTGTCAACGTGGGACAGTTGGTGGGACAGTTGGGGTCTGGCCCCCCCAACATCTCGCTTGCAGCCCCCATTTCCGGAAGCTCTGTTTTGCTCGGCACGGGCGACGGTGGCCCGGGTGCGATCAGCGGATCGCCAGGAACAGGCATGGCCGGCGATGTGAAGGGTAACGGCGACGGTGGCAGCTCCAACAACAATGTGATCAACGGCAATGCAGGCATAAGTGTCTCCATGGCATCGCCATCACCGCACAACGGCACGTCATCTCCGCGGCCGGCATCACCACTGCGCACCAAGAGGCTCAAGAAGCCCACTCGGCAGATGGACGACGACAGCCACACAGAGTTGCGGTTGGGCCCACTGACGGTGCCGCCTATCAATGTGTTGATTGTCGAGGACAACATCATCAATCTTAAGCTGCTCGAGGCCTTTATCAAGCGGCTCAAGGTGCGGTGGCAGACCGCCATGAACGGCCGGGACGCCGTGCTCAAGTGGCGCACAGGCGGCTTCCATTTGGTGCTCATGGACATCCAGCTACCCCTGATGTCGGGGCTGGAAGCCACGCGTGAGATCCGCCGCCTTGAGCGGGTCAACTCCATCGGCGTCTTCGCGTCAACGCCGAGCGACAACATCGGCAATGGCCGCGACCCGCGCTCCGACAAGCTCGAGAACATGTCGCTGTTCAAGAGCCCTGTCATCATTGTCGCCCTGACGGCCAGCTCGCTGCAGAGCGACCGGAACGATGCCCTGGCTGCCGGGTGCAACGACTTTCTGACCAAGGTGCGTTGATGCTGCATCGTCTCTCTCTCTCTGTCTTTCCCCTTCTAACACCCAACACGTCCAGCCGGTCAACTTCGTCTGGCTCGAAAAGAAGATCATGGAGTGGGGATGCATGCAGGCCCTGATCGATTTTGACGGCTGGCGCAGTTGGAAGGAGCTCAAGCTGCCGTCCTTGCCGTCCCATGAAGCAGCCGATGCCAACGGGACATCCAGCGACTCCGGCACCAAGAAGTCTAAGAAGCACATCGGTCATGCGAAGCGCCTGTCCATGTCATCGGTCATTCACGAAACTGCCGGTGGCGATAGCCTGAACACGATTAAAACGCTGTCGCTGGCCGACGGTACAGCCTCAGGTCTTACAGCTCGGTCGCCCCTCTCCGCTTCGGCAGACCCCAGCGAGCGGTCGTTGGATTCAGCCGTATCGCCACAGACATCGCCCGAGACCACGCAGAACTCAGACAGTCCAGCCGTCACTCCCACCATCGCTCCCCAATCGACCGACGTTGCCAGCGCTGCCTGATGCGGCGAACATCGCACGCCCAGCACCTATAACATATACCCGCTTCTCTTCATGTTTCTTTCTCTCTCTTATGCACAGCTTCGACTAGTCACGACACACAAAGGTACTGGGCAGGAGGCGTTTGTTTTTTTATTGTGGTTCCAGTACACGGGAACAGCATAGCATTGTAGCTTTGGGTTTAGCCCAACCTAGCCTAATATATTGCGGCTTTTCTGATTGAGTGTGGGTTCTGTTGAGATACATTGAAGACGCATGTTCAGCGGAGCCCAAATGCCAAGCGAACCTGGTGGGGTTGCACAAGCAGATCCTCGAGCGCTGGAAGCCAGAATAGCGCGTTCTTCCAGGAATCTGTTTCTGGAATTTGATCGAGCTGTTTCTCGGCCTCGATGCCACCGTGAAAGGCCATCCCCTCTCTTGAAAGGATCTGTCTGACAAGGCTGTAGCTGACTGTTCCGCGGTGAACTTGGATGAAATTGGATACAAGGAGCTGAAGATTGCCTTGAAGACGCACCTCCAACGAAGGGTCCTGCAATAGTGTAAGCATTGTGAAAGCGGGCAGGTATGTGCATTATGCGTTGAGGAACCTTGGCAGCGTACGTTTGTGTTGTTCTGCACATCACGGCGCTTTTTATCGACTAAAATCCAGATGGTGCCTTGTATGAGCATGCGGAGGGCAACATAGCCAATGTGTGTGTCTAAAGGGGCTTTGGAAAGAAGCCTCTTGCTCAGTGCACCATTGCCATCGCCGAAGAGCTCCTCAAGCAGACTGGCCAGGTAGATGGACGATATGTTATCGCATTGTGCTGTAACAATGCGAGGCAGGGGTATACGTCCAGGCAGTGTCTGCGAATCTCTCGGCAGAGGTGGTATTCCCAGATCGTTGGCCCCAGTGAGATATGAAGAGCGCGTCTTTTGGTCTGTGCAGGTGCTGGTGGTTAGCTGTGAGCCGAATTCGAAGATGTCGCGATAGGACTTCTCATCCGTCTGTTAGTGAACTAACTTCTGCCAAAGTCGTAACTTAAAAGCGTGAGTAGCTCAGGTGCCTACGTTTGTCAGTATATAGACAGCACATTTGGTTCATAGACCTGTACGTACCAGGCCCGAGTCCGCAAGGCGAAGGGCTTCCCGATGAGCAGCGCTCGCTGTAGTTGCCCAAGCTCGCACCTGCTCAGGTATTCTAGTTCGAAGCCATGTCAAGTACGACTCTGGGTCGATCACACCGTAAGACGGCAGATGGACCCAGTGGTGTAGACCCGCAGCATCCGTGTAAACCCGTCCGGTGGCGTCCCCTTCTCGTCGGACGAGCTCAAGAACAAGAATTGGCGATTCCAAGAGGGAGCCACTAGAGAATGTGATGGCAATGGGTGTGCCCCCCTTCTTCCAGTCCTCCGGGTTTATGGCGGGCCACTCGCCGTCCTTGAACCTGTCTGTAAGCTGCAGTCCACCCTCCCGGTGGAAGACGAGGTTGGCCGGATTTGTGAGTTGCATGGCTATGGACGAGATCCAGATAAGTCTTGGCAATGTCCAGGTTCGGCAATACGATGGGGGCACTTATTAGGAAGTAAAAAAAGTCAAGTGTGGAAGGCTACTAGAATGGGGGTAGGGATGAAAATCGGTCCTGCAAGGATAGAGTGTTATGTGAGGGGGGACGGACCAAAAGACGAGAGGAGATAGGCCTTATTTGTACCCCGTACTACAAGTGGACGCATCCAAATTCGTCGAGAAGGGGTGAACGAGCAGGCACGAGGGGACAGAAAGACCAGGAAAGCAAGGGTGGCTAACCGGTAGGGTTTGACAAGGCAGGTACAAGTGGCCCCTTACGTCTCTTGCCTTTCTCGAAGTGGCAGCCTCCATGCCGTGGATGGCTGGCGTGCTACGACTGTCTTATTTTCTCTTCCTTTTTCCTAACCAGCATATTCTAACGAGCACAGCCTAATGGTATCTTACATCAGAAAAGCAGGCTTGGAGATTGAAAAAGCAGATAGTCGGCCGAGATGATGTCAGACTTCGGCACCTGCCACGACGCATCATGGAGGCTGTTAGCAAGCACAAGACGAAAGAAGAGTGGTGAGTTCTGTGCTAGGACTTCTGCAGCCTTGGCAAGCTCGAGTTCAGCTGGGATAGACCATGGCGACGTGCACCGACAAGGGTTGATAGGAGCGAAGGTGGTGTGAACAGGCGTATGATGCCGGGGCAGACAACCAAGCAAAGCAGAGAACAGGCAAGAACAACGGGTCTGGGGCCACATGCAGTTAGCGTCCGGTGGGAGAATAGTCTGTGCGTCTATTTTCTGTTCTCCCTCGCGTCTGTCTGTTGGCATTCATCAGGCCGCGGGAAAGGTCACGGAGTGCCTGGTCGGCTGCTTGCCGAATTGACCGGCCCACTTCGGCAGGAGGGGGGGTGTAATGGAGACAAGCTCCAGCCGCATGGCTTTCGTTCTGTGCTGCGTTGTCGGCTGCCTTGTCTGCGGCTCCGCTGCACAGCTATCACCCCTTTTGGCGGGGCGAGTTACGAGTATGAAGGCAGGCATGTTGTCCACTCGGTCTTCCTTTGTCTCGAAAGGTGTCCAGGTTGCAAGCAGTCTTGGCTTCTATGGTTCGTTGTGCGTTCACGACGTACGGAGTAGTACCCAATCTGGTTGGTCGGGACTCATAACCCGAGTGATTGGAAAGTTCAAGCTTGCGGTCAACGACCTAGCTGCATGTCCTAGTGACGTGGGGGGTACCATTCACGGCAAGGTTAGGCGCTGATAGGAAACGATTCGGCACGCTAGAAGCCTTGATTTGTTTCTTCCTTTCCCCGTGAAAGGCGCTACTGGAAATGTCCACGAGCGTCTTCCGTGTACACGCTTCACAAGCTTCAAAGAAGACTCTTGCCCACGAGTCTCTTTGGCGGGCGGAGTTGTCTGCTCCAATCGGCCCATTCCAGCAATTACTTGACTGTATCGCAAGATCTGGTTGACCCCAAATCCCCCGACCCCAGAGAGTGCATGTAGAACCATAAAAGCTGTAAGTTAGGCACCTTATAAACAAGTTTACTCCGTTCTTGTACACCGCACCGGGACTGTAGAACCTGGCTCAAGTGTCAGAGCAACGTGGACTGTGGCTAATAAGAAAAGGGTGCGGAAGGATGTCCGCCAGTGCGTGCCCTTTTGTGATCCTTCGGGCTTTTTCCGGGTCGCCCTGGGTGAGGGGTCCCAAAAGATCAGGGAAACTGTAGGCGAGCATTGGGGGACGGCACTTGTGGGCGGCAACCTGGTTGTGCATCGAGCAGCCAGCAAACAGCAACTACATTCGGCGCAACGCAATGGGGCAGGAAGATGGTCATCCCGACAACAAGATGAGCGGACTGTTCGTCACGCTAGGGACTAAGCAAGTCAGACACCATCCAATTGTTTCATATATCCCCGTCTCACCGTATTCTAGTCTAGAACTGACTTGGCGTTCCCTCTGAGTATGGATGCTCGCCTCTTTCCCAACCTAACCGATAAGGCTGGCTCGGATGGTCAGACGACTTGGGCATTCTTTGTATGCAAGCCAACCGGGCCATCCGTGATGGTCACGGGGTGGCCAATACGGACTTGCGTATGTATGATGAAGCGGTATCTGGCAGACGCGTTCGTTGCTGATGATAGAAACCAGCGGTGGCGAGTACATAATCCAATCGGAATGCCGTTAAGAAGCAAATGCTGTCCCGTTTTTGCAAGATAGGTTGTTTATCAAGTGTAAACAGCTAAAAGCAGGCCACGTAATACTCGTATTGCTGAAAGTAGAAGTCGCACGTTCTCGGCCATTTTCGCATTCGTATGGCCGGGATGTTCTCCGTGAGTGCCAACTATATTCATCCAGCTACGCCTACTAATCAAAGAAACTGCGGTGGTTTTGTATTTTGGTATATTCCTGGCGAGAGCCTGGCGCAAGAACCACAGCTAAGAGAAGTGCTCGGTCAATATCGTGGCCGGGGTAAGTATGGTTCGCAGTTTCTCAATGTGGTCCAGGCCTTCCGTGTCGGAAACCCGTACTGGGGAAGTTTTGACTCAGAGTAAAAGCATGAGAGGAAAGAACACCCGAGAACCCAATACGCCGTAGCCTGGTCCACTTTTGTATTTCCCTCCTTGACCGCACCTACCCTATACACGTCTGCTCGTAGGCCCGATTTTACTCTGCCAGAATGCAGTGCAGTTTGAGCAGAGGCGAGCGAAGGGTCTTGCAAACAACCTCTACTCCCGTTTTTCAGATAGAAGACATCTGTAAGTCGACCACCACGAAGCCAGTCACAGGGCATACTGTGCTTAGTAATTGCGCAACTATTGTAAGGCACTCATACCGTTTCCAGCTGCTACACAGCCGGACCTTCTGCTTGTGGATCACACGATGAGTGGATCGTACATGGAACATTGACGGAAGGAGCTGGGGATATGGGACAGAAAGAGCGACGCTTGACACGTTACTGGAAAGCGCGAAGAAGAGGCGATGCATGGGGGAAACAGCACGAGATTGAGACCGAAGCATCCGACTGTGCAGCACTCGTCTCACCACCACATCATTTTCGTCAACATCGTTTTCAAGCTTGACTTCACTCTCATCCAGAGCCAAAAACAGACAAGAGCACCTCAAAATGTCTTCCTCTCCTTGCAGTAAGAAGATCGCCAACCGGCTTTTGGCTCCTACTGTGCTAATATATTGTCAGAAGAGTCCGCCAACCTCATCAACCAAATTTACCAGATCTATGAGCTGATCCAATCCATCATCAAAATTATTGGTGATATTCAGCTTCTCTGTGGTGCAACGGTTGGGCGGTTTGTTATCAACGGTTTCCGTCTGTCAGTCGTCATCATCCGTTTTATGATCAACATCGTCTTTCTATTTCTGCCCTTCTCCAGCCCTTTTGAGAAAGCGAATGTTTCCAAGAACTCTGTCAAAGATACCGCCACGAGCGATGTTGCCAAGGATATGGCCACAGGTAACGCCAAGGGCAATACCACGCCCAACACCAGCGAAGTTGTCATTTCTCAAGACACCTCGAAGGACCCGAAGGAATCACTCGGCGACGCAATGCCCCTGCTTGCAACTGGCACGGACCATACGGTAAAGAAGAAGGTGTAGGTTCCAGACCCCAAGTAGCCCACAAAGGTTTGTGTCCTTGACAGAAACGGGTGGGCGAACACCTAATGCATATACGTATGCGTAGCAGAGTCAAACTTGAAACTGCTCTCCTGTGAAAAGCGTGTTAAAGCAATAGAATCATATGTCGGAAAAAACAAGACGGTCAGTTGGGCTTAGCAGACATGTCAGACATGGACCTATAAGCGCGTTCTCGGTACAACTTCCTCATCCTTGTCATAGCCTGTCTTCTTTACCTAAAACGGCCCTATATGGCCCAGTATACTTGTGCCTAATCAAATAGACGTTAACAAAGAAGAGCTGCTAGTTGTGTCTCTTGTGAGCTGGATGCCTCCCAGCTGTTGTGCTAATGTCTACATCAGTCCCATCGCATCGGAGGTTTGGCTGTTTTTTTTATTGCTAACACACATATTTACCGAAAGTCATCAGCATAAAGCAGCTCGTAGCATGGAAAGCGAGAATTTAATAGACACGCCAATTTACATTCTGTCCAAACTATTAGAGCGTACAGAGAATTGCTACACACAAACATACAAACGCACACGTATACACGCACTGCTCGATCAGACGATCTGGTATATAATTAGTCATTATCATGGGAACGCAGAAGACAAGTCTGACGAAAGATTTTCTGTCTCCTCTCCTATCGTAGGGGGAAAATTGGCCTCTTCGGCCAGCGAATAGGCATGTAAATGATGATGTGGCCGTCGTCTGGTTGGGGGGGGAGTAAGCCCGATGCCGAGGCCCGCACCACTGCCTCCATCACTGTATGTGCTCGTATGCCGAGCAGACAGTGACCGCGCGAAATTGATTGGCGACAAGGCCAGGGGGTTTATGGCAGGCGGCAGCCCTGTCCGGCCAGATCGGACAGTGTTCTGAAGTGGATCGTTGGCAGCCACAGTCTTTCGAGAGGGTTGCTTTGCGCCAGTTCCCTTGCTCGACTTTCTTAGCGTCAAGCCAGGAATTGTGAGGCTGTTGTCGTGGGAAGAAGCTGCAGCAGCGGTAGATGTAGATGCAGTCGAGCTAGGCTCCGGCTCGTCGATAGGCACGGTGACAAAGACAGCCAGGGCGTCTGCTCGCGTGGCCAGCACTTCTGCGCTCTGGTGAGCCAGATCAAAGAGCTCGAGCGAGTCCTGTAGGGTTGGACGAGAGCCCTGGGCATCGCGGGCCTCTGTCTCGGGCGGCCAGTAGACCTTGGTTCGCATGCGGGCGGGCAGGGCGGCCATGCGGACGTTCCAGAGGCGCTTCCAGGCCTCATGCACACCGGGCTGATGCAGCAGGCCGTAGATCACGTGGGCGTAGTGCCAGTGTGCGGGCGTCTTGCCGTTCTCAAAGTGCAGGGCCACATGGTCGTGGTAGCGATCGATTGAGCCAAGGAAGGCGGCACAGAAGCCGCAAGCCCAGGCGCGCTGCTGCTGCTGCGTCTGCGCTTGCTTTGCACGATGCCGACGGCGGCGACAGCAGGCTTCGTCGTGATGAGTCCAGTCTTCCCGTCGCTGGTACTTCCTGGTGCAAGATGTGCACCAGTACGCGCGCGTGGAGGAGGCGGCGGCGGTGTTGGGACGGGCGGTGCTGGCCGATGGATTGGTCGTCGATGAGGCCGCGGGATCAGAGACAGCAGACGCAGCTGTTTCTGTTGTAGGGTTCGGTGCAGAAAGATCGGCGAGCGGAGAATCCTCATCATCAACAGTGTAAGGAGGCGGCGGAAGGAAAGACCCGCTTTCGCATATCGTCGGGTTAGGCATATCTTCAGAAGGGAGAGAGAGCGTTCGTCTGTGTCTGTCTGACCGCTGCCGTGGCTTCGATTCCGGTCGGGAAAGCGAGCGGCGCGGCTGGGAGAAAGACTTGACTCGGAGATGCGAGAAGAAGGGAGACGAGGATTCGTCTGTCTGCGGAGAGGCGACCAGGGTTGGGCTTTGGCTGTACAGGCTTGCAGCCGGCAGAGGCGAAGAGGCGCGAGTGTCTATCGAAGACCGTGAGGTGTTTGTGCAGATCTCAGGCGGAGGCGTTGGGGGTGCTACAGCGGCCGGAACTGCTTTCTAGTCAGCTTCGTGAGAGCAACAGCCCAGAGAGCGGATCGGACTTACCTTGCCGGACGACGAGTTCCTTGCGCAAGGTCAGGGGTCCGGGAGCTGTATCCGGTTGCGCCTGAAGCTCGTACTGCTCGAGGAGAGCCCGCAGAAGCGCCTCGCGCTCGTGTGCCGGGAGGCTCTGAATGTGTTGTCGGGCAGCAGCCAGGCTGTCGGGAGGCAATCCGCTGGTGGTCAGGCCGCGCGGCTCGGAGGGCGTTTCTGTGGCCATTTCACGGCCTGGGAAGAGACGGGCGTGTGCAAGACCGGGGACGAAGAGGCTAGAGACGCAGATGAAGACAGAAACGATAGACTGTATGAAGTGATGCAGATGCTGCAAAACGAGAAGATGCCCAGATGATCAGAGATGAGTGACGTGTAAACTAAGCAGGCCCGAAAGAAGCCGGGGAGAACAAAGGTTAAGAAAGATGGCAGGCCCGTAGGAGTGCCAGCCCTGATATGCTAGCAGGGTTTGGCCGTGCCATCGTATCCTGCTCGTATGTACTCGTACTATGTAGCCAAGCCTTCTGGATGTTGTTTCGCATCGGTCTGCGTGCGTGTGCCGCACTCGTCAGCTCGCTCAGCTCTCCATCGCATGTTCCTTCATCTGTCGTATGCCTCAACATCCCCGTCACCCTTGCTTTCACTGCGGGCCGCACGCGACGGCCACACGGTCACGGTCCTCTCCAGCGTATGATCATGGCGTCTCGGCAAGTCCTCCTTCTGCTGTCCAACGCGATGGCCCACTTAAATCATACGTCTGGCCAATCACAACTGATGTAGCTTCCCGACCACTGTCGCACCTCAGGGATTCTGCTCCCCTGCTCTAAAATCGTCTCTTTTGCTTGTTTTTGCTGTTTCAGGACTACGAGTGCGTCCATACGGCCCAACACTCATCGCACGACAGAAAATAGTGGCCCAATGCCGCCTCGTGACATTGCATGTCGTCGAACTCTACGACATACTCCGTACTCCGTACCCAAATAAATGGAGGGCCGTTCCGGCTTTGTTTCGTGACGATCTTATCATCATAGTGAAAAAAAGGATATGTATCAAACGTCCAGCGAAGGTGATCATTCTAGGTGTCTTGTTGCACCAGTACCCCGTAGTGCGTAGCAGTCCTCCTTTCCTAGTGATGAATTGGACGTCCAGACGTTACGTGGGGCATTTCTCAATTTAAACACACTCCAGTGCCTACCCAGCGGTCTGGGCATTTTGTAAGCAGCATCGACCTGTCATTTGCGCCTTGGATTCATCCAATTGAGGTCTAGCCGATGTTTTTAAGCGGAATACGAATATGTAGCACAATCTCATCTTCGAAATGATGAAGAAACGGCTCACGCGATTCCTGGTTGGCTTGAATCGCTTTCAGCTCCACTCGAATCTTGATTTCTTCTTTAAGCGAATCTGCCCCCCAACGACCTTGTATGACATGCCTAAAGCCGATATATACGTCGTAGAATTGCCACTTTATATAAGTTTAGGATGAGCTGAAATCTTCCAATATACTAACAAGGCCTAAAATTGGAAGGATCGCAATCAGCATATACGTGACAAACTCGAACCATGCAAACACAAGTATAATATATACATCAAACAAGCCTCACGGGGTTGCCCACCGACTAAAACGAAGACCTAAAGTATAAGAACACAATGGGCGTATCTTCAGGCAGTTCGCGTTCTAAGGCCGTCGTTCAGGTGCAAATGTCTCTAGAATGTCCTTCATAGGGAGATCAAGCGAAGTCGGAAGCTGCCGATTTTGGCCAAACGATAATATCATCACTTTCGTAAAATCTCAGTGCGTACATTATGAGTCAGCTGTGGTATCTGAAAGAGGAAGGGGCGAGGCAGGTGAACAACAAGAAGTGGCTCTTCTCTCTTCTGTGCTGCCCTCGGTTGTCGGGGCATTTGGCTCCAAATTGCACATCTCTTAGTTCGTCTCATCAGAAAACACACTGCTTTGTGTTATACGTCAACCAATCAGTGCGACTCGTGACGATGCCTCGTTGGCGTCGAAAACCTAAAATTAAATTACCATTTTACGACCCTGGCCGTCCGAATCCACCATATACTATAGGCAGCCGGTGGGAGATCCAAAAGCATGACCCTCCTCCACCGTTTGGTGCCGGTTACAAAGCGCTGCATAGAAGAGGGCCACAAGCGCTGGCAAAAATGCTTCGGGAGCAGCTACCACAGAGTGTTTACTGCATGCTAAACCCGCCACAAGGGCCCGAGCCGCCACTTGATGCACCTAAAGTGCAGATTGAGGTAGTGGAAACATTGAGAGTGAATGTTTCACAGGGACCTCAGGTGTTAGTTTGCCGAATCATAGGCGGTGACGGAGACGATCTAGAAAGAAGGTCGAAAGAACGCAATTGCCAACTGGTAGCTAAGCTATATGATCCCCTCTATTACCACCACGACGGACAATTCGACATCATTGAGCTAGCCGACATGGAGTACAGCCGCGAGGCGGCCGCATATGGGCATCTGCAAGAGGAGGGTGTCGATGGGCAGTTTCTGCCTGCGTACTTTGGCTCCTTCACGCTGGATGTTCCACTGGAAGAACAGCAGCGAGAAATTCTCGACAGATATGCGCAGGGAAGGGACAGAGGGGGGGCCGATGCCAAAGTGCGGCGTGTGAGGCTGACGATGATGGAAAAGATTGAGAGACAGCCGATGACATACCAGCTTGTATTTGGCGACCTGAGTGTAGTTCCGGCAGAGACACGACTCACAGCCATTGCGACGACAATGGAGGCCTACGCAAGGCTACACTTCCACGGCGTTATTCATGGCGACTTGGCACCACGTAACGTCTTCGTCGAAGACAAGGGACGCAACAACGACAGTAACCCAAAGGCGAGCGGGCATTTGCGGTTCTATCGATTCATCGACCTTGATCTTGCCTACATTCTCGGCCGATCCGACTCTTCGTATCCACGACGGCCAGCACATGAAACACGTCCACGCAATCCCATACTTCTGTTCTGGCAGGTGTTTGAAAGTGGCGCGGCCAACATGTACTACTGGCTGCCCTCAAACTTGCGCAACACCCGGGACTTTCACGGCTGGATGCTCCAACGATGGTATGGAGACACGCGTTTCGAACCAATTGGCGCTGTGCCGGAGCCTTCCGCCGACGGAATACCCTGGGACACGGGGGCGGCTGCCAAGGACGTCAAGTGGCCAGGGGACAAAACGCCAGAAACTGGGATCGGCAGGCAGAACGATGTGGTACCCATGACAGTACTTAAGATTCCAAGCAAGGCTGACGCAAGCCAGATGAGCGGAGAGCCAGGAATAGATGGAGGCCAAGATGACAAGCCTGCAAGACCGGAGGGGTTCTGGTGAATAACAACCGAAGGTGTTCGGAACAGGTGACAGGCTGTTGATTGGTGGTTCTGGTGGAAAATCGCATGTAATTTCACCAGTTTTACGTTTCAATGTCTGTACAAAGCGAAACGCTTTTTCTCAAACAAAATGGGGCATGGTAGATTATTGGCTATACAGACTTCAGTCACAGGTTCGGCAAAGACGCCGATTGCACATTCGCTGACGTCTATAATAAAGGCCCATAATGTGGGCTACGGATAAACCCGGTCCTATGGTGCAGTGGTTAGCATGGTGCTCTTGTAAGTTGCCACTTTACTCCGACAGATGATTGCACAATGAGAATTTTCCTAACAAATCAAACAGATAGATCCAGGGATTCGTCCTTGTTTACTATGATAGTAATGCACAGGTCGTGGGTTCGAACCCCACTAGGACCATTTTTTTATGCGATAAGCATGCCATTCGTTCTTATACATGAGCGGTATAATAATACATACGGAGTGTTCGAGAGTCGTTTTTTTTACCATGCAAAGGCCCTTAAATTAATATCACTTGTGTGTGCGCGGGTGCCATCGTAGTGGAAGTCTCATTAATTATCTTTTGGTGCACTTCCACTGCGCCCGGCCGATCACAGCAAGGCAAATCCGGCCGCTTCCAACTTCTCTCCTGATTCTAGCATCGGCCGGCCTTGCATAGGAAAAGGCCAGAACAAAGGGTTTTCTATGCATTCCGAGCTCGCCATGCTGGTTAGCGACGCCGGGAGTACACTGGCCGCTGTGGAAACCGTCTTGGAAACTCCGTCAGCCAAGCTGCCCCAAGTGCTATTGAAGTCACTCTCCTCCATGTTTGGGGCAAAAAAGTTGAGGCTGTTGGTCATTGGCCGCACTGTACGAGTATTTTCAACCTCCACGATATCGCCGCTCGGCGTTTTGGCCACAACCAAAACGTGCACATCGATGTTCCACTTCTTGGTGAGGAATCGTAATATGCTGAGAGCCTGCTCGGCAAAATGGTGACATGGAACCATCTCTGTGAGGTCTGCGATGCCGCGGTTGATAGATTCCACCACTCTTGGGTCCAGTTTATGCACAGGTCGCATACGATGCCCACGGTTTTCCGCCCTTTTGCTATTCTCGACCGCGTCTTGTCCGGTAGCGAAATCCAGCTCTGGTCCCGGCGGTCCTGCTGCATGGTGGTCGTGCATGGCCGAGTCGAAGTCTTTTGAAAACGCCCCGATGGCAAGGTGCATGATGCATGCAGTGAGCACAAAGTATGGCACGAAGGATGGCGTTCTCTGCAATGTGTATAGTTGCGAGTACGACCTCAGCAGACCTTGGATGGCATCTGCAGCCTGCAGGCACACATCCCGAGGTAAGATGCTGGACCCGATGATTCGCAGTTTGATGAGAGGCCGGAAGAGCAGCAAAATCGCAAAATGGTAGTACATACTATCACGGAGATGGTCAACGACTCTCCACCACGTCCGTATGGTGAGATGAAGGTCCGGGTACTTACTGTGCAAAGAGGACTGCTGGTGTGAAGTTGCGACCCAGCCGCAAGGCCTCAGGGATGGAGTCGTACCAGTTCAGATACTGCGTGTACATGCCGAGCAAGTTGCGGCTGATGAGAGGGCGTCCTGGTGTATGAAGGATATAGAGCGATCGGTGGACTAGTTCGCTCAGGTCACAGAAGCACGTGTACACAGACCGGACGTTGGATGGTTGTTGGCTCGACTGATAAAGGGGTGTACCTATGCAGTGTAGCGGGATTAGACAAACCATAGCGACGCGACGAGCGGCAAGAGTCAAACTGCTTACCTCCATCGGTGTAGGGAATCCACAAGGATGCCTCAATATCATCAATGATTGCGGGCTTTGGTGGAAGGGTGAGAAAATATGAGCACTGTGGGAGAGATCCGGTAGCGAGTGACCACGCACTGGGAAGAAAAGTCGCTCGGACTGATCAGAATTTGGAATTGTCCATGGCTACAACACGAAGCAAGCACAAACCAGGGGAGATAACTCACTGGTCAAGGGCAAAGGCGCCCCAGAAGGTGGCGGCCTGCACGGCAGCCTCTTCCTCATCACCGTCTTCGTACTGGACCTGATGCAGTCCCATCTCGATGGCCAGGCGGATACTCTGGCCAGCATAGTACCAGCTCTCCGAGTCACGGCCACAGCTGGCTTCGCGGATCGACATGATGCCCAGGGCCTGAATGGTGGTAAAGGAGTGGTGGTTCGACTCGAGCTGCAGCAGCCGCTGGCATTCTTTGAAGAAATGGTTGCCAGAGGAATAGGGATCATCCGGGTTGGAGCGCGTGTTTGGCTGTGTGGAGAAGCGACAGCCCAGAGCCAGCAGGGCGTTGACCAGCATGGGTGAGCAGTACCGCTCGCATCCGTGTTGGAAGTCCTGGAGGAAATGCTCCTTGCTGAGCGAGGCAAACGTGGGATACTCCCAGCAGAAGTAGAGGGCCAGAAGATGCTGCACAAGATGGGAGTCGTTGGTGATGCTTGTCCAGCTGCTTGCAGGGACCTTCCTTCCGGTGGCAGCAGGGGCAAGGATCTGGTCCAGGCCACGATACGGGCCTTCAGAGGAAGCCGAGGGGCTATTGCTATCAGCCCAGGAGCCGACGCGGGACTGGGATGGCGCGCTCGGGGTCCAGTCCTGGCGAGAGTTGCTGCTGGTCGAGGCTGCCTGGCCGGGACCCGGATACAGCTCGTTTGCCCAGAGGCTGTCCTGGGACTGTGTCGGCTGCTGCTGATCGAGCTGGCTTCGGAGCGACCCGGGTCCGGTAGAGCTGCTGCCTCCTGCACCGCTAGGCGTGAGGCCACCAGGCGAAAAGGGCGTGTAGGGGACTGTGCCACCGCCTGCAAATGCCGGTGGCATGTGGTTGCTAAATGCCGGTGGCAGAATGCCGGTGGTGGGCATTCTGACCTGCGACCCGTGCAGGCTCTGGGACAGACCCCCGTCCAGCCATTCGGATATATCGTCGACCGACTGGCCGCCGTGCAGCCGTTGTAGCACCTCCTCCCAAAGCTCGGGTCGGGCAAGAGCCGAGAGCACGCTGTCGCTGGAGCGTTGACGGCGACGCAGGTTCTCGATCTCGTTTCGCAGGTCTTCTTTCGATTGGCGAACCGGGAGCTCGTAGACGCAGGCGACGCTCCGTTGAGCCCTGCACCGGCCGCACGGCTTGCGGCCATCACACTGTCAGGGGGTGGTTAGCATCCGGGCTGAAAGAGCGTCGGGGTGTGTTTGCGAACCTTGACACGCTTCTTTCGGCACTCGTTGCAGGCGTTGGGCGTAACAACCCCGATACCGCGACGCCGTTTGGACAGCTGCTGCTGCGAAGCAGGCACGTCGAGCGATGAGGGCGACTGGAGGTCTGGCTCTGGCTCCCATACGGCCGGTTGTTTGCCCTGGCTGCCTGTGCTCATGGTGGCAGGAGTCGGTATCGAAGGAGGCCCTGACGGGGTGTCGTCCTCCATTGGGTCCATTGGGTCCATTGGGTCCATTGGGTCCATGTAGGCAGATGGCCCGGCAGGTTCTCCGGTAGCTGGCTGTCGCCGCCTCCCCCTCCTCCTTCGTCCAGGGTGGCCTGAAGTCGGTCCGGATGCCTGGCCGTTTCAAGTGCCGCGCTTGAAAGTTGACGGGTAGTGGGCAAGATGCGCACACAGTACCATGCTTGTCATGTGCTGTGTCCTGCTCTGGTGCTGTGTCCTGCCTTGGAGTGCGATGGGCATCAGCTGTCAGCTCCTGCGCTGGCCTCGAGGAGGGGGGGAGGATACAGGGCGATGAGGTGCGAATCCCAGGACTTTATGTACCGTGCAAGTCTTGGACCCTGCACGAGCTTCGTGGTGTTGTGTGCTGGGCAATTCGGGAAAGAGAGCAATAGGGCCAGATGCTCTTTCCTCTGCGACCAAGGTGAGAAGAAACCTGTGCTTAAAACGTGGGGTCCACGGTGCTGCAGGTGCCGGCGTACTGTGCGTGCAGACTGTGGCTGTAATAAATACAGAGGGGCTGCGGCTGACAACAGCGTCTACGGCGGGAACATCTAGATCCGCACCATTGCTGAACCCCGCACCGAATGCGCTGATGGTGATTCAGACAGGACAGACGGGCTCGGCTGTCTTTGCTGTCTGCGTTGAGCTCGCTGTCCGGTGGTGTGCATGCGTTTGCTAGCGAGGTATCTTTTACTCCATACTTTCTGGCCTAGCTTACCCAACGCGCAATTAAGCAGTGTGGCTTGTCACACTTACGGAGTAGTGCGGTCATTATAGCGCCTCAGCGCATTTGTCTATCTCGACAGACCGACTGACACGGTGGCAGCCATTTGGTGGAGCAAGCGCCATTATTGCGGGAGTAGAACGGGGTCGGAAGGTCCTTTTCACGGCAGGCGTTGGAGACGCCGAACTGGAGTGCAGACAAGAGGGGCCAAGGCCACCAGTTGCGGGTGAGCTGTCCGCCTTTTGGTTGTATCTGCTGGGCCGCGGCATTCGGGCCGAACTCATCACAGAGATGGACTGGTGGGATGAGGCCGAGCTGGCTGGCTCTTTGACAAAGGCTTTGACGAGAGCTGCGTTTCAGGCCCAACGTCCTGATTGGCCGGCGTAAGCACCGTGAGAACGGTGTGGCTGGAGCTGTGTCACGCTTTTCCCTCCAGCGCTAGGCACCTGATACACCCCTCCTTTGTACGAAGGGCCTCTGCAACAATTGTACCCTCCTTCGATCCTATCTCCTCTCTGCATCTCGAACGGTCGACCGATGCGTATCCTGTCCCCCGCCAGCCAACGTGCGTGCGTCGACGAGCTGTTCTCTTGCTAGCCACCTGCCACGCGTGACTGTTCTTCTTTGACATTGTGAACTACGAGCACGGCCCCCAAAGCTCTTTGTCCCTGGCCGCCCGAAGACAAGACGAATCTACAGAGCCGGCGAGAAAGCGTGCGTCGACAAGAGATCAGTCAAAGACCAGATAGGCCAAGAAGTTGAGAAGCAAGAAGCAAGAAAGCAAGAACAGAGAGCACTCGCCATCTGCTTGGGCGCGACAGTCTGAGTGCGATAAGATCTCTCTCTTACAAGCGTCCTCAACAAAGGCACCCCACTGTCTCTCAAGTCTCCACCGCACGCCGCCACCACCGCCACAAACACCGCGTGCCTTTGGGCCCGCCGCTCAGCAGGGCCCAGCCCACTCGAATATCGCAGCACCACTGCTTCACGGCCGGACGGCCTCATCCTCCATCTTCACAACCACGGCCTCACCATGAACGGCGCACCATCCACGGCCGACGCTGCGCCAGCTGCACCAGCTGCGCCGAACAAGGCCCAATCAACCCCGCTGGCATCGGCGAATGGCAGCGGCAGCGCCGGTGCAGGTGCCATCAAGAAGCGCAAGAAGGATGCGCTGAAGCCCATCATCACGACCGAAGAGTAAGTCTGACCGCCCTGCATTCTACGCGTCTCTTCAGCCCGCCTCGTGCCTCCCTTTGTACCGTGCCCTTACTTTATCTGTGCCCGTCTCGCTGCATCTATTTGCACCCTTCTGCCGTCTGTTTCGCCCTGTTTTCAACCGTCTCAACTCCTGCCTCCTCTTGTCTGTTTCATCTGCTCCAATCCATTCTCTCCACGCGCACACACCCCCTGTCCATCTTCGCTCTTTGGGGCTGAGCGCATCGCCTGGCCCTCGGCAGCCCGGCGCGACGCAGGGAGAACGTGAAGAAAGACAGCTACACGGCCTGCACAAATCACATTTCCCCGCTGCCTCTCCTCTTTTGCCCGCTGCCTTGCCCGCTGCCAACCTTCCCTGCCCAATCCTTGGGGCGAATGCCTGCTCGCCCTCATCGCTTTTTATCCACTTGTCGCCATATTCACTCCCCAAACCCATTCAGTTCCATCTTTACACCTTCTCATTCTGCCATTGCCGCTCTCCGCCACCTCTCTCCGCCGCTTCGCCTCCCTGCCTTCATCTCCCTCGTCGTACTTCGCTTTTCCACCTCTTCAACGCTCTCTCTTTTACTTTTCCCTTCCCAATCACCTCAGCACACTTCCCCCCTCTTCTATACCCCTCCTCTGCTGTCAGCCGCATACCATGACCAACCCGCCACCACAATTCTACCCGCCTACTACCCAGCTTTCGTCTGTTCTCTCGCATACTCATCCCCGTGCCAACATATTGACCATCGCCGCCTATTCGATGGCCCTTGGCCCCTCGACCTTTGCACTCTCTTCCTCCTCTGTCCCGTCCTTTCCCTCTCTCACCCCCTTCCCCTATTCTTTTTCCTCTGAACACGCTTCTGTCTACTACCGCTCCCATGTTGCAGAGTCTCCTGCCCAGTCTTCGCGACCGAGACCCGCCCAAGCCAAGGTTCTTTCCGCCTCTCCTTCCCTCAGGCGCTGCTTTTCTATCGCCATAAGCGATCTCAACCCCTCACCCCACTCTGTCGCAATTTGCTTTCGGAGCTTACGCCGTTTGCATGCATACCATGTATACCGTGGCATATATCGAGGACCAGCTAACCCGTGTCTTCAACAACAGGCCGCCTCACCACTCTAGCCTGAACCAATCTCCAGCCGCATCCTCCTCCGCCGATGATGCTGCCGAGAACACCGCCGACGAAGAAGACTCCGAGGATTACTGCAAGGGTGGATACCACCCCGTGGAGATTGGCGAGAAGTTCCACGATGGCAGATACGTTGTCGTCCGCAAGCTAGGCTGGGGGCACTTTTCTACTGTCTGGCTGTCGCGCGACACTGTCACTGGGAAGCACGTGGCCTTGAAGGTTGTCCGGTCGGCCGCACACTATACGGAAACGGCCATCGACGAGATCAAGCTTCTCAAGAAGATTGTGCAAGCAAATCCAAGCCACCCCGGTCGGAAACACGTCATCAGCCTGCTAGACTCCTTCGAGCACAAGGGCCCAAATGGCACTCACGTCTGCATGGTTTTCGAAGTCCTCGGCGAGACCCTGCTAGGCCTCATCAAGAAGTGGAATCACCGTGGCATTCCAATGTATCTTGTCAAGCAGATCACAAAGCAGGTGCTACTCGGCCTCGACTACCTTCACCGCGAATGCGGTATCATCCACACCGACCTCAAGCCAGAGAATGTCCTAATCGAGATCGGCGATGTCGAGCAGATCGTCAAGAAAGTCGTAAAGACCGACAACTCAGACAAAAAAAACAACCGGAACGGGAGGAGGAGGAGACGAACCCTTATCACCGGAAGCCAGCCGTTGCCCTCGCCTCTGAATGCAAACTTCGGTCACTCAACCCCCTTCTCCACGTCCAGCTCCCACTCCAATCTCGGCCAGGTCTTGCACGACTGTACGTTCGCTTCCACCATCTCTGCCTCTTGACGCTGTTGCCACGCATCTTACTGACTTTCTGTGCAGGGGCACAAAAGTCCAACTCGCCGGCAGGTGCTGATAGGGACCCCAAGGATGCTCTTGCTGAAGAGGTGCAGAAAAAGAGAGAGCAGACTGAGTAAGTCTTCGGTGTGCGGTTCGCATCTACTTCCACCTCCCCCCCTCTGACCGTTCTGTAGGGACATCCTTGCCAAGAAAGTTTCCAATGTGACTCTGGATAAATCACCCCCTCACCATTCTACGTCTCCCTCCGACAGCGACAAGCGCAAGGTCGAGGACAAGGGCCTGGACACTATCAGCGTCAAAATAGCCGATCTTGGCAACGCCTGCTGGGTCAACCACCACTTCACAAACGATATCCAGACCCGGCAATATCGGTCCCCGGAGGTCATTTTAGGCGCCAAATGGGGAGCCAGCACGGATGTATGGAGCATGGCTGCTATGGTCAGTGTTTTCTTTGGGTATCTGCTTTGCATGTCTGTGAAGCTTGCTGACAGCCGCAACAGGTGTTCGAGCTCATCACCGGTGATTACCTCTTTGACCCGCAGTCGGGAACCAAGTATGGCAAAGACGATGACCACATCGCCCAGATCATTGAGCTGCTTGGGCCCTTTCCCAAGTCGCTCTGCTTGTCTGGGAAATGGTCGCAAGAGATTTTCAACCGCAAGGGTGACCTACGAAACATCCACCGCCTCCGCCACTGGGCGCTCCCAGACGTGCTTCGCGAGAAATATCATTTCCGAGACGATGAAGCGAGACGCATTTCCGAGTTCCTGCTTCCCCTCCTCGAGCTTGTTCCGGAGAAGCGCGCCAATGCCGGCGGCATGGCTTCGCACCAGTGGCTAGATGACACCCCGGGCATGCAAGGAACCAAAATAGAAGGTGTTGAGGTGGGCAGCCGGGGAGAAAGTATAGAAGGCTGGGCAACGGAGGTTCGAAAACGGTAAAGGAGCACTAGACAATGCTTCGCGTTCCGGCTTCTTCTCTGTATATCTGGTTATGATGTCCCCCTCCTCCGCCCCTCCTTTTCGAAGCCCAAGTTTTCGATCTTTTATGAGACCTTACCTAACCTTCACTATATTACCTGACTGCTGTCTCCTATTGCTTTGACAAGTAGGGGGTTACGAGCGGACCGCTTCGTGCGGAAGTCTTTTCTTATCTCATTTTTCATTGGTTTTTCATTGTGCTGTCCATAACTGGAACATAGATCTGTATTCCCGGTTTATCTACTGTGCTGTCGTCGCATGAGGCACTGCAGTATAATAACGGCGGTCATCTCTCGCTCTTCAAGGGTAGGGCAGCCTCGTGTTGGTTGGCTATCGCATATGCTAGGCCACCACAGCCATAGTAGACGTGTAATACGTGAACTTGCATTTGATACTGCTCCAAGATGTCCTTCTATGCTGGATTTCTAGTATAAGCGTTCATCTGGACCAGAATGACCAACTCATACAACCAGCCTGCTCTTTTTCGCTTTGGCATGCTTAGAGGGTCGTCTATTGTTAATACCACTAACGGCAGCACACTTGGCTGGTGCAGCATCTAATACTACATTGTTGCTGCCATAAATTTGAAACCCTTGAACTATATCAAGCTACCAAACCCACATTATCCTATTCTTACATCCAACCCTAAACGAGTCACTATTGAGACTTTGCAGCACCCAGGTACACTTGAAAATAATTCTATAACAAATAAAAAAGGCAAGGCAAAAGACAGTAATGTGACACCATATTGTGTGCCAGGGGGATGGTATATTATGGGAAGCGTCTGTCAGCTTCCCAACGCATATAGACACACATCGATGGACGACTCGCGCGCCTCCGTTCACAAAGGGGTGCACCACGTTTCGGTATTCGATCCGCCATCGGTACGTGACGATCAAGCACGCGCTTGTAAACGACGCTCAGCTCTCAAGGCCCAGGCTACCCGTAACCACTACGACCGTCGTGTCGCATATACAAGCATGACATTCTCAATGGCCCTTGCTTGGGCTGCGGTACCTGACCTTTGTTGGGCTCCGGCTCCGCTCACCCTTGCTAGGACTCCGTCGGAACGATGGTGTCTGGGGTGCTGCCATGATAGCCGCCCGTGGTGCATCTGGCGACATTTCCGTATCTGTGGGAGTGCCGGGCATGAATTCTCGGCGAATATGCCGGGGTGTTTGGCCAATGGGCGCCCAGATATAAGCCTGGTTTGGGTCTTGGGATGCTGGCATCATTGGGGCACCGGCTGGCTGAGATGCATATGGCCGGTGTGCTGCTGCATTGCCGCTGGCTTGGCTCACAAAGGCCGTCTCGCGGAAGCGGCTGAAGCCCAGGTTGCTGGCAAGCACCATGGCTAACATGGCTGATATGATGAAGCCCTGCGAGGTATATGTTAGCAATGCTTACATGCTTACAAGTGGAAGTAGACTATATGGAGAGAGCACACGCACCCATGCCTTGATACTCATAGCACCAACAAACTCATTGATAATCTCGGCCACGTTCTTGGCCGACACCTGCATCTTCATGACGCTCGATGGGTCTTGGTTCATGCACACCTCCCATTCGTCACACACCACATTCAGCGCCGGCAGCCGTTCCGTCTTGGGCGCACACCGATTCTTGGTATACTCGTGTGCGCAAGCGTTCATATCTGCTAGGAGCCTTGATCGTGCGGCATCTGCGGCATAGGATATATCTGCGCGCATCATCGAGATACCGCCCCATACGAACCACATGAAGACCGAGACCAGGAAGACGTTGATGCCCAGCTGCACCCACCACGACAAGATCAATGGCACATTTGGGTGTTCATGGATCGCCGCAAACAGATTGCCAATAAAGCCCCGATCTGCCCCCCCGGAAGCATAGTCTGTAGAGTGCTTGTTTTTGCTGAAGAGCCGTCTTTCCCGCCTGTCCCCGGCGGTACGTTCGCTCATGTCTGTGTCGTCGCTTTCTTCATCAGATGTATAGGCTGCGTTGAAGCGGTTTCGAACACTGCCAACATCCCTGTCTCCCATCTGTCGCTTCCGCTTCCGCACCTTGTCCCTCCGGTTGAAGAAGGCTTCCAAAGCGCCTCGTGGTACCTCGCCGCGGCCAGGGGTATGACCTGTAGTTGTTGACACAGACTGGCTTCTTTCCGAGAAGAGTCTGCGACCCACTGCTGATGCAGGCGTCTGGCTATATCTCTCGTGGTCGTCCGGTGTGTCGCCCGGCAATTCAGACACGTCGCTGGCCATTGCTGGGCTCTCTTCGGCGCCCGAGTACTCAGACATGGCATCATCAGGCCGTTTTTGGGGAGTTGTAAAGGAGGGATTGCGGAACGCTGACGCCGCTGGATATTGCCTTGCAGCGAGCGGCTTGAAAAAGGATGAGCTGGGCGGCCTCGGAAACAATTGTTTTGACGGTGAAGGAGGACCAGGCTGTGAGAGTCCGCTCGGGGTCTTCGATGCGAAGGGGTTGGTCAACTTGGTTGCCCGTGAGGGCGAGGCTGCACCAAAGGACGAGGCTGGTAGCGGTCAGGACACAAAAAAGAAACGACCACATTAAGGAGGGGGTGGACAGGTGCCCAACCTACTGCCGAACGGTTGGCGAGGTACTTGGGAAAAGGGACTGGACATATCCAGAGGCCCGCTACTATTCTGGTATTCCCAGTCCATTGGGCTTTCGAAAGTTCTCCGGCTCATGGTGGCGATAGGGCAATGTTACTGCACAGTCTGCTTCTCGGAGAAACGGTGTTTTGTTTATTATTTGCTTGCGGAGTTTTCTGGAGGGGTGTTGGAGGTTCTGCCTGGCTACCAACACAGCATTGAAGCATGATATCAGAGAACATCCAGGTTTCTTCTGCGATAGAGGGGCATGTCGAGCGGGTAAGATTCCTGCAGATTTGTTCTCCAAACTTTTGTCGTGGTGGCAACGAAGCGCCACTCGTAAACAAGACGATGCAGCTACTGCATCCGCCGATGCCTGAGGCACTACTCAGAACTAGCGCCACAGGGGCTGATTTAGCTCTCCCGAGATCGTACCTGCTCTCAGCCACAGGCATCCTTTTCTCACATTTCTTTGGACGGATAAGAAAGTTAAGAAGGCTTCTTTTCGGCGGGCGTCTTCCGTGTTTATTGACTCCCCTCAGCACTTCTTCAATTTCTATCGCCCTCTTCATGGTATTTCTTCCTAACCGACGCTAGAGCTTTGAAGGACCCGGGGCGCGCTTTCATTTCGTGCGCCTAGCTACAGACCAATTGTCGCGCCTTCTCGCACTTACCTCTTCTTCCACTCAATACCTGCTTCTGCCGAATCACCTCATAATGGCAGACACAGAACCGGTCCGCTCGCCGTTGAGCACGCCAGATGCTGAAGCCGGCGAGCATGGCTCCCCAGAACTTGCACCACCAACTTCCAACAAGGCGGCTTCAGACAGGGAAGAAGGCGAGGAGGTGGAGGGTGAGGACGACAACTCCAAGAGTAGGCCGAAAGCCGATGACAACGATGAAGGTGGCGATGGTGACGGTAATTCGGAAGATGACCTGCTGTCGGACGTGGACGAGGACCAGTTTGAGGACTACGACCCGGCCACGGCATACATTGAAGAGCGCCCGATCACAATCGACGAAGAAGCAGCCCGCGGATTAAAATCGGCCAAGCGCAAGCGATCCGCTGGAGATGGCAAGGCCCAAAAAGCCAGAGAAGCTCGCCGCGACAAAAAGCGGCGGCCGGTTGCAGGGAAGGAAGAAGAAGAAGGAGACGTAGCACCCGGAATCACCAAAAGCGACGGGCCGAAGAGGTCGCGCAGGCCACATGGAGGCGAGAACGTGGCCCGTAGGAAGAAGTCCCAGTCGCCAGAGGTGAACGAAGAAGACCTGTCGCCAGAGGAGCGCCGCAAACGGGCGCTGGATCGGGCAATCAACCTCGCTATCCGCAACCCGAACAAGCGGAGACGGAAACAGGATGAAGAGGTATGATATGACCTGTGCAGAAAAGTTCAGTCCATGGTATAAGTGGGAGAGTCGCGTGCTGATTTGTTCTTGCCAGGACCTCGAGCAAGCTGCCGACGAAGAGATCGCACAACTTAAGATCAGGATGGAGAAGGCGTGCATGGCCGATATCGACGCACGCGCCGAGGGCAAACCGGCGGTGAGCAAGCTGCAGCTGCTACCGCAGGTAATGTCCGTATTGAATCGCAACGATATCCAGGAGACGGTGCTGGATCCGGAAACCAACTTTCTGCAGTCGGTCAAGTTTTTCCTCGAACCGCTGAATGACGGCTCGCTGCCGAGCTACACCATCCAACGTGACATCTTCACGTGTCTCACAAAGTTGCCGATTGAGAAGGATGCTCTTTTGAGCAGTGGCATCGGCAAAGTCGTGCTGTTCTACACGCGCAGCAAGCGGGCGGAACCCACGATCAAGCGCATGGCTGAGCGTCTGGTCGGCGAGTGGAGCCGGCCGATCCTCAAAAAGACTGACGACTTCAAGAAGCGCTACGTCGAGACTCGCGACTACGACTATCGGTGGGCCTTCTCCTTTCTAAGCGCTCATGGTACTCTTAACACTCTGTGTATTCTAACCAGTATCGTCCTCTTCGCAGTGCTGCCAAGATTGCCGAGCAAGGCACCCAAAGCCAATATACGCTTACAGAGCGGCCCATATCACGCTTTGAGCTGGACAAGGAGCTGCAGCTAGCACCGCCAGTGGTGAACCCGAATCGGGCGCAGCCAGTGGGCTTGCCGCAGTCCTACACAATTGCTCCGAAGAGCACATTCGACGGAAACAGGACCGGAGGGGAGTTCCGGCCGATTGGCGCCAGCAGCATGGAGGCGTTCCGCCGGATGACGCAGAAGGCCAAGCAGCGGAACAAGAAGAAATGAACAGGCGCAATGCCTGGGAAGTACATACTTGGAAGGGCGTTGGACTGAATGGAAGTGTAGGTTTTAATAGGGCTTCAGACAAGGCCGGCCCTACAGAGTCACCGCGAAGATTCTGTAAAGTACAATGGGGAGCATCACAGTTTAAACTTTTCGCATTATATGCTGAAGGCTTCCAATATCCTGATCGTGTTCATGTTGGGGCGTCTTTGCATCTCCAATGCTAGGCCGTGTTATCTGTCAGCACATGTTTTGCCGTCTATCGTGATAATCTGGTCGCCAAGCTTGACTGTATCATTGTCACCGCGTTCTATGTGTTCATGGATTTTCAATTCTAACACGTATGAGTTAGCAGGCTAGCTCTGCTTCGCTCGAGTTAATAGTGGGATTGCGACGCCTACTGTAAACTCCATCTTCCACCTTTCTCCCCTGGACTAAGTTGGTACTTAGAAACGCTGCAACTTGCTCAGCATGCTTGATGGCAGGCCCAACAGATGGGTCCGAAGCATTCAAGACCAGGTTCTCACGAAAACCAGTCCGGATCTTGTCTTGCGCCGCGGATAGAACCCTCGTGTCGCCTATATACCATAGTTAGAGCCACCTGTTGACGTTGTTGAGACGCATTTCTCAGGGCCTCTTTGCAATGCACCAAACGAGTGTTGTGATTTCATACCGTCAAAAGCCAATTTGGCGGCACGAAGGAGACCTCTGTACGCTGCAAGAGCCATGTGAAAGGCTGTTAAAGCATATAAAGCACTTTGTATTCGTGTGTCTTGCCGACTGCGAAGTGTTGCAGAAGCTGTTATGCAAAATGCTTAGTGTGATTGGGTAGCACGTGAAGCCGTCCCACTGCTTTCTACAAAAATAAAAAATGGAGCTTCCAAATAAAAGGTAACGAATTTTTCTCCCACTTCCTTTCTGTCGAGTACCGGCAACCTTAAGCTGCAACTGCAAATATGGCGGCGGCAACGACACTTATTTCGGACAGACATTTTCCTGTCCTCCCTGCAGGCTGGGAGGCAGAGGGGGATATCAAGCGCTTAAAGTCGCTTTCTGCTGGTGTCCACCGCAGTCTCGAGCCGGTTGGCCCGCAGTACCTTGCCCATGCCCGCCGCATGAGACATAACCGAACATTCTCCGAAGACGATCGGATAGAGGCTGAGGCACGGGCCAAGACGGTCGATGATGGTGACAACGACGGTGACATTAGCGAGCCTGAAGACCCCTCCCTGCTTCTTCGGGAAGCCAAGGATTGGAAGGTATGTACTCGGCGGTAGCATCCTTAATTCGAGAACCTGTATGCTAAACCCCCGCTTCCAATATATAGAGCCAGGATCACTACGCTGTCCTCGGCCTGAGCAAGTACCGCTACAAGGCCACGGAAGAACAGATCAAGAAGGCCCATCGCAAGAAGGTTCTCAAGCACCACCCGGACAAGAAGGCTGCAGCCGGGCGCACCGAAGACGACAACTTCTTCAAGTGTATCCAAAAGGCAACGGAAGTGCTTCTCGACCCTGTCAGACGTCGCCAGTTTGACTCTGTGGATGAGGAGGCTGACGTGGAACCGCCAACCAAGAAGCAGCTGGCGTCCGCACACAAGGCTGACTACTATAAGCTCTGGAGCCGCGTCTTCAAATCGGAGGCGCGCTTCAGCCGGACCCAGCCGGTTCCTAGCTTTGGCAGTGAGAAATCGACCAAGGAAGAGGTGGAAAGCTTCTACAACTTCTGGTACAACTTTGACAGCTGGCGGTCATTTGAGTACCTGGACGAGGATGTTCCGGACGACAACGAGAACCGTGATCAGAAGCGTCACATGGAGCGCAAGAACACCAATGCGCGCAAGAAGAAGAAGGCCGAGGACAACAGCCGCCTGCGCAAGATCTTGGATGACGCATCCGCAGGTGATGAGCGTATCAAGCGTTTCCGCCAGGAGGCAAACGCGGCCAAGAACAAGAAGCGTTTGGAAAAGGAAGCCGCAGAGCTCGCAGCTCGCGAGGAGGCCGCTCGCAAGAAGGAGGAGGAGGCGCAGGCTGCAAAGGCGGCAGAAGAGGCTGCGAAAGCCGGCCGTGAAGCTGGAAAGAAGGCGAAGGAGGCTGCCAAGAACGCTGTCAAGAAGAACAAGCGTGTGCTCAAGGGCTCTGTCAAGGACGCCAACTACTTTGTCGCTGGTGGCGATGCTTCGGCTGCTGCCATCGACTCCGTCCTCGGCGATGTTGAGGTTGTTCAGGGCCGTCTGGACCCCGAAGAGATCGCCGGACTTGCAGCCCGCCTCAGCGGCCTCAAGGTGGCCGATGAGATTCGCAGTGTCTGGCGCAACGAGGTGGAACGCTTGGTCGGAGCTGGCAAGCTGAAAGCAGGCGATGCCTCTTCGTTGGCGTAAATGGTCAAAGTGTTTGCTGGTGTTGAGGAGGGTACTTTTCTCTCGTTGTCTTCGTTGCTAGAACATTTTTGCGAGAACCAACGGCGTCACCCGAATAGATCAGTGCTGTCACTGAAGTGGTCTCGACCCGAAAAGCTCGGGTTCGGTTTTGCCGGGCTCAATGCCGTCTTGACTATTGCCTCCGTCTCATTGCCGCCGGTTTAGACAAACTCCTTCCCTATGATAATGTAAAATTCATCACGCCAGGCGCCTCACATCCCAAATCCGCAGCAACCCAAAGCGTGCTGAGTGTATTGAAATCGGTCAGAGCTACGCTCCCCTTGTTGGAAGAGTATGGCCGTCTGGTCACAACCAAACTTTCTCCAACAGTCCGTCGTAGACAGTGCCTACCCATCCTTGCATCTTGCCGCCCCGAGCGACGACGCCCAGCCCGCCCGAAGCCCACGCTGCGAAGACAACGATGGTGGCAGTCTGGACGGCTAGCCACATCCTCCGTCTTTGCTTCCGTGCAGCTTTGTCCGCAGTGACGTTTCCCGTGGGTCTCCGGCCGTCTTCCCCGGAACTGCCGAGCGTGCTGCCGTCCCAAGCGGTCCTTTGAGCTATGTGTAGCCATCGTGCCCAGCCCCACACCATATGCCCCGAAGCGAGCCCGAGAAAAGCGACATATGAGAGCCAGGCTGTGACCGGGTGCCGAGCGAAGCCGTGGGCGACATATGCCAGCCCAATATCAGCACTGTCGCCTTCGACTGCAAGGGGTAGCAAGCGGTTGGCGACAATGTGTGAAGTGAGGGCGATAAAGAACACGTAGCCAGACGCGGAGATGATGCTCAGGGACGGCCACCCGGAATGCAAACGGGACCGGCTCCACCAGCTGCGAAGCTGGCTACCCCATGGCCTTGCCGGCCACTGCCTGTCTCGTTCTCTAACGGAAGTCTTCTGCTCACGAAGCTGGTCCGGCTTGGAGGTCAACCAGAAGCCAGACGTAGCACTCCCATAACGGCGGAGATTTTGCGAACGGCGCACCAGGCGAAGACCAACGCCCGCGACAACATGTGCCACGATGGGAACTAGCACGAGAAGAGGCTCTGATACGCGCGTCTGGTATATCTCGCGGGAGAGTAGGAGGTAGGATTCAGAAGCCGGCACAGAGCGCGTGGCAAGCGGCACCAACGATGTCGTGACAAGATGAACCGACGTGAAGATGGTGAATGCATAAGACGAATACCGCTGGACCCGAGTCACTTTGTCCCCGACAGCGAGGTCAGCTATGCTCTTTGTCCCAGCCAAATACAAGGACAGGGGGTGAGGGAAACAAACGGTAATACACCGCGCCGTGGCCAGAACCGCTCAAGCCCAGAGCAGACGTTGTCACGGCTGACGATATATTTGCACTGCGCGTTGAAGAATCTATGCTCGGAGCCCCGTCCTTCTCCTCGACCTTGAGGGGGAGATCCCTGTCCACATCGGGCAATGGCGTGGGGGCATCTACTATCGGTATCGGGTCCAGTTGCAGTAGAGACGCCAGAGTGTCTTGCGATGCTCTAGTATGTGATCGATGGTGCCTACTGTCGTCCATTGTGTCGTCTTGTCTGGAGGGGAGGGGCTAGCTAGGGCCCCACGTTTATGGTCAACTGCAGGTATGGTTGGGAAGCCGGACACGTCGCGGCGACTAGATTAGAGGTGGCAATGCTAGATGGCGTAGTTTGAGAACCGCTAGAATGGTATGAATGTTGAGATTGGCAACACCTCACATTTGATCAGTCGGTTGAGCCTCACAAGGTGAGGTAAGCACAAATGTGGCGCCCACTATTCGTCGGTGGGGGCATGCGCTGTGGCTTCGGTCAGTGCGCCGCAGAGCGCTAAACCGACAAGCACCGGCAATCCTCAAGCTCTCAGCATCTGCTCCGTAGATCAGAAGCAATGCAAAAGCTGGCATCTGCAATTCTGTTGCCACAGAACACCAAGCCATGGCTCCAGTGAGTAAACAGTATCCATTCGAAAATAAAAACGAGAGGCTGCATCTGGCACAAGACGCAAAGGCTGACGTATGCTTGTCTTCTTCGCCTCCAGAGATTCCAGACTCTCCGACCGGCGCAAACGGCGTCTGCGCGAGAGGCCATGCGTTCGTTTTTCTGCGATCTCTGCCAAAAGGGCTACTCTCGTATGAACGAATACGAAGCACACCTGTCTTCTTATGACCACTCGCACAAGCAGCGCCTCAAGGACATGAAAGCCATGGTTCGCGACCCAGCTGCAGCGGACCGAGCTCGCCGTCAGGAAGCCAAGGCCACAGATGCCGTGATCAGTATCAAGCTGAGTGCCGATGGCGGGACAGTTGGAGGCAGCCTAGACGGCAGCGGCAGCGGTGGTAGCAGCACTGCGCTCGGCAACAGCGGGGCAGGTTTCAAAAAGGGAGGTTTCCGAAAAGGAGGCTTTAAATCAGCATTTGCTACCACGGGTGACCCAGCACCTGCTGCCGCCCAAGTGTCTCCAACAGCACAGCCTTTACCGACAGCAACGCTTGCTCCAGCTCTTGCTACAGAGGGTCCTGGCAGTCTATTGGAAAGCGATACGGAAGATGAAGGCTACGAGCCATATGACCCGTGGAAACCAACGGACTGAGTATGTGGCGTGTAGGCCTGCAAATGAAAGCCTTCTAGTCCTGATTCGTCTGGCTGGACCACAACACGCAGTGCACGCTTGGACACACGCAGCACACTCACAGCTTTGAATATGCTGCCACGCCAATCCGAGACAAGTCTGCAGTGACCAAGGCGGCGTCAGGCGCAAAGGTCTGAAGTAGGCAAGCTGCGTCGACCACACTGTCATTATCGTCCCAAAAGTCGTGGTGTATGTGCAAGGGGAGCGATGTCCAAGTCGTAGTTGTCCTTGCCCAGCCTTTCTTGTAGCATTGAGAGGTGCTGCTTGAAGCTGTCCATCGGCACCGTGTTTTTGTGCAACTAATCACATCAACGAGAGCTGCCCCGGCTACATGAATCATACTCGATGTAAATAGGGAAAACATACCGTGCCGATGGTACACTCTCTTGTATCTTGCGAGTAGCTCTTTATGAGAGTGAAAAAAAAAAAAAAACACAAGAGGTCCTGCCCGGAATCGAACCGGGGCTACTGGAAGTGTGATTCATCAGAATCCAGTGTCCTAACCGCTAGACTACAGGACCATTGTCTATAACTCTACGGAATTATGGTAGGCTATATCGCAGCCTCGCCCTCCCCCAGGAATGTTCAGTGAGGCACTAATGTATACGCTATCAAAAGAATATTTGTAGAAAAACGATACGGAAAATGTCTCCATGTTATTGTCAGGCTCCTCCCATCAACACCCTGCGTCCCAGTCTTTCACTCTGCATATGTTATCTCGAGACAAGTCCGATTCGCAGGCTTCACCCCCTGTCCGCGGTATCAAAGTCCAATCCCATACAGAGTGCACCCACTGGCACTCAGATCGGGATATTATCGCCATACGCCATAAATGCTGCGGCGAGTACTATGCTTGCATCAGCTGTCACGAGGCGCTTGCTGGCCACCCGTCTCAATGTTGGCCGAAGTCAGAACGCAATACGCCAGCGGTATTATGCGGTTGTTGTAGGCGACAGTTGACCATAACCGAATATATGAAGAGCGCGAATACTTGCCCGGGCTGCCTTGCCGCTTTCAATCCAGGTTGTGCGAAACACTATAACTTATATTTCGAGATGTAACAATGGCTATGTCTAGGAGCTTCCGGACCCCATACAAATACCGGACAAGTCTGCCGGAATCAATGAAAGAAATGGAGAGAATCCTGCTCGGATAGCCGATTGCCCCTAGGGGAGAGGGAGGGGGGTAATGCAAGTAGTAAGGCAATATCACAAATAGTATTCCGTAGTTCTCAAGAATTGTCACACATACGTATAACGGCGTTTTTATTCAGGGCTAGTGTGCTCGCGGATCTTACCAGCAATGCTCTTCCCCCCCTGCAAAGTCATGTGAAAATGGCATCGCATGAACTCATCCGAACAGATCCCACCTCATTGCGGGGTGCTTATCTCTGGATTTGCCGCATCTACAAGTAAAAAAGAACAGTAGTGATACAGAGATAGTTTCTCCCGTCCTTGAATCATTAATCGCCGTTTTATCAACAAGCCCAGACCGAAACGTCCCGAGCGTTCTTACACCCGAAGCAGCTTCGCAGCATAGTCCTCGATGAGGCTCTCAGTTGGGAAGCTCAGCTCCTCCAGCTTCGCAGCATAGGGTGTAGGCACATCAGAGCCGGTGATGCGCTGGGCCGGGGCGTCAAGGTAATCGAAGGCGTACTCCATAGTGAGGGCCAGAATCTCCGCACCGACACCGAACGCAGGGTAGCCCGACTCAACCGACACAAGACGGTGGGTCTTCTTGACAGACTTGACAATGGCCTCAACGTCAAGCGGCTTGATGGAGCGGAGGTTGATGACCTCCGCTTCAATTCCGTACTTCTTCTTCAGATTCTCGGCAGCGACCAGAGTTTGGCCTACACAGCGCGAGAGCGTCACCATAGTCAAGTCCTTTCCGGGGCGCTCGATCTTGGCCTTGCCGAAAGGAATGACGAAGTCGTCCTTCTGGGCAGCTTCCGACATAGGGAAGGACTGGCCATACATGAGCTCGTTCTCTAGGAATACAACCGGGTTTGGGTCACGGATGGCAGCCTTCAGCAGGCCCTTTGCATCCTCGGCGCTCCAAGGCGAGACCACCTTGAGACCAGGTATGCTACCATACCAGGCACTGTAGTCCTGTGAATGCTGGGCAGCGACACCAGAAGCAAATCCATTGGGGCCACGGAAGGTAATGTTGCAGGGTTGAATGCCACCGGACATGTAGAGCGTCTTGGCAGCTGAGTTGATGATCTGATCAATGGCCTGCATAGCGAAATTGAAGGTCATGAACTCGCACTGTGATAATGGTCAGTACAGCATTACCGGGCCAGACAAGCAGATAGTGAGAGCTCGGGAAGGCAGTAGGGAAGAGGACATACCACTGGGTGGAGGCCACTCAGAGCGGCACCAACAGCCAAACCACAGAAGCCAGACTCGGTAATTGGGGTGTCGATAACTCGCTTTTCGCCGAAGCGGTCGAGGAGACCCTTTGTGACCTTATAGGCACCGTTGTATTGGGCGACTTCCTCACCGAGAATGAACACCTTGGGGTTGGCCTCGAGCTCCTCGGCGAGAGCTTCGTTGAGGGCATCACGAACCGTGTACTCCTTGACGTTACCAGTTGAGGCATACGTCCTCCGGTGCGAAGCAGATATGCCGGAAGCCAGGAGCTGGGTGCTCCGCGAAGACAGCGGAGTGGAGCGAAGCGCATGAGAAGAAACAGGACTGCGCACGACGGAGGTCGCCAGGCGACACACCGGGCGGAGGTACCGGGACATTTCGGGGTGGTGATAAAGAAATGCGCAACGATGAGACGATTGAGGATGAGGGGCCTGGCGAGCCTGCGGAGCGAAACTGGTGTATTGAAGTCGGACGAGGGTGTCCGACGAAGACGGTAGTAGTTTGAGATAGTAAGATAGGAAGCAACGGGAAGAGCAAGAAGCGAAAGGAAAAAAAGAGATGCACTTGACAAGCAACAGATATCGCGCTAGCAATGAGCAGATCGGCTTTTTCCCCTACGAAAACCCGGTTGTGGATAATTTGCTGGGGCTTGCTTGGAAATAAGTGACTTAATTCGGTGGGAAAAGGAGCGAGCAAAAGAGCTCTGTCTCCTTGTGGCCTAGCCCAATTGAAACGGCGTTCAGCTCGCCGTTGTCGCACAGCTCGGAGCTCCGTCAATGAGTGTATGTATCTAAGATATCTCAAGATATCACAAATACTCCGTACTTGCAAGGATCAAAATTCTGAGCGTGCGGGTCCACGTGCCTCCATATTATATCTTGCTCCGCTGTTATTTTTGCAAGCAGTGTGAAAGACAGAGGTAATGCAGGGTGGCAGAAGTATGAAAAGCGCAGGCCAACCGAGATGCAGCAGCGTCAGACGACGTAAGATATGTACATACTACGGAGGATACAACATACCAAAACTATATCACCGCACAGCGGATTACTACAGGCATGTAAGAGAGTGGAGGAGGTCCGGGTGGATTCGGTAGTCGCGGGACATATAGAGTATTCCGTACAGAGGCCATGCATGACCTTTCGAGGCTGCTTACTAAGGGAGGGGGGCACAGGGCGTCGCTGCTTTTATTCCTAGAACAATCACGTGTACTCCGTAGCTGACGGAATATACTGAGCGTGTTACGTGGACGCGCACTTACAGATTCCAGGGTGAATTATAAAATAAAATGTAGCTAAAAAATGTAGCCAGCAGAACTATCTTCTTCACTAGAATTAACACCGCTTGCTGACCAAGGTATGTAATCATGCAAGTACGAGATACATAGGAATTGTATATCAATATCTATCATACGACTATTGCTGGGACAATTTGCCGCATCTTGTGCCGCATCTTGCCGCCATAATATTGTCTCCATTTGTGTATACCTGGTTCCCGTCCTTCTCCGGATTTGTTTCATCATCGCATCCCGCCTAATCAACAGATATAATTTTCATGTTCGTTATTTTATCTTAACGCCATAACTGACCACAGCCCCGACTTCCGCATTACCTGGGCTACAATATCATCCCTACTCTGCTAAGTGGCCTTCTAGTTCGCCGGCTTTCGTGCAACAATTAGATACATGGGGGTGAAGAGATGCTCACGCGCTCCGGCCACCAAGCAATCGGCGCCAACTGCCAGCGCATCAGCCGTCTTCTTCGTGCCCGCCGGGGCTATGCCAACTTTTTCCAAAAGTCCTGTAAGTCCGTGCATGAACGAGCGGCCAGCATGTGTCATGCGCACAATCGTGAACAGGTCACCCCATGACTGCAGATACTTCATCTCGCCAGCGAGTGGCCAGTACCAAGGTAGCGGGTCATCGCGAGTAGCCAAGTCTTCATGCCGCATCAGCTCGAAGCCAACCGACTTCACAGCATCCAGGGCATCTGAGATCTTGACCATGTTGGAGATACCGTTGCCCAGCTCAATGCCTAGCCGAATATCACGGTGGTGTACGTTGTTGCTGTCGTAGTCATCCGTCATTAACCACTCGTAGACACCGAAGACGCCACCCGGCTTCAGCACCCGGAAGATCTCGCCATATACACCGGCCAGACGTGGCGCGTGCACTGTCGCCTCGATTGCATATACCGCATCGAACGAGTTGTCGGGAAACGACATTTGCTAGGCGCGACCGGTTAGGATACCCCACATAATGCAGCACATAATGCAGCTAACAGGCGGGGCTAGAACTAACCATGAAGTCGCCTTTGACAAATGCCACCTGGTCAGACAGCTTCTCCTTGGCCGCATAGTGCGTGGCCCGCTCAATCTGGTAGTTGTTGTTGTTGAGGCCGATGACTTTTGCACCCGTGAACTTTGCGATTTCACGGGCTGGGCCGCCAACACCACAACCAACATCAAGAACCCTCATCCCTTCCTGAATGCCGATGCTGTGCGCCAGGTAATGCTCGTGACGTGCAATGGCCTGATAAAAGGATTCGCCGATTGAATAGCGGCAAAAGTGGAAACTTTGGCCCCAGCCGTACTCGTAGAGATCGGTAGCAAGATTGTAGTACCTATGTAGCCATTTGTTAGTGCTTGCCCACGGGAAGAAACTGGAATGACCACGAATGGGTCCAGAGCTTTGCGTACTGTCTTGTCAATGTGGCATATTCCTCGGTGCGAGCCTGTCCGAGTCAAAGTTGTCAGCCCTCCTCCGTCACAACTGCCATACGCGTACCACGCCAAATGGCAACCCCCAAGAGAAAAAGCCATACTTTGCGGTCTTCTTCTGTCTCTTCCGCAGCTGTCTTGTTATCGAAGTGCTTGAAGTATTCGTCCACTGCGAGCTTTTTTGCTTCACGGTCCTTCGTGAACATCGCGGCCACTCCACCTTTAGCCTGCGCGGATGTACCGTGCAGGGCCTTGTTGAACTCAGCATCGCGCTGGTGGTTCTCCTTCTCGAGCCCCGTTATGCTGGCCATGGCTGAAATAAGAAGCTCGTTAGTTGCAACTGTTTGAAAAATTGGGCAATCAATTGAGCATGTATTCAGATGCGGATGCTGAAAGCCTGACCAGATAGCCATGGGATTGAATTATTTATGCCCCAGGAGATAAATTATGCCCAGGGGTAACGGAAGGCGGTGACTATTGATATGGACCCACTCCGTTTTTGAAGAAGTTAAAAGCGCTGTCGCAAAAGCGAATACGAATAAGAGAAGATATAACCAATACGGCGCAATCAACCGATTTTCGTATCTTACATAGCACGAATGCGAGGTACCTTATGTAGCTCCGCACATGACAAATTAATAATAAGCGCACGTGACAGTACGTGTCGTACTCGTATAAGATTCATCAGCCACTCAAAGCTGACTGCGGCGCAGATAATTTCGCCACATCTGGCTTCGTAACGAGTACGGAGTACCGGAGCAATCTTCACAAGATTCGACTGCAGGCACAAACAACATTTCAACAAAACCAGCCATCATGCCACCACAGATAAAAGCAGACATTAACCGATCAGGTTGGGAGGCGACGGACTTCCCTTCGGTTTGCGAAAACTGCCTGCCCGAAAACCCCTACGTCAGAATGTTAAAGGAAGACTACGGAGCAGAATGCAAACTATGTACCAGGCCCTTCACTGTTTTCAGTTGGCCCGCGAGCCGCGCACACGGTCGGAAGAAGCGCACCAACATTTGCCTAACCTGCGCGCGCCTCAAGAACTGCTGCCAGTCTTGCACCCTCGACCTGTCCTTTGGTCTGCCCATTGCTGTCCGCGATGCCGCGCTGAAGATGGTAGCTCCCGGTCCCACTTCCGACATAAACAGGGAATACTTTGCTCAAAATAATCACGAAGCTATCGAGAAAGGGCTCATTGGTACCGAGGAGTACGAAAAGACCGACGACAAAGCCCGAGAGTTACTTCAACGCCTAGCACAAAGCAAGCCGTATTTTCGTAAGGGTCGGCAGGTGAATGGTGATGGGAGTCCTGTCACTAGTGGTGGTTATGCGGGTGCCAGCGGGAGGATAGGGGGAAGCAGCATTCTGGGAAACGCTGCTGTCGGAGCGGGCGTTGGCGGCCCTGGTCCGATTAGGACCCGCGATTCCAAGGCCGCGCGTGCCTTTGGGGACGGTTCCGATAAATCAGCGCCGAGTGCGAGGAAGTTACCAGCTGCGCTCCCCCCTCCCGGACCCAAGGATTGGATGCCTCCTGTCGATGAGAACATCATGTCGCTGTTTGTCACGGGAGTTGAAGATGACCTACCGGAGTACAAGATTCGCGACTTCTTCAAGGCACATGGCAAAATCAGGTCCCTTGTGTGCTCGCACATGTCACACTGTGCGTTTATCAATTACGACTCGAGGGATGCGGCCGAGAAGGCGGCAGCTGCTTGCCAGGGACGCGCTGTTATTGCCGGATGTCCTTTGAGGGTGCGATGGGGACAGGCTCGACCTATTGGCACGATGGGCCGCGAGCAGCGAGTGGAAATGATTCGGGATGGACGATCTGCATTTCCAGAATTACGAAAGAAACTAGGAGGCGACAGGAGTAGCAAGGCTACTGTGGGAGGAGAAGATGGCGACGACGGCACCTATGATGGCGAAACAGATCCGTCAAGACTTGCTGCTGCTGCCCCTCCAGGTGCTGCTGACGTGCCATATGCCAGTCTTGCAGGCAACTGAAGATAAGTGTTGCTGCGGCTTGTTACAGCTTGTTCAATTCATCGTCAGCAGGGGAGAAGGGGCTGCCAAAGCAGTTTGTGCAGCGAAAATGACGACAGCATACATGATTCTCGAAGCTCGAGACAACGTGTGGCCCACAGACGATGCAACGTCCAAGTATTATTTTTTTCTGTTTTATGCACACATTAGAGTATGCGGGATTGGAAGCATACCGTACCGGTGGCGTTAAAGAAGCGAGAATCTGTCTCGGTATTTTGTCTGCAACCTTGACTTGGAGGGGTTAGGACTAGCATAGGTTGGTACTAAGCCGTTCTGGCCAACGAGCATTCTCTAATATGTGGTGAACGACTCTGTTGCAGCATTGCATCGGCGGTCGCACGTCCAGGACCTTGACATTATGTCAGGTGATACGATCATTTGTCAGCATTGTTTGTGTAAGATGGTTTTACTAGTACGGAGTACGGAGTACTCGCACGGAAAATGAATACTCCAAAGAAAACAACACCACAGCAATGACGCATGGCAAAGAGCTCTTCAGGCCAACCACCGCTTTAAGGTTGCGGGGTTCTCGCAGCTGCTGGCTGTGGGTTTTCTTGGCCTTTATGGTTCTGGCGACGATCCCGCTTATCAGCAAGGCACGGCCGCTTTCCTTGTCGCAATGGCTGATCAAAATTGGCGAGCATTGCCCAATGGAGGAGCAAGGCCTTGTGTATGCCGGCGAGCACATCACGTGGGAGCACTGCGGCGACCTTGACGGGCGTCCACTTGAGTGCAGCACGATCCATGTGCCGATGGATCAGTTTGATGCGAGCAACTCAGGTGGAAAGACGTTCAGCATTCCGCTCATCCGCCAACGCGGTCGTGGCATTAGCGGTGATGCCCGCGCTGATTTGCCAAACCTGCTTCTGAACCCTGGCGGACCCGGTGGCAGTGGCATTAACTTCATGTACCGCCGTGGGGCGCTCCTGCGCGCTGTTGTGGGGGAGGGCGTGCACCTGCTCTCATTCGACCCGCGGGGCGTCAATGGCTCGCGGCCCAGGGCCTCGTGCTACCCCGATGTAGAGACACGGAGGCAGCGGGCGATTGTGCGCAGTAGTCGCGTTATTGAGGACAGCACCGAGGCGTACGCGTGGTCCTATAACTATGTGCGCGCGTGTGCCGACACGATGGGCGAGCATGGGCTGTATCTCAACACGCCACAAACGGCGGCCGATATGAACAGCATCCTCGATGCCGTTGGCCAGGACGCCATGGTATACTGGGGCTTCAGCTACGGCACGCTGCTCGGCCAGACCTATGCGACATTGTTCCCAGAGCGTGCGCAGCGCGTCATCATCGATGGTGTTGCCAACCAGTTCGACTGGTACGAAGGCCTTCTCGATGCTGAGGTCTTTGCAGACACGGAAAACGTGTGGGACGGCTTTCTAGATGAATGCGTTAAAGCGGGCAAGGAACGCTGCGCCCTGGTGGCCCTGATAGCTGCATCGCCGGCACATCAAGCTACGGGCGGCAAGGAGATACTGAGAGAACGGCTGGCCGCTCTCGGGACGCAGCTACAAGCCAGTCCATCCAGCATCTATGTCAACAACACCGTCTATGGTGCTCTGAGCTACGAAACAATATGGTACAAGGCCATATTCATGGCACTCTACAAACCGGCTACCTGGCACGCTTTGGCTGACGCTCTAGCCAAGATGATTGAGGGCAACGCGACGGCCGCCCTGCTAGCATACGGCTTGGACGAGCCCTGGGGTGAGACAGGTGACGATCTGGTGAATTTCGTAACCTACAACGACGGCGCCTCGGGTGCTTCCTACTGGCAGCAGGACAGGCAGTGGCTCCTCGAGCTGCTCGTCCCGTACATGAACGAGAGCGTCTTTACGCCGTCGGAGTATGGCGGTTATTACATAAAGCAGCAGTGGCATATTCCACGCACACACTCATACGTCCCAAGAACAGGTGTGCAGACAGCGCACCCGCTGCTCCTCCTGTCAACTACTTTTGACCCCGTGTGTCCGCTGGTGTCGGCCCGTTCGGCCCAAGCGGCCTTCGAAGGCTCGCAGATTGTCGAAGTGCTGGGCTATGGGCACTGCTCTGTGGCAATGCCTTCTATGTGTCTAGCGAGACATGTGCGTGCCTTTCTGTATAACGGGACGCTGCCAGATACGTATACACAGTGTGAGGTAGACGGACCATACTTTGTCAGGCCAGAAGCCAGCGGCAAGGTCGTGGCACAGCGACACTTCGACGACCCAACGGAATCGAGTATACATTTGGCACAGCTTGAACTTGCCAGGGACTGGGTGTGGCGATGAGACAGGCCAGTCCGGCCTGTGACATATAGGATGCGGCCCGAGACTGTCACCACTGAGTTTGATCTCTAACTAAAATGGTCAATATTGGAGACGCAAATGGTAACATTCTGTCACTGGCTTGAATTATCACTTGTCCAAAATTGCACCTCGCAAGAGCAGTTGAGGTAAGGTAAAATATCCTGCAAGGGACAAACTTCAACATAGAGGCGTGTGGGTAGCTGTGATATCTGGAATAGACAGTGACGAAGACAGCAGCACAAGTGACAAGACAGTGACAACCTCTGTAACACCAGAATGGGACAAACATAGCCGTGTGTGAAAGCATGTGTGTTCGATAACTTGAACTTGAAAATATACAACATACCGCAACAGACAACATCTGAACTCAACACATGAACGAGCCGGCTATTCATTTAGGACACAACAGAAGTTGCTTTCGAAAATAACACATTTAACGATGAAAACCCACGGCCACGCTCCCGATGACGAAGCTGGTATGCTATTTCCCAGACACCACCAACCCATAACATGTCCAGGTCCTGCGAATCAAAACGTACCGTACGCTGAATTTGACTGTCAGGCCGGACCTCAGGTTGTTATGCCCAGCAATATAGCAGAAGCAGCGGAAATGGAAACTTTCTGTGGCAAGGAGGGCTGCTCCTCTCGAATCTTGCGTCAGGCCCGACAGAGCCCATATATCGTGGCTGCATTAGTGAGCCTTGTCATTGGTTTTCTGGTCCTTATTGTCCTTCCTGCTATTCTTCACAAGCTATCGACCAATGGGGACTCGAGGTAATGAAACACATCACCTGTGTGGTATCCAGACTTCTCCCATGTCGCAGAGTTGCCAGGCTAAAACTTGTGCTATATGTTAGTAGTATCCCTTCGACGACTACAGCGACACTGCCTCTATGTCCGACTTGCTATACGTCGACAACGTCAGATTACACTAGGCCCAGTAACACTGTACGTACTTTCGATGATCCCGGCTACCAGACGCATCCCCAAACGGTTTAATTATAACGGTTAATAGCACGTTTCTGCACAACGCTCACACTACCTAGGATACTGCCACAGACAGATGTGTCAACACAGCTTCTTGGACAGTCAATGTCTCTTATATGGGAATAGCTGAAGATGATGCAAAATACTGGCCGTTTAAGCTTCTCTATAGTCCTAACGCATTGGACTGTTGTATGCTATGCTATTCACAATTCCCTGCTGGCTGTCAGGGCTGGGCGTTCATTCCCTGGCAGAAAACCCCCGTGCCATGTAACATCATATATGGGTGGAATTCGACAGCAGGCGTGTCTGGCATATGTCCGAGTGGGAAAGCCGGCATAAGCTTCGTGACTAACCCTAGCTACCCTAATAGCAGTGGCAGCATAGGCCCTTGTGGCTATTCCGATGTGTCTGTTAACTAAACACACTGGAAACTAAAAGATAGATCTCCAAAGAGAAGTACTATATGCCCAAGCATGAGCAAGGGGGCAATATAAAACATAAACAAGCACACTTGACTTACTAACTCAGCTTATTCAGGAATGCCTTTTTTTTCTTACCAATAGCTTCCCTGGTAAATGACGCATGCCGTGATATGTGAAGTGAGCGTGCAGATCACCCACAACAAAGTAATTGCCTGATATGAGTAGATCAAGCATTTACTGTGATGTCCTTGAAGATGATGTACGGCATAGGACAAAGTGAGCTGTCCGTTAGGTCTAATGACAACTTGCCTTCGGACGGTAATAGACAAAAAAAACACGGCCGCAATACGGTACATATAAACAACAAGGGCGGCGGTCTGGCGCTTGTCATCGTCGGCATATTTATAATAGTGGCCTGTATAAGGGCAGGGGGGGTCTAGGGAAGTGTATATTAGTCAGAAGCCAAGGACGACCTGAGAGTATATTGTCTCCCAAGTAGACACGGGGGCTGGATAGGATTAGCAAATACTGATACTATTTCAACTGGAGGCGTGAGTTATCATATGTTACGAAACCGAATATACTTCCCTGGACTTTGAGCGTGTCTCACAATCAATACAGCTATAACACAATACGGCTGATATGAGGCCATACGAGTGCATGGCAATAAGAACACTGCACTGATGCTGCTCTGGCCTCACCTACAGTTACAGCTACCTGGTTCAGTGAAGTAGTTTGACTAAAAAGTCTGTTTGTTGTGATGGTCGTATGCGTTAGTTGGAAAGCTGCCGGGAAGGGCTGGTAGTCACCTGTAAGCAGAGCCAGGTTGATAAAGTCAATTTATTCTCCGCCCAACCTTGTTTGAATTATTTCTGTTGTCTTGAAATGGACAAGACAGATGAGATAACTATCTAACTATTGCGAACAGGCGACAAAGTCGTCGCCACTAGCACCCGTGTGTGTAATAAGGCTATCAAATTGGCCCTCGGAGTCAAAGATTACACGGTCCGCTCCCGGTGAGCCACCGGTGTAAACTTCGTAGCTCGATAGAATGGGAAACTCGTACCACGGCGATGATGTGGGGAAACTGAACCCTTCGTAGTCGTTATACTTATGGGGGTACTTGTCTCTGCCTAGACAGCACAATATAAGCAATAGAAAAACAGGGATGGAAAAAACCGAGAACTTACCAAGAGTTGACCCAGACTGGTAGAGAGAATAGCCCTTATCCAAGGCAGCATCAATGTCAGACTGATCGTAGCAGATGCTACCGCAGGTATAGGTACAAGTATCCTTTTTCTGAAGGGGAGCGGCGGCTGTCAATCCAGCCAAGCCAAGTACCCCAATTGCAACGGCAAAGGTGGCCTTTGAAGAAAACAGGCGTCTCGCAGTGAACATGATGGATGTGTTTTGTGACTTTCAATGCAGATGTCTATTGTGCCGATAAAACAAAAATAACAAAAGACGCGAGCAGACATGCGTGCGTTCGTACGTCTTTATAGATAGCTGAGCGAACACGCCATCGTTAAGAAGACAAGACAGTATCAAGTGTTTCGGCACCGAGCATACGGCAATTGAAACAGAGAAACGGCAGACTAGGCCCCCTTGTCATATCAAATACGCCAGTTTGGGGGCCACTGCATGTCATAAGAGAGATACGACCTTCTTGTTTGGACTTAATATATGGCGAAACCCGAGCCGATCTGCAGGCTAACTTGGGTACCTGCCAAGTCTAGAAACCTTATTTGGCAAATGCTAGCGCAATCAAGAAGGTTGCAGCCGATCTCCAGCCGTTGATTAGAAGATATTAGAATATGCACATCTGCCTCGGCGATCGACTGACTATCCGGTAGTACCCACACATAGTAACAATTGTGGCCTTCTGCCTTGGGCAACACTGATCGACTACAGATAACCCAAATTTGTAAGGTAAGTAACCTCATAGACCTTGCCAAAATGCTTATCTCGCCGCCTTTCCTACAGAAAGGTCAAGAATAGCCTTAGCTTAAACCAAATAGCACCATTAATCTACTAAGCCAATATGTCCAATATGTCTATTTTTTTTTAATTACAGCTACTTCCTACGTTAATTTCTTTTATCCAAGCTTATGTATATTTTTTCCATTGATTTTCCCTTTTGAGTGTGCAAAGTAATTTAAGTTTATTTAGTGTACATATATAAGGGTATTCCCTACACACGCCCTATGCACTAGTTTAGCGGCCCATCGCTTATTAAGCGTCAGACTTAACAAACTGCCTTAACACGTGCATAAGGCATAACATAGTTACCTAGCTATGCTACACCCTCTTAAAGTTGCGCTATTACGCACCCCCTGTTTACGTATAAATTAGACGATAGGCTCTCGCCTACTAGTCTCCTATAGTCTGTTAAGTTAAAGTCTTAATATAATAGTATAAATAATATATAAGCCTTTATAACTACGTATTTATATATAAGAAACATATAAGCTTTTAGCGTTAAAATATATACTAATACTACCTTTTATACTACTACGCGGTAGCTATACTTTATATATAGAATTTATAGGCACTCTTGTCTTGTTTATTTAATTAAATTTAAGACTAGTATAAGTGCTACTAAATAAACCCTTATTAATTAAACTTATATTATATAAGCACTAATAGCGTTAACTAATATTTAAGGTTAGGAAAAATACTACTGCCTAGTATAAGTAGTACTAAGACTAGTACTAGTTGTACTAGTTTCTTAACCTTGCTAATATTATAGCTATAAAGGTTATAAAGCTACTGTTTAGTAATTATTACTAATATATTAAGCTATTATAATATAGTATTTAAAAGCTTACTATTAGTATTACTTAAGGCTAGGAAAATTACTAGTAGCACTAGCCTTAGTATTTATACTAGTACACTAGTACTAGTACTCGAGTACTTTAAGTACTTAAGTACTAATTAATATATAAGAACTATACTACTTGCTTAACTATTCTAAAAGCTTTTATATAAATTAATAATTAAATAGCTATTCTATAATTAAAAGAGGTAATAGTTGTGAATATAAATAAGCTATTTTAATCCTCTTTTTATATTTTACTTTTACTTTTACTATAATATATTCTAATGGCTATATAACCAACCTTAACTCTAAAGTTACATCTTCTTTTATTACTACTTCTAGTAATAAAAAAAAAGTAAACAATAAAGAGTTTATAATAATCTTAATTATAAGTTAAATAACTCTAGATTATTTAGTTATATAATTAACTATAAATTAATTATACAAACTTAACTACCTTATAAAGAAAATAAGAACTAAAAAGTCTTATTAAAGGGTATAACGTATATAATTGTTTACTTAAGTAACTAACTAAATAAAGGTGTAACTATAAAAAGGCTGATATATTTTTAAAGCTTTTAAAGCTTAAACTAGACTAAAAACTATAAGTAGCTTTATCGTACTATAGACTTTAGTAAAAAGGCTATATTTGAAAAAGAATTATAAACTAGTAAGTTCAATAGAATTATAAAAACAGGCCTAAGCAAATATAAACTTTAAATTATTTACTAAAGACAACGCTTATAATAAAATCCTTACTTTTATTATAGAGAATAACCTTTCTTTTAACGTACTTAGGTTAAATTTGTTTAAAGAATTACTAAGTTATTATAATAAGTAAGTAAAAAACTAACTACATCTTTAGTTAACTAACTAACTATTAATTAAGAAGGCTATCCTTTACTATTAATAGAAAGAAGGTTAAGGATATACTAGATAAAGCGTATAACCTTAACCTAATAAGCTTAAATAATAAATTAAAGAAGAGTATTAAATCGTTTGAAAAGCTTTTTCTTTAACGCTTAATATTACTTTTTTTAATTTATAAATAGCTTACTTAAGTATTATAACTACATATATAAGCTTATTAGTAAGTTATATTTACTTTACTTTAATAACCTTATTAACTACTTACTTATTAAACAATCTTATATAGGCGAATATATTTATACCGAATTTATAAAACGCCTTACAAATTTACCCTTCTTTATCTTTACCAGATATTTTAAGGGTAATTAACTACTTAATTTACTTTACTAACCTTTTACTAGCATTATACAAGATAACGCCTTAAATAATAATACCTTTAGCAACTAAGTTTATAATATAAGTAGCACTTTTAATATTGTTATTATTATTAAATATAAGGGTTAGTGTGCAATATATGATTTTAAAGGCTTTAAACGTGTTTATACTTATATATTAAGACTTCAACTTAACGAACTATAGTAGACTAGTAGGCGACGGCCTGCTAGCTACTTTATACGTAACTAGAAGATGCGGTATAGCGCAATCTTAGTAGGGCGTGGCACAGCTAAGTGGCTGTGCCGGTCCTGTGCAACGTGTTAAGATAGTTCGTTTAAGTCCGCCGCTTAGTAAGCGACGGGTTGCCGAACCGGTGCGTCGGGACGCGTGTGTAGAATACTCTTATACTATCCCCCCCTTCCTAGGTAACGCCCCTATTAGCCTAGAGGTGCATAGGCAGCCACTTACTTGTTAAAAAACCTTTCTATGTAAAGTTAGGAAAAAGAGTTAAGTGCTTTAGGTTATTGGCGGTCGCTAAGCGGTCGCGGACTGCTTGTTTATGCGACTGCATTTAGGTACGTAGAAGCGCACACGTACTGCTTAGTTTATAGCGGCAGTAAACGCTGGATCCTACCTAATGTAAGGGTCGTCCTATACGTAAGAACTTCTTAAGAGGCGTACGGTTTGGATACTAGTTAGGGAACGCTTAGGTTGCTGCTAATAAGTGTTATAAGGGAGCTAGCCTTAGATACTAGGTGTATAAGGCTATAGTATGCACTAACTAAAAACGGCGGCGTAGGGCTTAAAACTCTTAATTACTAGTAGGGCAGGATAAAGGCATTAGCGGCTGTTTATTACTTGCTAATTATAGAACTATTGCCGACTAGACGGTAGAGGCAGTTTGCTGCTAGGACGTCTTTTTATTTAATTTTAAACGTTTTTTACCTTGCTATTAAAGTAAGGTTAAGCAAGTTCTTAAGATGCATTTAAACGTTTAATAATATAGCTTCTTTATTACCTTAAGGTATAAAAAAGTAGGTGTATCTTATAATTTTAAAACAGATTTATTTATACTTATAAAACTACTTTTACCTTTTTAGCTTTTTTCTTTTAATTTTACTAGCATAGTAGGTTGATATAACAATTTGCAACTTTATATAATAGCTAGCTAACAGTTGCTTATAAATAATATTTAGCTAAAGCTGCTTTTAAGTTTTAATAAACTTTCTTATAGATGCAAATCTTATAAAACGCCCTTCTTAAGCATACGCACTATCTTTTAAAAGCGTAGGTCTTTACTAGTATAGTAGTTATTAAGTAATAGCTAACTTTAAGGTAGGCTTTATACTTAAACTATGTTTTTAAGGCCTACCTAGATATTTACTATAAGTTTTAATATATAGCTTTACTAAATAACCTAGTATACTATATTAGCTATATAGCTAATAATATATTATGCTTACTAATAAGTATATTAACTTATATATGCTAGTAGCTAATTATTAACTAATAGTTTCTTAATAAGATTAAGAGCTTAGCCTAATATATTTAAGAGTTTTTAGCTAGTATAAACAAGTTGCTACTTTAGTAAATAATAGTTGATAATATTATTATAATACTAGGCAATTGTATAGTAATTGCTTAAAGGTTAATGGCTTTAATAGTAGTAACTAAGGAACTTAGCTACGCTTTATAAGAAAATAAGTTAAAGCTTTTAGTAACTAACTAGCGCTTTTAGCGTAAACGTTTTAAGATAATATAATAAGCTATATTATACTGTAGTATTCTTTACTAGTATAGTAAAATCTAGAGCTTACTTTAACGCTTATATAGTAGTTAGTAAAGGTAGCCTAGCTTTTACCGCTAACGTCTCTAGATATAAGTATACTATTGCAAGCGTAGACTTAAGTTGCTACTACTGTTAAAGTAATAGTAAGTCCTTTAATTTTTACTATTAAGTTATTGCTAACTTATTACTTAGGCTAATTTTGTTTTATTATACTTAGCCTAGCCTAGCGCGCTATAGCTATTTAAGCTAGCTATAGCAGCACGCTTTACTATACTATAAAAGTAGAAAGGCTGCTTAAGCAAATCTTATAGACTATAGCAGCCTTAGTTAAGCTAGCCTAGACTAACTAAGCAGTAGTCTTTCCTTAGCTGCTGCCTTTAGTAGCGCCTAGCAAGTAATAGTCTTACGCTAAGTTGCTAACCTTAGCTAAGCTCTAGCGTAGCGCTAAGACCGTTCTTAGTGCTATAGCTAGCAGTAGTAGAGTAGTTATAGTAGCTAGTAGTAGTAGTATAGTAGTATTTAGTAAAAGTGCGCTAGTAGGCAGCT